TATGTTTTTCACCATGTAAAGAAAACCAGTCATTATTGATTTTACGCAGGATATTATTTAGTTATGATTTTTTGAAGGTTGCAAAGATCAGGATCTAGACCTTATTCCTAATATCAAGATGATGTTCAAATTGTGGCACCAAGTAGGACAAACTATACTATCCTATCAAATTAGGAAAAAATTCACGCATGTCGCATATATGCCAACATACTCTGATTGTCTATGTATATAATTTTCAAAACTTGATCTATAGAGTTAATGTGCATTACATATTTTTATCTATATATTTTTTAATTTTTAAATTTCATATCCCATCTATTATTCCTTTTAAAAAAAATTAATATTCCTCTTGTTACAGCCTTTATTTGTATTCAGAAATTTGATAATGTTAGTATGCTTTCTATTCTGATGTGGCATTGATCTTTTTTCTGCTACCAATTATGTTCAGGTTTTTGATAAATGCGTAAAGGGGGAATTGAGAGGCAAAACAAGAGTTCTTGTCACAAACCAGCTGCACTTCCTTTCACAAGTTGATAGAATTATCCTGGTTCACGAAGGAATGGTGAAAGAGGAAGGAACTTTTGAGGAGCTCTCTAATAATGGTGTGCTGTTCCAAAAGCTAATGGAGAATGCAGGAAAAATGGAAGAGTATGTGGAGGAAAATGAGAACAGCGACACAGTTGACCAGAATGCCTCTAAACCTTTTGTTAATGGGGTGGCAAATGACATGCCCAAAAGTGCAAGCCAAGCAAATAAAACAAAAGAAGGCAAATCTGTTCTTATTAAGCAGGAAGAACGGGAAACAGGAGTCGTTAGTTGGAAAGTTTTAAGGAGGTAGAATATGTTGATTTTCGATCCTCTTCTCCAAATTGCATTTTTGCATGTATATAATGCTAGTACCATATTTTAGTTCTGCCAAATTCTATGATAGCTAGCTCCTCAACTCTACCTAAGTTGACTGATAGATGTAGCTAATGTCAAAGGTATAGTGTTCTTTGAACTACAACTTTTCCAGTATCCAAGATGTAGACTTCCCTTAAACCTCTCAATCACTAATTTTTTACCCCTTCTTTTATGCTTGGAAGGAAGGTGACAACATATTCTTTTATTGATGGCTCTCATCTAAATGGACCCTAAATACAACCGCATTAAGGGATTCATCTGGTCTATCTCACTGAAGTACACTTAAAACAAAGAAAATTTTCCTTTCTTCTACTGATTGATTTGGTTCTCTGCTTTGTTAGTGAGGATTCACTGAGCACATTTATGGTTTCCTTATGTTACTAAATGTTATTTAGGTAATTGACAAGCCATCCATCATATTTGATTAGGAAGGAAGGGAGGGATTTTAACAATCTCTGCTGTGATTTATGCTGGAATTCTTTTTCACTTTGTTCAATTTTTGTTAAAAGAAAAAAAAAAAAAAGATCAATGAATTCAATATCTTTCTCTTTTCTTGCCAGGTACAAGAATGCATTGGGAGGTTTTTGGGTGGTAATGGTGCTCTTTTCATGTTACATCCTAACAGAAGTTTTACGAGTTTCAAGCAGCACATGGCTGAGTTCTTGGACAGATCAAAGTACTCTGAAGACACATGGACCTGGTTATTATAATTTGGTCTATTCACTTCTATCATTTGGTCAGGTATGAGATTGTTTGATGCTAATTCGCGTTCAGCACATAAGTACCTCTTACTCATCTTGCAGAAATTTTATTTATTTACCTTAGAAGAGTAGTTTTATTCTCCAGAAGAGTTAGGAAGTTTTCCTTTCCTACTATTCCAAGAAATAATAGTATTTTTTTTTTTTTGGTAAGAAAAATTAACACTACATTTTAGCGAATAGTTTTACTGGTTTCATTGCTCATTTTATGTTTGTTTTCTTCCCCACTTGGTTTCAGGTCTTGGTGACTTTGGTTAATTCATATTGGTTAATCATATCAAGTCTCTATGCAGCCAGAAGGTTGCATGATGCCATGCTTACTTCTATACTTAGAGCTCCAATGGTCTTCTTCCACACCAACCCACTTGGACGAATTATTAATAGGTTTGCAAAGGATTTAGGTGACATTGACCGAAACGTTGCACCATTTGTCAATATGTTCTTGGGACAAGTGTCGCAACTTCTTTCTACTTTTGTCTTGATAGGAATTGTGAGCACTATGTCTTTGTGGGCCATAATGCCACTTTTGGTTTTATTTTATGCCGCTTATTTATACTACCAGGTAAATGAACTTTGACCTCATCTTCTCTTTATTGATTTTCTTTTCTAACCTGAAAGCTATAAATTCTTTCTTGTAGAAAATGCCTGTCTTTTACCATTTCTGATTTTCTAGCAGTCTTGGCCGGAAAAATTTAGCATATGGATGTCTCTGCAACTGGATATTCTGTTTGTATGTTTCTCATGTCATCATTATTTTGTTTGATTCCACAGAGTACAGCGCGTGAAGTGAAGCGCTTAGATTCTATAACTAGATCACCCGTATATGCACAATTTGGAGAAGCATTGAATGGTCTTTCAACCATTCGTGCATATAAGGCTTATGATCGCATGGCTGACATAAATGGAAAATCCATGGATAATAATATCAGGTTCACTCTTGTGAACATGAGTTCAAACCGTTGGCTTGCAATCCGTTTGGAAACTTTGGGAGGGCTCATGATTTGGTTTACAGCAACCTTTGCTGTCATGCAGAATGGAAGGGCAGAGAACCAGCAGGCATATGCATCTACTATGGGTCTACTTCTTAGTTATGCTTTAAACATTACAAGTTTATTGACTGCTGTACTCAGGCTTGCTAGTTTGGCTGAAAATAGCTTAAATGCAGTGGAGCGTGTTGGCACATATATAGAGTTGCCTTCGGAAGCTCCACTTATTGTTGAGAGTAACAGGCCCCCTCCTGGTTGGCCTTCATCTGGATCCATAAAGTTTGAGGATGTTGTCCTTCGATACAGACCTGAACTTCCTCCAGTCCTGCATGGGTTGTCCTTTACAATTTCTCCTAGTGACAAAGTGGGCATAGTTGGAAGGACAGGGGCTGGAAAATCAAGCATGTTAAATGCTTTGTTTCGAATTGTAGAGCTGGAAAGAGGAAGGATCTTGATTGATGGTTGTGATGTTGCAAAGTTTGGACTGATGGACCTACGTAAAGTGCTTGGCATTATACCGCAATCACCAGTTCTTTTCTCTGGTATGCCCCCACCAACAATCTAGATTATAATTTTGACAATAGCTTAGTGTAAATTTTTATCTCTTTTACTAGCATTATAATAAATGGTCTTTCCCCCTAATATCTGTTAACTTCTAAAGTGGAGCTAATCGGACTGATATCATTTTTGTTGTCGTACTTTTCTTCTTTTACCATAGTCCATCAGTTTGTAGCTGCTGTATCTTATGTCACCTTTCTTATTTCGTTCCAATTAAAATATATAATATTTATGACCATTTTGTTTTTATTTGGGCCAGGAACTGTGAGATTTAATCTTGATCCTTTCAATGAACACAATGATGCTGACCTTTGGGAGGCTTTAGAGAGAGCACACCTGAAAGATGTCATTCGGAGGAACTCTCTTGGTCTGGATGCTGAGGTACATATGAAAAAATTTCTAATGGAAATTTCTTTTGACAGTTTGCTAATAAATTTCTTTCTGTGTTGGGAAAAGAGAAATGATCAGTTGGTTATTTATTTTGAAGTGTCCATAGGTGCTGAAATCAGCATGCTTCCTTGTTGACGACTGTTAAACTCTTATCTTGTGTTTTGTCCAGGTTTCGGAGGCAGGGGAAAATTTTAGTGTTGGGCAAAGGCAATTGTTAAGCCTTGCTCGTGCATTATTGAGGAGATCAAAGATACTTGTTCTTGATGAAGCAACTGCAGCTGTCGATGTCAGAACTGATGCTCTTATTCAGAAAACTATTCGGGAAGAATTCAAATCATGTACCATGCTTATCATTGCTCACCGTCTCAATACAATAATCGACTGTGATCGGATTCTTCTGCTTGATTCTGGCAGGGTATATACACAATTCTAGAGCTTGTTTAACTCACCTTGAAAGCTTTCTTAGCTATACAAAGTGTAATTTATTCATCATTAGTTTATTCTCTTTTCCCTGTTTGGCATTTGGCTGATGTATCAATGTTTATTTTCATGCCAGGTTTTGGAATATGATACGCCAGAGGAACTATTGTCAAATGAAGAAAGTGCTTTCTCCAAGATGGTTCAAAGTACTGGGGCTGCTAATGCTCAATACCTGCGCAGTTTAGCACTCGGAGGGGAAGGAGAGGACAGGTTGGGTAGAGAAGAGAATAGGCAGTTGGATAGACAGAGGAAATGGCTGGCATCTTCTCGTTGGGCTGCTGCTGCCCAGTTTGCACTTGCTGTTAGCCTCACTTCATCGCAGAACGACCTTACTCGCTTGGAAATCGAAGATGAAGGTAGTATCCTCAAGAAAACAAGGGATGCTGTGATAACTCTCCAGGGAGTTTTGGAAGGGAAGCATAATAAAACAATCGAAGAATCGCTGGGTCAGCACCAGATGTCTAAAGATGGATGGTGGTCTTCACTTTACAAAATGGTTGAAGGTACAAAACCAATATGCCATATATTGCTTTACATCTACCCTGTATCTGATCTAACCGAATCTTAAATGATTTTGGTTTGTTCCTTTAATCATCTTACAAATCTCTGTTTCTCTTCTTCCAGGTCTTGCTATAATGAGCAGATTGGCAAAGAGCAGGCTTCATCAATCCGATTATGGTTTCGAAGACAGATCAATCGACTGGGACCAAATCGAAATGTAGACTGCAATGTCTCCGTGTCTGGAACAATAAGTCTGATAGCCCTTCATATGACTGTCCATAATTGGATATTTTTGTAGAAAATTGTCCAAAGTTTCCAGCAAGGACGTTAACCATGGATCTTTGTTAGATAATCATACTTTTTTTTTTTTACCTTTTTTTAACCATGGACCTTCATACATGATTTTGCTTTTTTTTTTAAATAAGAAAAATATTATTATCATTTTATTCTATCTTGTGAGTTTTGGCCATGGGAATAATATGGAGACAATTGGCTTTTCATATTTGCGAGTGTTAAATATTAATTTATTGAAACTGTTTCTGAAAAAAAAAAAATCTAGTGTTTGAATTATTGGAGAATGAAAAGAGTTGAAAATTAAATGGACTTAAAAAATTTTTTGGGCTATTTGAGCTCAAGCGAGGAGAAACTTGTTTAATTTAAAGAAAATAAACATAACGATTATTTTTTTTCTTATGATAAAAGATTTATGGGCTGGATTAATTAGTATTTGTTAATCGCTCATTTCACCCAGTTATAATTCAAAATTTTTTTTGCCGCCAGTGTGACCATTGGTCCCTTCCCCTTTTAAAGGTCAACATGACCGTTAGTTCCTTCTGCATTTAAAGGTGGTGATGACGCGCGTGGCATGAGAAAAATCTTAACGCGCAAGGTACCGCCGTCTATCTATCTATAAATAGTTTTTAAAGACTGAAGAAAAAATATTGGTTCCTCGGTTATTTACTTATAACGTTTAATTTGGGGTTTATAAAAGGGTTAGAGTTAGGGTTTGAAGAAACAGGAAAAAGATTTAGGGTTTGTAAAAGCGTTACGGTTAGGGTTTGAAGAAAGAGGAAAAAAAGTTAAAGCAAGACGAGGCAAAAGAAGCCATGAAATTTTCAGTCTTTCTTAATTGGTAATCGTTTTTTTCTCTATTGATCTTCCACTTTATTTTTGTAGCGTTTTACAATTCTTTTTTAAATGGAAACTGTCTTTTACAATTTCCATTTTTTATTTTCAGTAAAGAAAGAGTCGCGAACACATATCTATGTTTTATTGGAGCATTAATTTTTTTTTTTTTACTGTCATTTTCATTTCGCTTATAATACATCTATATTTTGTTTTATTGGAGCATTATTTTCAGTAAAGAAAGCGTATGCCGTGACGCTTGCTAGCCTAAATGTATTTTTTTTTTTTTTTGCCTTGTCTCATTCACAACATTTTTTTTCACCTTTTCCTAATGATCCTACCGTGTCATACTTTTTCACCGACTTTTTTTCAGACTATACATATACGTAAGTAACCATGCATCCAAAATGTAGCAACCCAGTGTTCTGCATCAGAATCTATCTTGGGTTCCTTGAATTTCTTCTCATAGTTTTACTACCTAAAGACTTTCGACTATGGCACCACTGTCCTGTCCCTATCCTACAGGTATCAATCTTAGTTCATCTCATTATTGTTCTGTTTGGTTGCAGGGAGATGAAACTTGAAAGACAAGTATGAGCTTTTGGATTTTATATTGCTTCAAAATCGAAGTTTAATGTTTTGCAGTTCCACTGAGACTTTTGCTTCATATACTTTTTTTTTTGTTCGAATGGGGACGATTGTTGAAACTTGAATCTTTAATCTCATTTTCATTTTATGGTTTACAGAGTTGGTTCTGTAACATCAGAGATTAAAATGGTTTTGTGTTCCTTTATTCCTGGAATTGGTTTTAGTTGCAAGTTAACCTCTTTTGGCTTTGTTAGATTCAAATCTTGGTTATAAATTTAACTTTTTGTCTGTATTATTTGTATGGAGATGTCCGTGATTATCATTTGCTGCAATTTTGTTTAATGTTGAAGCATGAATATGGGTTGTTCTCAATGCAGATAGGACATTGTGTTGAAGAGCAAAGATTGTGCTGTGTTTTAGTAAGTCATTAACTAGGTATAAAATTTCCTTTTACACATCTCTCTTGTGAAGGAGAAGATGAGTTCAGTAAATATCTAATCAATTTTGTGTCTATAAGGGCGGTGGCTAGTGATGGCATTTGAACCCTTCGTTTGGAATTGTCAACCAGTGGAAAATGCGGCTTGGACAAAAGTGGTTGATGGTGCTTGTGGTGCATACACACCTTGTGCTATCAATTCTGTGGTGATTTCCATTTCTCACTTGGTTCCTTTGGGCCTCTGCTGTTATCATATATGGTTGATTAAGAAGAATTCCAAAGTCCAGATGTTTACTTTGAGGTCAAAATGCTACAATTATATGCTTGGTTTGTTGGATGGTTATTCTACCATCGAGCCATTACTAAGGTTGTTGATGGATATTTTGATCTTTAATTTGAATGGAGAGACTGGTCTTGCTCACTATGAGGTAACTTTCTGTTACAACTAGTAGTTGACTCCCTTCTTATTCCTTGCCTCAGGAAAATTTTATAGGTACTGGTTTAAAATGAGGTTCTGCATTTTAAGTTAAAATATTGTGGAACTATTATGGCTATAAAAACAGACCACTTGTTTTGTTAGGCTGAATTTATTTGCTTGTTTCATCCATTTTACTTCCTTTGTCGGTTCCAGGTGATGGTTAGATTTTACCATAAGTTCTGGCAATTTCATTTTGTTATCAGCTGTTTGCTGCAACATAACAACTTGCTTAAACTTGTAGATGCTTTATAATTTACTTTCTTGCAGGCAACTTCTTTGATCATTGAGGCTACAGCTTGGTGCTCTGTGCTTATTATGATAGGACTGGAAGCAAAAAGTTACATCAGGGAGTTTCGGTGGTATGTGCGTTTTGGGGTATTTATGGTCGGGGATGCTGTGCTTCTCAATCTCATTCTACCAGTGAAGGATTTGTACAGTAGGTTAGATTCCTCCCATTCCTCAATTTAGTTCGTTTACCATAAGCCTCTTAAAAAATAAAATTCTATGAACATTTTTTTTTGGGGGGGGGGGGTTGGGGGGGAGTTAGTGTTGTAATATGAGCTAATTATTTATGATTTGTGATCCTTTTCTCATATACATGTTCTTTTATAAGCCTCACCTCATCCCATGAATATTATTGGATCATTTAGTAAATGTTTGTTTATAAATCTCTAAGCAAAAATATCTTACTGGTTTTGGAAGAGTCATATATTAGGGTGAAGCATAGTTATCCTTTTTTTTTCTTTCATTATCACACACCATTATTTGTAGAAGAGCCCACCATCAGCAGTAATGACTCTTTTAACTGCTAAAATTATGTAATAAAGAAATTTGACCATAGAAAACTATTTTGGATTAGATAGACACTTTCATACATTTGTGAACGATTGATTAGTTGGAGATGTGGACTTATATCCTTGAAGGGAAAAGACTTTTCTCAAGCTTTTTCATTCTTATTTTTTTTGCCCCCTGAGTTTATAGAATCTAGTCCATTTACATGGGTCAACAGTACAGTCACACTGACAAGTTTATTTGCTCATGCAGCTATGTGTTGTATTTGAGCATCAGCTTGGTTTTCTGTTAGGTTTGTTGTGTATATTTGCCTTTTATCGTACTCATTTTTCCTATATCTTTATAAAAGTAGTCTTTACCTGCTTTTATATTTTCCTTGGTGTCATATTGGCTGTCCTAATCTTATGTAGCTGCTTGAAATCTGGCTAAAAGTGTCATTAGCAAATTGTGTTGTACAAAAAAATTAACGAAAGTTATAAAGGGACATAACTCTCTCTCCTTTTCACAATCTTCCTACTACCCATGCCCTCTGGAAATATTAGCATCACCTCTTTTTCCAAATATTCATTACATTGGCCACTTACATATCTGCTTTTAGTTGACATGACTTAACATCATTTTAGGTTTACATGACTTAGCATCATTTTAGCCCACCTCCTCCCTTTTTTGGTTTAAAACTTAAAAGTTAGCATTCTTCTCACTTTCATTGATTGACAAAAATATGCTAGGTCTTGAAACCAAAGTGGAGAAAAAATTTAAGCCTGATTTAAGTAGCATGACTAGTTTTTTGTCTAGAATGTTGCTAGACCATTGAGGCCATTATAATTTCTTGGAATTTGATGTAACTAAATTCAAGCTTCTGGTCAAATGTTAATACTTAATAGGACAGTCTAAAATTAAATCTTTTGGGACAGAAAAACCTGGACAGTTCTTTGACTTAGCTTGTTAATGCTTTTGTCTTCAAGTCATTTTAAGTCAGTTTCATTTATTTGTGCTTATTTTCTGATGTAGGTTTTATTTGGGATTCTTCTAGTTGTTTATGTTCGTAACCTCCATCCGTCTCCTGGGTATGTTTTGATACAAAATGAGTCTCTTGATGATGAAGAATATGAACCACTTCCTGAAGGAGAGCAAATATGTCCCGAAAGGCATGCCAGCATTATTTCAAGTAAGTACTCTGATTGATTGATTATGATACCACAAGTTTGAAAAGTTCAAATGGTTGCAGGTTGCTAGTTATTTTTAGAAAAGCAGCATTTTGATGTAACTATAACAGGGTAATTACTTGGATAGACTGTGAATAAGGACTGATGTTATAGCAATATATGCAAGTCTTGGGATTGGGATGTTTACATTTTGAAAAGAATATACGACTGTACGTATGTGAGTTTGAAAAGTTCAAATTGCTGCAGGTTTGCTAGTTATTTGTAGAAATACCATTTCGATGGAACTATATCTAGGTAATGACTTGGCTAGACTGTGAATAAGTAACTTTGTTATTGTAAAATGTGCAAGTCTTGGATGTTCTACATTGTGAAAAGAATATATATCCTCGGTCTATGTTGCTTGGACTCAAGAGGAAATGTCAGACATGGGTATGTGTTCAACATAGGTACATTCAATTTTTTTCTAGAACTTCCCTAATATTTGGAGGGTTGAAATCTCAATGCCCCTTACCCATGTCCACTTTGAAGTGTCAGGATACATGTTTAACAAGGGTACTTTGGGAAAATTGAAGTCAGAGCAACATAGCCCTTGAATTTATTTTATTTATTTATTTATTTGCTTTTGGGTTCTTTCACCTATGTAATTTATTCTTGCCCATCCTCCCCCCTTTTTTCTCTGCAAAGGGCCATTTAGTAAGATATGGTCAGTGGGGATGCACTAGGAAAGACAGTTTGGACTGTTCTACCAAATTTAAACATTTTCTATTATTTTGCAAAGATCAGTTTTGGACTAATTGTTGGTAAGTGATGCGTTACTATGAACTTGTGAGCTTCTAATTAAAAGTTTGTTGCAATATGCTATGGCAGAAATATCTTTCGGATGGATTAATCCACTCATGTGGCAAGGGTATAGAAGACCTCTCACTGAAAGGGATGTTTGGAAGTTAGATAAATGGGATCAGTCTGAAACATTGATTCAGAAGTTGGCATTCTGTTGCTTCCCTTGGATTTGCTTCCACATGAAAATTCATATGGTCACTCAACGATAGCAATTTCTACCTTTGCAGGTTCATTAGATGTTGGGCCAAAGAAACTCAAAGATCTAAGACATGGCTTTTGAGAGCATTGAATAGTAGCCTGGGAGGAAGGTTAGTTAGCTATGTGGTTACATTTTTTCTCTTCCTTTATAATTAGTGGTGATATGCATCCTGAAGAATTTCTTTGCTAAGTGTAGATGTCATCTTGTCCTAATTATCTTAACTCTCTTTTTTTGATAAATGAGTCATGCAGGTTTTGGTTGGGAGGTATTTTTAAGGTGATCAGGGCTGCCAAAATAATTATTGTGATGTGAGTATGTTTGTTGAGCTAGCTCTCAGACAATTAAAATAAATAAAAGAGTAAAATGGTCAAATAACAGGCATAAATGATCATAGACTTGTAATTTAAGACTTCTTATTTGTTGATTATATAAAATATGAGCATGTAGCTATGCTCATGGAAGAAATTTTTTCTAATTTAATGTAATCATGATAACTATATTACCATAGCTCTACTTGCTCCATATTGTCATGTTACCAAAGCTCAATTTGCTGGCAGTGGCTTGCAAAGGCACTGGGTTGTTCAACCAACTTATTTCAGTAAAGATGCCAATAATCTGCTGACATGTTGAGAATGTATTCTGGAAATCAACATAGAGTTTTATTTTTTTTTTTTTATGTTGAAAGGAAAAGATTTACTGAATTCTGTGGTCAGACTAATCTGGATTAATTTAAATTATTACATAAACTTCAACCAGGTTCAGCAAGAGATATAACATTGGCATGCATAAGATTAATGGAATTGAAGGTGGCAGTTAAAGTAAAATCAGGTGCTTGTGTAAACAGTCTATTGAACTCCATGTCTGTTAAGTTTGTTATGATGTCTAAAGCAAAATTACTTTTAATGCATATAACCATCTGTAATTGAAACAACATATATTTTGTATATATTATATAAAACAAGAGAAGGTGAAGTGTTGATGAAACAATTCTGCTTCATCCTTGTCAAAGGTTTTTGGATGGGTGGGGAGAATTTCAGTGTTGGGCAGAGACAATTATTGTGTCTTGCTCAAGCATTGCTGCGAAGGTCAAAGATTCTTGTTCTTGATGAAGCAACTGCAGCAGTTGATGTTAAGACTGATGCTTTTATCCAGCAAACCATTCGTGAAGAATTCAAATTCGCACAATGCTAATTATAGCTCACAGAATAAATACCATCATTGACTGTGACCGGATTCTTGTGCTTGATGTCGGTCAGGTGTGCCTTCTCGCTTATTGATATTCTTGGATATTTCTGTGTCTTTTTTTTTTGCTTTCTGCAAATTTTCCAAATTTAGTAGACATCTTGTAGCTATGATATCCATAAGGCAAGATTGACTCTTTTCCAGGAATGGCTTGGTAAATTCTTGCTTAATATATGAAGACTTTTTCTATGCTATGATTAAGTGTTCTTTTTTTCAATTGGGAAAATAGAAGATACTCATTAGTGGTGACTAGCTAACTTCTGATGCTGCTCTTTCAGGTTCTAGAGCACAATACTCTAGAGGAACTGCTAGCTAATGAAGAAAGCACATTCTCTAAAATGGTTCAAAGCACACAGCCTGCTAATGCAGATAGATAACTTCTGATGCTGCTCTTTCAGGTTCTAGAGCACAATACTCTAGAGGAACTGCTAGCTAATGAAGAAAGCACATTCTCTGAAATGGTTCAAAGCACACGGCCCGCTAATGCAGAATAGTACGTAGCTTAGTTTTTGGAGGTGAGGAGAATAGGTTGAGTATAGAACATGCCACGGGGTTCGATGGTCAGATGAGATGGCAGGCATCATCCCGCTGGGCTGCTGCTGCACAGTTTGCCCTAGCTGTTAGCCTCACTTCTTCACAGAATGACCTTCTAAGGTTTGATATTGGAGAAGATATGAGCAATATCGTCCAGAAAACTGAAGATGCGGTCACAACACAGCAGGGTGTTTTGGAGGGAAAGCATGATGAAGTTATAGATGATATGCTTCACCAGCACCAAGTTCGCAGAGATGGATGGTGGTCAGCTTTTTACAGAATAATTGAAGGTACGCATGTAGTAATTTCTTATACACGTAAACTCCTAACAAAATCACAAATCAGACAAGTTAGCATAAGCTTGTGTATCTTGGTGGTGCATACCTTCTTTTTATGTTGTCAGTGATATTTAGTTTACTTGATTATTGGATGACAGACGGGATTAAAAAGGCACATGATTATTGGATAACTTAATTTCTCAGCATTACAGAAATTAGTAGTGGTAGCCAAAATCTCTGACAATTGATAGATAGCCCACATCTTTTGAATCCAGGAGAACAGTAGAATATACTGCTCCTTTTCAAAATGGATGTTCCTAGTGATTTAAATGTTCTTTTCACTGTTGTTCTAGCAAATACTATATTTTGAAAAGGAATAGTATGACTCCCCTACGGTCTCCTGTGGAAGAATGGCTCCCTCAACTACAAAAATGTGAAACAATAATATCGTTCACCAGTACGCAAAACACTACCCAGACAATAGTAATCATAGCATGGGTCCAATCCTAATGCGTACTGGAATAAAGTTTTGTTTTATTCATGGTCAATGATTGATTGATTCTCTGTTTCAGGTCTTGCTGCAATGAGCAGGTTAGCTCAACATAACAGGCTCAACAATCAGAGTTCTACTCCGAAGCCAGATCCATAGATTGGGATGATATTGAAATATAAGCAGATAACTAGAGGTAAATATTTTAATAAAAGATTGGAGCGGACAGCTGCATCTTGATGAGCCCGATAGTAAAATGTCAATTTTATAATGTCTGATATTCCAAATGGGGAGGAAAGGAACTCAATTGCCGTGCCACGTAATTTTAAACGAGCATGTGGCTCCTTGATTGATTTGGTGTTGTGACTCAATTATGTGATTCTAAATAAGTTTATTGGAATTCGAAACAAAGCCTGCAGCCCTGCACCTGAATGAACCATGACAATTCATTTTTGGTGGTGGGACTTTGGATTTTCCTCTCACGAAATACATGATTATTTGTTGGGGGCTGTATGGCTGTGTTGTACGATGAACAACAATGAATCAAATGGCATCAAACATCGAATTAATGGCTTGATGAGGAAAGTACCCCATATTAGCCGCTTCATTGTAGCATTCAACTGTTATCCGCATTAGAAGTCGACTGATCAACCATCAAAAAACTTGAAATAGGATTCTTTTGTCGTGCTCCGCCAAGATCATCATCGCTAGCAGTGATGGATGAAAGTGACAATTCCCTGCACATGGTTTTGTTTCCTTATCGTTAATTTCTACCCTCATTCCTCAAACATGTACGATGTCAACTGTCAAATCAAATATATTTTAACACTTAACAGAAAGAAGAGGAGCATTTCCACAGAAAGTGATAATCAACAGAACCAGTCTTATGATAATTCAGTGAAGTAGAAAAACAACATTATATCGGAATTTTTCATGACACTTTTTGGTCAAATTTCCATTTAATGTTTTGCAGTGTGAAATTATACAAGCTAATATAATCAAAACTTCACTGATTAAAAACATTTATCTTTCTCTAAAGTTGCAAAACATCTATGCCTTCTCAATTTATGTTGAAGTGGTATGAAATTAATCCTTTGTTGACATTGGAGGTGCTAGTTTCTTTCTTAATGAGAATGTACATTGAATTTGATTGGTTGAACCTTGATCCAGGCCCTTGGGGTGTTATGTGAAGCTCAATATTTTCAGAATGTCATGCGTGTTGGATTTCGGCTGAGATCTACTTTGGTAAACTTGTCTTTATCTCGGAAACAATTTATTTCATTCAGTTTTGCTTGTCTTTTGGATTACGAAGAGGCTTATTTATTTCTTTTCCTTTTATTTTCTTCATGTGTGGGAGATGTTGTTGAAGGGATGGTTGAGAGTGCCTTTGTCTCATTGATAATGACCTTACATCCTCAGTACTTTTAAATCTTTCATTTTAGCTTTCTACATTTGGAATTTGTCTTTTCTGGAAGAATTGTTTGGCGAGTCTAGCTTAGCTAATTTATTATTTGGCTGCTGAAATTATCTGCTTCTTGTTCGCATTTACATTGGTCATCCTGTTGCCAGAATTTTGCTTTTCGTTCTGCCATCAAAGAATTTAGCCCGGCCTTGAGAGGCCCCATCTTGGTTTTAAGCCAATGACTATTGCATTATGTTTCATAATTCTGAACTGCATGTTACATTGGTGTAATTGTAGGTTATGTGTAGCTCTTGCTTTTTATCACTGCATATTACTGCAATGTCTCCCTGTCTGGAACAATAGGTCAGATATTCCTTCATATGGCTTTCCATAACTGGATATTTTCGTAGAAAATTTTCCAAAGTTTCCAGCGAGGATGTTAACCTTGAATCTTTATTAGATAATAATGTTAACCATGAATCTTTGTTAGATAATCATACATTTTGTAACTTTTTTTTGCGTACAAAGTTTGCACCCCATAACTTTGACATACATGATTTTTTTTTTTTTAAATAAGAAAAATATTATTATCATTTTATTCTATCCTGTGAGTTTTGGCAATGGGAATAATATGGAGCCAATTTCCTTCTTATATTTGTGAATGCCGAATTTTAATTTATTGAAACTGCTTCTGAAAAAAAAAAAAAAAAAAAACAGTGTTTGAATTATTGGAGGATGAAAAAGAGTTGGAAAGTTAAATGGGATTAAAAAAAAAATTTGGCCATTTGGGCTCAAGCGAGGAGAAATCTCTTTAAGAAAATAAAGATAATGATTATTTTTTATTCTTTAGGATAAAAAGTTATGGGCCGGATTAATTAGTATTTGTTAATGGCCCATTTAACCCAATTAAAGTTCAATTTTTTTATGCGTTCAATATGACCGTTAGTTCCTTCCCCTTTTAAAGGCGGTGATGCGTGGCACTAGAAAAAAATTACCGGGCAAGTAACCGCCATCTATTTATAAATAGTTTTTACAGACCAAAGAAAAAATATTGGTTGCTCAGTTCTTTACTTTTACTTTTAATTTAGGTTTTGTAAAAGCGCTAGGGTTAGGGATTGAAGAGAGAGGAAAAAGAGGTAAACAAAGACGAGAAAGACGAGGCAAAGGAAACTGTGAAATTTTCTGTCTTTCTTAATTAGTAATCGTCTCTATTGATCTTCCATTTTACTTTTGTAGTGTTTTACAATTATCTTTTAAACGGAAACTTTCTTTTACAATTTCCAATTTTTATTTTCGGTAAAGAAATATCTTAAGAAAGAGTCGTGAACACAATCTATGTTTTATTGGAGTATTATTTTTTAACTGTCATTGTCGTTTCGCTAATAATAGTACAAGTGTGTCAGCGTAAGCCGTGACGCTTGCTGGCCTATATATATATATATATATATATATTTGTCTTGTCTCATCCACAACTTTTTTTTTATCCTTCTTTTTCTAATGATGCAAGGGTGTCTTACTTATTCTTTGACTTGTTTTCAGACCATATATATACGTAAGTAACCATGCATCCGAAGTACAGCAAGCTAGTCCTCTCCATCAGAATCTATCTTGGGTTCCTTGAATTTCTTCTCATAGTTTTACTACTTAAAGACTTTCAACTACGACGCTACCGTCCTGTCCCTGTCCTACAGGTATCAATCTTATTTCCTTTCGTTATTGTTCTGTTAGGTTGCAGGGAGATGAAACTTGAAAGACAAGTATGAGCTTTTGGATTTCATATTGCTTAGAAGTGGAACAGTTTAATGGTTTACGGTTCCACTGAGACTTTTGCTTCGTATACTCTTTTTTTTGTTGAAACTTGAATCTTTAATCTCATTTTCGTTTTATGGTTTACACTTTACGAAGGTTCTGTAATATCAGAGATCAAAATGGTTTGTGTTCCTTTATTCCTGGAATTGGTTTTAGTTGCAAATTAACCTTTTTTTTATTTTGTATATTCGAATCTTGGTTATAAATTTAACTTTTGTCTGTATTATTTGTGTTGAGATGTCTACAATTATCATTTGCTACAATTTTGTTTAATGTTGAAGCATGAGTGCGGGTTGTTCTCAATGCAGATAGGACATTGTGTTGAAGAGTAAAGATTGTGCTATAAAATTTCCTTTTACATTTCTCTCTTCTGAAGGAGAAGATAAGTTCAGTAAATATCTAATCAATTTTATGTCTTTAAGGGTGGTGGCTAGTGATGGCGTTTGAACCGTTGGTTTGGTATTGTCAGCCAGTGGAAAATGCGGCTTGGACAAAAGTGGTTGCCGGTGCTTTTGGTGCATACACACCTTGTGCTATCGACTCTGTGGTGATTTCCATTTCTCACTTGGTTCTTTTGGGCCTGTGTTGTTATCGTATATGGTTGATTAAGAAGAGCTCCAAAGTCCAGAGGTTTTCTTTGAGGTCAAAATGCTATAGTTATATGCTTGGTTTGTTGGCTGGTTATTCTACCATCGAGCCATTACTAAAGTTGTTGATGGGTATTTCGATCTTTAATTTGAATGGAGAAACTGGTCTTGCTCCCTATGAGGTAACTTTCTGTTACAACTAGTAGTTGACACCCTTCTTATTCATTGCCTCAGGAAAATTTTATAGGTACTGGTTTAAAATGAGGTTCTGCATTTTAAGTTAAAATATTGTAGGACTATTATGGCTATAAAAACAGACCATTGTTTGTTAGGCTGGAATTTATTTGCTGTTGTTTCCATCACATTTTACTTCCTTTTGTTGGTTCCTAATGGTTGATGGTTAAATTTTACCATAAGTTCTGGCAATTTCATTTTAGTTATCAGCTTTGCTTGAACAAAACAACTTGCTTAAACTCGTATAATGCTTTATACATTTACTCTCTTTGCAGGCAACTTCTTTGATCATCTGAGGCACAGCTTGGTTGCTCCTGTGCTTATTATGATAGGACTAGAAACAAAAAGTTACATCAGGGAGTTTCGGTGGTATGTGCGTTTTGGAGTTGTTTATGTTCTGGTCGGGGATGCTGTGCTTCTCAATCTCATTCTACCAGTGAAGGATTTGTACAGTAGGTTAGATTCCTCCCATTCCTCAATTTAGTTCATTTACCATAAGCCTCTTAAAAAAAAAAAAATTCCATAAGCATTAAAAAAAAATTCTTTTTTTTTTGGGGGGGGGGGGGGTTGGGGGGGATTTAGTGCTGTAACAACAACAACAACAATGACAAACTAAGCCTTATATCCCATAACTCTGGGGTCGGCTATATGAGAGACCAAAGAAGAATCATGTTAGGTTCTAGTTTCGAATATTCTTGCGCCACTCATTTCCATCCACAACAACCTTTCCCTCTACTTCTTTGACCTTCATGTCATTTTTTATTACTTTTATATATGATTTGTGATCCTTTCCTCATATACATGTTCTTTTATAAACCTTGCCTCATCCCATGAATATTATTGGATCATTTAGTAAATGTTTGTTTATAAATCTCTAAGCCAAAATATCTTACAGATTTTGTAAGAGTAATATATTAGGGTGAAGCTTATTTGTCCTTTTTTTTTTCTTTCTCACATTCCAGTATTTGTAGAAGAGCCCACCATCAGCAGTAATGACTCTTTTAACTACTGAAATTATTTACTAAATAAATTTGACCAATGAAAACTATTTTGGATTAAATAGAACCTTTCATAATTTTGTTGCAGATGTGGACTCATATCCTTCAAAGGAAAAGACTTTTCTCCAGCTTTTTCATTCTTATTTGTTTTGCCCCGAGTTGATAGAATCTAGTCCATTTACATCTGTCAACAGGACAGTCACGCTGACAAGTTTATTTTATTTGCTCATGCAGCTATGCATTGTATTTGAGCATCAGCATGGTTTTCTGTCAGGTTTGTTTTGTATATTTGCCTTTTATCATACTCATTTTTCCTATATCTCTATAAAAGTAGTCTTTACCTGCTTTTATATTTTCCTTGGTACCATATTGGCTGCCCTAATTTTATTTAGCCACTTGAAATCTGGCTAAAAGTGTGTCATTAGCAAATTGTCTTGTACAAAAAAATTAACGAAAGTTATAAGGAGACATAGCTCTCTCTCCTTTTCACAATCTTCTTTTCCCCATTCCTTCTAGAAATATTAACATCACCTTTTTTTCCAAATATTCATCTCATTGGCCACTTACATGTCTACTTTTAGTTGGCATGACTTAACATCATTTTAGGTTTACATGACTTAGCATCATTTTAGCCCTCCTCCCTTTTTTGGGTTTAAAACTTAAAAGTTAGCATTCTTTTCACTTTCATAGATTGACAAAAATATGCTAGGTCTTGAAACCAAAGTGGACAAAAAATTTAAGCCTGTCTTTAATAGCATGACTAGTTTTTTTATCTAGAATGCTGCCAGACCATTGAGGCCATTATAATTTCTTGGGATTTGAAGTAACTAAGTTCAAGCTTCTGGTCAAATGTTAATACTTGCTAGGGCAGTCTAAAATTAAATCCTTTGGGACAGAAAAACCTGGACAGTTCTTTGACTTAGATTGTTAATGCTTTTGTCTTCAAGTCATTTTAAGTCAGTTTCATTTATTTGTGCTTATTGTCTGTTGTAGGTTTTATTTGGGATTCTTCTAGTTGTTTATTTTCCTAACCTCCATCTGTCTCCTGGGTATGTTTTGATACAAAATGAGTCTCTTGATAGTGAAGAATATGAACCACTTCCTGAAGGAGACCAAATATGTCCTTAAAGGCGTGCCAGCATTATTTCAAGTAAGTACTCTGATTGATTATGACACCACTAGTTTGAGAAGTTCAAATGGTTGCAGGTTTGCTAGATAGTTTTAGAAAAGCAGCTTTTTGATGGAACTGTAACAAGGTAATTATTTGGATAAACTGAATAAGGACCGATGTTATAGCAATATATGCAAGTCTTGGTATTGGGATGTTTAAATTTTGAAAAGAATAAATGTCTGTACATGAGTTCGAAAAGTTCAAATGGCTGCAGGTTTGCTAGTTATTTGTAGAAAAATACCTTTTTGATCGAACTATAACTAGGTAATGACTTGGCTAGTTTGTGAATAAGCAACTGGTGTTATGGTAATATGTGCAAGTCTCGGATGTTCTACATTGTGAAAAGAATATATATCCTTGGTCAATGTTGGTCGGACTCAAGAGGAAATGTCAGACATTGGTATGTGTTCAACATAGGTATATTCAATTTTTTTTTATAGATTTTCCCTAATATTTGGAGGGTTGAGGGCACAAGGCCACTTACCCTTGTCCACTTTGAAGTGTCTGAATACATGTTTAACGTGGATGCTTGAGGAAAATTAAAGTCAGAGCAACATAGTCCCTTTTTTTTTTTTTTTTTTCACTTTTGGGTTTTTTCACATATGTGCTTTAATCCTGCCCACCCTCCACCCATTTTTCCCTGAAAAGGGCCTTTTAGTAAGATATGGTCAGTGGGGATGCACTAGGAAACACAGTTTGGACTGTTCTACTGAGTTTAAAACCTTTTCTATTATTTGACAAAGATCAGTTTTGGGCTAATTGTTGGTAAATGATGCTTCACTATGAACTGAGCTTCTAATTAAAAGTTTGTTGCTTTATGCTGTGACAGAAATTTTTTTCGAATGGATTACTCCACTCATGCGGCAAGGTTATAGAAGACCTCTCACTGAAAGGGATGTTTGGAAGCTAGATACATGGGATCAGTCTGAAACATTGATTCAGAAGTTAGTGTTCTGTTGCTTCCCTTGCATTTGCTTTCACAAGATAATGCATCGTCAGTGAACGAGAGCAATTTCTACCTTTGCAGGTTCCATAGATGTTGGGTCAAAGAAACTCAAAGATCTAAGCCATGGCTATTGAGAGCTTTGAATAGTAGCCTGGGAGGAAGGTTAGTTAGCTATGTGGTTCCATTTTTTTTCCTTCCTTTATAATTAGTTGTAATATGCATCCTGAAGAATTTCTCTGCCAAGTGTAGATGTCATCTTGTCCTAATTATCTTAACTCTCTTTTTTTTATAAATGAGTCATGCAGGTTTTGGTTGGGAGGTATTTTCAAGGTAACGTGCATGCCACTCGTATTTCTCACATGGAAGTTAATTTGATTTTAAATTATTATGTTCTTTGAGTTAAGAGAACAAGGCATCTTTAGGTAATCCATGTTTTGTGTTTGGTGAGCTTAAAATTGTTTGTAATTGGAAAATATTTTATGCATGGTAGGTGTTTTTCTTCATTATCTACTGTATCTACCGTCTTGAAGAATTTTGCATGCTTTATTAGATGTTGAGTTGTAGTTTAGATATTCAGTGGCTACTATCTGAAACTGTAATACTTTACTTATGCAATCCTCTTACTCTTGATGAGCATATGTCTTGCTTATACTAATCTTGAGCTGTAATGCACATCATCTCATTTTCCCAATAACTTTTTGATTGAACTTTTTGGTTCTTGTGCTTAAATACAAAGTTATTATATCTAATCCTGTGATAAATCTTGGCCATTTCTTGACAGTCACACTTTCTACAGATGAATTTCAAGTTTTACTGCTAGAAAATCATGTTAAGATTTAACATTTCAATAAGATCTGACTGTAAAGAAGTTGAAACAAACTTTTTTATGCTTGCTTATAGCTTCCTATTTGAACATCACAGATTGCAAGTGACCTTTGTCAGTTTGCGGGTCCTATGTTGCTAAACCATCTCTTAGAGGTTGGTCTTTTATATTTTTCCGCTGGTGAAGGCCTAATTTAACAAATAACTTCTTGTTTCTCTTTGTTTATTCTGCTATAGAAGAGAAATAGTCACTTTTATATTTCATTTTGATAATTTTTTCTACAGAGTTGATAACCTTCTAGTTCTACTGATTATGTACATCTTTAAAGAAGTTATAAAATTTAAAATAGTAACAAATTAAGCAATGATTTCCACTAGCCAAAGAAAATTTCTATTATAGACAATTTTTTAGTTGTCCCATTTTAGTCTTGGTCCTACTTTGTATATTCTATGCATTGTGTTAAATTTGTAATTCTCTTGTTATCATCTGCAGTCAATGCAACGAGGTGACCCAGCCTGGGTTGGTTATATCTACGCCTTCTTAATGTTTCTTGGAGTGGTATGACCCCTTTTCTGTGTTTCCTTATCAGGAGTTCTTTTTTAAGATAAACCCAGAACCTCCCAATTTAAAATTTCTTTTGGAAAAATTATTTTATAGTATATGCTATGGTTTATTGCAACAAAACCTGAATCTTGTGGGTGTGTTTTTCCCACTGAATGATCATAGAGTTTTATTCATGTTTTTTCTCTCATTTCTTCAGTAATGTGAATAGTAGTTTTGATATCATTGTCTTTGTCCATATGTTTTTTGTGAACTATCTGTTCTGCACTCCAAACAATGCTATTTCATGGCCTAAAGTTAAGTATTTTGCAAGTAAAGCAGGTGGTTTGCTCTTTTTTCCAAAGATAAAGGCTTCTGCTTATATAAGCTCTTCCTGTAATTGATATGAAATTAAGTTCAAAGAAGTGATACCTTGGAAAGCTGCTGCGGTTCTGACATTGTTACTTATTTCAACTCATTTCAGTTATGTGTTGTACTACTTGAGGCTCAGTATATGCAGAATGTTTTTCGTGTTGGTTTTCGTCTACGGTCTACTCTGGTAATATATTTCCTTCCTCCTAAAATAGACACAAACAAGCACATGGATCTGTTTTTGAGTGTGTTGAACTTGGCCCTCTTTTCCTTTCAAGTAGAGCACAGTTGCTTTAGTTGAAGCAGGTTTTGGTTTTTGAGTTATCCATTTCAATTTGGTGGCTTAATCGTATTTTACTGTTTCTATCCTAGGTGGCAGCTATATTTCACAAATCTCTAAGGCTGACTCATGAGGCTCGCAAGAATTTTCCATCTGGAAAGATAACGAATATGATTACAACAGATGCTAATGCACTTCAGGTATGGTTCTTGTCTGATTGTTTTGTAATTGCAAGTATTAATTGATCCCAGAAGTGTATATTATGCATTTAGAATCGGAGTCCATAAAGACAAAAGGCAGTATATCTAAGGAAATTCTTAGTATATATCCTGTTATATTTCAAATTTTGCCATATGTCAGTACTTTAAGAAAGATGAATAATCCTTTGACAATTATCAAGAAGAATACAAATAATAATCAATACTGACGGTACATTATTACCATTTAAAAGTAGCATAGAATTTGGAGCTTTGTTCAGTTGGTTCATGCAGCCACCCTTTAAAAGGTGGCATCCAGCAGGTCCGGGGTTCAAATCCTAGTACCTGCAACCCATTCCCCCTATTCCTAGGCTGTGGCCTTCTTTGTACAAAAAAAGTACTATTCCTTTATACCCTAAACATGGGATATATTGGCCATTTTGGCTACAAAAATAGATATTTAAGTGTGGATTTCTGATGTTTAAACTACATAATTTTTTTTCTTAATTTTTTTTTAAAAGGAATTTAATAGTCTTAAAACTGATATGCATGTTAATATCTGGTAGCTTCTCCTATTATGACTTGTTTTGTCCGATCCTTGGTTCATAACTTGTTGACTTAACAAGAGGAGCATAACATGGGGAACTTCTATACTGTTACAGATTCTTGAATAATATGCATAACTTGCAATTTGCAATTAATGTGTTTTTTCAATTGGAGGTGATAAGACCAGAACTTGTATTCTGCATTGATCTTTTCTCTATTTTGTTGTTTATTCTTGTGTATAGGTTAGAGAGTTAATTTCAACTATCATTGATTCTACTTTACTTTGTTCAGCAAATATGCCAACAACTTCATGTATTGTGGTCAGCTCCATTTCGTATCATTATTTCTATGGTTCTTCTTTATCAGCAACTCAGTATTGCTTCACTTTTTGGATCACTAATTCTAGTTCTTGTGGTCCCACTGCAGGTAAAAATTTTTATACCCCTCTTTTTTTTTTTATTTGTTTTCTACTAGTTCACTTTTATAAGATCTTAGATTTCATTTTGTTAGCAAAGGGAGAATTATGCTTGATGAGTTGATACCAGCCATTGTAATGATTATCTGCCAATCTACCATATGTAAGTTTGTATTTTAACTCCCTTTCTCTGGAGTTAACTGAGAACTAATCTCCATAATTCGTTCAGAGAGAAAGAAGGAAATCTAAAAGAGCACGAGGAGTGACATAGGTAGAAAATATTAGTAATTGAATTAAATCTTGTCTCTCAGAGAAGTCTGCAGTCAAGGAAAGCAACTGTGATGATTTAATGTTGTGAAATGATTTTCCATGTGGATGGTCTTCTGATATCTACTGTCTTCTATTTTTTCTTGCTATCCAAGATGAAATTATTTAAACTGTCTTTCTGATTATTGATCATGTCTTAAGATAATCTTTCTTTACGTGGGCACAGACCATTTTGATTAGCAAAATGCGAAAAATGACTAAGGAAGGACTACAGTGGACTGACAGAAGAGTCAGCCTTATGAATGAAATTTTAGCTGCTATGGACACTGTGAAGTATGATTGAATTCAGAAAGCACTTCCCTTGGATTTCAATGTATTTTCTTGCCATCTCATAGTGCTTATTGGCTCTATGCTTGAAAATTTTTCAGATTTTATGCATGGGAGAAAAGCTTTCAGACAAGAGTTCACAGTATACGAAATGATGAGCTGTCATGGCTTCGGAGAGCTCAATTACTATCCGCTGTATGATATTGGAAATTCAAGTCCTGCTTCTTTTCTTTCTTTTTGTGTGTGTTATGTGAAATGCAAAAACATAATATGACATTGCTAGTTGCCATGTGAAATTGTGCTTTCTTCAATGGAAGTGCTTGCTTTTGCGCTGGAAGATGTAATTATGGTGGTCATCAACCTTAATCTTTAACATGGTTATGCTTTCACAATTTGATGCAAGGGAAAATGTGATTATGGTTGCCAGCATCCATAGTATTGGGTTCTCCATTTTAATCCAGTTTATGGGAAAGATAGGTTAGATTGTTGCTCCCTTGATTGTGATCTATGACAAGTTGCAACACAAATCCATGTTCTGACACTACATTGTAGAGTATGTTGGTTAGTTATGCAAGTTGCGTTCAATGGCAAATGCTCATTTATCTATCTGGCTGATTTTAAATTATGCTTGTAGCACCTGCTGTTCATGCTGCTATCCTTCAAGCTGCATAAAGTATTAATGTGTTTTTAGTACACATTGACTTTATTTATTTTTTTAACAAATTGTCTTTCATGCAGTTTAACAGTTTCATGCTAAACAGCATACCAGTTGTTGTGACGGTAGTTTCATTTGGGACGTTCACTTTGCTTGGTGGGGATTTAACACCTGCAAGGGCATTCACATCACTTTCGCTGTTTGCATTGCTACGATTACCTCTGAACACACTTCCTAATTTGCTAAGCCAGGTTTACATACTTCCTCTAAACACACTTTCGCTCTTTTGGCATATTGGCTAGCCAAGAAAGCTGTTTAGTCATTTAACACCTGCAAGGGCATTCACATCACTTTCACTGTTTGCATTGCTACGATTACCTCTGAACACACTTCCTCATTTGCTAAGTCAGGTTTACACACTTCCTCTGAACACACTTTCGCTCTTTTGGTTATTGGCTAGTCAAGAAAGCTGTTTAGTCACTCAATAACTTAACAGCTATGCATTGAAATTTAAGGATTTATGTTAATGAAAGGAAAATAACCTTAAAGAATTTAAGAACCTATTTAATTTTTGTTGATAATTATTTGTATTGTAATGTAGCCTGTACATTTTTCAAGGTTCACTTGTCATTAAGTTTCAGTTGTTTAGCACTATTGGTCAAAGAATAACATAGCTTCTATTGTCTTCTTGACAGTCCATTGCTTGGTTTTTCAGGTTGTAAATGCAAATGTATCATTACAACGTCTTGAAGAGCTTTTCTTAGCTGAAGAGAGAGCTCTAGCACCAAATCCACCTCTTCAGCCGGGCCTTCCAGCCATCTCAATCAAGGATGGAAACTTTTCATGGGATTCAAAGGTCATTCTAATTCTTGTTTCTATACTTCTCAAATTATGAGTCAATCGCTTTGCTAAAATGGAACCTTTGCATTTAATATTGCTTGTGAAGGGTTTACTAATGATCAGATAATACATTTAGTTTGCATCATGCTCTGTAAGAGAATGGAAAGACAGAAAGCAAGTTGTTAGAAATTGATTTCTGCCTCAAATTATCCGGCTGAAGTATTATAGCTTTGATGTTACATAGGATATGATGCTTTAGCAACAGCAACAATGGAAGGAATTAAAGCAACATCAACAATGGAACTAACATTAAAAACACTGCAAGTATCCTTCACAAACACGTTGCTTTGTGCCCATATGAATTAATTTATACTTAAAAAAGTTTATGGAGAATAAGTTGATGTGCTATTTTCGAGGGCTTTCTACCATATTAGGTCTTTAAAAGAAAATAACCTTTAATGATGGATACTGCTTAAAGGCTGTCATGGTGTGGAGCACCCAACTTGTCCATCTTTATTACAAACTATTTACTTGATAAATATCAACCACAAATGCAGCATATTTACATACACGTGATCTTTGGATGTTGCTTAGAATGAAGTTGACTACTATACTTGGCAGTCTAGTTTCCAATGGATGCACTATTCCCAGCATTATAAAGAGGAAGTTCTCGTGTACTTATAATCATCAACATTGTTGATATTGCAGTGTGCCGCTTTCCTAGATGATGACAACTTTGACATTTTCTTTTCCAGGCAGAGAAGCTCACTTTATCAAATGTCAATCTAGAGGCGCCAGTCGGCTGCTTGGTTGCGATTGTTGGTGGAACTGGAGAAGGAAAAACATCACTTATATCAGCAATGCTAGGGGAGCTACCTGCAGATGCAAATTCAAGTGTTGTTATAAGAGGGACTGTTGCTTATGTTCCCCAAGTTTCATGGATTTTTAATGCTACTGTAAGTTGCAAATTGCTTATGTTCTTCATTGATATTTTCTTTAATTTCAAAATTTTATCACTTCCAGTATTCTTTGGAAATGGAAGTTTTCTTTCTACTACCACACATGTTTCTGACCTTCAAACTTTATTTTCGCAGGTTCGTAACAACATACTGTTTGGATGTAGCTTTCAACCAGAACGATATTGGAAGACCATTGACGTGACAGCCCTTCGGCATGATCTCGACATTCTTCCTGTTAAGCGGATTTGATATTTCTACTTGTAATTTCTTTTGCTTATTGTGAAATGTCTCCATAAGTAATTAACTATATTGCATTGCCCTTCAGGATCATGATCTCACTGAGATTGGTGAGAGAGGAGTGAATATAAGTGGTGGGCAGAAGCAGAGAGTTTCCATGGCTAGAGCTGTCTACTCCAATTCGGATGTTTACATATTTGATGACCCTTTAAGTGCCCTCGATGCGCATGTTGCACAACAGGTAATCTGTTTACTCTGATCAACATGTGCAATTCCATCACGTTCTATGCTGATCATAGTTCATTTCACAGTATGTAGAACACAAAATAGGTTCCATCAAACTGACATGAACTTAGTACTTGTATAAGAATTGAGAGAATTAGTTTTGAGGCTAAATTTTAAGGGTTAATTGAGGTCAAAAGGATGGGAAATTGTCAGAGCAGTTAAAGCTTGTAGTAGATTTGGTATGGGTTTAAAATTGAGGTGCTGAATAGTTATGTAGAAGAAGAAATAGGTTCCATCAAACTTACATGAACTTAGTACTTTTATAAGAATTGAGAGAATTAGTTTTGAGTCTAAATTTTATGGGTTAAAGGATGCGAAGTTGTAAGAGCAGTTAAAGTTTGTATTAGATTTGGTATAGGTTTAAAATTGAGGTGAAGAAATCAGTCTTAAGGTGTAGATTTAGAGCAACAGTGCTGAATAGTTATATAGAACTGGAAATAGGTTCCATCAAACTGACATGAACTTAGTAATTGTATAAGAATTCAGAGAATTAGTTTTGAGTCTAAATTTTAATGGTTAATTGTGGTCAAAAGGATGAAATTGGGATGAAGAAATCAGTCCTAAGGTGAAGAATTAGAGCAACAGTGCTGAATAGCTCTATGATGATATTTCTTTTTCATAAGGTAAAGTTCACCGAATGTATGTAGACCCCTAACACTCCAATAAGAAATTACTGTACTAGTACATTTTGTCCAGCAAGGAGGAGGCTCCGATAAAAACTTGCTTTAAAATAGCTCCAGGACCATAATTAAACATAATAACATCAAACCAGTAGGAAAAAAAAAAGACAATAATCACAAATATTCTTGGAACCTAATCTTGACTTCCCTCCACAACTTTGCCATCTGCATCATGACTAGTGTCCTTCAAGGATGGTGTTTTTTTTCCCCTTTCCTCAGCTTGTCTGAAGTTTCTTGGGAAATTAAAGGAACTATCTCTTATTTCTTAAGAGTAGGATTTTTCAGTTTCTATCTGTATCTATTTTCAACTTTTTGGGAATAATCATTCAACTTTTTTCAATCCCCAAAAAGAGTGCTTGTGATAATGCCATATTGGCCTAATCTGAAGTCATTTGCAGGTTTTCAACAGATGCATCAAGGAAGAGTTGCAAGGAAAAACCAGAATACTTGTCACAAACCAGCTACATTTTCTTCCACATGTAGATCGCATCCTCCTTGTCTCTGATGGCGTGATTAAAGAAGAGGGTACCTTTGAGGAGATCTCAAAAAATGGAAGGCTATTTCAGAAACTGATGGAAAATGCCGGCAAAATGGAAAAACAAGGAGCAGAAAAGGAAGATGGAAAAGACTTTGACCTGGAAGACTTTAAACCAACATCAAATGAGATGGTTAACAGAAATGAGCTGCTAAAAAATGCAAAGCCTGGAAAAAAGGGGAAAGGTAGGAAGGCTGCACTTGTAAAGCAAGAAGAAAGGGAAACAGGTGTGGTCGGTTGGAATGTTTTGATGAGGTAATACGGCATCATAAACACAACTAAATTTATCGAATTCAGGCTTTTCAATAACTTTGATTTTAGTTATTTTTTCTTTTTTCCAAGACAAACTCAATTGGGAAAACTATATTCTCCTAGGTCAGCTTCTTTTGGTTAATGATGTCTGTCTCTCTGTAGCACTTCAGCATCAAACAATAATTTCAGTGAAGACTTAAAAAGTTGGAGCTCCTATCTGTCAAGTTAAACTGTTGGGTAAAATGGTCACTCAAAAAATAGTAAAGGAGTATATTTGAATTCACATGTAAATCCCATTTCTATTTGCAGGTATAAGGATGCTGTGGGAGGCCTATGGGTGGTTATGATACTCTTAACCTTCTACTTTTCAACTGAAGTTCTTAGAATTTTAAGCAGCACTTGGTTACGCTTTTGGACGGATCAAAGTACTTCAAGGAGTTATAAGCCTGGGTACTACATTGTCATTTATACTCTTCTAGGATTTAGTCAGGTACGTGTCTTTGTCTGCAGTTGATAGATGGTTTGCTTTGGTATTCATTAACACTTGTTGTAATGAAAGATTATGATGATGGCTTACTTTTCAATACGATTATTCAGCAGGATATATCTTTTATATACTCAAAAAATGCACTGAAAGCAGGGTTAGGCATTTTACCAATGTGTGTGTCTTTGCCTGCCCCAACGGAAAATTTAACTTTCAAAGCACTACCAACTCTTATCTGCTATTTTAGTACTTATTATAATGAGTTATTTACCATTTTAATGAATTCAGGTAACTGTGACGCTGACAAACTCTTTTTGGTTGATCACTTCAAGTCTTCGAGCAGCCAGAAGATTGCATGATATGATGCTAAATTCCATCCTAAGAGCTCCAATGTTGTTTTTCCAGACCAATCCAACCGGGCGTGTAATCAATAGGTTTTCAAGAGATATAGGTGATATCGATCGTAATGTTGCCAATTTTATGAATATGTTTATGAACCAGGTGTGGCAGCTTCTCTCAACATTTGTTCTGATAGGCATTGTGAGCATATTTTCCTTGTGGGCCTTAATGCCACTTCTTGTCTTGTTTTATGCAGCCTATTTATATTATCAGGTATGTCCCATAATTGTTAGTTCCTCACCTGTTTTAAGTCTTGGGTTTTCATGTTTCCTTAGTTCTGAGACTAATACTCACTGAAAGGGACTTGTACACCACATTGAATTTAATGAAAAAGAATCATTACTGTTAATTTTTGGATGATTTTGAAACTTCTTGCCAGCATTATAGAACGCACTCACTTTGTGGATTATTTATTTCCCAAATTGTCTAATTTAAGCAAGTATTCTACCTTAGTTGCATGCACATCTAAATATTCTCTGGTGATTATTATCTTTCATTTAATGCATCTTTGCTCTACACAAGTCTCAATGATCATATTCTGTGGCAGAGCACATCTCGTGAAGTGAAACGCTTGGATTCGATTACCAGATCACCTATTTATGCACAATTTGGAGAAGCATTAAATGGTTTGTCATCCATTCGTGCATACAAAGCTTATGATAGGGTTGCCAATGTTAATGGGAAGTCCATGGATAATAATATTCGATTCACCCTTGCAAATACTAGTTCAAATCGTTGGCTCGCAATAAGATTAGAAACATTAGGAGGCCTTATGATTTGGTTGACAGCAACCTTCGCGGTTCTGCAGAATGGAAGAGCAGAAGACCAGGCAGCTTTTGCATCCACAATGGGTCTACTTCTAAGTTATACTTTAAATATCACTAGTTTATTGAGTGGTGTTCTAAGACAAGCAAGCCGAGCTGAGAATAGCTTAAATGCTGTGGAACGTGTGGGCACATATATCAATTTACCTTCAGAGGCTCCAGATGTAATTGAGAGCCACCGTCCTCCACCTGGTTGGCCTTCATCTGGGTCAATTCAGTTTGAGGATGTTGTTGTACGTTATAGGCCTGAACTTCCGCCAGTCTTGTGTGGATTGTCCTTTACTACTTCTCCAAGTGAAAAGCTAGGGATAGTTGGAAGAACTGGTGCAGGGAAATCCAGCATGCTGAATGCATTATTTCGGATTGTAGAATTGGAAAAAGGAAGAATCTTGATTGATGGTTGCGATCTTGCTAGATTTGGACTGACAGATTTGCGAAAGGTTCTTTGTATCATACCACAATCACCAGTTCTTTTTTCAGGTACCCACTTTAACTTTCGAGTATACTTGGTCAAGTGCATAGTTTAGTCTTTTGGATACTCGTTCAACCCTATCTTTTCTTTTTATCAGGTTTGCTGAAATAATTTTCCTACAATTTATCAAAGCATTGTCACTTTTCTGTGTTGGAATCGTTAGAACTATTGCCAAATGGTTCTATAACTTTTGGTGTTTTACTATGAAGTAGATCTTATAGGAAGAGTAGATTACCAGGTGTATTATTGTTATTATTTTAAGACCTTGAAATTGTAGTTAATTCAATTTGGTGTCTATGAGGATGAAGATACAATCACTGTAAGCTACTGCAGAAAACATAGCAGCGAGATGAGGGAATGAAACTATTGTGCCTTTCTTTTATTTAATTAAAAAATGTGATAACATGAATTATATCAGAATTAACTTTAGGCTTGATTAAAGCATTTATTTGCTGCAGTGCCCTGGACTCTTTTACAGTTAATTGAGGGTAATGAACTGGATGAATCCTATTTCTAGATAAAGCCTATAATTCATAATTTGGAAACAAAGGATGGTTAACTCCTCAATATTTTAGGCAAGGGTTTCCTCTATTGCAACTTGCAAGCCATATCCCCTGATATTTTAGGCAATATTAGATGCCTTTTCTTTGTACTTTTTATAACCTTGACAATCTCTCTTTTTTATTATCTATGACCTTTTAACTTTGCTCTACCTTTTCTAGACATAGCTATGTTTTGCTTAAACCACAAAATATCTTAAAGTAGGGAGAAACATTCAAGAGTGAGAATTTAAAATATTTCTGTTTATTTGCTCAATATTTTCTAACATTGAGTTTTAAGATTAAAGTTTCTCAATTTTTATGGTCATTTTTAATTTATCCAGGAACCGTGCGATTAAATCTTGATCCATTCAATGAGCACAATGATGCTGACCTTTGGGAGGCTTTAGAAAGGGCACATCTAAAGGATGTCATCAGGAGGAATTCTTTTGGTCTGGATTCTGAGGTATTAAAATAGAAAATAATCAAAATAGAAAAGGAAATGGTTGCTAATTGTTAATCTAGGAAACTAGTTTTGGTGATCAGGGCTGCCAAAATAATTATTGTGATGTATGCTTGTTGAGCTAGCTCTCAGACAATTAAAATAAATAAAAGAGTAAACTGGTCGAAGAACAGGCATAAATGATCATAGATCTCTTGTAATTCAATAAATGACTTCTTATTTGTTGTGATTATATAAAGTACGAGCATGTAGCTATGCTCGTGGAAGAAATTTTTTCTAATTTAATGTGCTTGCATGATAACTATATTACCATAACTCTACTGGCTCCATATTGTCATGTTACCTGCTCTCAATTTGTTGGCAATGGCTTGCAAAGGCACTAGGTTGATCAGCCAACTTATTTCAGTAAAGATGCCAATAATCTGCTGACATGTTGAGAATGTATTCTGGAAATCAGCATAGAGTTTTTTTTTATGTTGAAAAGAAAAGATATGCAGAATTCTGTGGTCAGACTAATCTGAATTAATTTAAATTATTACATAAACTTCAACTAGGTTCAGCAAGAGATATAACATTGACATGTATAAGATTGATGGTATAGAAGATGGAAGTTAAAAGTAAAATCAGGTGTTTGTGTAAACCGTCTATTGAACTCCATGTCTGTAAAGTTTGTATTGGTGTCGAAAGTAAAAATCCTTTTAATGCTTATAACCATTTGTAATTGAAAAAACTTGTATATATTATATAAAACAAGAGAAAGTGAAGTGTTGATGAAATAATTCTGCTTCATCCTTGTCAAGGTTTTGGAGGGTGGGGAGAATTTCAGTGTTGGGCAGAGACAATTATTGTGTCTTGCTCGAGCATTGCTGCGAAGGTCAAAGATTCTTGTTCTTGATGAAGCAACTGCAGCAGTTGATGTTAAGACTGATGCTTTTATCCAGCAAACCATTCGTGAAGAATTCAAATCATGCACAATGCTAATTATCGCTCACAGACTAAATACCATCATTGAATGTGACCGGATTCTTGTGCTTGATGCCGGTCAGGTGTGTTCTTGCTTATTGTTATTCTTGGATATTTCTGTTTTTTTTTTTTTTTTCTCTTTCTGTTAATTTTCCATCCAATTTAGTAGACATCTTGTAGCTGTGATATCTATAAGGCAAGCTTGACGCTTTTCCAGGAATGGCTTGGTAAATTCTAGCTTAATATGAGGACTGTTTCTATGCTATGATTAAGCGTTCTTTCTTTCGATTGGGAAAAAGGAAGATACTCATTAGTGGTGAGTATATTTGGCCAAAAAAAATTAGTGGTGACTAGATAACTTCTGATGCTGCTCTTTCAGGTTCTAGAGCACAGTTCTCCAGAGGAACTGCTAGCTAATGAAGAAAGCACATTCTCTAAAATGGTTCAAAGCACTGGGCCTGCTAATGCAGAATACTTACGTAGCTTAGTTTTTGGAGGTGAGGAGAATAGGTTGAGTATAGAGCAAGCCACGAGGTTAAATGATCGGATGAGATGGTTGGCTTCATCCCGCTGGGGGGCTGCTGCACAGTTTGCCCTAGCTGTTAGCCTCACTTCTTCACAGAATGACCTTCAAAGGTTTGATATTGGAGGAGATATGAGCAATATCCTCCAGAAAACTGAAGATGCAGTCATAACACTGCAGGGTGTTTTGGAGGGAAAGCATGATGAAGTTATAGATGATATGCTTCACCAGCACCAAGTTCCCAGAGATAGATGGTGGTCAGCTCTTTACAGAATAATTGAAGGTACACATATAGTAACTTCTCTTACACATAAACTCCTAACAAAATCACAAATCAGGCAAATCAACATGAACTTGTGTATCATGGTGGTGCATACCTTCCTTTTATGGTGTTGTCAGTAATAATTAGTTTACTTGATTATTGGATAACTTAATTTCTCAGCATTACAGAAATTAATAGCGGTAGTCAAAACCCCTGACAATTGATCGTGACCCCCCCTCTTTTCAATCCGGGAGAACAGTAGAATATTCGTTATCAAAATGGGTGTCCCTAGTGATTTAAAAGTTCTTTTCACTGTTGTTCTAGTAAATATTATATCTTGAAAAGGAGCCGTATGACTCCCCTACGGTCTCCTGTGGAAGAATATCTCCCTCAACTACAAAAATGTGAAACGATTATATAGTTCACCAGTGCGCAAAACACTACCCAGACAATAGTAATCATAGCATGAATATTTGTATAATAGCATGGGTCCAATCCTAATGCGGACTGGTATAAAGTCTTGTTTTATTCATGATCAATGATCGATTGATCCTCTGTTTCAGGTCTTGCTGCAATGAGCAGGTTAACTCAACATAACAGGCTTCAACAATTAGAGTTCAACTCTGAAGACAGATCGATGGATTGGGATGATATTGAAATATAAGAAGATAATTAGAGGCAAATATTTCAGTAAAACATTGGAGCAGACAGCCACATCCTGATGAGCCTGATATTAAAATGTCAATTTTATAATTTATCTGATATTCTCAAACCTGTAACTGGTCACAAACAGTTAGCATTTCACCAACTTGTTAGCAAATTTTATTTTTTGGTTTATGGTTTCCAAACGGGGAGGAAAAGAACTCAATTGGCGTGCCGTGGTATTTTAAAAGAGCATGTGGGTCCTCGATTGATTTGGTGTTGTGACTCGATTATGTGATTCTAAATAAGTTTATTCGAATTTGAAACAGAGCCTGCAGCCCTGCACCAAAGTGAACCATGACAATTCATTTATGGTGGTGGGGCTTGCGATATTCCTCTCACGAACATGATTTTTTGTTGGGGGTTGTATGGCTCTTTTCTGTGATGAACAATGAATGAAATGTCCTAAAACATCTAATTGATGGCCTAATGCGGAAAAAACTCCATATTAGCCGTTTGTCTTCTTCTTTCGAAGTTTCCGTGGATGCAGTTTCTTTCCCTGGGAATGTTAAGAAAGGGGAAGGATAAAAGGCCTTCTCGCTGCTTGTCAAAATGGAACGTTTTGCATTCTTTTGATCTGTCGGCGGAAATAGATAGATTTCTTTACCACTTGCCTAGTATTTTACTGCTTTCCTTTCAAAAGGACTATCCATCTTATGAAAGGGAATACCTCTATTTGAAGGTACTTGTGTATGGGAATCGAAGGGATTAGAACAGAACGTTGCTAGCCACTCCTCGATAGGGAAAGGAAAGGTAGGAGCACGCCAAGAGGCAAGTAGACCGAGACGACAGAGCGGAAGACTTGTAGCATGTCAACATGTACGATGTCAACTGTCAGATCAAATATATTTTTTTAACATTTGAGAGAGAAGAGGAACATTTCCTCAAAAAGTGATCATATATTTGCAGTGTGAAATTATACAAGCCAGTGTAATCAAAACTTCACTAATTAAAAATTTTTATCGTTCTCTGAAGTTGCAAGACCTTGTACTCTTGCTTTGTACCCCTCAGTGCAGCTCAGATATTGAGTATTGACAATCACCGGCACAAATCATTTCATACAATTCCACAATTCAATCAAATTTAGGTTGTTGAGTTCTCTGATGCATTACAACGAATTTCTGGCCGAGCGTGGCTATGAATGGCCTCAAAGGCCTGAAAAGAAGCTTCCGAGAATCCCATTAATGCCTGAAATACATTGGGAAGGCTAGTTTTTAGATTGTTCAAAGTCATGCTCTTGCTTACTTGGATTGAGTTTAGATGTTTGCCCTCCTCCGTATCAGCTCGCTTCTTTAAGGCTTCAATTTTGGCACGCTTCATGGATAAAGGATGCTTGGGACTCAGAGTGGAGTTTACGTCTAAAGTTGCTACACTTCCCTCCACCTTTTTCTCCATCTCGGTAAGTGACATTAACTCCTTCTGCAACCTTTTCTCAAGCTTATCAGATTTTTTTTGCTGTTTGTGTTCCTCAGCCTGCTGTTGGATTATCGATTGGATTGCCAACAAAAAGCTCTTAATGGCATCTGAAGCTACCTGCAAGCACAGCAGATTTGTAAGAGATAACTACAAATGATAGAACATAGGAAATACTTTAACTAATGGGCTGCTTGTCCAATATATCATGGAAAAGATTACCTTATCAGGTAATTTTTCAAGACCAAGTTGCCATTCTTCACAGAGCCTACGAACTGCAGATAAGCAACGATTCTGCTGGTGGTCATCCACAAGGCAATCAGTAAGTTGGATCCACCCGTCTAGTGTTCTTACATACTCTTGCTGAGATTTTATGAGCTTACAGAAGCTGTAATACCAGAAAGAAACCTCTGTTTCAAGCTGAGCAGTAGCCTGACGATGGGATTCAGTAGTCAGGTCCATTCCTAAATTATCAGTGAGATGATTCAACTGCTGTGAAATATGGTTCTGAGCTTGATGAGATTTGTACATCATTTTCCACGACTTCATCAGCCTGTAATTGGGAAGATTAGACAATTTGAGCAAATTCAATCTTATAAACTACATAAATATAAACCATGATTCAATCTTCCCAAGTTGAACAAGAAAAAAAAAAAAAAAACCTCCCATCAGAAAATAACTAAGGCTTATTGATAATTTCACTCGGAAACAGAAACAGGATATGGACGAAAACAGAAGTTAAAATTATGTTAAAGAAGGATTCACCATACACTTCTTATGGTTTTTTTCTTGAATTCTGGATATACAAACACCCTTTGAAAGTTCCTCCGAAAATAAGGGTCAGGAAAGAAATCAAATCATTTTAAATTATTTTGGATAATGAATTGTGAGATTTTTGGAGCATCCAAACAATTATTTCTCATTCTCCATTCAGGTATCACCAAACCCATTAAAAAAATTAAATTATGTAGCACAACAACCAAAATTTACCCCGAAGTTAGTGCAACAAGCTGGGGGTAAAGCTCCTCATCAATAAGCCCCAATATAGATGAACAGGCCGAGCTTATTGAATGTTGCAGGTGTCTTATGTGAGCCTCCAGATTCTCAATACTTGATCGGATTTTCTCAGTCTTGGTCCAGTCATGGTTTCCATCCTGCTTTTGCAGCAACATCAATTTCCTTTCAAGCTCCAATTTGGTAATTTCTTCTTCCTACAAACGTTATTATCCGTAAGAATACAAATACTTGTGCAGAATCTAATATGGAAATAAAAACCGAGGCAAAACATAGTCATATAGTCCTCTAGTCATCATACACAATACCGATAAGCATTGACAAAATTCTGATATTGCCACCAAAACCATAAACATAATACATAAAGGAATAGGAAGATCCAAAGGGAACAAAAATTTGATGGAGAAACCACAATCAAATAGTAAATTCTAATAATTCAAGTATTAACGCAATGGCCAGGCTAAGTATCACTCTTGCCTTTACTTCCTTGTAAAGATTCTTCTCTGCAACGTATAGCTTATCAAGAGTAAAGCAATGAGCTCCAGGCTTGCATGGTTCACTAGATCCACACTGAACAGCATCTCTTGCAAACTGAAGGGGCTTAGAGGACCAGCTCCGTGATAATGCACTAAAAACCTTTGCAGAATTGCTCCTCTTCCCTGTGGTATGGACATGTTCATAAATAGTTAGTATTTAGCAAAATGCAGCTACCAGATACTGGCTATTTGATGCTCAAATCACTTACTACAAGGTCAAACAATAATAAACAAAGCAAAGAATTCATTAGAATTCACTGTGAGGCCTGAACTACGATTCATATTGCCAAGACAGTAAAAAGAACAGAAAGCATGAAGGCAAATCTAGCTCCACCTTTGGTTGATATTTGAAGGTAAATTAGTAAATAGCAAGTTATAGAAATTTTGAAGCTCTTATGTACTTGCAACAGCAGTCAATTGCATCTTATAGAACTTCCCATCGTAGTTTTGACCATCAAAAAACAAAGAGCAAATAAACATAGGAAATAGATGGACATAAATAACAAATTGTTGAAAGGTTTGCTTACTTTTGTTTTCATTGAGTTTCCATGGAAGAGAATTGCCCCCTATGTTGATGTCTGTAAAAACAGCTATTTCCTTTCCACCAGCAGATGCTTTCAAAAAACAGTCATCCAATTCCTTTATAATTCCCTCCAACGTCTTGTTCTTCGATACTACCATGGCTACATCTGTAGAGTCTTTATTATACCAGCTCATCGTTGATGAGTTATCATCAACAATTTCCCCAGGCTGAGGTTTCTCAGAGAGAGGACTTATTGCAGTATTTTCAACGAGCTCCTCTCCCTGGTTTTCATCCTCAAACTCCATCTTACTCTCTGCCCAATTTTCCTCCTGAACTGTTTCTATAGTTTCACTCTGTTTTGGATGATGGAGAGGTGATGTGGGCTCAAAAAGGCCCCAATAATTCCATGATGAGCTTGCAGTTGGAGGTGGTGGGGTAGAACAATCATCCTGAATAATCTCTATGCTTTCTTCTTGGGCAGCTTCTGCTTTACCATTGTCACAGGCCTTTCTTGCATCAGGGCTAAAAGAAGGTGGTGGTGGGGGAGGAGGCAATGGGGGAGGTGGAGAGGGAGGAAATGTCAGGCCATAAGAGGTATTTTCAAGTTCCAACGAGTCCGACTCAGTAAACTGTTTAAGAGTTACACCAGTATTCTTCAATGCCCTCAAATATGCCAACTGGGCATCTGCAAATTCTCCTCTATATCCCACCAATTGTTTCATAAGCTTCTTCCTTTCCTTACAAACCTGCACCCTCCCTTCTTTATCGATCCTTGAAGCAACACAGCCCATTTTGTCAATCAGGGATCATAAAGTATTTGCCTTCTCTGCTTTAATCTGCACGTTGAATACAGTAAACACAAAAGCAAACTCAATTTTCTACACCATAAATGCTGCTTATGATGATGAATAAATGAAAGTGAGGTCCCATCAAATTTCTAAGGTTGATCAAATATTCTGATTCCATTAAGCTGAAATGATCACAGTGACAGAAAAAAGAACAACACAAAGCTCTCTAAAAGCCCAATTCGCAATTCTCATACATATGCATTCCTTTCCTGGAAATTCAAAGACCTCAAATATAACAGAAACCATGGCAAAGAGATCAATCAATCTCAAGATCTCTGCAACTAACAAATTAACAAAAAAGCAGCAAATTACTCAGGAAGGAGTGATTTCCACTCTTGTAATCTAGTTCCCTAGGCTAAAATGACACTCATAACCACAATTGTTGCTTCTATATGAACTTCATAGCTGACTTTTATGGTGATCAAAGACCTCATGGAAGACAGAAGAAAAAGACAGCAAACAAGTATAGTGAACCAGTTTCTTGATATATTATCAAATCATCCACCTGCCCTTCGACTTGATGATTCTAACAGGGTTTCTCAGCCAAAAGATGATCTTTGTAACCAAAGATCAAAACTTCAAACCCAAAAATTCTCACACCAGATACATTTTCAACGTCTGCTGATTCAGATCCTCAGACAAAAAAAAAAAAAAAACAAATGAACCCAGCTTCAAAAATCTTCATAGCTGAAACTAAAGCTGCAATAAAACAACAAAGAAACATATTTTAAGACAAAAAAAAAAAGGGGTCTTAGTAAAATATATTTGAGTAACATTTAAAAGAATAAACGACAAGAAAACAATGTGACTGCAATAGAAACTGTCAGAGACAGGAACTAAAACAATAAAAACAAAAGGAACCAATATACCTTATTACTGAAACAAAGATCTTTATGTTCTGGTTTGGGAAACGTTAAAACCCAAAACAGAAGGGAAATGAGAGCAATGCTTTCAAAAAAGTTGAAGGTGATAAAACTTGTTACTAAAACTTAAACCCCCACCAAGAACAAACTTGACAGATCTCTTCTTTGCTTAGCTTTTTCAAAGAGAAAGATAAAGAAACGAAAGATGGGTGAGCAGTGTAGTTAGTAGTGAGCTCGACACCCAATGACAGACCTTAATAGAATAACAGAAGCATCCAAAGCAAAGAGAGCCGAGAGATGGGGCATTTTAGCAACCAAGTTCCACCATTTTTTTTTTCTTTTTCTCCTTTCCTACTTATTTAAAACAGAAGCCCTTTCCACGCTAGCATGAGTGCCTGCCGTGAAGGATGACTATTATTACGTTTGAGAAAAAGGTCCATGACAATTATTATTGGTTTAGTTTGATTTGATCTATTAATTTTAAATTTTTTATATATTATTTTAATATAAATTTTAATATATTTAAATAATTTTAAATATAAAATAATAATTTTTATTTATAAAAATTAAAAAATATATATAAATAATTTTTAATTCTATTATTTTTAATTTTTGATTCAAAATATAATTTATATTTAATATATATATATATATTTTAATATTTAAATTTAATTCGAAATAATGTGAATATTATAATTTTGAATTGATTTTTATTTTTATAATAATTTTCTTAGCCCTAATCATTTCAATTGACAAACAAAAAATGTAACAAACGATTGGGAACTATCTTTACATTTAAATAAAGAAAATTATATAAATATCAATAACTCGTTCAGTCGAAATAATGCTTTTTTCAACTGCTGAATAAAAAAATAAAATTTTTTTAAGATTTAAAAATGTTTTAATTTTATTTTTTGTTACTCTCTTGTGGCAAAAAATAAACAATTCTTTTACTCGTGTAGGAAAAAAAAAAAAGATTGGTGAATACATTTACTCAGTAAGGTGGTGCTGTATTTAATGTCACTAAATTTTATTCACCAACATAAATTTATTAACAATTTAAAATATATGTTGGCCAAAAACAAATATAGTTTCAATTTATCATTTTTTTTTGTTGTTTATTAACTTCATTTTTAACTATAAAAACATTTTTTTTTGTTTTATTGGTTTTCATGTACTATATAAAGATCACAGTAATAATGTATTTTATTGGTAAAATATTAATTTTTTTATTTTAATAACCTCAAATATATATATATAAAAAAAAGAAATCATTTTTAAGGTATGTGCCACGTCGGAAAGTTTAAGAAAAGATTTAAAGTTGAAGGTAGTTTGATAAGTTCAACTGGTTCAACCAGACACAAGGAAATCCAACTTCCAAACTAAAGGCCCGACCAACGAACCAGCTTTTAAGGATTTGTAAAAAAGGCATATCATTTCTAAAAATACCTTCCTTTTTTTTTTTGACTAATGATAATGATTTGTCCTCTGTCCTATAATTTCCCCTTTCTTCTCTCATTGTCTTCTCGCCTCCTATTTTTTTTAATTTCATGACATTTGACATAAACTCTTTTGATTCCGGAGCTTCTTTTAAAATTTAATAAAGGATAAATGGATGAATAAAATATATATATATATGGTGGGAGATTTATCAAAAATCTATTGCTCTCATTTTATTTTTTAAATTATTACAAAAATTTAAACTCAACAGTTTGTTGTTGGGCTTGGTTCTGTCTTTGGTCTAGACTTTAATTTGGGCGGAAAGAGCCTTGGTTCAATGAGTAATGTTTCTATTCTACGCTTTTTTTTTAAATGAATTTTTGTGTCTTTTCTGCGGTATTTTAATTAGAGGTGTAATCGAGTCGAGTCAAATCAATAAAGTAAAAAGTTTAAGTTCAAGCTCGACTCTCAACTCACAATTCAATACTCGACTCGAATTAGATCGAATTTTATTTTTTTAGCTCGAACTTGATTCGTGATCAAAATCGAACTACTCGAGTTCATTCGATTAAGCTAGATTAATATGTAAAAATAAGCTCGATTTTATATTAAACAAAAACTCGATTATTTGTGCTGAACTCAAATTCAAATTCGAGATATTTTATCAATTAAAATAATAAAAAAATATTTAAATATAAAAGCTCGATTAGGTTCACGAACTACTCAAATCATGTATAAAAATACTTGAACTCGACTCGATCGATGAATCGAGTTGTTCGAGCTCGAATTCGATTCGATAATAATAAAATCGAATTCAAATTTTATTCGAATCGAATCTTAATAATTTACGAGTACTAATTTATCATTTACACTCCTAATTTTAACCAATATCTAATAAATAAGAATGATAAAATCACCTTTTAGGGTGTTTTATTTTTGAATAAATGAATCACAATGTTCTAAGAAATAAAAATGATAAAAGCTTGTATTACCACTTGCATTTATTATATAAAAATGTTTTAATTAATGTTTTATATTACATGTTATGTAAACATATCATTTATAATTATTATAATATATTTAATTAATAAAAATTTAACATTGTATAATGTTAATAAAAAAATTATACCGAATCCATTTTCTTAAGTCGTAGATTCAAATTTTTTTGTTATAATTATTATATTATAAGATTATAATAAATAGAATTATAAGTGAAATATTTAAATTATTAATATCGTATGGCAACATACCTTGGACAAATAGAAAGAAAACAAAGTACTACTCTTTATAATGTTATTAGTATAAATTCAATATACAGAATACATACATAAGTATGTGGCTTAATAATATGTATTCTTTAAGTAAAAGAGTAAAATTTAATTTTTTTAATTAAAAATTGAAAATAATATGTAAATTACCATTACATCCTTTAAATAAAAAATATTTAAAAATAACATATAAACAAGAAATCAAATTATGATGATAATTTCGACTAATAGCAGGGAAATTGACAAAGTCATGAGATAGGTAAAAATTAACTCTAACTTCATCTAATTAAGTTGGTAAAACAATGCAGTAATTCTCCACGATTTACTGTGAGAATCGTAGACTGACAGAAACAGGAAGAATTGAAGATGGAATTCAACCAATAAATTTCTGCCTGACTTTAAAGACTCGGCAAAGACAAGACAAAAAATCTAATCTAGTAGTCCTTTTAAAAAAAATCAACTCAATTCAAGAGAAGTTTCCTCTTCGCTCGTCATTCGCCAGAAACGTTTCGCTTTTTTTCAAATCTCCGTTTTTCTTCGTATTTATCGAAGAAAAGTAGAAAAAAAAAAAAAAGGAAACAGGAAGAAGAAAGAAAAAGCGTCTCCATCCCCGTTTATAATTTATTTATATGTAAATAAAATCCAATTTTTATCTTGGAACTCTTGCTGCGTTCCTTTCCCTCGGCATTTTATTTTATTTTATTTCATTTTTGGATCTGAATTTTAAAAAAATTAGATCTACAATATACTTTGAAAAAAATAAATCCAAAAATGGACAATGGAGATTTAGAAGGAGGCGGAGACGAAGCGTTTCATGGAAAAGGCGGCCGCAAATATAGGCCTGTGCGGCCTAACGATCGGGCCGTTCTCGAGATGTCCTCCATGGATCCTGGATCTTCCTCCTCGGATTCCAAATCTTCTATCAGGTAATCTCTCCTCTCTCTTTCTCTTTTGCTGAGAGTTTTTCTTTTTTTTTTTTTAATCATAGTCTATAACTATATATATTTTTGGCAGGAAAATTAAAGTAGGAACGCAGGGGAACTTGGATTCCGATGGAAGGGAAGGTTCGATTCCTGATAATGGTGGAGCCAATGGTCCCCACAGGGAACATAAGTTGGAATTGTTTGGTTTTGATTCTCTTGTCAGTGTCCTTGGTCTCAAAACGTAAGTGCTTTGTTTTCATTAATGCTTATGCTCTGATGTTTTTGCTCAATGATTAGAAGATGTTAGTAATTGCTGATTAATGTATCGAACTGTAATTCATTATGGAATAATTTGCGGTGGCTGGACAATTTTTCTTTACATCTGCTTTTTTGAACTTATCATTAGTATCTGCTTTTGACTTGTTTTACAGTATGACAGGAGAGCAAATTCCGGCACCCTCGAGCCCTAGAGATGGTGAAGATGTTTCCATCACCAATGGGCATCCAAAAGTAATCTATCTTTTCACTTTAGCATCATCGATCACTTTAATACCATCTTTCATTATTTGATGTGTTTTATCATCAAAATCAGTGTTGTTACGCTTGAGCAAAAGATAATAAGCTACCGGGCATGGATAAAATAAGAATTTGTTGAAAAATACCAGTGATATTATGGTATTACCCTTTTTTTAGTTTTTGAGTTTTTCTGATTTCGAGTTTGATGAAAGAACAAAATGGTACTTATTTAATTTCCTTTTGGCAAGGCATTTATGTCAATCATGTCTTACTTGTTCTAAATTCTGTTGAAGGAGTATTTAGAAATTAATTTATGTGGAATGTTGAAACAAGGAATTTGTACCTTTGTTTAATTTCCTTGAATCACTGCTTGCATTGTCAATTATGTCTGACTCGGTTGAAATACTAGCAAGAACTGAGAAATTTTGTTATGTGCAACGGGTTTTGAAGCACTATGTGTCAGATCATTCTTTTTTTTCTTGTCCTCTTTTTTAAAAAATACTTAGAAAAACTGTACTTCTCATGCTGTTCCATGTTCTGTGCATACATCATGCAGCCCTCTGATGCTAAAATGGGTACAATGATGGGGGTATTTATCCCATGCTTGCAAAGTATTTTGGGTATTATCTACTATATCCGATTTTCTTGGTAAGTTCTATCTCCTGATGTTAATTTTTTTAACTTGTGCATCACCTTTATTTTGTCTTAGTTTCTATGTGCAGAAGTTCATGTGCAAATGTAAATTGAATCTGTGCTTTGTTGCTAATTGATCGTGCTGTTTTTGAATTTTAAGCAGAGCTTCTTTTCAATAATTTGAATTTCATAAGACATTGTTGTGTTATATTTGATATATGCTCTACGGACATATCAAATATGCCTTTTGTATAAGAAAAGGATTAGCTTGGGCTTTCAGTCAAGAAAGAGAGAATCAATTCTGACTTATGCCCTTGACCTGTAACATATGCAGAAAAATAGGTAGATTTTGTAATTTTGGTTGCTAAGGTTCATTTATGAGAATTGCAGGATTATTGGCATGGGTGGCATTGGCGACTCACTCCTGCTGGTATCATTTTGTGGTCTGTGTACTTTCTTGACAGGAATATCATTGAGTGCTATTGCAACTAATGGTGCAATGAAGGTACACCTTCTTTATAATTATATATCCATGACAGTCATTTTTCAGTTCACATGTGAGTCTGATATCATAGACATTCTGATGTCTTAAGTGGATGATTTACTTTGGAGTTAAATTCTCATGTTGTTACCTTGATTTTTGAGATTTCTTTCATTAAATAATTGTGCTCCGTAATTGTAGTGATTTTCTAGTTAATTACTGCTAGGGTGGTGGTCCATATTATCTCATTGGTCGTGCCCTTGGTCCTGAGGTTGGAGTTAGCATTGGATTATGTTTCTTCCTTGGCAATGCAGTTGCAGGTGCTCTGTAAGTTTATATTCTGGTTCTTTCCTCTTTTTTTTTTTGTTATTTTTTTTATTTTATGATACTATTCTGTGCATAGGTCAACGATGCAATATAACAGAATTGCTTACCATGAATTCTGCTACCTTGAAAGCTTAATGAGTTTTTAACAACATTGTACTCATGCTAATATTGGTATCTTCCATGTGCTTTTGGTTGTGGTTGTAGTTATGTGTTGGGAGCGGTAGAAACCTTTCTAAAAGCTCTCCCTTCTGCTGGGATTTTTACTGGTAATGATTGATTGCTATCGACAGGACTATTGTTGTTTTATTTTATCTTTATAATCTTTTTGCCTTTTCTATTTCTTCTACTTTATTTATTACTTTTAAAGATTTTGAGGCTCTTGTCACCATGCCATTGTGTCTTTAGCTGATAACTAAGTTGTGAAAGTACTTACTGGTTGTTGGTAGCAATAGTCATGGTATAGATTCAAATGTGTTAAAAAGAATTTTGTTCCAATTCATTTCTAATATCCCCTCCTTGCAATGCAGAGACCACTACAAAGGTGAATGGCACAGTATCAGAACCTATACAGAGTATAAGTACACATGACTTACAAATCTATGGGCTTGTTGTGACTATCATCCTTTGCATTATTGTGTTTGGTGGGGTGAAAATGATCAATAGGGTTGCCCCAGCTTTCCTCTTACCTGTTTTGTTCTCGATATTTTGCATATTCATTGGGGTTTTTCTTGCGAAGAAGGATGACCCTGAACGTGAGTGTCTTCTTTATATTCCTTTTTGCCCTCTCTCTCTCTCTCTCTCTCTCTCTCTCTCATTTTGCCCCTGAGAACAACTTGTAGAGTTGATTTCTTAATTCTGAAACAACAGTGGTGTATTGCATGGTGCAAGCCGTATGTCATTACTCAAAATCAATCTGAATATCCCCTTTGTTGAGTGTGCAGGTTTTTCTTGTCATTTTCTGTCCTTTTACCTGGATTAATGTGGATTTATGAAACATGTTACTTGTGATGCTTGATACAGCTGGAGTTACAGGCTTGAGTTTGGAAAGCTTTAAAGATAACTGGAGTTCAGATTATCAGAATACAAACAGTGCCGGCATCCCTGATGCTGAAGGAAAGGCGTATTGGAACTTTCAGTAAGAATCTTCAAGGCTTCTAGCATTGTACATAGTTAGAGTTAAATTTTGTTAAATTTGCTTGCATTCTGAAGTTGTACATGATCGAAGGATGAGGAACTATTTCTGGAGAACTAGTTTAGACAAGCGTCTTGTCTCTTGATTATGTTCAATTCCTGTTGTTGATCCTACAGATATAGCACCAATAAGTACACTTTCACCGAATTGTATTAAAACTTGTTTGATAATGGAGGTCTGGAGGAAAACAGATCCTAAGCATAATTGGTGGCCATACTGCCGGTCCAAAAGTAGAAAACAAGTTCATCCCTTTCCCTCCATCTCTCTAACTATCCAAAGCAAAGGAAAATGTTGTCCCCCTACTGTCAAGTTTTGATATGTGTTAACCTCGTACGTTTCTCAAAGCTGATGAAATGAATGTTTTTCTTTCATGGAGTTTCTAACTCCTTTTTGTTTATATGTTTTTCAGTGCTTTGGTCGGTCTTTTTTTCCCAGCTGTAACTGGAATCATGGCAGGTTCAAATCGATCAGCCTTACTTAAAGACACTCAGCGTTCTATCCCCATCGGGACATTGGCAGCCACACTTACCACTACTGGTCTCTATATAGTTTCTGTCTTACTTTTTGGAGCTGTTGCCACCAGAGAAAAGCTTTTAACTGACAGGTATCATGTTTGCTAGTCTCACACTAAAGTTCTCCATGGACTCTGCTGGTATTGTTTCCCCTGTGCTTGGTTTTATGTAGGATTTAAGGCATAGATATTGTTGTAATTCTAAACCATTTTTGATGCAGGCTACTTACTGCTACAATTGCTTGGCCTTTCCCAGTTATCGTTCATATTGGAATTATTCTTTCAACTTTAGGTGCAGCTCTTCAAAGCTTGACTGGTGCCCCTCGCCTTCTTGCAGCTATAGCCAATGATGATATTCTTCCTGTTCTCAATTACTTCAAAGTTGCAGATGGGAGTGAGCCTTACATTGCTACCCTCTTTACTGCCTTTGTCTGTATGGGATGTGTCATTATTGGGAATCTGGATCTTATCACGCCAACTGTAACTATGTTTTTCCTTCTATGTTATGCTGGTGTGAACCTGTCTTGCTTCCTTCTAGATCTTCTAGATGCTCCCAGTTGGCGTCCACGGTGGAAATTTCACCACTGGAGTCTCTCTCTCCTTGGAGCATCACTTTGTATAGGTATGCTTTGTTGCATACAGTGCAATCTTGTATTTAACATTGTGTACCTTTTAGTTGAAAAGGATCCTGTATATTAGCATGCATTTGACACATTGTACTTTCATTGGAGGCTGATGCTCATAGCTGTTTTGTTTCTTTTTTTTGGCAGTGATCATGTTCTTGATCTCGTGGCCATTCACTGTAGTGTCTCTGGCCCTTGCCAGCCTCATATATTATTATGTGAGCATTAAAGGAAAAGCTGGGGACTGGGGGGATGGTTTCAAAAGTGCATATTTTCAACTAGCCCTTCGTAGCCTTAGATCTCTGGGAGGTACTTATAATATGTGTATCTTTACCAATAGCATGTCTGCATGTATATGCATGCTCTACTTGTATTTTGTACATACAGACATGAGTACCTCTTCTGTTCCTGTTGTTGACCTATTATTATGTTTACAGCAAACCAAGTTCATCCGAAGAACTGGTATCCCATTCCTCTTGTGTTCTGCAGGCCTTGGGGTAAGCTGCCAGAAAATGTACCTTGCCATCCAAAACTTGCTGACTTTGCCAACTGCATGAAGAAGAAAGGCCGTGGAATGTCCATATTTGTCAATATACTAGATGGAGACTATCATGAACGTGCTGAAGATGCCAAGGCTGCCTGCAAGCAACTTGATACCTACATTAACTATAAGAACTGTGAAGGTGTTGCAGAAATAGTTGTAGCACCCAATATGACTGAAGGCTTCCGTGGAATTGTACAGACCATGGGTCTCGGCAACCTCAAGCCCAATATTGTAGTCATGCGGTACCCAGAAATATGGCGTCGTGAGAACCTAAAAGAAATCCCAGCCAGATTTGTTGGTATAATTAACGACTGTATTGTTGCAAATAAGGCAGTTGTCATTGTCAAGGGCCTTGATGAATGGCCCAATGAGTATCAAAGGCAATATGGTACAATTGATTTGTATTGGATTGTTAGAGATGGTGGTCTCATGCTTCTTCTATCACAGCTTCTTCTTACAAAAGAGAGCTTTGAGAGTTGTAAGATTCAGGTCTTCTGCATTGCAGAGGAGGATTCAGATGCAGAGGGCCTTAAGGCTGATGTGAAGAAGTTTCTATATGATCTCCGGATGCAAGCTGAAGTGATTGTTATAACGATTAAGTCTTGGGATGTGCAACCAGAGGGTGGATCTCAGCAAGATGAGTCATTGGAGGCATTTAGTGCGGCTCGGCGGCGGGTAGCTGATTACTTGGCAGAAATAAAGGCAGCAGCAAAGAAAGAAGGGACCCCTTTGATGGCTGATGGAAAGCCTGTAGTTGTGGATGAGCAACAAGCGGAGAAGTTTCTCTATACAACTCTGAAGCTGAATTCAACAATTTTAAGATATTCTAGAATGGCAGCAGTTGTGTTTGTAAGCATACCGCCGCCTCCTGTCAGCCACCCAGCTTACTGCTACATGGAATATATGGATTTGTTGGTAGAAAATTTGCCGAGACTGTTGATAGTTAGAGGATATCGAAGAGATGTTGTAACTCTATTCACATAGTTTCCAGGACTGTAATTGTGTTACTGTTCATATAGGTTTTTCCCCTTATTTCATATCAGTCAAAGTGTTACATTCATTCTTTTCAGCCATTTTGATCGATGGCATTTTGTTATTTCATTTCCTAGGTTTTTTTTTTTTTTTTTTTTTCCTTTAAAAAGAACAAGAAATTTTGTAAAAGTTGCTCTTTGTGGGTTGAGCCCTGAGTTTTAATTCCTTCTGGTCTGGGCCGATTGATATTCAGCAGAGAACTAAATTTCTGTACTGTTGCTTTGCAGGCCTAATTAGAGACTGGGGGTTCATCCAATTGACTAGGTATATGAAATTCATACAAGATTTAAAAGATTAAATTAATTAATTTACAGGATAACAGGCCACGCAAATTTCAGAAATTAAGTTTTAAAAGTTGGAGAAGATAAGAACCGAGAATTGTCGAATCCAGTATGCCGTAACCAATTATCCAAGTAGAGATGTTTGTGAAACGGAAAAGCAATCGTGAGGCAATTCACATTTCTTTTGAAAGTAGGAAAAGCAATCATAAGGCAGCTCAACTTTCTTTTGAAAGTTCAAATCTGGACGCCCCGCCCAATAACAATTAGTCGAATAGTAGAAATTAGGAATGTCATCGAATCGAATCGATATAGTAAGAAGTTTGAGCTCGAGTTTAATTTATAATTCGAGATTCGATACTCGATTTAAATTTGATCAAATTTTATTTTTTAAGCTCGAATTCGATTCGTGATCGAATTCGAATTATTTAAGTTCGATCGATTAAACTCTATTAATATGTAAAAATAAACTCGATTCGTATACTTGACAAAAGTTCGATTATTTATGCTCGAACTTGAAATATTTTATTAATTAAAATAATAAAAATATATTTAAATATAAAAACTCGATTAAACTCACGAGCTACTTGAATCGAATATAAAAATACTCGAATTCGATTCAATCGATAAGTCGAACTACTCAAACTCAAGCTCAAACTCAATCGATAAGTCAGCACCTCCATTTTTCCAACTAAAAAAGATCAGTCATGTATGCGTGACACGTGCATTTGACTCGTGGATAATTGTGAACCAACAATTATAGATCATACACAATTAAACCAAATGCAACTTGCAGAAAGCATACACGATTTATCTATCACCAGTCACTACAGTCCAAATATTCATTTCAATTCCAGATACCTAAATATAATATATTGATTTTAACATTTTTATTATCATGCCATTTTTGGAAAAAATATATATAAGAAATTAACCTCCGGGTCCACGTTACAAATCAATAAATCACAGTATTACGGAAGAGATATTTTTTTAAAAGAGAGAAGTTTAGCTGTTATGGCTAGAGATGGAAGGTAACGCGACAACTTGCGTCGTCGACAATGTGGACGTGGTAACGCGACAAATGCTCTTTTATTAAGTTGTAATCAATCGCTAAACCCGACGACATTAAATTCCACGCGTTGTTAGTACTTATTTGTTAACCATGGCGCAAACCAAATGTAAAAAATTTTAACTGACAGTCTTCGCCGAAGTGGACTACCAGCTGTCTCTTCACTTTCAAAGTTAACCGCAACCAACCTCTTCAGTCTTCACTTCATAAAACTCTCACGTCCTCTCACGGATTTCCCGCTTTCAACGAGAAAAAAGAGCTCTTACGACCTTTTTTTGCCTTCTTCTTCTACTCACACTGCCATCGGTGTCCACCGGTAAAAATCTCCGGCAATCGGATAAATTCTAGTTCAAACCAAGGTTATTTTACCTCTAGATTATTGTCTAATTAACGTTTTGTTTTGTTGTTTAAATACATCTATATAGGTGTTAACTTGGAATCCTAGGCTGGCTTTCTCTGTAAAAAAACAAGGTGGAACGGAATCTCTATTTCTTGTGTTTTTTTTTTAATTTGAAAATTGTTGATAGTAATGTTGATCAGTTTAATAAATTATTTATTAAAATTTCCATTTTGGTTGCGTAATGGAAATACATTTAATTCTCTGAAGACGAGATTGGGATTTGGATCTGGAATTTTATAATAAGTGTCCTTGTTTTTATCGAATAGACCTGCCAAAACTTTTGTCTCAGTATCTTTTGCCTTACTATACCACTCTTAGCTTTTCCCTTTATTAAACATCCAAAGCATTTCGCTCTCTCTGTTGAGTTTTGTCTTCGAAAACAAATATAAACTCTTCTTCTCTGTTGAGAGATATCCCGTTTCGTCGAGGTAAAATGTTTTTTTTTTTTTTTTCTGTTTTTGGGTTATGAGAAAAGGTGAGAAATTTTATTAGAAGTTTTGATTTTTATTTTGTTTTGGTGGAAAATAGGATGGGAGTGGACGGTGCAATCGGAGGCGAAGGGGTCAGAAGAAGAGGATGTTCATGCACAAAAGACGATTTTCTCCCTGAGGAGTCGTTTAAGAGCTGGGGCAATTATGTCCAAGCGCTAAGGGAAACCCCGCGCCGATTCATGGACCGAGTGCTCACCCGATCACTTGACTCAACAGAGCTCCACGAAATCAAGGCTCGGAGCCAGCATGAGATGAAGAAGACCCTCTCGTGGTGGGACCTTATTTGGTTCGGTATCGGTGCCGTCATCGGCGCCGGCATTTTCGTTCTTACCGGACTCCAAGCCAAAGAAGTCTCTGGCCCCGCTGTGGTTTTGTCCTACGTAGTGTCCGGTGTCTCGGCCATGCTTTCCGTGTTTTGCTACACAGAGTTCGCGGTTGAAATTCCTGTTGCAGGTAAAAATTATCATTTTTTTTAGAATTAAATTGTTTAGTTTTTTATTTTTTTCGCGTTAAATCATCTTACTTCGCCAGTAAAAATGAGAAAGAGCTGTAAAGAATCTGGCTGAATATTCAAATCCTATGAAATTCTGGCCCGTCTATTTTGGCAAATAATGTAGCAAAAGTTGACATTTTCTGGGAAAAGGCCCTCTGGACATAAGGAAAGGGACCCACACAGCGTATGGAAAGTCCTATTTGATAAGGAACTATGAGTTCATTTTTGACTAGTTAGTGCTTTCTTTAATCATAATTTTGACTAATTTACTCAACCTTTATAATATGTCTAGGATATATGCCAGACTAGATACTAGTTTACATTGGTGTATAAAACGTGTGCTTGACATTTCTAAGCGTTTAGATTAGTGGAGATAATGTATTTATGTCAACCTTGCTAAGTTCTAAAGTAATGATTGCTTTTTTGTGTTTACAAGGGATAATTTAACAAATACCATTTAGCAATTTAATGAAGATTTTAATGGATAGGTTTTTTTATCTGTTAAGCCAAGTTTGATTTGCTACATGTAAAAGAATAGAGGATTTTGTTCGAGTATTTTATTAATGCCTGATCCAGGATTCTGATTCATGGAAATACACACATTGCAGATATGTCTATATTAATATTGCTACATTCTCATTTTCAGGTGGCTCGTTTGCCTACCTTAGGGTGGAGCTGGGTGACTTCATGGCTTTCATTGCTGCTGGTAACATTCTCCTGGAGTATGTTATTGGAGGTGCAGCGGTAGCCCGGTCATGGACTTCCTACTTTGCCACCCTCTGTAATCACCAACCTGAAGATTTCCGCATCTTAGTCCACAGCATGCCCGAGGACTATGGCCAACTTGATCCTATTGCCGTTGTTGTTGTGTCCATCATCTGTGTCCTTGCTATCCTTAGCACCAAGGGCTCTTCACGCTTCAATTACATTGCTTCCATCTTCCATGTTATCGTTATTATCTTCATAATCGTTGCTGGGTTTTCAAAAGCGGATACCAAAAACTACAGCGATTTTATGCCCTTTCATGTCCGCGGTATTTTCAAGTCTTCGGCTGTGCTTTTCTTTGCATATGTTGGTTTTGATGCTGTTTCGACAATGGCGGAAGAGACTAAAAACCCTGCTCGTGATATCCCTATTGGTCTTGTTGGCTCGATGGTAATAACAACAACTGCATACTGTTTGCTTGCTGTGGCATTGTGCCTAATGCAACCTTTCACGCAGATTGATAAGGATGCCCCATTTTCAGTAGCATTTGAAGCTGTAGGGATGTCATGGGCTAAGTACATTGTTGCTGCAGGTGCGTTGAAAGGCATGACGACTGTTTTGCTAGTCAGTGCCGTTGGTCAAGCACGATATCTCACACATATTGCACGAACCCACATGATGCCACCATGGCTAGCTCAAGTCCATCCAAAGACTGGGACACCAATTAATGCTACCATTGTCATGCTTGCTGCAACAGCAATTATCGGCTTCTTTACAGATCTTGGGATTCTTGCCGATCTTCTATCCATATCAACATTATTCATCTTCATGCTTGTGGCTCTTGCGCTTCTTGTTCGGCGTTACTATGTCAGTGGTGAGACAACTACAGCAGACCGTAACAAACTAATCGCTTGCATTGTGCTTATTCTTGCGTCTTCAATTGCAACAGCAGCTTATTGGGGTCTAAGTGACAACAATGATTGGATCGCTTATGTGATCACAGTGCCAATTTGGTTCTTAGCTACTCTGGCACTGCATGTTTTTGTTCCACAGGCTAGGAGTCCAAAACTATGGGGTGTACCATTGGTACCATGGTTACCATCGGCTTCCATTACTATTAACATTTTCCTGCTGGGATCAATTGATGGGGCATCCTTTATAAGGTTTGGTATATGGACTGTTGTGCTGCTGTTGTACTATTTCTTCTTTGGATTACATGCATCTTACGATACAGGCAAGGGAATCAGGAGAAAATAAAATCGGAGAAGGCTGGAAGAAAGTTGAAGAAGGTGTTGTATCTTCAGAGGCCAAGTGATCTGCGATGGAACACTTACAAACGGTGGCAAACTACCAATTCTTCTACAAATTCTAGTGGGTAAGCGTGTTTGTTTATTGTTGTGAATTGTGATCAATGTGTGTGTGGTAGGAAATCTTGTTCTATTGTCAAGTAGCATTTCTTCCACAAATCGTAGAGGAGAATGTTTGTTTTATATAGGAAGTATAAAAATTCTCTCCTCAGGTTGTCACAGGTTCCTATTTCGGTGAAAGGGTGTGAATATCTATGATGACGGTTGTCTGTTTGAACTTTGCACATTTTAATCAAACATGCTTTCCACACTCGTAAGCAACATTTGGTGCATATGATTATTGATAAAATTAACCCGTGAAGTAACTGTTAAGAGTAATTTTTTTAATCTCACAATTACATTGACAATGAATAATTAATTAACCTGCAGCCAACTGATCTGCAATAAAGCTACCTGCTTGGATCTGTTTTCATTTCTCAATCAAATTGTTTATTGGATGATTATAGGCCTACTCCTCGTTGAAAACCCTGCGATAGTTTGGATTCTCCTGGGAATTCTGCAGGCAAATAGGTCGTCGGTGAAGTTAATTATCAACAGGTGAATTATTTATGAGCCACCGTTAATTAATGTTGCGTGTTATTGACCAGATGCGGCGGCGGCGGTGGCATAACACCGCTATCAAAAGAAATGACTTGGGTCTTGTTATATCAATTAATAACCGATGGGATTGGAATTTTTCTATGAAATTCGATAATTGATCATATATAGAAGGCAGTTATTGAACATACTAATAATTTTCAAAGATTTCAAAACTGTAATTTTTCTGAATTTTTTGTGATATATATATATATATATATATCAGATAAAACTCTATGAATTGGCAATTACGTTTCCATCTTGGATTGATCGATGCGTTAATGGGTCATTAATAAGCTTTTTTTTTTTTTTTTATGCATACTATGTGACCAATGTTTCAAACGGAACGTGGTATGTATATATTCTTTTATTTAAGGCTGGTATTTATTATTCCTCCATAGCTTGAATGTGCTTTTTGTCTTCATTTTGCTTAATTATTCAAGCCAATAAATAAAAAATTAGCAAAATTTATTGAATGCTAAACAGCTTTATGGCAAGGAATTTCTCTATTATTCTTCTCATGATTTATGATTATATAAGTAATATAAAGAAATTCGTTTTCTCTCTACTGTACAAATTCATTGAAGTTTTGAATGATTATTAGTTTCCTCTTCATTGAACCCGGCCTTGCCTTGATTTTGGGCTCCAGGTAAAGACGAAACCAAACCCAATCTTTAATGTCCCTTGAGCCTTGAGGCAACCTATGGGCCTAGTACATACAAACCCATTCTCATAACAGATTATGGAACTGATATTTCATATGCGCTTTGACGACGATGTCCGTTGCTTGGACGTTTTATTTCCTCGATACTGATATATTTTACCTATTTCAGGGTACTAATGGCGGTTGAAAATGATAATGGGCTTAAGAAGAGGGGATGTGGTTGCACCAAACAAGATTTCTTACCACAACAGTCATTTCATAGTTGGACAAGCTATGTCTTTGTGTAACACAAAATCTTTGCTTTAAGACCGCCTACTGGCACGTTCCTTGGACCAACGTAGAGCAAAATGAAAGACGTGCTCATAGCCAGCATGAAATGAAGAAAACTCTGAATTGGTAGGACATGACTTGCTTTGGCACGGGAGCTGTAATGGGTGCTTGCTTGCTGTAATATTTGCCCTTAGTGGTGAAGCCGCCAGGAATTATTCAGTTCAACTGCACTGCCCCCAGTTTTGTGCTGTACTGAAATCCTTTCGAAAGTGGCATGCATGTATTCGGAATCCATAAGGGTTTTCCAAGCAATGTTGTTGGAAGAGGCTTTAGAACCCAAGGAAGTTTTTTTGGTGCTGTATCATGATAATCATGGCCTCTTTAACATGTTAAAACTTTGATCCTTCCTCGAATAGGCCGTAACGCCAACCACTTTTCATCTACATCAGAAGCTTACGTACAAGAGAAAAATGATCAAAGTAAGACAAACAAAAATAAATTTCCCGCGTTCAACTAGAAAAAGAGCTCTTACTTTCCCTTTTTCCCCTTCCTTCTTCTTCAACTCACACTGTCATCGGCGGCCACCGGTAAAAAATCTCCGGCAATCTGATAATTCCTAGTTCATACGAAGGTTACTTTCTCTCTCGATTATTGTGCAATTAACATTTTGTTTTGTTGTTTAAATACATATATATAGGTGTTAACTTGGAATACTTGGCTGGCTTTCTCTGTAGAAAAACAACGTGGAATCTCTGTTCCTTGTGTTCTTTTGAAAATTATTGATAGTTATGCTGATTAGATTAATAAATTATTTAGTAAAATTCTCATGTTGGTTGGGAAATACATTTGATTCTCTGAAGACATGCGTTGTTTTTATCGAATAGACATGCCACAACATTTTGTCTCGGTATCTTTTGCCGACTCTTAGCTTTGACCTTTATTAACATCCGAAGTATTTCACTCTCTCTGTTGACTTTTGTCTTCGAAAACAAATATAAACTCTTCTTCTCTGTTTAAAAATATCCTGTTTCATTGAGGTAAAATGTTTTTTTGTTTCTTTTTCTGTTTGGGTTATGAGAAAAGGTGAGAAATTTTATTAGAAGTTTTGATTTTTATTTTGTTTTGGTGGAAATATGATGGGGATGGACGGTCTAATCGGAGGCGAAGGAGTAAGGAGAAGAGGATGTTCATGCACAAAAGACGATTTTCTCCCTGAGGAGTCGTTTAAGAGCTGGGGCAATTATGTCCAAGCGCTCACGGAAACTCCACGCCGGTTCATAGGCCGAGTGCTTACCCGATCACTCGAATCAACAGAGCTCCACGAAATCAAGGCTCGAAGCCAGCATGAGATGAAGAAGAACCTCTCATGGTGGGACCTTATTTGGTTTGGTATCGGTGCCGTCATCGGCGCCGGCATTTTCGTTCTAACCGGACTCCAAGCCAAAGAAGTCTCTGGCCCCGCCGTGGTTTTGTCCTACGTGGTGTCCGGCATCTCGGCCATGCTTTCCGTGTTTTGCTACACTGAGTTCGCTGTTGAAATTCCCGTTGCAGGTAAATACTTCACTAATTATCATATGAAGTTTTTTGAACAGGAAATTTATGCTTGATTATAAACTTTAGTTTTTGTCAATATCTATCTAAAATTCCCTTTTTTTTTTGATAAATTGTTTAGTTTTTTATTTTTTCTGTGTAGGCTTTGAATAATCTTACTTCATCAGTAAAAATGAAAGAGAGTTGTAAAGAATTTGGCTGAATATTCAATATCCCATGAAATTATGGGCCCTCTATTTTGGCAAATAATGTAGCAAAATTTGACTTTTCACTGAGATGGGAAAAGGTAATGATTACCCTTTTGTGTTTACAAGGGATCGTTTAACAAATACCATTTAACCATTTAACGAAGATTTCGATGGGTAGGTTTTTTATCTGTTGAGCCAAGTTTGATTTGCTACATGTAAAAGAATAGAGGATTTTGTTCATGGAAATACACACATTGCAGATGTGTCGATGTTAATAATGCAAAATTTTCATTTTCAGGTGGCTCGTTTGCCTACCTTAGAGTGGAGTTGGGTGACTTTATGGCTTTCATTGCTGCTGGTAACATTCTCCTGGAGTATGTTATTGGATGTGCTGCGGTGGCCCGGTCGTGGACTTCCTACTTCGCCGTCCTCTGTAATCACCAACCTGAAGATTTCCGCATCGTAGTCCACAGCATGCCCGAGGACTATCGCCAACTTGATCCTATTGCCGTTGTTGTTGTGTCCATCAGCGGTATCCTTGCTATCCTTAGCACCAAGGGCTCGTCGCGCTTCAATTACATTGCTTCCATCTTTCATGTTACTGTTATTATCTTTATAATCGTTGCTGGGTTTTCAAAAGCGGATACCAAAAACTACAGCGATTTTATGCCCTTTGGTGTCCGTGGCATTTTCAAGTCTTCGGCTGTGCTTTTCTTTGCATATGTTGGTTTTGATGCTGTTTCAACAATGGCGGAAGAGACTAAAAACCCTGCTCGCGATATCCCTATTGGTCTTGTTGGCTCGATGATAATAATAACAGCTTTATATTGTTTGCTTGCTGTGGCATTGTGCCTAATGCAACCTTTCCGGCAGATTGATAAGGATGCCCCATTTTCAGTAGCATTTGAAGCTGTAGGGATGTCATGGGCTAAGTACATTGTCGCTGCTGGTGCGTTGGAAGGCATGACAACTGCTTTGCTAGTCGGTGCCGTTGGTCAAGCACGATATCTCACACATATTGCACGAACCCACGTGATGCCACCATGGCTAGCACAAGTCCATCCAAAGACTGGGACACCAATTAATGCTACAATTGTTATGCTTACTGCAACAGCCATCATCGGCTTCTTTACAGATCTTGGGATTCTTGCCAATCTTCTATCCGTATCAACATTATTCATCTTCATGCTTGTGGCTCTTGCTCTTCTTGTTCGTCGTTATTATGTCAGTGGTGAGACAACTACAGCAGACCGTAACAAACTAATCACTTGCATCGTGCTTATTCTCGGGTCTTCAATTGCAACAGCTACTTATTGGGGTCTAAGTGACAACAATGATTGGATTACCTACGTGATTACAGTGCCAATTTGGTTCTTAGCTACTCTGGGACTGCATGTTTTTGTTCCAGAGGCTAGTAGTCCAAAACTATGGGGTGTACCATTGGTACCATGGTTACCATCGGCTTCCATTACTATTAACATTTTCCTGCTGGGATCAATAGATGGGGCATCCTTTGTAAGATTTGGTATATGGACTGTTGTGCTGTTGTTGTACTATTTCTTCTTTGGATTACATGCATCTTACGATACGGCAAAGCAATCAGGAGAAAATAAAACCGGAGAAGGCTGGAAGAAAGTTGAAGAAGGTGTTGTGTCTTCAGAGGCCAAGTGATCTGCCATGGAACACTTACAAACGGTAGCAAACTACCAATTCTTCTACAAATTCTAGTGAGTAAGAGTGTTTGTTTATTGTTGTGAATTGTGATCAATGTGTGTGTACTGGAGAAAAGTGTTTGCCTCGTATAGGAAGTATAAAAATTATCTCATCAGGTTGCCACAGGTTCCTATTTAGTGAAAGCGTGTGAATATCTATGATGAAGGTTGTCTGATTGAACGATGCACATTTTAATCAAACACGCTTCCCACACTCGTAAGCAACATTTAGTGCATGATTATTATTAATATAATTAACCCGTTAAGTAACTGTTAACAATGAATAAAATAATTTCTCATAATAATTAATTAACCTGCAGCCAGCTGATCTGCAAGAAAGCTACCTGCTTGGCTCTGTTTCCAGTTCTCAATCAAATTGTTTATTGCATGATTCTGGGCCTACTCTTTGAAAAATCCTGCGGTATTTTGGATTCTCCTGGATTCCTGCAGAGTGCAGACAAATCGGTCGTCGCTGAACTTTATTGTCATCACGTGAATTATTTATGACCACCATTAATTAAGGTTGCATATTATTGACCAGATGTAGCTGCCACCACGACACCGCAATCAAAAGAAATGACTTGGTCTTATTATATCAACTAATAACCGATGTGATTGGAATTTATTATGAAATTCAATAATTTTTTTTTGTGGGTTTTTTTATATTTGATAATTATTTTAAATTTTAATTAATTTAAAATTAAATTAAATCGAATCATATAGTAAGAATAAATTATTTTAAATTTATTTTTTTCATTCACAATACTTAAAATTAAAATTTTATTTAAAAAAAATTAAATTTTTTGTTACTCAAACTAATAAATATAATTAAAATATATAGGAGGCGGTCATTGAGCATACCAATGATTTTCAAAGATTTCAAAACAGTAATTTTTCTGAATTTTTTGTGATATATATTTCAGAATTTCAAAACAGATTACCTTTCTTTTCTTTTCTTTTTTACCCAATAAGGACAACTAAGCTTGGCAGTTCATGAATTTGGGATGTTGGTGGTGAAAAAAAAAGGAAGAAAATATCTAATTTCAACTTATCACTCCAAAGTCCAAATTAACTCAGTGAAATGAATAAGAGGCAATTAAGTTTCCATCTTGGATTGATCAATCCGTTACTGGGTCATTAATAAACCAGTGTTTCAATGGAAAGTGGCATGCAAATATTTTTCTATTTAAGGATTGTATTTATTATTCTTCCCTAACTTGAATGTGCTTATTGTCTTCATTTTAGTTATTTATTCAAATCAATAAATAAAAAAATAGCAAAATTTATGGAATGCTAAACTGCTCTGTGACAAGGAATTTCTCTATTATTCTTCTTATGTTTTATGATTATATAAGTAATAAAAGGAATTAATTTTCTCTCTACTGTATAAATTCATTGAAGTTTTTCCTCTGCATTGAACCCATCCTTGCCTTGATTTTGGGCTCTAGGTAGAGAAGAAACCAAACCCAATTTTTAAGGTCCATTGACCTTGAGGCAGCCTATGGGCCTGGTACAAACAAACCCATTCTTATAAGAGATTATGGAACTGATATTCCATATGCTCTGAAAACAATGTCCATTAATTGGTCGTTTTAATTCCTCAATAATGATATATTTTACCATTTCAGAGTGCTAATGGCGATTGAAAGTGATGTTGGTGGCAATGATAACGGGCTTAAAATGAGGGGATGTGGTTCCACCAAACAAGATTTATTACCACAACAGTCATTTCATAGCTGGACAAGCTAAGTCAATGCTTTGTCTGACACAATATCTACACTTATGACCGTCTACTGGCTCGTTCCTCGTAGCCAGCATGAAATGAGGAAAACTCTGACTTGGTGGGACATGACTTGGTTCAGTAATGGGTGCTTGCTTGCTGCAATACTTGTCCTTAGTTGTTAAGCCGCTAGGAATATATTCAGGTCTAACTGCACTGCTCTCGGTTTTGTGCTATAGTGAAGTCTCTTCCGAATGTGGAATGCATATATAGAGAAATCTCAACCTATAACGGTCCTCGCCAAGAAGAGCACTTTTACGTTTTGTTTTCCTTGCACTTCAGGGGGGTATACCGGTTGGTAGTCAGAACCATATCATAACTTAATAGTATATCCAATTGAATCGATCATGTTGAATCCATCAGGGTTTTCAAGCAATGTTGTTGGACGAGGTTTTAGAACCCAAGGGAGTTTTTTCTTGCTGTATCATGATAATCATGGCCTCTTTAACATGTTAAAAATTTTATCCTTCCTCGAATAGGCCTTCTCGCCAACTACTTTTCCTCTGCAGCATAAGCTTACAGAGGAGAACTTATCAAAGGACAAACTAAAATCTTGCAAATAGATTACAAATATTATCATTCAAATAATGATATACACAAAGCGAAACACCACAGCGGCCAATGCTTTTGAACACGGAACAATGCACAAGATTGGTTGCATGCAGAAATCGTTAAGATGGCAATGACACCGCAAAAAAAAAAAAAGAAAAAAAAGGGAATGCTTTTTGAGACAGACCTAAAACACCTACGGTCAAATACTTTTTGATGTGTTTACATTTTCTAACCAAATTTATGTCTCTATCTTGAGGAGAGAATTGAGAGATGTACTGTTAAACCGCTGAGCAAGACCACGGATCACAAGAACGATAATATCCCGCAGATGTCGTGAATGCACCATGAGGTCTACCTCATTCTCGCTGTCCACAACAATCCTAAGTCGACGTTGGTCATTGCGGAAAAGCTCCACCTGTCACAACTTGGACCCTTTAGATTTTATAAAAAGAATAAATAACTCGTAGAAGAATGGCATACGATGCTCAAAGCTTTCTAAGCTGATGCAAATCAAATTGTCTAAAATTTCAGTATCCCTAGTGTAAAAGCCCTGGAGTTGGAATCTTTCTCCCACCCTTAATTTGGCAATTCAGGTACCAAGAGGGCTAGACATAATTACTTGTTCTAGTGATCAATTCTTAAGGTCTTGATGAGAATTCATTCATCATTAAAAGTTTGTTTTTTTAGTTTATAAAAAATGTTCCTTTTTCTCTTTTTAAGAAATGTTGGAGGTCGTTGAATAGATATCAATTCATTTGATCCTATAATTTAATGGACCAACTAAAGGATAACAACTGTGGATTGCATTGTCCGACAGACATAAAATTAGCTCTATCAAGAAACAAACTTACATGAAAAGGAGGAGCATAGGTTCCACGAATTTCGGTAGTAGGAAAAGAAGTCTTTGAACCAGGCTTCACGACCTTGACTCGTTTTCTATTAATTTCCAGGATTCTTCTCTCAAGACATCCTTCTCCTGGAACCTGCAAGATAATAATGATAAAAATAGATCATTTTTTTCTTTCTGAAACAGAATAACCATATAAAAGAATAAAAAGAGAGAATATGAAATGAGAACCTTTTTTGGATTGCGGTACTTATCACATAAGACCTGTTCCAGAGCTAGATGCCGTAAGTCAAGGAAATTGAAAAATATAAACAAACTTTGCCAGTTCATTGTCTTAATTTTTTTTTTTTCACTAGGATTAAGTCTCAGGTATATTTCTAGTTAATTCCCTCTTTTTGGCTCCTTTATTTGGTTTATGGTACTTAACCAAACTTTTCTAAAATTATTCTTGTAACTTTTGAAAGTTGAATGAGTAAAGCAGATTGTGTGCCTCTATCTTCAGAGTAACAAAAATAAAAAGATGTATCAAAACCCAAACATAAGTAGGTTAAGTAAGAGAAAACTAATGTGGTGAAAAGAAATACACATCAGTAGAAAACAAGGAATATAATCTCACCTCAAACTTTACAGATCCAAGATCAAGTTTCTGTTTCACTTCTTTATAAACATCAGGCTCTGCAATTCAGACAATGCCCAATAAACAAAAGCATAGAAACATAGAATACATTAAAGTTGAAGAACAATTTGTACAACAGTTAGAAGCACCTGCACCACATTCAAGTTGGCCTTTTTTTTGTAGGATAATATACACATCTAATTACAAAGAATGGAAATCTGAAAAATTATCTAACACCAGCTAAACCCATCCAAAGTATAGTCTTTTGGCAGAGCTTGAATCAAACCACATGAGGTGAATTTGCCCAAGTAGAATGAGATAAAAACTTCCATGAATTAAAAAAAGGTTACCATTAAACATGTTAACTTAAACTGAAAAGAAATTGACAAAAAGAACCCTTTAAATACATCTTTCAATTAAGCATTTTCATTTGTATGATATGTGTTGCACAAATTAATATGTAATTATGCTTTAAAACATTTTTAAATAAAATAGAAACTATGTGCTGCACAAAGCTCAGGTTTCTATGAGCCGCCAAAAGCTCAGACTAAAACCAGGTTTCTATTTGACTGAATGCTGTACAATATCACTGAAAAATTGTTCATTTGATATCATTTTCAAGTTCGGATATCATGGTTTTTGGCGTTGGGGTGCTTAAAATATTAATACCAGTAATAGTTATTGGTTGAAAAAAGAACAGGAGGTGAGCTTCAGAATTACCAACTGCAATTGGCTCTGTTGATGCAGAAATAGGCTGCCCCTCAATGCCATCCTCTCTTATTGGTGTATAAATAGCAACCAACCTGTATCCCACATCATCAACATTAGCTTCGTACATCCTCCCTGTTTCACCTGCAGAATCAGTCAATCTTTCAGAACATATAAAACGAATGGAGCCTGGACATTATGCTTTAAAATTTTCAGTTTGTAAATAAGATTCCATATAATCTCATAAGAGAAGTTCAATATCTTAAGAAAGGAATCTTAAAGTGTCAGCACATAGCCAGACAGTAAATTCAATCTTTTTTCTTTTCTGCAACTTCCTATAAAAAAAAGTCAAAGGTAGCTCTTTGAACTGCAGTCAGGGTACTCTCACTCACTTAACCCTGCTAATATGACACAGAAGAAAAGTCTTCTTTTGTGCTTTTACAAAATCTCATTTGCCAAGACACAAGCCAATTAGCTGTCTGTTCAGGTAACATAGCAGGAAGCATGTCGTTCACAAGCTAACATAAGTTTTCCACATTCTCACAGATGTAATGTCAGTGGACCCATTTAATTCAGAAAATAAAAGTAGAGGCTCAAGAATGTAACCCCAAAACAGTTGGTATCATACTTCGTAAACTAACATCAAATTTAAAAACTAATGCAAGGTTGATTTGATTATGTTTCCCCAACATTGCTGATATTAACCCTAATTTAAGAGGTTATCATAAGTTGCTGCTTCAAAAATAAAAGTTTCCTGCTAAAAAATTAGATTCTCAAATCTTGACCAGAAACAAGGGCAAAAACGGATTCTTGCCAGCATCCAATGATTGGAAATTCAACCAACCAATTATGTCAATATCTAAAATCCTTAGCAGATCCAAGGATTTAGAGTACCTGGTATGGAGATAAGATCAGGACTGCCAACCATTGACCTAAGCCACTGAATTTTACTTTTTCCTTCTTTTCCTCCAGTATAAGTGCCACGTACAGCATATAAATTGGTGTGAAAGCCCCTTCCTTCAATTTCTAGCTTATCAATTCTAGGAATCCCTGAAGATACAGAGACCTTTAGTATCAAATGAAAGAACAGATGAAAAGAATAAATAAATAAATAAATAAATGATTCTTACTACAGAAAACAACAGCACTAATTATTCTTATATACAATGCTATTTGATATCTTCAATCTTTATTAACTTATTTCAGTAAGTCCCTCCTCCCTCCACTGAGGCAAGCACCCATTTTACACCTAAAGATTGTGCAACAGGAGTTTTATCCCAACTAAACACTGGAATCTATATTTAACTTCAGTTATTTTGAGCAGCCCACACAGAAGTAATTACTCTAACACACCAAAGGTAGTTCTATCTTAAGGACCATCTCATTCCAAAAATGAAGATAGATGGATGAATGAGCTAACCATACTAAATTTGTTAAGCAAGAGATAATTTCCCTTTGAAGTGAATAAAGTGAATGTATGTGAAATGCAAATAACCTGGTAATACAGGAGCAGTCTCAGCATATGCTGGCTCACTTGACCTTCCAAATACATCCGTCACAATACATTCACATTTTAAACACCTACCAATGTCCTCAAAGCGAACTCTGAAAGAGCAGGAGCGTTGTGAAGGTAAAGGCTCAAAGGATTTTCTATCCTCTGTTTCTGATGAAAAGAACCTGCACAATCCTTCATGTTACATTTAAAACAAAATGAAATAACAATTGCAGATAAGAGAAAACAAAAAAATATTTTTACTGCTTTGCTCGGGTTCAAAGCTTTTTAATTCTTCAAAATGATTCCCTTCATAATTCAGCTTCATGTTAAAAAATTTCATAGCAACAATAGCAGCAGGGGACTTTAGTGATTGCCTTAGAATATTAACAAGATCATGTACAATGTGGACAATACCATTGGTAGCGGACATCTTTCTTGTACTTGCTCCAAACACATTGTTGGATTTCACTTTTTGGAATCACTTCAACTGCAGTTAGCACATCACCTTCTATTGCCTTTCCAGTGAGAGCAAGCATCTCTACCATTGGAAGCTCTGAAGGCAGGAATTTTTCCAATTCAAATCAAAATAATGTTTTTCAAGTTGCAAAAATAAATAAATAAACAAGTTGTAATTAGCATCAATTAGGATTTCTTCAAGTGCTAGGGGGGGTGGATGATCTGATAGAAATTCTAAGCTTGACTGGTAATACTCTCGTCTCATACACCAAAAGAGTGCTAGCACCCATTAGTTACTGATATAAATATCTATAACTTAGTTAAATGAAACAAGTTTTTAACTTCTCAAGTTCAGGCCTCAGTGAACAGGTTTGAATCATAACTCACATAATTGATGCTGAAATGTAAAAGGGCAGCAGAACTAGACCAGATGAGACAGGAGATACAGATGGAAGAGAAATGTAACAAACAAATAATGAAATTCTAAAAATCTTCTCGACACGATGGGAATTCCATACATTCTTGCCCTCTACAGAAATCTCTATTTCAAATAATACTTACCTTCCCAAGAAACAAAGGCAAATGTTTCACTTACCAGGGAGAACAATTTCAGTTGGTTCAGACAGCCTAAGTTCTCCAACAACTGAATCTGAACGAACTGGTGTGTACCTGAAAGAAGCATTTAACAGCTACAATTTAAGCATTAAGGCTTCTAAGGTTTGAAGATCAAATTTTTTGAAGGTTAATCACTACTTTTTTCTATATAAAAGAAAACTCGACATGTCCATTTAACATTCAACAAATTTCCAATAGAAACAAACAAGAAGAATCATTTTAAGTTAAACATGGCACAATTTATCAGGTTTCAGGAAACTTATTTGGTAACGACAACATAATCAATACTTTTATTAGAGAACATCTAGCCTCCCAGTAAAAGGAGTTTAATGGAACAGTTACCCGAATAACAAACGGCTGTTGTAATCTGCATCAGTGACCTCATAAGTTTTAGAATTAGCCCCATTGATGAGAATGATTGTTCCATCATTAGTTTCTCTGTACCAACTAAAAAGGCTTGATCCCTCATATCCACCAGAATATTCTCCCTCTCCAGAATATATCCCTGAAGCCAGCTTCTCCACACGAACGCTAGAAACTACGGGAGGTGCTGTAATATTATTCACATTTAATGTGTTAAACAAAAAAATAGATTCAAAAGAAAGTTAAACTATAGCATGCACACAATACAAACCCTTACAACCATTCAAGCTCAACAAAAAAGTTTAGAACCATGAATATCATTACGGATACCAGAAAAAGCGTCTACTGTAATAAGATAATGCTTAGTAAAGACTATGGTTGTTATTCGCTATGAAGCAAAACTATATGAAGCATAAATGAAGAATCACAGATATACCTGGGTTAACTGGTGAGTTGGAAATTGCAACTAGTGGCTTTCCAGATCTGCCATCAACACGAGTGGGTAGCCAATGTAATGCTAAATAAGCACCCACATCTTCAAGTGATGGAGTATATGTGCTGCCAAAGTGGCAGATATTAATAAATGTTCATTTTACACATGCAGAATGAATTCAGAAATCCTGGAACCTATCACATGATATTAAAACTTACAATGTTTGACCACAGATAACAACATCTTCAGAAGAACTAGATATATCTGTAAATGCCAACCCATTTAGCATAGTCTTTGTTCTATACCAAATATACTCTCCAACACCTTCCTGTCCACCAAAGTATGTTTTCTGTGGAACAACCTCCTGGTTCTCATAGCAATCAGGAATGACTAGGTCCAAACCGACCGGATCCGCTGATACAAGAAAATTTTGGGGGCAGTTAGGGTAACAAGCAAGGTATCTAGTGTCCAAATTGAAAACAATAAACAAACAAACTCAATGATGAGCTGCATAACTCACCAGGAGAAACCTCATCAGATAGTATGCTCCTAGGATTCCCTTTGACTCCATCTTTGCGCATGGGAGTGTAAACAAGTTCAATACTTCTTCCCACATCATCAAGAGTTAAATCCAGAAACTCTGGGAAGATATGCAACAATTTCAGCCTTGCACCTCCAAATGGCTATCCAGAAAATTTTAAATAACATTCAATAACAAAACTCACCATCAGTACTTAGTTTCTCCTTGGCCCCATTTGTTTTCACTCTAAGCCATTCGTGAGAACAATCTCCCCTCTCCCTGAATCACAAACAACAAATTCAGTTCAACAATGTCTGTTTACTACAACAAGGATACAAGAATAATCACTCATCAAAGATGATGGCATTTCACCAAGAGTCTCACCCTCCAATATATGAAGCAATGAAGCTCAACCGCTGTCCCTCCATCATTGATCCAAGAAACTCCAGAGACTTACAAGTAGGGGGACCTGCATTTCAAATTTAATTTCCAGATTACATCTATTTCCATTATTAATGACTGAATTCTTGGCAACCTAATAGGTAAAACAAATCAATGAAGAAAAACAACGAAAAAACTTTTTTGACAATTCTCGGGAAGTTAAATCTATACCAGCTACTATAGGTCCAATTTGTTCAGAAAGAACAATGGGACCACGAGCCCAATCACTTCTCACAGGCTCACATGAGACTGAAATAAAGAAACCAATATCATCAACTGTCAGCGTGTATGATGAGGCACTGGCACCCCTAATCTCACATTGAGAACCATCTGAACTAGTCTGCAATAGAATTTCTTGATTAATAAGTCACAGAAAGAGCAAATAAAATTCTAAATGAAACAACATGAAAGTAGTATTCAATAAAATTTCATCTATTTCAGCTTAGAATACCAGTTATATATTTCATGTGCCCTACAAGAAATGTTTCATGCACACTGCATCTGAGTAAGAGGAAGATAGAAAGTATACAGAAAAACATAGTTAGATACTTACCCAAAACCAGCGAAAAACTGAATCTCCCTCTTCACCACCCCAGTACCTTTTGTCAACACTCAAAATAGTTCCTTCAACAGCATTTCCAACTATCTGCAGAGCAAGCAATCTTGGGCTTCCTGATCATCAAGAAGCACGGAGAATAAGAACTAAATCCAATGATACCAAATTTAATAATAACCATGAATGCACCAAAACAAAATTCTCCTTTAGAAGCATCAAAAGACAAGCAAAAAAGGCCTAGTTGACAGGAAAACAAAGGAAAATAACAACCATTCCATTATTAAATCGCAAAAAAGGAAAAATAAAATGGATATTAGACATACAAAAAATGTAAACTTAAGTGCATTCCATGTTTGGCATGTCACAAAGAGGATATGGAATATGCATTTCCTATGCTTGCCACCAAAAACATATTTTAGGAATAGCATGTTTATAGAAAAAGCACCACATTTGATGTAAAACAAGTTTCTCCGTGCATCCTTTATGCTATATAAGGTTATTTTTGTAGCATAACAGTAACCTTCCTAAAAGCATACTAAGTTAGAGAGAAGTAACTTATAATGAATTTCAGAACAAATCGACATATTAAGAAGATAACTACATTCAAAATGCTCATTTGAATCAGTCTCTAGAGCATCTCCAGAAGAAATACAAAGCCATCAAGTAGATGAAATGGGTAAAATGAGACAATGTTGCAGTCCTAAATAACAAACTTCTCTTAAGTGTACTTTCTCCAATTCAATAATTGTTCTCCATTCTCCAATAAAGTAAATGATTACAACTATTTTTTTTCAAATTTCACTACAAAAGTTCAATTAGTTAAAATTAACATGTTGGAGGAAGAAAGAATGAGCTAGAGTATGATTATACTCTTACAAAAAATAAATACATGCGAGATAAAAGATAACAAGTTACCAGGACGAACACGTTCCTGTCCCAAGCAAGTTCTTGGCTCGCCTACAATCCCATCATCACGCACTGGGGTACATTGAAAGGAGATGAAATTACCGATTGCATCTTTAGTAATGCGATACTCAAGAAGCCCTGAAACCTCGTGTATCAGAGTACCAGTGTCATTTTCAACCTACAGATTCCAAGATCATAGAAGTTAGTAATAGCAAAACTCATTTAAAAAACTTAGCTTAGGTGCTTCTAATGCTTTTTTTTTCTTGATATTGTGGTATGCGTTTTTTCTTCTTCTTCTTCTTCTTCTTCTTCTTCTTCTTCTTCTTCTTATTATAGCGGAATCAAATGAATACATAATTTCACATGAAACTAAATACATTTATTACATCTACACTTAACATTGTGAATAAACTCAAAACGATTTTGCAAGTTAACAAACCCGTATGAGAAACAGAAATGTATACCTCATGAAGGTACCAATTGTATATACTTTTCCCTTCATGACCCCCTATATAGCCATATGATGCTGTCAGTACACCACCTTCACTATAATCACCCGTGATAGATAAGAAATTTAGGCTGGGGGGAAGAGCTGTACAGATTAAAAGTATATACACATGTACATTAATCAGATAAGCGAATTGTGGAACCAAAAAGAAAAAAGGTTGAGATCACAGAATCAAAAGTTAATAGTTAACTAAAACTTCCCATACTCATAACTTATCATTCTCTTTCCACTAAAAGTATATACACATGTACATTAATCAGATAAGTGAATTGTGGAAACCAAAAAGAAAAAAGGTTGAGATCAAAGAATCAAAAGTTAATAGTTAACTAAACCTTCCCATACCTGTTATTTTCTTTCCACTAAAATCCATCATAATAAGTACAGAAACAGGAAAATTTTACTTACTCTCCACTGCTCGTTCCGATATAACATATACTGGTTCACCAGATTCACCACCAGGAGTCATCGGAGTATATTTTGCAACAATATAATAGTCAACTGCTCCTAGAGGTATGCGGAATGCCTAAATAGAGGTCAAAGCTCAACTAAGAGTTTGCATCAAGTATACAATTAAGAAGATGAGAGACTATATGTGCAGATATTTTAATCACCAACCTTAGCAACCTTGGATGTGCTCATTGCTTCAAGGTCATTCTCACCATTGAGTGTCGAAGAATTTGTCTTAAACCACTGTACTCTGCTTGAACCTTCAGTACCTCCAGTGACAGTACCAGTCACAGTAATCTTACTGTTCTCCCTCAAATCGCCAATTATCTTAACATTTGTTACTTTCGGTGGAGCTGGAAAATTAAATAATAAGACCTCAAAAGAAAGAAATCAATACCAAGAAAGCAATCATACTGACTAAGAATCAATCCTCATCTGTAAGGATAATAAACAAGGACTGAAACCTAAATATCATAGCTAACATTTCTTGTCCCAAGTGGTAATTCACACGCATAAGATAGTAGAGCATAAATGATAAGCAAGCTAGGAACATAAAAATAGTTTGCAATCAGTATAAGCAGATAACAATACCTCAATGTACAAATTAAAAATATTTATTTTGGGGTAACATTCAACAAGTCCAATGTCATAGACAAGTGAACTTTTATAAATATTAGAATGGAATAGCACTGCAATTGTACGTAATTATGATAAAGAAGTTAGGCACAGGTTGCAGCAGACTCATATTTTTTTCACAGATTATACATGATAAAGAGGATAAGAATTTACTCTAAAAGCAAGCAAAGAGTTGCCAATAAAATAAAATTTAATAACTATGATATCAGTTCACTCAATTAACAAACTTTTTTAATTATGGATCTACTATCAGTTTAACAAACAAAAAATGATAAAACATAATAACCCTGAAATATAAACAAAATGAGCATACCTTGCCTCACTGTACCAGAGACTATTGACACAGATTCCCCTTCCTGTCCTGAAAATTATGAATACCACCATGTTACCGATTTAAAAGTATCTTGATAGTAAACAACCATGTAAAACTTCAAATAATTGTGATGGGGATATACCCTCGAAGTTTATAGGTATATATATGAAAGCCATGCGTCGCCCAACATCTTCTTTGGTCAAAGTATACTCAGATGTACCACTGGTCACCATCAGAAAGTCTCTGTCAACAAATTCCAGTAAAAGGATATGTGAAGACTAAACTAATGTCAGGTAATATAAGAAAATTATTATGAAAATGAAGTTAGATATAAGTCTCTAGACATAATTTTTGTGAAAATAATCCAATCATCAAAATAAGAGAGTGATTAAGAAGTTATCTCCATACAGCAGAAAGTTTACTCACACAAACAAAAGAAAGCCCAAGTGAACAATAAAACTGTATGAAAATAAGGCAACATAACAATCCATAGAAAAGTTATATTGAATATGAAGATAGATGAAAATCTTCAAAACACAATTTTTGTAAAAGAAATCTAGCCATCAAGATAAGTAAGCGTTCATTAAATTATCCATACACAGTAGAAAAAATTGTCCGTGCATATAAGAGGAATGCCACAATAAATATAAAGAGGGAGAGAAAACTGAAATTAACAATAGTCTGTAAACGGAATTAGATTAACTACAACTTTTGGCCAAAACAAGAGAAGGATTTTATCTACTTATGCTCCTAAGAAGTAATAACTCATTGTAAAAGTGTACTAACCCAGTCTCCTTATTCTCACGTAACCACTCAAACTTGCTGGGACCCTCTCTTCCTCCAAAGTAATTGCCAACTCCTCTGATGACATTTCCTTCTACAGCATCTCCAATAATTCGGACGTTACTGACGGATGGGGGAGCTGCCAGCATGATTATAATCATTTAAATTGGTATTGGAAGAGAAAAGCACAAAAGAGGAACAGTAGGACATATGCTCCCTCAACTTAGAATCTCTTTGTTGAACTTTAAAAAGAAACGATATGAGACTCAACAGAAATGGCAAACCTAATTCTACTCACAAAGATATCAAGACTTCAAGAAGACGTCTATGTCTTTTAAACAATGACATAACAAACTACAATGTGCAGCTTACATGCATACAACAATGTGAATCAGCTAATATAAATACAAACAATTGCTATAGAAATCACATACAATTGCTATGGAAATAAGTTATCTCCCAGAGAGAATGAAAAGTGTGAATTTTAAAAATGTGATACCACCAAGCAACTTTAATAATGTATTTAAGAAACAAAATTAAATTAAATCCAAGCCGGAAGAACAAGATATACACAGATTTTTCCCACATACCTGCTTTGACAAAATCTGTATACTTATATTGAGGCTCCCCTTTGGCACCTTCTTCTGTAACTGGCGTATACATAAAGACCAAACTGGAGTCAATGTCATCTATGGTCAATTGATACTCTTCATCCTCTGCTCCAGCAATTACCACTGGGCTGCTGTTCCATCTTCGCCTTAACCAGCTGAAAAATGTGGATGACAAACAAGTTATCCACAAGGTATCATTTAAAACAAATCCACAAGCAAGCATATATGTGTATCAGTATGGTCAAGTCCTAAAACCACTTTAGGAAGCATTCTTACCTAGCAACACCCTTCCCAGGAGTCCCACCACACCATGCAACCTTAGCATGACCCTTGATTACGTTACCTTCCACCAGTTCACCATGCACTTCAAGGTTTACAACCTTTGGAATTCCATTTCCTTCACAACGCAGAGAAGCAAGCTTTGAAACCGGAGAAGATAAAACTGATTTGTACAAAGTGAAGAAATAAGCTCTGAAAATATGCATGTGCATAGAAATCCAGAGACATGTACACGGATTCTGCTCTCTGCATGCACATGCACAGAGGCATATTGCAAAACACAGAAGCAACAAGGTGATTTTGACGTGAACCCACAAGTACAATTTCAAAATCAACATCAAGCTAACACCGCCTAGAAAACTAAATGCCATCCAGATAAGGAAAACTTAATAACTACAAGGCATAGGATATACCTCGTGCAACCGGAGACGATATGACAAAAATTGGAGGATACTCGGTTTGCCCTAAGACTGGAGTACATTCCACTTTTAAAATTTTATCTATGTCTTCATGCTTTGGCCAATAAACCTAAAAAATCACATGATACCAAAATATGATTTAGCCCAAAAAAAAAAAAGGATGCCACTATAAGGTGTAAGATAGAAGTATTAATCAACCAAAAAAGTTTAAAGCACAAGTAACAGCCTAGCAAGAATCAGTTACCTCCCCATTGGCATCAGGAATATTAGTGAAATTAGAAAGCATTCTCTCTCCCAGAAACCATTTATACTGTAAGATTAAATCTGGATCAATGCTCAGTGTGCTCTCCTGAACAAAAACAATGTGACATCGACAAGCATCCTCTTCAAAAGGTTTGTCAATAGAGGCTTCTTTAAGCATGTAACCAGGAGGAAAATGATCCTTCCATTGCTCAAACAGGAAGCGAAATGTTGAGTCTGCTGACAAAATCATACATTAAAATATGCAATTTCCACAGGAGACCATGTATGATTTTTACATGCATGTACAACCCCCCCCCCCCCAGTAGAATATTTAGTTGCATCCAGCATTCTTGAACTCATCCCATGTGGCACATATGTTTTAAGATCAATTAACAAGCAAAATTTTAAGTACCCAATGGATATAAAAGTTAAAATAACATAAAACATTCGAAGGCCCAACTACATTTCATCTTTGTGCCTTTTCTGTTACTTCTGTAACAACATAACAAACATCAAAGTATGCTTTCACAAGTACATCTCCCTCAACTCCCCCCTTCTTACTGCCATATGTAACACTATTGCTGGAAATGCATGAATCACGTGCTATCAGATTCTTAAATCATATTCTCCCTGTTTCCACAGACTGGCATACATGGACTGAAACTTCTCCTTCCAAAACTGCCAAGCATCATATACTCAACAAATTATGTAAACTGTTAACCGCCCTAAAAATGAAATGCAAGCTCAAAAGAATAGTGAAACCATGGCTATTAGCAATAATTTGCAAAGCAAAAGGTAATAAGAAGTGTATTACAAAATACAGACCTGCTGCATGCTCTGGACGACAAAACTCCCAACCATCCCTAATGCACGAAGCTGTATGTGCAGGATAACGCTTTGCAAGTGCCAGCTCATCTCGAGAAAGATCTATGATAATATTCCATATTAATCCCAAAAGGAACATTGAAGCAAACTAGTTTATAGATAGTCAAAAACAATGTTTCTCTTGCTTAGAATAGTTAAGGCAAAGAAAACAAAAGATACATTCTTGAGTTTCCTAAACCAATATATAAATACACCAAAGTAATGGTACCTCTATCATTAAATTTCTTCAAGGTAGGCCCAACAAGCAAAATGGAAGCTGCTTCCACATGAGGCATCTTAAGTATAGGGTTCTCTTCCACTCGCAAATGCTGCACAACAGCACAATGACAAAACACATTATGATGTAGTATATACCAACCTATATTACAAACTCATAGCACTAACTGACCTCAAGGACAGGAAGATAAGGAAAACCCTTTAGAGTTGATATTTTGTTTTTGCTGGCAGCTAAAACCTGTGTAGGAAAATATGAAACAAATTATATCAACAGTATACAAGAAATTGTTATATGAAGAATAACCAAATAAGCAAACATTCAAAGCAGGAAATGAACCTGTAGTCGAGGTTGACTTGCCATTGAAAGAGACTTCAACTTGTTTTGAGCAACAGAGAGAAACTAGAGAAAAATGGAAAAACAAAAGAAAATGTGCAAAATATGTAGAAGGCCTTAATAAAATGTAAATCATGAAACAAGATCATCAAAATCAACACTACTTTAAGAGCTCACCTCCAAGTTGGGTAGCTGAGGTAAACTTACAAGTGAAGTGATTTGATTCCCAGCAAGATATAATTGCTACACAAGTAATAAATATATTAGGAGCATGGAGGACACCAACATTCGCTCTTGGCATTCAAGAAAGAAGTTTGCAAGAAAGGCAAACCTGTAGGGCTTTGCAATTCTCAAGAGGTTCAAATCCAGGCCCTTTAAAATCATTAAAGCTCAAATCAAGAACCTAGAAAGAATTTAGTCCAAATAAAATACCAAGTTATTCATAAATATAAATATAAAAAATAAGTTCTTCCTTATGTTTTTATGCCTGTGAGAGACAAAAAATTTTGCAATTCACAAATTAACAAACCTTCACTCGTGTCAATATCTCAACTCCTTCGAGTGTTGATAATAGATTATCTCTGAGATAAACAAACTGCCAAAATAAAAGATTTAGCAAAAGGAGCAATAATAGGAGATTTAGGAAAACTTCTCAAGTAATATTCTAGTCTCAACCCATAGTCCTGCCAATATGAACAACCAATATCAGATTGATTTCACTTCAGTTCCTATGTTCCGTTATCCCTGCCTCAAACTTATTTCTAGACAATAATCATGTGCACAAATGCTTTACAGTTATACAAAGTTGTAGGAATCCAAATTTATCAAAATGTTAATAATAAATTTAGAATCCAGGCTCTCCATCTCTATGTTGAGGAGTTTACATGTCAAGCCCAACAAACTGGGCCTAAAAATGGAAAATATCCCAAATAATGGACATACAAGTCATACAATAGCAACCAAAGAGTTAAGTCTCTTATAGGACCTTAAGTATATGGAAGTTCCACAAGAAAAAAAGAGAGAGAGAGAGAGAGAACGAAATTGTCCGATATGGTGCAGTATTAAATGACAGAAATAACCAAAATTTTCTAATAAAATGGGGTGGATTTATATAAGTATGTCTGATAAAAGAATTAGTTCACCTCTAGATTTGGTGACAAGTTCAAGCCACTAGCATTGAGGCTGCGCACTCTATGGCCCCTAAGATCCAATCTCTGATAATGCAGTGGGGAAACAAAACAACTGTGTCAAATCACAGCTTAGCCAGAAGAAATATGGCATTTGATGAGTAAATAAAAAGCCATAGAAAATATATATATATATATATATACACACACACACACACATACATACAGATATAAAGAGTGAGATGTATATGTACGTAGGTAAATTTACAAAAACAGCCAACAAGAAACTACAACTTTAAGAACAGCTTAAATGAAACGCAGATAGCCAGTTGAAGAAAATCGGTTAACCAGCTCATCTTATGCATGTCTAGGCTATAACTAAGGTCTTCCTAGTATGTGAAACTGTCAAGTGTTCACTGCATGAGGGAATCAGACAAGTGATGTCCTACAAACATAGTTGATTCAAAGACAAGTTTTTCTCACTACAATACAGTGGTCGCTTGAAGATAAATCCTATAAAGCAGACTAGGTAGTTCCACAAGCGTGTCAAGGACAATAATATCTGTTTTCCAGAATGGAAATAAACTTATGGTACGACATAAACCAATTGCAAAGTGTTCATGTTGAAATTAACAGAAAAGGCAATGTCACTGAAACATATTAGGTTCTCTATTGATATTGTGATCAAATCCTAGAAAACATAACTAAGGTCTTCCTAGTATGTGAAACTGTCAAGTGTTCACTGCATGAGGGAATCAGACAAGTGATGTCCTACAAACATAGTTGATTCAAAGACAAGTTTTTCTCACTACAATAAAGTGGTCACTTGAAGATAAATCCTATAAAGCAGACTAGGTAGTTCCACAAGCGTGTCAAGGACAATAATATCTGTTTTCCAGAATGGAAATAAACTTATGGTACGACATAAACCAATTGCAAAGTGTTCATGTTGAAATTAACAGAAAAGGCAATGTCACTGAAACATATTAGGTTCTCTATTGATATTGTGATCAAATCCTAGAAAGCAGACTAGGTAGGTCCCAGAAGCATAGCTATGATAAGTGATAACCATGACTAAATTGAGAAAAGTGTTAACGGTATTGATGCATACCATCAGAATGCTATTGTGTAACAAATATTCTTACCACATCATCACCAGCTTTGATCTCCACCTGTGGAAGAACAATGAAACGTGAATCTCTACTTTCTGGGGTCACTGCTTTCTTCCGCCCAGATAAATTAGAACTCCTATCCAGCGATGAAGACAAGGACCCAGCTCTTAAACCTCCGGATATTGTTGGTGATCGGGCAGTTGGAGAAGAAACCTTTGAGATTGTCTTTCTGCTTGTGCTACTGGCAGTGCTGTCAAGTGATGAAGAAGTAATCTTTTTCAAAGAAGAAGACGCTGATACTGCTGGCTTTATGGTTGTCTTTCTCACAGTTCTTTGTGTACTTGTATCAGATGCAGTTGATGTACTTAAACTTCGACCCACCAGTGACATTGGAACCGACTTCCTAGTCTCTGAAAGGTTTGCTCGGGATGTTGGTTTTGTTGCCGCTGAAGGCAGTGAACTTCTTCTGAGTTCTGGTAAGGACCGCCTAACCGACTCAGTAGCCGAAGGAATGGTGGGTTTCTTGCCTGCAACAGTACTAGCATTGTTTTGCTGTCTTGCATTAGAGGCTGATGACTTCTCAGTCATGCCCCCTGTGCTGTTTCTTCTTGTCACCCCAACAGAATTTGATGATCGCAATGAAGAAGATATAGTTGATCTGGCAAAACCTGAACTTAATTCATAACCATTTCTAGTATCACTTCTCTTTCTGGTTGAATCAGCCTGTGTTGAGACTTTTGTCTCTGCTGCTTCACTAGATTTCCCAGATTTAGTAGCCTTTTTCACACTTTCTGCCGGACTTTTAGCGAACTGGTTCTCCAAATTTAGGGGCGTTACCACCGGATCTTCACCAGGTTGTGCTTCGGGGTCCTCCATTTTAAGCTACAACACTAGTTCTAGCAATTCAGAAACAAATGTGTCATTCAACCCCATGAAAGTGCTAATCAACAAACTCAAAACTGAAACTTTCCCACATTGTTCTCTGTTTAAGAAACAGCAAAGCCAAAAGCAAAGAAGGAAATGAACTAAACAGTAAAGCTTACAATAAAATTTGGGGCTCCGTAATCTTAATAGAGCTTTCTTAACCAAAACAAGCTAAATTTCACGTTGCTTCAAAAACAAACCAAATTAATAAGCAACCAAATTCCTTCTTATATTTCGTTTTCGTTGTAATCTGAGAAGTGACTGTGCCCCATTTGGTGACCGACAAAACATGGTTAAAAAAGAAAACAAAGCAAAAAAGAAGTATTGACTTTAAACGTTCGTACTGTTCACTCACTGTAACCACTGCTTAAGTTAAGGTGTCTATTTCAGTCCTTTAAAACCAAACCGAATAGAAAAATAAAACAAAAAAAAAAAATGACAGCCTTTTTTTCTTTCCCACTTTCCTCACTTTTCTTAGCTACCAAACGGATAAGAATGCAACCAACCAAAACCGAAACACATTATGCCAAAAGAATTTTTTTATAAAAAAAAACCAAATTAAAAAAGAAAAAAGGACTTACAAAGAGCAAGGCTCAGCAGATATGAGAATTACAGGAAGAGAAAGATCATGCTTGGATCTAGCACAAAATGCAGGTTCTTTAGCTAAAATTGAAGTGCTTTAACTCGATCTGTGGGGAGAGAGAGTTAAAAAAAAAAAAAAAAGAGAAAGTGGAAAATAAGAAAAAGAAAAGCAAAAAGCAAAAGAAAAAAAAATGAAACAGAGAATCTTTTGGCTCAATGCACAGAGCAATGTAGATCTGGTGAAGACAAGTACGGAACTAAAACAATTTCTAGAAAGAAGTTACTACTATTACAGCTAGGGTTTTAGATTTTCAAAGAGAACAAGAAAAAGAAACTTGACAAGAAGGGGCACAAAAAGCAAAGCCAAAAAGGTAAGGTAGGAGAGAGAGACAAAGACAAACGGAGTTGGAGAAAATGAGTTGAGAGAAATAAAAAAATGAAAAGAGGGATAGAGAAAGAGAGAAAAGAGCACAGGGAAGCGTGAGTGAGTGAGTGAGTGAGTGGGTGCGTGTGCTTATTTCGTTGTCTTTGAATTGTTTTTTGAAAAATGTTTTCTATTGACTAAATAATTGACGCCGTGGCGGAAAATACTCTTTGAAAAATCTGGCGAGTTCACTCAGAACCCCACACCTGGGTTACAGATTCTGACTCGAAGATAGGGCAATTTGTGGCAAGTAAATTACAAAGTGACGCCATGGTATTTTGCTGATTTTATAGGCTTTTCCATTTATAAAAGTCACTTTTAAACTGGATTATTATCAATTTTACCGGGAAACAAACAACCGCCAATAAAGAAATCTTGTTATGCTTTTCTTGTAAAATAAAAGTTTAAATTATTATAAAAAGTAAAATTAAAAAAATTTTACTAGAAAATAACAAATGCTGATATTTCAAACAAGAATCTAAAGAATTTGGTTTGAGGAAGCGCTGCTTACCTTTGATCGAATCATTGAATTACCTGAATCTTGAATTTGAAGCTTCCTTTTTACTTTTGTCTTTTCAGCACCGAGGACGGGTGAAACGTAGCATTACTCCAACAATAAAAATCGCAAGCCCATCAAAATCAATAAACAAACTTAAATATATAAAATTTCCTGATAAAGTGAACGGCTAAACTTTACCGTTGGAAGCCATTGTCGCGCAATGGGTTACTGGAAACAAAGTATTGGACCCATAACTGATGGGAAGTGGGTCACCGAGATATCGATCCTAACCTTAACTTCATTGCTTTAAGACCACGCAACTCAATCTTGGATGTGTTTTATCCGACATCGAGCCCAACCCTAATTTTGCGTTAGCTTCAGATTAACGCCGACAGATCTTGGATCTTGCATCTGCTGCTGTCTTGAGCCCAATGGGCCTAACACAACATTTATATCCCACTATTTATATTTTAATTCCTAAAATAACCCTCGATCTATAAACTTTTATTTTATATTTTGTATTTATATTTAAATTAGTTTATTTTTGTAGTTTATGTTTCATACTTTAATTTTATTTTAATAATATTTATAATTGTTATAAGTATTATTTCTTTAAACATTAAATATTTCAAATTTAATAATTTAAAATCATAATTATTATTTTAATATATAAAATAATGTGTCAATATTTTTATTAAATAAAATTTCAACATTTTGAATATTAAATAACATTAAAATATAAATAAAAAGATTTTATTAATACACATTGATATTAAAATAAACATTGATTATTTTTTATATGAATAAATGTACTATTATCTTTTAAGAAATAACTACAATATTGATATAAAAATTATCACATAAAAATATTTTATTAATTTATTAATTTCATAAATGTCAAATACATTAAACATTTTATTATATAAATTTTAATCTAATATCTTTTATAAACACTTAATTTTATCTTGAGCTTTTTAAATATTTAAAATATTCAAACTAATTTGAATTAAATTCTTAGACCAACTGAATTTAAATTGAAATTATTTTACTTCGGGTTTATGATTAATTTTGGCTTGTATTCATATCAAATTTCATTAAGTCAATTTAAAACTAAAGTTTTGAAGTTAGAATTCATTTGTTGAACTTCAAATTTTGTTTTTATTTTAAATGTGTTTTGTGTATAAAATTATAATATGATAAGATAAAATAATATTACAAATAATATTAAATTAAATAATATAATATTTATCTTGTGTTTAATATATGTAATAATTAAAATATGATAATTTTATTTATTGATCAAAATTATCATTTCTCAAATTTTATTCAATTTAAGTTTTTGATATCATTTTTATGAGCATAATAAAACATATAAATTAAATATCATAATTTAAAAATAATATTCCAATTTAAAATACTTGAATTATCATATGTTATGAAAATTATTAATTATCCTTATAATCTTATTCATTTTTAAAAATAGATCAAACGTGCATTAAATTTATTATTATTTTATTATATCTATTATTTTATATACCAAACATGATTTAAAATTGTTAAATAAGATTTTAAGAATTATGATAGGTGCTCGAAATATATTTTCCAATTTAACAATTTTAAATTAAGCTTGACTTTATACGATTTGGCATGTTTAATGTTTTTTACTTTATTTATTTTATTATTTATTATTTATCTTGATGAAAATTAGGAAAAATGCAAAAAATAGAAAAAAGGTATAAAAAGATTTTTAAAAAATAAATTCGAAGACATGGAACCTAAGACATTAAAGAAATAGTTGGATTGATTTTGAAAAATTTTGGAAAAAAAAAATCAAATCGAGCAAATTTGAAAAAAAAAAAAAAAGGAAAGGAAATGAAAGGAGACATAATAAGATTTGCAATCCGATTTTCTTAATTTCTTCACATTAATGAAGATTTTTAGCATTTAATTCTCTATAAAAACAACCCATCAGTGAGCAATCTTAGACAGTAATCACATATGAGAAATACAAACACAACGACAATCGAACAATGTTTTGAGCCACGACAATCGCAAACATGGAACAATCAGCAGTATTACAACAACAAGCAAGTAAAGTAGCGAGAAATAGTAAAAAAAATAATTGACAGAGCAGTAGGACTTAGTTTATGTTTGTTATTACAAGGAATTGGATTGTCATAACGGATTTTGTTTATTGTTTGTTGTTGTTAAATATTTTTATTATATGTAAAATTTAATATAAAATTTTCATTATATTATTATTTTATTATTATCATTATTTTTATATTTAAATAAATAAATATATTTTAATTTAATTTTATCACTATTATATCTAATTTATCGTTATTAGTATTTTTAATCTTATTATCCAGTGCAACTCGCTTTTAAGTATACAATCACACACGCGGATTAAGTAAGATAACGTGGACAGAAGGACCAAAGCAGAAAAGCTGCAAAGCTGAGCTGTTCGAGTTCCAAAACCAGCGCCGAACAATCTTAATCCATAACAGAATATGCCTCATGAATAGCCAAACAAGCCCCAAGCATTGTACCCTTGAGTCCTCGATCCCCTTCTCTCTGCGTCCTGGCGCAGCAACGAATATCCCCTTCGCCAAATTGACCATACGCGGACAAAGAATTTAACTTTGAGAGAGAGAGAGAGAGAGAGAGATCAGCAATGGCGGATTCAGAGAACGAAAAGACACTGAGAAAAATCGCCGATGCCTTCAAGGAACTTGCGGCGACGGTTAACTCGCAAACCGCGGATATGGAGGTGGCACCTTTTTCACGCGCCTGTTCTTTCGTCTCTCCTCTCTTTGGTTGTTTAGGCATCGCCTTCAAGTTCGCTGAAATGGATTACGTAGCTAAGGTATGAATTTTCCACGATTCATTCAATTTAAATGTTAATACAATAATTTTACAAATTTTGAGCGATAAACAACAAAAAAAGTTTCACCCAAACAATTTGGTGATTACAGGTTGATGATCTTGAAGAGGCGTCAAAGTCAATTGCAACGCTAAATGCGATGCTTGATAGGGATATGGAGGAGAATTGTGTGAGGAAAGGTGGGAGTCATACAAGAAACCTTTTGAGAGTGAAACGTGGCCTTGACATGGTCAGGGTACTCTTTGAACAAATTCTAGCTACAGAGTAAGAACCCTCAATGCTTATATACAATTCAAACTAAATTATCAAGCTGCTGCCAATTTGTTTATAACTCAATTTGATTAGTTTATTAGAATTTTCATTTGCTGTTACAACTTACAACCTCTACAAAGATTTTAACACAAAAAATGTGTATGACATACTCTGTAATAATGGTTTCATAATGGAATATAGATATACTGTTTTCCTAGCTTTTTGTCGGTATGGCTTGCGAATCAGCTCTGGGCATCAAATCCTTTTTACTAACATTTTTTTAGGTTTAGGTTTGTGTCTAATTCTTTTTTTCTAGGCATGAGTAACTTTGTTGCAAAATGATTTTGAGAACTCAAATAACATTGGTCTGCCCGTGAAATACGGTCCTTGCTATTTGATAGAAGTGTAACCAAAGTTTTTAACTCACGGCTGGAGTGATTGGTACTGGTATTCATTTACTGTGTTAAATGGCTTCCACTTCATACCAGCTTAAGATGATTCCACAATTTGGTGTTCAAGAAAAAAAAAGGAAATAAGCAAGTGGCAACCCACCTCCTTTTAGCATGACTGTTTAGGGTCTGCTAAGTGAATCAGGTCATGTAGATCTCTTCTGTATTCTTCAATTCAGATGACATATGCTCCTGTTTTCTGTAATACTATTGCATCTAATTAATTAGGTACTGGTTTAGTTAGATATCATTGTTTTCCAATGAGCTTGAGAGAAATAAGCAATTTTTTATCGTCGTTATTATAACCCATGTTACATGGAATAGAACATATGCCTTTCCCAATAATCTTCTGTAAAAGCTTCTTTGTTTTGCTGCAGGCTTGTGTATAGTTTTTCTAGATTTTTTTTTTCATTTGAGAGAAATTTTAGTAGATCTTTAGAGTCACGTTATGTTTACATATGGTTGAAAGTTAGCTTTGGAATTCTCAGAAGACCGATTGAGAAAAATATCCTTTGTGCAGTTCCATAAGTATTAAGCTTAGACGATAGGAGCTGGAATGCTAGTTTGCCTGTTACATTAGCTTTGGTATCAGTGACCTTTATGGTTAACTATGCAGCAAATTAAACAAAAATTTATTGTATTGACTATTTAGGCAGGAAATCTCATCTGAAGGTACAAATCAAGGAAGTGATGGTTTCAACTTGCAGATATAAGCGGACTGCAATTAATTGTGAGGTTGAAATTGTTGAATGAGTTTTTAACACCATTGATCTTTCCTTTGCAGGGGGAATTCCTTAAAAGGACCAGCTTCCAAGGCCTATGCTCAGGTATTTGCACCCCACCATGGGTGGGCAATCAGGAAAGCTGTAGCTGCTGGGATGTATGCCCTCCCTACAAGGGCGCAGCTGTTGAAAAAGCTAAATGAAGATGGTGAGTGCATGTATAATTTGGCTTTTGCAATCAAATAACTCTCAATAAAGTACTTGATGCAGATGCTGTACGTGGTGCTCTTACCTGTTTTGATTAGCTTGTGGTTGAAAATGTTACATCCCGCTGAGTGGAGGTGTTTGATGGCACGAAACTAAAAACATTGACCTATGCGACCTATGGTAGATTGAACATAAAGGGAATTATGATTGTGTTTCTATTTGATGTTTCCTTTTTCTCAGGAAAGATATTACACAATTTGATAATAAATTAGTAGAACCATACACTTCAGTCTCTAGCATAGGAATTGGTTTGCAATCAACATGTTTTCTTCAAGATTGGATGAGGTTGTAATCCTTGATCATGTTTGAAAAACCGTATTTTGAATTGGGAGGTGAGAGATTAGGCTGAGTAAAGAACATGCCATGCGGTTAGATGGTCGGATGAGATGGCAAGCCTCATCCTGCAGCACTGCTGCTGCACAATTTGCCCTATCTGTATTATTTTAAAAGTATTTGACTTGTACTCATATTATTTCTCCACTTCCTTTCCTTGCAGAGGCGTCAGCGAGGATTCAAATGCAAAACTATGTAGCAGCATCTGCTCCTGTCATTTTGTACATTGAAAAACTCTTCCTTTCAAGAGACTTGGGTGTGGATTGGTAAAAGATATTGAGTCTCTGTTTATCGTGATAATGTCAATCAAGCAAAATAAACTAGCTATTAAGTCGCGTCCATTAGTCCATTTTTCCTTCTTTTTTGCCTCTTTTTCCTTGTTCAGAACACTCTTGTATAAATGTACGCATCCTACAAACTTCTGTATGGTTGAAACTTGAAACTGAAAACAAATACATGATTGTTAGTTATTAGTGTGATATGAATTGAATTTTCATAGCTCTTTTTGATTTGGAATAGATCATATTGCTTGGTGGTCTAGCATACCAGCAACATGACAGCTTTTGAAGGGTTTCGGTTAAACGTTTTGACTCGAGTTGTCCCATGCTTGGGAGTCGTTCCATGCTTGGGCTTCATTCTATTTTGTTCGGTCCTCACTAAAATATTGCGCAGAGGAAGACTTTGACGAAAATTTTTAGATGAAATTTATAAAGTTCTTACTTAAAAACAATTAAATTAAAATTAAAATCGAAAATAAAAATTGAAAGAATAAAAATTTTGTTATATAATTAAGTGTATAAAATTTAAAAAAATTTAATAAATATTTATATATTTTTATATAAATATTTTTAATAAAAATATTAATATAATTTTATCATTGAATAAATATGATTAAATTTAAATTATAAATAATATTTTTAATAATTTTTATCTTAAAATTTATCAATAATTTTTTATTAAATTATATTTTTAAAAAAATTTTATAAAAAATATTCGTTATATTTATATGGTATCATTAAATTACTGTTAAAAGTTTTTTCTTTGTTTAAGATGATAGTTTTTTCTAAAAAAAAAAAGGGATAAATCTTAAAAAGTAGTTCTCAATTGTCATCACGTTTTTATTAGTTTTAAAACCATTTCCAATTGTCAGCGGCCAAAGGGGATGGAGCCCATTAATTTAGAAATGGATATTTTCTTCATTTTTAAACTCAGGCGGTTTCAATTGCCCCCAACCTCTCCACCACCACACCCCCCCCCCCCCCCAAAAAAAAAAAAAACTAAGGCGGTTTGCAGATCTGACACCGTAAAGGCTTTCAATTTCCTATTTTCCAAGCAACCAAACCCAGTGTTGAAAAGCCCACCCCTGTTTCTGGACCGTCTAATTGGGCAGCAACCCAACCTAAACTCCTTTTCTCTCTCATGATTTCTGGCAATAAACCCTAAACCAACCAAAAGAGGGAAAACACAAACAATCGCGCGCGTAGACTATGGATGATTCGGAGGGAGGTCTCAGCTTCGATTTTGAAGGCGGTCTCGATGCTGCTCCCACCGCCCCAACCGCCTCCATGCCCGTTGTCAACTCCGATCCTTCTGCTGCCAACAACAATAATAACAGCAACTCCGCCGCCCCAGGTGCTGTCCCCGCTTCGACAAATGATCCCTCCGCCGTTCCTGGTGGCGGAGCTGGGCGAAGGAGCTTTCGACAGACCGTATGCCGGCATTGGCTCCGCAGTCTCTGCATGAAGGGCGATGCCTGCGGTTTCCTTCACCAGTACGACAAGTCCCGCATGCCCGTCTGCCGATTTTTTCGGCTCTTTGGTGAGTGCCGCGAACAAGATTGTGTCTACAAACACACCAACGAGGATATCAAGGAGTGTAACATGTATGTCTTTCTTTTTGGCTTAAATATGCTTGCATGATTTTTATATTTTATATTGATTTAATTCCTTGCACTATCTTCCCGTTGTTCAATAGGATTTGAGTTATCTCAGAACACCTAGACTAAGGCTGAAACAAAGTGCGATTTTCTATTGAATGTACCTTATAAGATGAGCCCTATTGGTCTATGAATTTTATCTCAGTGAATTTTGTTAGTAGCTGGTAGAAATTGTGCTTTAAAGTGGTAAAGCTAACTGAAAAGGATGATTAGTACTTTGTTTTGGACGTCATTGGACCTCCAAATCATTTTTGTTATTCTTGAATTTTGTTTATCTAATTTAAAGGAGAAAGGTAAAAGGAGATGGCATTGTACGAAAAGGGGGGGCATATTAGGGTTAAGTTGCGAAGAGAATGTGAACAAACTGGAAATAAAAGCCTAATTAGCGTTTCTTAATGCAGATGCAAGTAAGAAGGAGATTGTCTAGCTACTTTATCACTTTGTATGCTAATATTACGTCAAATATAACTTACCTTTAATGCACCTTGAAACACTGGTATTTCTTAAATATATTAGTGTCAATTCTGTTTTATCATTAGGATGATTACTAATATGCAATTTCATGGTTGCAGGTACAAGCTAGGTTTTTGTCCTAATGGTCCTGACTGCCGATACAGGCATGCAAAGCTTCCCGGACCTCCACCTGCTGTTGAAGAAGTCTTGCAGAAGATTCAACAATTAAGTTCTTACAATTATAACAACAAATTTTTTCAACAAAGGAATGCTGGCTTTCCCCAACAAACTGAAAAATCTCAGATTCCACAAGGACAAAACAATGTAAACCAAGGAGCATTTGCAAAACCTTCAACAACAGAATCTGCTAACATGCAGCAGCAGCAGCAAGTTCAACAGCCTCAACAACAGGTCAGCCAGACCCAGATTCAAAATGTCCCCAATGGTCAGTCAAACCAGGCAAACAGAACTGCTATACCTTTGCCTCAAGGAATATCTAGGTGTGTTCGGAGTCCTGGGGTCTTTAATTGGGTTCTGTAAATCATTAATTGTATTTTATTTTGGACAGAGTTTTGAGATGTCCTTCAATCAATAATAATTTCCAAAACGAATTCTGCCATCATCTATCAGGTGTAATTAGTTTCCTGAAAACCTAAACTAGTTAGTTGTTCTTTTTTCTAAACATTTATGCTGTATTATTCAAATTTGATAATTTGAATGATTTACCATTCTTTTCTGTGTTCTTTTTCTCCTCAAGCTCTTATATTTTTATTTTGAAGGGGCATTTTAAAATATGTGAATACTAGTGCTATCTAATCTACTTGTAAACTCTTGGCCTAGATGGTACAGTTAAGTGTTGAATTGATCAACCTTTTCTTCTCATGTTTTCATCTGCCTAAGAAGAGAAATGAAGTTATTGTAAGCTAAACTTTCTGAAGCTTTAGACACAACAAACAATTTTCTCGTGGTGAAAAGGATTATTCTTCTATGGCCTATAAGGTTGAGGGAAGAAAAATAATATGTTGTGTTTTTTCTTTTTTTTAGAATTTTGGAGTACTTTTCTACAACTGGACCATGTTGTTTGCAAGGATGTAAGGTACTCTGATGTCAGGGTGTTTTTTTCCTAGTTTTGTTGGTTTAGAAGTCTGAAAGAAAATTGGTCCCTTTATTTCTATGTGCATAACTATTTTGCCACATTTGAATAAGTTTTCAGTTTGCTGTATTTTCCACTTTATATGTTATTGTATCTGGTAAGAGAAATGACAGATTAGAGGATGGTAGGAAGAAGAAAGTGGTTTACATGAACAATAAAGAAAGAAAGTTTCTGAAAGTAGTTATTGTATTTGTTTTGCATTTGTCTATCTGTTGAATGGGTTGAAAAGTAATATGCCTAAAAACCCTTAAGTTTAAGTTCAGCTTTATAATTGACAATCTAACTGTAGCAAGCCATATGTCTTGAACTGCATATTATATTACTTTGTACTTAAAACAGCATTGATTTAGTGATCTATTACTGTTGTTAGCTTTCATCTTAGCTGTGTCTGTGGCAGTCTTCTGCCTTATAACCTGCTGACAGATTCTGTTTGCTGTTCTATTATTTTTTTTCTGAATTTGACATCATTTCAGTGTTAAATGATGTGTTATTTTTATGAATAACTTTGATATGATTAATTTCTTTAAATATTGCACCGTAGGTATTTTATTGTTAAAAGTTGCAACCGCGAAAATCTAGAACTATCCGTTCAACAAGGTGTATGGGCAACTCAAAGAAGCAATGAAACTAAATTGAATGAAGCATTTGATTCTGCTGAAAATGTGATTTTGATCTTCTCTGTTAACCGTACTCGGCATTTCCAGGTAGTTCAGAAATCTAATATCCTCCTATCTATTCAATTTGAGAATCGGTACCTGTGTTATTCTGAAACAACTTGTTACCCATATCTTACTAGCTCTTACATCACCATCTAGTCAGCCCTCAATTAGGTTTTATAATATTATCATTAGTCCAAAATGCTGCCTTTTGTCTCTTATGATGTGTTAGTTATTACCTTGTCTTGGCTTATTAGGGTTGTGCCAAGATGACATCCAAAATCGGTGGATCTGTTGGTGGAGGGAACTGGAAATACGCTCATGGAACTGCACATTATGGACGAAATTTCTCAGTAAAATGGTTAAAGGTACATTTCTCAACCCCCTCTCCCCCCCTCCCCCCTTCTCTCCTTTAGAACAAAATTTTCTATGAAGCTAAGTTTTAAGGAACCATAAAAGTTAAAGATATTCTTAGCATGGAGTTTACTGTGATATTGTGTTTATTAGATCTAATCTTGCTACATTTATAGTGGCTGATTAGTTTAATGCCCTCTATTAGATGCTATATTTTGATTTTTTTGGGCATGCATAAAGAACATTCTTTACAAATGTTGTGAGCTTCTTATGATTAACTGCTGTTCTTGATATGTAGTTATGTGAGTTGTCCTTCCACAAAACTCGCCATTTGAGGAACCCCTACAATGAGAACTTACCAGTAAAGGTATATTTTCCATAAAAAAAATTTTGTCAATTAATTAGGTTAATACTCTGGTTTATGTGAATTATATATCTGCTTTTACCATGTATCTTTATCTGCAGTAAGCAATGGGCAATATTTTGGCACAATGCTGTTGTTTTGGGTCGATTATACTTTGAACCTTATTGCTCTGCTTCGTGCACTTGCAGATAAGTAGAGATTGTCAGGAGTTAGAGTCTTCTGTTGGTGAGCAGTTGGCCTCCTTGCTTTATCTTGAGCCAGATAGTGAGCTTATGGTATGGTTATTCTATTTTATTTTTCTAATTTGAACATTAATGGAAATGGAATTATTAAAGTATGGGAAAAATAAAAAGAAGGAAATAAACGAAAAGGGAGGGAAACAAGTCTTGTGTTCTAGTGCTTGCTTGGATGCTAATTACTAATTAGTATAATCTCTTTTATATACCAAAATTTGAGGTCCTTGTATGATATAAGTGTGGGTTAAAGACACAGGTTAATATCCTCCTGCTTGTAAATCATACCATGCAGGTGGCAGTAGTGATAAGGTTGTCTAGACTCTAGTTTTTTGGAGTTGAGCAATGATGTTGAGCTTACAAGATTAGACTCATGAGTAGATTGATGAACAATCTATCTGTTTACTTCATTTTCTGTGGGAAATTGGTTTAGACACTGACAGACTGAGACACATTACAATTTGCATAGAGTGTCTGAGAGATTATAAGACTATTTTTGTTTTGAACTACTTAAACAAGATAATATTTGAAACATCTTTGTTTGGGTTATAGCATTGCCTTCATTTTTCCATGCTTTTCGTTGAGGAAATAAAAGCAGGCTGCATAAGACTTACATTTTGACTTTCCCTTCATTTTATTGGATGTCCACAATGAATGGATTTGTATGTTAATATTCCATTTTTTATTCCCATGGGATACAGGCAATTTCACTAGCAGCAGAATCAAAACGAGAAGAAGAGAAAGCAAAGGGGGTCAATTCAGATAATGGAGGAGAGAACCCAGACATTGTTCCATTTGAGGACAATGAAGAAGAGGAAGAGGAAGAAAGTGAGGAGGAGGATGAAAGCTTTGGTGCTGCAGCTCAGGGAAGAGGAAGAGGCAGAGGAATCATGTGGCCCCCTCACATGCCACTAGCCCGTGGTGCCAGACCCATGCCTGGGATGCGAGGTTTTCCTCCTATGATGATGGGTGGTGATGGCTTTTCTTATGGACCAGTTACACCTGATGGTTTTGGGATGCCAGATCTATTTGGTGCTCCTCGCCCTTTTGCTCCATATGGACCAAGATTTTCTGGAGATTTTCCAGGTCCTACATCTGGCATGATGTTTCCAGGTCGACCTCCACAACCTGGGGCAATGTTTCCATCTGGTGGACTGGGGATGATGATGGGTCCAGGGCGTGCTCCATTTATGGGGGGTATGGGGCCCACAGGTGCAAATCCTGCTCGAGGTGGCCGGCCTGTTGGCATGCCTCCTATGTTTCCCCTACCTCCAGCACCTTCCTCTCAGAATTCTGGTCGGGCTATTAAGAGAGATCAGAAGACACCAACTAATGATAGATACAGTGCAGTATCGGATCAGGGCAGAGGTCAGGAAATGGCTGGTCCAGGGGGCGGGTTGGATGATGAGACACAGTATCAGCAAGAAGGACAAAAGGCTCACCACGGAGATCAGTTTGCTGCTGGAAACAGCTTCAGAAATGATGACAGTGACAGTGAGGATGAGGCACCCAGGAGGTCAAGGCATGGGGAAGGGAAGAAGAAACGAAGAAGCTTAGAAGGGGAAGTTGCCACTGGTTCTGATCACTAGATGCAACTTGCTTTGAAGTTGTTAGTGATAGTGCCGTCAGTCATACCTGCTCGCAACCACATTCTCTTGACGGTGTTAACTGCCATTGTAGAACATTTTTAAGCAACTGACTTGCATATCTAGATCCTTTTATCTTCCAATTGGCAGTTTGGAATGCCGGAGAAAGACGTGTTTAGATTGTGTTTTGGTGTATTATTTTTGCCTAAAAATGTCGAATCATATTTTTTATTGTGTATAATTATGCACCAGATCACGGGAAGGGTGATAGATACGCGTAGCATTATGTATTGTTACGAACAGCGTTATCCTACACGTAGCTGTTCATCCTACATGTTTATGTAAGATTTCCTATGTACTAAGGAGAAGGGAAAGGAAAGGAGGAAAAAAAAGAGGCTTTTCATCGGAGCTGGCCACAATTTTTTTTTTTTTAAAGTTTCTTTAAAGACTTAAATGGAACTAGAATTCTGTTTTACTGTTTACAATAAACTGTTACAAGAAAATTGAACGTAAAGCAGCTGGTACATCCAGATCATATCTTTGCATCAGCAGCATCATTTTTAAGCAAACAAACAATGTTAATGATCTTATCCTGCAAACAGACATCGAAACTTTTCTCAAATTCCTCCAACGCAATTCCATATTGTGCAGCGTGATAACCACATTTCCAAAACTGATTGTCTTCTGTGGTTTTGGACTCCTTCATTTTATTAGTGTAAAAATGCAAAAGATAATTATCATATTCATCAGTGCTATCCAGAAATTGTTTTCTGGAATTCTCATCCAGGTACTCAATTGAATCTTGAAATGCAGTAGCCATAGCATTTGACTTTTGCCTTCTGACAGTATACTCTTGATCAAAACGAGACAATACAAAATCCTTGTCTTCATCAAGTTTGCACTGATTGGTGTATTGTCGTATCTTTCCTTTCCCGGCTACCTCTTCTATATTGATCTCTGCCCATGTCATCTTTCTTTCAATTTCTTTAATTGCCTCCTCGGAATGTATAAGAGCCTTCTCAATTAAAACTAGTGGCTCAATTTCCATATTCTGTACTTCTGCATTGGGAAGGCTGCCTGAAGTAATCAATTTAAATCTCAACCACAAAATTATAACTAGCATCAAATTCATAAAATCCATTGTGAATTCTAGCACTGCTAGATTCCGCTTTCTCAGTTGGCAAAGCCTCCCTCAATCTTTTTCCCTTCTTGGGATGGAACTTCCTTCTGAATGGTAAGGACCTTATACGCTATGATTGGAACCATCCCATGATTGCATCTTTTCAGATTTGAACTCTTGAAACTTTGCAGATGCTGCTTCACAGCCTAACATCGTAGCATGTAGATCATGTAGGAGCTGACTCAAATTATATTCAAGATGAAACACCCAACTCTCTACCACTTTCCGAGTCTCATGTTTTTCATGGCCACGGCTTTTGGTCATCCTCTTCTCATCAAGTCGTTCACCTCCTTCTACTATCTTCTTTTTCAGAGCCTCAAAATGTTTTCTCAGAATTCAAACAATTTCCCAATTAAAAGAAACACTATCTTCTGGCTTAAGAACACCAAATACTGGAAAAGACCTTAGTTTCTCCTTTTGGACAAAAGTCTTAATATTTTCTACCACACTTGGACTAAATCCATACATCCCAATTATCACATAACTCAACCCCTTCTGATTGCATCTTGAATCTTCTTAGTAATGCTTTGGTCAATATTTTTGAGATAGAAAACTTGTATGCAAATTTCTTTGTAACTGTGGTCGAGAAGAACCGCAGCCATTGACGATGTTAGAGAAAAATGAGACTAAAATTCAAGAACCGCAAAGAGATGGAGGAGGAGGAAGGCAGAGAGAGAGGGTGTTAGGGGACTCGTGGGAGTGATTGATATATATAAAACCCGAACCAGTTTTGCTTACCAAACGAAGGATGGATACCTCGTCGAAGAGTATTGAAGTGGCCACACGCCTTGAGCCCGGTGGTTAAGTCTCTGAGAATTTGAGGAATTTAAGGCCCAAAGCTCAAAACATCTCAGAACCCGGGAAAGAAAAACATTTATGGTGAGTTTGTACGGTAAATTAGTAGATTTATAAAAATGTTTAGATATTGTTAACAATACGAAAAATTAAAAAAATAAATTTTATAATAAGTTTTTGTAATTAAAATTAGAGAAAATAAAAGTTGGGTGAAAAAAGAAAATATAATAAATGTGGGCTGTTTGTTCAGATCTGATGAAGAAATCGCCATCAGCACATGTCGCCCGGGTGATGAGTCTTGGAAGACTTTGAAGTTCCCAGCCTTTTGTCCGGGTAATAGATATAGTTTGCCATCAAGCGCAACCTATTTAGCTGCATCCTTTTACTGTCTTTTCACAGGTGGTGAACTGGGTGCATCCAATCTCGCTCTCCAAGAGTGGACATTACTTGTAAAACACTGGCCAGGGCCAGACCCAAATATGCATTATTTTTTGGCTGAGTTAATTGCAATTCCTAGATGTTCATGTCTACCGTATAAGCCTGATAAACTGTTCAAGTTTGATTTCTCGGAGAAGTGTTGGGTTGAGGAATTGAATATAAAGGAGCTAGTACATCCAGATCTTACAATCTTATCAAGCCCTCAAGCAATGGGGGAATTAGCCAGTACTGATCAGACCTTTCATCTATATGCATGTATATTTCCAGAAAAAAGGAATTCACGTAACAAGTTGAAATTAATATTGATTGAGCCTCCTCTAAATGGTGTTTGGAGAGGACGTGACTTAGTGCGTGGTCGTAGCTAAATGCAGATATGCTTTATGTGCCTTTCACAAAGGAAATCGGTTTATTATTATTATTGTTAAACTTTATATTGTTGTAATCTTACTCTGTAAATATGTAATTGTGCTATCATCAATTTCATCCTGTACAGGACTAGACAGGTAAGTCTACTATTTGTCAATATGTAATGGTTCAGAATGGGGCAAGATATAATAAAAAAATTCACCAAGAAAATAAAATAAAATAAAATCACTTCATTCTTAGTAAGGGGGTTGCTTGAATTCATATTCAAGAGAATTTTACTTCAATCCATTATGGACAACCAATATCCTCTCAGAAACCCGTCCTTTGTTTCCAAGAATTTTACGGCAGCCAGTCTGACACAACTGACATGAAATTGATTTAACTTGAAAGTTCAAGATTTTATATAGTTGTCAGGGACAAGAAATTAGCATTTTCAGGTGGTTCAGAAATCTGATATCCTTTATATATCTATTCAATTTAAGAATCAGGACCTCTGTTATTTCGTTCGAGATAACTTATTACTAGGTCTTGCATTTCTATCTAGTCTGTCCTCTATTAGGTCTTAATTATATTATCATTAGTCCAAAATGTTGCCTGTGTTAAGTATTAAATTGTCTTGGCTTATTAGGCTTGTGCCAGATCATTTTGGCCTTCCCGTCCTTTTGTTCCATATGACCAAGGTTTTCGTGAGATTGTACAGGTTCTGCATCTGGCATGATGTTTCCAGGGCGACCTCCACAACCTGGGGGCAATGTTTCTTGCTTATTGTCTTGGGACGAGGATAGGTCCGGGGCATGCTCTATTTATGGGGGTAAGGGTTAGTAGTTGGGTAAAATTTAAAGAAAGAGCAAATCTCGATCACCATATCAATTTTTCTATATTGATATTTGATAAATATTATTAAATTATGTGTTTATCATACATATTATCAATATTTTTTTAACATGAATTAAAAATATTTTTTTATTTAAACCATAAAAATTGTTTATGATCAATCATTCATTTTTTGTTACGTGATATTTATATGAAAATTTTTACAAAATATTAAACAAATTTATTTAACAAGTAACATATATACAATAAAATTATATTCATTAGATGTCATATAATTGTAAAAAGTTAAAAATATTATAATAATACATTATTTAAAAATTTTGAAGTAAAATTATGTATTTTTTTTCTTTAAATATCAATTATGCTTTCCTAGTAGTTTCATGAACCAAGTGAAAGTTATCACAAAACAAAAGGAAAGAAATTATTATATCACGCGAATAAAAAATAGGCTCATTCTCCAAGTTTAAAAGTCTTTAAAAGAGCATAGTATATCTCGTACATTTTTTTTTATAATGTTATAATTATTCAATCAAAATAAAAATTTATATAAGAATTTGTCTCTTATAAATATAAATTTTATATAAATTGATAGATATTATATAATTTTAAATTTTAATTAATTAATTATACTATAATAGATAAAATCTCTTTAAAAGTGCACAGGCCTTGAGCCCAATGGTTATGAGCCGAATGGTTAAGACAGCAACGCATGAGCAAGTGAGAAATTTCAGGCCTACCTTCATTGTATTGTATCTAAGAACCCAAGAAAGAAGGATTATAAACTTAAAGTTACCTCGTAGAATTCAACTTTTTAAAACAATTGAATTCTTATCCAATTTGATAACGGAAAGAGAAAAAACACATAAACCTACTATATATATTTAAGATAATTGGTGATTACTGATTCTTGTTGGAGAAGATGGAAGGAGCATCAGAGATGATGGTGGCTGTGGGACAAAAAGAAGACAAAGGTATGGCTTTGCGAGACAGGGAAGAAAGAGATTGGTCTGAGCTTCCCAGTGATATTGTTGGACACATAATGGGGAAACTTTATTGGTCAGATCGAATCCGGATGCATGCAGTTTGCAAGAGTTGGCTGCAAGTACCCCTTCATTGGATTCCGACCATTGATAAAGCTGCATGGTTAATGTCTTTCGTATGGCTGCGAAAATCTTGGGTTGACGGAGTCTTCAGCGTTTGTAAGCTTAGGGATACCTCGGTCGGTAAAACCGTATACATCGATAACGGCATTAAGGGAAAAGAGAGAGCTATTTTTGATAGAGCTTATTTCGAGACTGCTAGATACGGTTGGGTGCTTTTTCGGACAAATCCAGGGTGTGGGTTTTGTCAGTTCTATTGCTTTTTCTTGTACTCTCCCTTCACTAACGAGGTTATTGAGCTGCCCGAATTGGACATAGGCCGTTCTCCAGCATGGGGCTGCTACCTGGTTGCCACATTTTACTTGAGTTCAGCAAACTCAGAATGTCTTGTTTTCTGTTTGTTCAGATCTGATGAAGGTATCGTCATCAGCACATGTCACCCAGGTGATGAGGCTTGGAAGACTTTGAAGTTTCCAGACTTTTATCCGGGTAATAGATATAGTTTGCCATTGAGTGCAACCTATTTAGCTGGATATTTTTACTGTCTTTTCTCAGGTGGTGAACTGGGTGCATTCAATCTTGCTCTCCAAGACTGGACATTACTCGTAAAATACTGGCCAGGGCCACACCCATATTACATCCATTATTTTTCGGCTGAGTTAATTGCAATTCCTAGATGTCCATGTCTACCGTATAAGCTTGATAAACTGTTCAAGTTTGATTTCTCAGAGAAGCGTTGGGTTGAGGAATTGAATATGAAGGAGCTAGGACATCCTGATCTTACAATCTTATCAAGCTCTCAAGCAATGGGGGAATTACCTAATACTGATCAGACCTTTGATCTATATGCATATATATTTCCAGAAAAAAGGAATCCTCCTAACAAGTTGAAATTAATATTGATTGAGCCCCCTCTAAACGGTGTTTGGAGAAGACGTGACTTAGTGTGTCGTAGCTAAATGCTGATGTGCTTTTTGTGCCTTTCAAAGAGGAAAGTGCTTTTTTTTTGTCTGATTCAGTTTTTCATTTTACATTTTTTTATTACCAAGTTCATGTTTGGATTTGTACTCGTCATCATGAATATTTGAATTGATTATCTTATTTTTAAGATTCCTATCATCACAAATTTACAATTCCCAAATTTATCAAATTAGTTTATTTTTATTTTAGTTAATTTAATCAAAATTGTTATTTTTTATTTAGGAAAGTGCTTCCCTTCTAAAGTAAAAGACATGAAGGCAAGCTTCCTTCATATGTATTTTTACTTAGTATTTTCTGAAATCTCGAATAATTCGAAAAAAAATTTAATCTTTTTGTATAAAATTTTCATTTGCTCATCACTTTCATGTAGATAAAAATAAAAATCAATTGAACGATAGAATCATATTTTATTATTTTTTTAATATAAAAAAAGATCATAGCTTAAAATGAAAAAATTACGAGTACTAAAAATTTGAATTCAAACCAAAACTTATTGAATATTATCTCATTATAAAAATCAATTGAATTAAATTACAAGTTTAATTGAAAAATTCATGAGAGGATTCCCACCTCTTTTTTAAGCAATTCTTTAAACAAGGATCGTGCATCAATTAGCTAAGCCACAGCCACATGCTCAATTGATAAGTTAATTCAAGTAGTAGAGGTATAAGGGAAAAATGGGGTTAAAGCAAAACATATCATTTTCAATTCCAAGAAAAAGACACTAGAATTTGGACAAGCTCAAGCCTAGTTTTTCGTTCAGTCTGAGAAGTCAAAATTTACTTTGTTGTTGATCATTTAAAACAAACTATAAACATTAAAAAATCTTTGAAGTTAATAGCAAAAGTTAATGTTCTCCACTCCAGTTGCTGTTATTGCTCTTTTGTGCCTTTGGTATGTTTCCCAGACCGCAAAAGATATTCCTTTACTAGCTGTTGAAATTCTGCTGAATAGCATCGGTCAGAAGAACTGCCTCTTCGGGTCTCTGACCATTCTTCAAAACTTTGAATTGTAACTGACCACAGCTAGACTCGTTCCATTCTTTAAGCACTTTCATAGAGTAAGGGCCCTTAATGTTACCTCGTGGACTGATACAATACCACATGGAGCGATCCACATCCTTGAATGTTTGCCAGTTCATTGCACTGGCATCTTGTTTTTCATCATCGCTTAATTCAATCACTTCAAATTGGGTTTCCAGCTTTACATGTCCAGCAATGTCCAGTGGCTGATTTTGCTTTTCCCCAGCAGCATTACCATGTTGCTTTTCCTGAAAAACAGTGCTGGTTTGGCCATCAAAGGATTCTTGTGGCAATAACTGAGGAACAGATCTTGCAGGACAGCTTTGTTTTAATTCTTGAAAAAATTGATTCCCCTCTGTTTCATCACCCTCAACTCTAGTAGGAATCAATTTAGAGTGATGACAATGATCATCAGAAATAAATGCTCTCGCATGTTGCTGCTTTCCTTCTGGAATAGGTACATCAAATGATTTCATTAGGGGCTGCAAGAGCTTGTCAAAGAATGATGGCAACTTTCCGTGTAGGTAAAAGTTTATTTGATATCATTTGATCTAAAATTTCATCAAAATTTTCACATAGCACAACAATGCAGAGATAACACAACCACAAAGTAGCAAAACAAAAAATTAGATGAAAATTCTAGCCTTAGCAATGCTCTTATTCTGATTGAAGTTAGATTTCACCTTTACTATTAAAATCAATTTCATCATTGGACAGAAATAAAACAGAAGCAACTATGACAAACAAAAAATCGCAAATTATAAGCATGCATATCGTACCTGCAGCATCCATTGCATCATTCTGGCAACAAGAAACTCCATTGTTCTCCAAAATACTTGTTTGAATTCTAGGAAATGATCTCAGGGCTGATTCTGATGAGGCTTTATGTTCTTCTTTCTCTCCTCTAGGAGAGTCCTTACAGGCAAGTTCAGGCCCCGTAACATCAGCAACCACTTCTGGAATCTCATGTATTAAGCGTGATTGTTCTGAAGGCATCTGAAGCAGTAGCATTCTATCCATGTACTCAGAGAGTGTACAAAAATATCCAGGTTAAGGGTCATTTATCTTCTTCTCAAGATATGTACAGTTACTACAGTAAATTTTTTTACGGAAAAGATATGTGTAGTACTTGATAAAAAAGCAAACCAAAACTAACAGAGACGCGTTATGTGCAAGGGTGAGCCCTAGTATATCTAGAGAAGTAAAAATGAAACTAGTATTATGTTCAAATATGGTATTGCAAAAGCATATCAGAGAAAGCTTAAACAAATAGATAATGAGGATCAGACACATTATTGTCGTAGAGTATCCTTCCCATGGAAATGCTGATTAATTACTGATGGCTGTCCATGTGTCTTACCATCAAACATGCAAAACATTATCAAAGGATATTCTCTCCTCCATCCTTTCTCATTTGCCCGATTGATCTGGTTTTGCAATAGAGCCAGCTCTTTCATAATCCACTGGCAAATTTTTTTCACGACAATGCAGCAAAATTAGAAGTGAAAATTAATTAAAACATCAAAGACATGAAGAGTGAACTGAAGGAATGATTAGATGTCCCATTTGAACATAGTTTTACTAAAGTCACTAATTACCCATCAATTGTCGACATATTTAAAATCCACCTACAAGGTATTGCATCATGCATCCCCACACTGATAATTTAAACTTCAGAACTCCTAATTCTTAAATATTGAATTCAGAATACATACATGTTTTGTTATATCCTCATGTAGACTTCTGGCTTTCTGCTCAAGCTCCACCTGTGAAACAAGGCATTCTGGTTATTTTTTTTTCTTTTTTTTATTTTTAGTTTCATTCACTAATTGCCATTTTTTCATAGAAGGTCTGTGGCTCTTTCTGTTCTTTGTGTTTTCTTTCCCTTTCTCTTTGCGAGGATAGTGCATGGTTTTGTTCAAGTATGGAAAGTAGAGAAAAATATGAAAAAACTCTTCCATTTCTCCTGAAAGAAACATGGTAATGGAAATATGATGCAAATGAAATGTTAATAGACTGATAAGTTCCATTCGCAGACGTTTAACTTGGTCCAGAATAAAATGCCACAACTTCATTTGGCGTTCATTCTGTGAAGGCAAGCTAGAAAGCAAAATACTCACAGACACAAACCATACCAAAACCTGTAAACACTAATCCTTTATAGCTAAAAACAACAACACAGTTATCATTATTCACCATAACTGTCATCAATGTTTAAAGGTTGCTTTTAGGGCACACAGTATATAAAGAAATGTAAAGAAAATATAGTTATATTAAAGCTGATGTGCAAGAGGTGAACTTGTAGACCAGCTGTAAGTTCCTAAAATAACGTAAAAATTAAGAGCTTACAACAGTTGGCCTTTCAAGCAGGCGAGTTCTCATTCGCCGATTTAGATCCTCCATTTCTTCCTGCACAGGACTAGACAGGTAAGTCTACTATTTGTCAATATGTAATGGTTCAGAATGGGAAAAGATAATGATAAAAAAATTCACCAAGAAAATAAAATTCAATAAAATCAAATCATTCTTAGTAAGGGGATTGCTAGAATTCATATTCAAAAGAATTCTACTTCAATCAATTATGGACAACCAATATCCTCTCAGAAACCTGTCTTTTGTTTCCAAGAATTTTACGGCAGCAAGTCTCACACAACTAGTATGAAATTGATTTAATTTAAAAATTCAAGATTTTATATAGTTCTCAGGGATAAGAAACTTCTTATTCCTGTTGATTCTGACCAGCTAACTATAAAGATTCTGTAGTTCTTATTTGAAAAGAAAAAACATGGAGGGACCACGAAAAAAGATGTATTCAAAATATTGACATTATAATTACCTCAGTGAAGTCATCATCTGATAGCTTGCAAACAGGAACATCATTTAGCACGTTAGAAACTTGCAAGTGAATTATAGAATTCATCTCTTCCTTTATTGAAATTTTCTTTAAGCCTGAGAAGAAACAAAATAACCATACGAAGCAGAAGGATAAGTTAGAAGAAAGTAAAGATAAGAAATAAAATAATAGCATTGTACCTTAAGAACATCAAGCACTGAAGCAGTGAGGGTAAAATAAAAATCAAAGGAGATCAAAACAACATAAGTCAGATTATTTTTCCAACAAAGTGTACATTAACCCTTGGGATGCTCTTTCTCTTCTGTCTCCTTGTGAAATTTTTCCCATAGAGCACCTGCTGTATTTTAGAACTATAGTAGATGCTTTCCTAAGGGGAAATTATGCCCCAAGCATATCCAATAAGCCATAACTTGAATGAGAACTATTCGCAAAAATACAATTTCAACTCTCTTTCCATTTACCAGGAACATATAAACATCAAATTAGAGGAGCAACTATCAAAAGTAGCACACATTATAGATAGAGAAGATTTCCTCGGTGCTTCCTTGTTAAAAATACAAAACAGTATATGCTGCTAACACTTGCTAGATGAGATTAATAGTTGTTTAAAAAATTACCTTTAACTTGCACTAGCATGTGAGAATTCTTCTGAAAGTAGTCATTTGGGTCTGACTTTACCCTCACAAAACTTCCCATCATTTTACCATGAAATGTGTCGAGTTGTTTTTCTAGCTCCTGTACCAAACTCCTCTTCAGATAGACAAGATTTATATTGCTAGAAACTATGGCTGCCAAATAACCTTGCCTTGGATTAGGAGCTATTTCCTTTTCCTCAAACTGTCGATGCCTTTTATAAGGCACTAAAATATTATCATCATCTTCTTTCGAACTAAATCCAACTGAATCCTCTGATTGCTCCAAGTTCTCTGCAAAATGAACCGTCAGTAGCTTATAAATACCATTTCTGTTGACTGATTTCCTCCCGAAAAGAGACTGCAACCTTTCATCACAAATAACTTTCTTCTTTTTTTCTGGGTGAAACAGCTTGTGCTCTTTGCAGTATTCTGTAACTACAGTAGCAACATCATACTGAGACAATTCTTGCATCACACTTTTACCAATGGACATAAGAAATTCTGTAAGTTGCTTTGATGCCCATCCAAGGAATTCCTTCTTCCTTGACTTTCCCATTCTTTTAGTCAGAGACTGTTTTCCTTTCTTTCCTGCAGTCAGAGACAGCTTCCCTTTCTTTCTTTTCCTACATTGCACTTGGTTATCACTCAAACCATCATAGTCAGATACATCATCTTCAAAGTCACTGGCATCTTCTTCTCCATAATTGTTGTTTACTTGAAAATCATAATTTTTACCATCCTTCAACATGCGATATGAAGAATGCACTTGTTTTGAAGTTAACCCTTCCTTTCCTTTCACCAACTCCCAATAGCCTTTGAAAAAGAATTCATATGTTTCTCTATCATTAAAGTCTATCTTCACCTACAGATCAACTGGAATATGGTCAGTTAAAGAACAAGGGATAAGAATCTTCTTCAAAGAATATGGTCAGTTCAGTTTATACAGGCCAAAATAAGAAAAGAAATCCTTAAAAAATATAGTAGCATTTATCAATTGAAACTCAGATTTAACATGTATCAATGACCTTTGGCTGAAAAGAACATTGTAGTGAGTTGTCAAGGAAGTCCCTTTAACACCGCATTTCTTCTTTCAAAATTGAACGAGTAATATATTCCATAAGAAATGGAATCTCAAAAGCAGCTTTAAATACATTTTCACACAACTTAATAGGAACAAACCCGCACCCCATTGAAGTTGACATCCTTCTTGTCTTCAATAAGCAGTGCAAGCTCTAAACATGTATTGCAGAAACCCTTTTGCTGTTTGACTACTGCAAATTCAGCATCACAAAGACAGCATCCACAAACAGCAGACGGACAACAAAAGCAGTGAAATTTGGCAGGTTTACCGCAAATGAAGCAATAGTGCCAACCTGAAACATAGATGCACCATGTTAGCAAGAGAAAACCAAAAACGAAAAAACTGTGATAACTTTCAATTAGTCCATCTTGTTACTCTGTTTTAAAATTCCAACTGTCCTAAGAAATAACTGAAAAATTGAAAAAAGAAATGTCAGCGTACTTACTGAACAGTGAACACTATAACATGATTTCATCAATATTTAGTTGCAAAATGGAATATTGTCAGCTTAAAATCTAGTTGAAGTAAGAAATCACATAAGATTAAATTTAGCAGGGATGAATAGCAAATTAGCTATTGCGAATAATGTAAGAATACAAGATTTAATTATCTCATCAAGTTAACTTACATAACATGTTAAATTTAATGTAGGTGAATAGGAAGAAAATCAGTAGAAACTATTCAATGTTGTTTCTTTCACACCATTTAAAAATGTGTTAGAGCATCAAGACTTGGTTTGATTGAAACTTTTGCCTCTTGCCTTCTGCTTTCATAACAAAAGGAGAAAAAAGTCAAACAGCTAAACATGAAGTATGTTCGGCTACCGAAAAAAAAGCAACTTACCACAAAACCAGCGTTCTTCACTCTCCAACAGAGATACATCCCTTCCCACACATTGAGGATGAAAAGTTTTAAGACAATTCCTATAAGAATCAAGTTGCAACAATTATCTTTTGAAAGAAATGCCGACACCAGGCATTACACTAAATTTTTTAGCAAGCCATAAGTTTGATATATTTTTTTGAAAGACCACAAGTTTGATTTTAAACAGATTAAGATTGCTCTAATCACTATACTTTGCTAATAATAAACTAAGTTAGCAAAATGTCCCCCTGCATTGTCACTGTTTATGTTACTCCAAGTCTTCAAGAAACTTGAATTAGTCATGTAAAACGCATATCCCGACATATAGTTATAGAGTTCAATCCACCGAATATACATATGGGGAGGGGAGGGATCAAGTTAAAACCTTACAAAAAAATTAATGCTACTCATGTCCGTACATATACCCAGATTCAACACTCACCAATCCAATGCAAATAACATAGGTAGGTCACTGTGACACCCTCCTGAAATTATTAAAGTATAATCTTTTCCATTTGTTTTTTTTTTTTAAAAAAAGCCCGATCCTCTCCAAAACAAAACCCATGCTTCTTCTATAGGGCAATATGCAGAGACAGAAATAGTCCTATCATCCCCAAACCAACCCAACACCATATCCTTTATTAATAAATAAATAAAACAACGACCAAGGAACAAAAGAATTGACCTTTTCCTGTTTGTACAAATAATTATAAATGGTTGGGTAAAGGGTTTTTAGAATACTCACTTGTAGTCACAGACCCTGAGCAATCCACCATCTTTGCAAAAGAAGCAGTAATCTTCTGCTATTTCTTCCTTCTTTTTTGTATTCCTCCTTCTCCCCATTTTCCTTCAAAGTTCAAAGCTGCTATCTTTGGTTAGCAATCCACGAAAAAACCATGTCCTTGAGCCCCAATATTTTCTCCAAAACCCTCTTAAACAAATCATTGAAAAAAACCCATTTTGAAAAAAAAAAGAAAAAATAGTCACTTTCGCCTCTTAAAGCTGATAATTACTATGCACTTTGTTTGTTTCCCTCAGTGATCGGCCCAAAGACGGGAACATACCTTTGCTCTTCAGAAGCGATCGACCATAATGTAGCTCTGACAGTTTTTTTGTTAACCCACCAGACTCCAGAGAGAATATCTGCTATAGAATTAGAGTCTTTTGAGGCTAATTTTTCAAAGCCTGAAAAAGGAAAGAGTGAAGCAATCATAGAGCAATTTGTCTAAAGGACTATTCAAGAATGTGAGAACCCATCCTCCTGAATATATTTGCCTCGTAAATCGTGACAAAAAAAAAAAACCATGGTGGCAAGGGAAATTACTACTACTACTATTTTAAGAAATTTTTTAAAAAATAATGTATAATTATAAAAATACGAGAAGAAAATAAATTACTAATACATTTTAATTCAGAATTATAATTTTATTTTAATTATTCATATTTATCACTTGTAAATATAGCAAATATATCTTCTTTTTTTTTTTTTCTATAAATCATATCTATAAAGTTACCCGAATAATGCATGTTTGTACTGTAGCTGATAATGACTAAGAGGCAATTATTAATGCGTACTTGTCTTTTACCCATTAAAGGTGTGATAATAATGTTATTATTTGGCTCTTTTGGATAAATGCTTTGATTGCAACAAAGATGCAATCAAATTTAATAGATAATTATTTTTCTTACCATACATTCTCCTGTTACTATAAAATTTTACATCAGCATTTAATATTTTTCTTATAAAAAAAATTTAAGAAAAAATGTTAGAAAATAATGAGATTTAAAATCCAGTCTATTAAATGTTATTTTTAAAAAATAAATAAATTAAATTAAAATTTAAAATTTTATCATTATTCAAATATAATTATACATTTTTATAACATGTTTTTAGATTTTTTAGTAAAAAAAATCTAAAGAAATCTAAATAAATAATATTCACAATTTATCTTATAAGCGTTTGCAAATTCTGCTATAAATGCTTTACAATATATGCTAATAAACATTAGCTGATAAGAATTAAAGAGATTCCTCGTTGCAATTTTTTGTGCCTTATATATTTAACATAGGTCAATATTTGATGCATTATCAGTATATAAATTTTATATATTATAAATAAATAAAATGATATTATTTCATTAATAAAATAAATCAGATAATCAGAGTTTAAATCTCGATTCATGATAAATGATATTAGAGTCAGTCTTAAACCGTTCGATTTACGTCAAACCCCTCAAGGAAGGTAAGTAGGATGGTCAGCTTTCGTGACGAGAGCGTCACGAAATTGGGTGCGGAAGAATGTTACGAACCTAAAAATGAGTTCTGAATCTCATATCGAACATAAAAAAAGAGTCACTGAGGTATATAAGGGTTCACACCATCTCTTTCTTATGAGACATTTTTTGTAAGACAAAATCGTGAGACTGTCAATGAATAAGTTTTTAAAAAATATTAATTTTCATATATTTATTTTAAAAACTGATATTTATTCATTAATGAAATGATATTATCTAATTTACTGATAATATATAAAATTTATATACTAATAATGTATTAAATATAAATTCATTCAACATTAAGCTTAGAAATCAGCTGCTATATTTATTGCAATAAATAGCAAATCATTTTATGCATGCAAAAAGCTACCAGAAATAGTGACCTGACATTTTAATCAAAATCAGATTGTGATATATGCATATATTAATTTTCACTCGTCTAAAAAACTAATTCGCAACACAACTGCCTCTATACATCTTTTTTTTTTCAATTTATTTTTATAATTAATTGTCTTCTCGTAATTGTTAATACCTAGACTCAGCTATTTCGAGATCATCTTGCTGTATTTTGTTCCTGACATGTTGTGCCAAGGCTTCAAGCGCGACGTCGACAACATCTTTAAACCCAAGATCGCTACTACTGGCATTAGGATGAGCGTAAGTGAGCCTTGGGATCATATCAATCACCGTAGTTCGCATCTTCTCCACCTCTTCTTTCGATATCTTCAACAGCTTCTCTTCTATTCTTTTGCTTTCATCCCCTTGTTCATCCATATAAACTGAATACTTTGACGCCTCACCAGGCAAAAACCAAGCGTACTGCGTATACGCCGTGTGCCGCGAGAAAAACACCGGTATGCAACCGGAAAGGATCGAGTCAAACGTTGACCTTCGAGTGAAAGAGTCTCCCGGAGCTTGTAAGCAAAACTGAGATTCTCTCATTACTGTTAAAATGTCACTAGGATTGTAGCACTTGGGGTTTCCCCCGTTACATTTCAGCAGCTGGCATCGAGTGGACTCCATGCATTGCTTTATCATTTCGTCCCTGATGGCCGCTTTGTCAACGCCCTTACGTGGGGCTCCAATGAAGGAAAACAAGTAGGGCCGGTTTGATTGCCGCATCATGCGCTGCCACGTCAACATTTGATCTGACGTGGACGGGTGGAAGTAGGAAGGGTAAGGGATGCCGTGTTGGTTTGAACCGTGCCAGGGATTTCTCTCTACGGTTAGCACCGACATGTTTTTTACAGATGGCAGATTTAGAAGACAGTTCGCCCCAAAATCGGGCCCACCGTCGGTTCTAATGAAATCCCACGAGGTTCTCCCTAGGGCAATAAAGTGATCCTTGCCGTAACGCTTGCGCCACGTGGGTTGGTCGTGAAGATAGTTGATCAATCTAACGGCTAATGCGTCGCGAATTGTGTGATTTTGCTCGCGGAACTTGCTGGACACATGGAGACCACCGTAGAAAGGAACATAGAACAGATTGGCTTTTGCTGGATCCCACGTGCGACACGGGTGGTTCTCTACTCTTGCGTGGAAAATCATCTCCGCTATGAACTGGTGGGTGGCGAACCAGGGATTGGAGTCGCTCGAGCTTAGGTCCATGTTGTCCAGGGGCTGGCCTAGACCACTGTTAGCCACGTGGGGACACATGTTGGTGTAAACATTCAAGTGGCTGCAACCGTCGAGGAGGTCGAGGTTAAACTCCGCAGGCAAATTGTACACGTAAACTGACACCCTTCCATTGCATTTGGGAGACGATGACTTTTTAGTTGTTTTATGATTTATATGAACTTCATAACTAGCGGTGGAGATGGCGGAAACAGTGGTGGTGGGGTACTGAGTTTTGGGAAGAGGATGGGTTTTTGTCGATGGGAACCAAAAGACTTGTAACAAAAACCATAAGGAGAGAAACACAAAAAGAAAGGCAGTGTATCTAAAGTGGGGATTGACCGGGAACTTGAAGTGGGTTCCTTTGTTTTTATGGTATCTTACTTTTTCTATCCATGAAGTTGCAGTAGATGTTTGTGTTTTGGACAGCAACATAGGGACTTGAACAGAGACGAAGAGATGGGGAGAGAATCAGAGTCGGAATAGCAGGTTTTGCTGGTGCAGACTTAGAAGAGAAAGAGAGCAAGACGTCACACATAGGAGAGAAAATATTCTGAAGCATAAAGTATACCATAAACTAGCTAGCTACCGCAAAACAACAAAAAAGAAATCAAGGTAGTAGGAAGACGAAAAGAAAGCAACAACTAAGTTTTATGCGTTAAATGGCAAATCGATTAGCTGGATCAGGAATAATATAAGTAGAGGCTTTTTTTAGTCATTTACTGTTTGGTAGGGAAGAAAGTGGAAAAGAAAAACTCCAGGTGGGGACAAAATGGAGGGAAGACAAATGCTATGCACATGCAATTCAATGCGTGTCACCATCTTACCACGTTAACAACCACCAAAATAACAAAAAATTATTGTTGTTCAGCTTGTCCATATTCCTGTCGTGCGATGTGAACTAAAGGCCTACAGCCATCTCCCACGTTCAACATACAGCTTCTTGTTACTCCATTGAAAAGCTTTCCAACTAGCCAAACCAACTTGTTTCTCCATTAGCAAATAGCTAAAGAATGAAATGTCGGACAGAGAAAGAGATAGAGAGCAACCGACAGAAAGAAAGAAAGTCAAGTACATTATTTGAAAATTAAAGTTATAATTGAGAAGACGTGCGTACATTGATGCTTCACAAGTCCAATAATTGGCCAGTTTCTAATCAGAAAGTTATACAAATGTTTATGAATTATTCGGAGTTAGTTGGATTGTCATTGCATGCTATATTAAAATATGCTTAAAATGAGTTTTATTTGCTAATTAATTGAATTAGATGGAAAAAGCTGGAAAAAAAAAATTAGAATGAGTTGTCAATGAAAGATTCAAATTATACAGTTGCTTCAAAAGAAAAAACACAAACTAAAATTCGCCAAAACTGGATAATGAGAAGGCCCAATTAAAATTAAATTTGGGCTGAAGAGCCCGTCACAGCAGGGTCAAATGAAAACATTAGCCCCAGATTAACTCAATCAAAGAAAAACCATCATTTGACTTTGATGAGCTCTTTCTCTTCTGGTCCAAAGGGGCCATTCAGTAACAGACCCAGACCAAAATATCAATTTAAAAGTTTTATTGCCGTTAGATTTACGGCAGTCTCGCAGAGGAATGATAGCTTGATTTACGGCAGAGCAAATGAAACTAACTGTTGTAACAGATTTTTCCTGAGACGAACTGACATCGATTACTCAACGTTTCTTGACAAAAACCAGATTGGACGATCCGAGTGCAAGTTAATTTGTTGTGATCATCCTAAATTGTAGTAATTGGGACTAAAGAGTTTTTGCTATTATCATGATTTTGTTTTCTCCTACAATCTGTGCAATATGATTTAAGAAATGAAAATCTGTACAACATTTTTTACCAAAAAGATAAACTAACACCTTGGCCTTGGTAAACTTCTGGCTTATTGATGTATTATGATACAGATTAAAATTGTCCAGCAGATCTAACAGTAATCCAATTATCCAATGGTTCCAAGTCAATTTCCGCCTGCTGCCTGCTGTCCGTTCCCTTTCTTTGAATACAATGTCTTGTGGAAAATCGGTTAATGTGAAGGGACTCATCCTCATTGAAACTCCCTGGTTCATCTGAATCATAATCACAATCGTACATGCCACTGATATCTAAAATGCTTGAGGGTGAACATGATCCATCTATTCTGGAATTACTGACTGATTTTCCTGAAATAAATGGATGTTCAAGCAATTCTTCTGCTGTCCACCTCCATTTTGGATGTCTTTCCAAGCATTTGTCCAAGAAATCCAACCCTTCCCTTGAAAAGTGTGATGGAAAACGAGGCATTTGGTTGCTACATGCAATCTTCAAAATAGCTGCTACTGGATTCGAAACCTCATCACTCCAAGGCGGCCTGCCAGTGGCCATTTCAATCACTGTGCATCCCAGGGACCAAATATCTGAAGCATAATCCAACCCTTCATTTCTCAAAACTTCAGGAGCCATCCACAAAGGAGTCCCTCCAACAGATTGCCAAGACCCTTCTAACCCCCTCTTATTTTTCATGTCTTTAAGCTTCTTTGCACATCCAAAATCTGTCAGTTTTACATGCCCTGAGGAGCCTAAAAGCACATTTTTGCACTTGAGATCACAATGCACGATCCCATTCTCGTGAAGGTACTTCAAACCGCATAGAATCTGTCGGGTGTATAACCGGATCACTTCTTCGTCCAATGCTCCACCGAATTTCTCTGCCACGTCAGACAAACTACCACTAGCCATGTACTCCATGAATATGCTGATTTTACGATCACCATTTGAGTCCTTTGATAACTCCTTTCCCATGCATTGAACAATGAATGGGGAACTCAGGCCTTCAAGAATGGTAGCCTCATTCTCTAGAGATTGAAGTCCAGGACAAGACACTGCAGATTTCACAACAAAAAGTGCACCAGTAGCCTTGTTCATGGCTATATGGACATTTCCAAATGATCCTGATCCAATAACTTTGCCCTTCATCCATTCGCCAGGTAGAGGACATGAACAAAAGTGATTCCCGGCCATTTCTCTGAATTCTTTTTTAAACAAGAACGAGAATCAATGTAGCATGTCTTGGATTGGGTACAGAGACCCAAATCAAATGAATCTTTTAATCCTTTGCTAAGCATGCAGTTTACATAATCACAAACGAAAAAGAAGATGAAACTAGAGGATTCAGAAGACCTAAAATTTTCATAAAATTGCAAAACTAGAAATGAATTCAACAATTGGCAAAGGTGTCACTTGATGAAAATGAAATGGAAATTTGAAGAGCGGTTTTCCAGTACTGGGAAAACCGCCCTTGCTGAGCTAGGCGTTTTGTTGATGTCTTTGTTATCAAACACTAACAGAATTCTTGTCGCTTGTAGACAAGAAGAAATGGATTTGAAACATTTTTATTTGGAAGTTAATAAAGAAAGAAAACGGTTGACCATCCTTTTTTTGTGGAACTCTGCTTGGACCAAAACCCCAGATTAATGAGCAGTTGCTGTTATCTGCGGTTATTATGCATTTGGGTTTTGTAATCCTTTTCAGGTGGTTGACTAATTTCTCCATGGAGGCAATTTCAGTTAGTGAACGTTACGTGCTTTCTTTTTAAATCCCATCATCCTATGACATGGTAATAAAATATTTTATTTAAGAAACACATTTAGCTTCTTTTAACTCATCACATTAGCTTCATTTCCTAGACTGGATGATGCGTTGGCGACAGCATCCAAGCATTTGACTCAGTAATTGATACATGATCCCTACTCAGAACATAGTTCTAAACTTCGAATTCCCCTTTCTCAAATTAAAAAAAAAAAAAAAGAATTGTGTTGGTGACAATTCGAATAGTTTGATTCTCACAGCGCAATTTAAAGAAAAATAACCAAAATCAAACTGCGTAGTTGCAAATGAAGATGAAATCAGACACCAGCTAAAACTTACATGAAGAGACTGTAGATATTGCAAAAAAAAAATATATACTGAAAAGCTATCTTGTGTCAAAGATTGACTCAAGTTTTCCAATTATTGAGTGATGCACCATTACTTTTCACAATCATGATTAGAGCAATCAATTATATCAACATTCTTTTGCAAGTATAATCAAACATAACCTGCAAAAGACTCCTGGATCCTTGATCTTCAGGCAACTTTAGAAGACGAGCAACTTTGGAGAATCCAGTATGGTGTATGCGTAGGGAATCTGCCTTCACTTCAGGTTTTGGCTCCTGCTTTCGAAGTTTTGGTCTTGATAAGGCCCATTGCATTGCCCATATGGCCAAAGGGCGCATGTAACCGAGAGATCTGTATTGATCATCTGTATTCCAAGCTTCCGGAGTTTGAAATGAGTAACTACAGAATAGCATGAGCAAACGAAGAATATTCAGCTGATAATTATCCATGTGATATTTCGGGAAGTAGATGCATTTGAAGAGGTTTTGAGGAGAATTTTCCTATGCAATTATTTGAAAGGTTAAAAATCCTTTCCATGAGATTGTTTGAACTATCTGGTTTTTTAAGCAGAGCTGGAAATAAAAAACATTCAACTCGATGATCATCTAACACGAACATCTCATTTAACATCTTATCTAATGGTATCAATTACCAACCAAATGGTTGGAATGGAGTCAAGTAGGTACTTGCCAAAGTTTCTAACTGGCTTAGGAGAAGAGCAAAAAAGAAAGTAAATCAAGAGACTACACATCCGAAGACATGGTTACAACTCCAATCGCAAATTCCAGGATGGATCACTTTCTTCTGAGGTCATAGCCATTGGGAAAAAATCAGCATTAAAGGAAAATTTCATAATCTCTGAAAATCATATCCAAACATTAGGGGAGGGGGTTCAGTTTTCCACAAAAATCATACCAACTATAGAAAGAAAGAAAGAAATCTTACCCAAGTCCTTCTTCAGACCAGGCTGCTTCAAAGATTCCACTTGCAGTATGAAATGCCATATCCACCAAATCTTCGTGGATCATTGTTGCAGCCACAGCATATGTAACTCCAGACCATATTTCTCTTGATTGCATTGATGACATATCAACTCTTCCATCAGGCAGCATCCCATTTACAGCCCCCCGTTTTCCATCTTTCACTTTTAAGACATTGTAATTGTAAACCATCTCCATCGCACTTCTTGCTTTATCTTCATCAACTATTGGCAAAAGATCACATGCCCTTGCATACCTACAAAAATCTTCTAATTCATTAGCACATGACCAAAATGGTGTAAAGAGATATAGCTGGGGTGAAAAAGGCGCATGCATCAAAAGCAACAAACATAATTGTTTCAAGCCTACATATTTAGAAGTTTCAATCAGCTTAACTCTTAACATTATACGGAACATGCATGTAAGTCGGCATCAATTTTAAAAGTACCGGTTATGTTTTCTAACCAGAAAAGGAAATGGGAGAAAATCCTAAGTTTCGAATTAAAAAAATACTTTCAAAGTGCAAATTTAGAAATTTAAAATTCTAAGTAAAAGCATATTCTAGACTATCTGAAAGCAAATACTGGAACTATAATATAAGTTACATCCATCATTACAGACCATTGTCCAGCCAATTGATCAGCCTGAATGGATGAACTTGTGCGACTGCCACTGTTGTCATAATTGAAGTAAGAACCATTCCACAATTTCTGATAGACAACTTTTGCCTTCAGAAACTTGTACCAGAAATAATCTTCAGAACCTTTGTCTCCTACTTCGCGTGCCAGGGCAGATGCAGCCTGTAAGGCTGCCACCCATAGCCCACCACTATAGGCACTCACACCTGACACGGACCATGTATCATATGTCTGATCAGGGAATCCTTCATTCTCAATCATCCCATCACCATCCTTGTCAAATTGATCCATATAAGCCATTGCAACATAAACTGAGGGCCAAACAGCTTGTGCAAACTTCTTGTCACCAGTGGCAACCACATCCCTATAAACTTGGAGAACAAATTTTGGATTCAAGTCCTTCCATCGATCAGTGTCATAAAGGCAATATGCATTTACCTCAAACCATGGATCATCAATTCCAATATCATGTGGAACAGCTCCAAGAACCTTTCTTGGAACCAGTTGTCCATCAATTAAAAGTTTCATTTTACTAGGATCGTGCATCATTACCGCAGCTGCAAAGTCTCTCTGGATGCTGAGTTGAAGTTTTGGAAATAACATGATTAGTGCAAAAGACGCATAAAAATGAACATCATAGGTGTTCCACATGTGATACTCAATTCCTTCAAGATAAAGAAATTGACCAATGTTTTCTTCTCCTTCTTGCAGCAAATTTGTTCCAAAAGCAGAATTTGATGCAATTGGAGTGTGTATTTGCTCTAGTATAGAAGTCATCCTTCCCAGAATGTCAATGGCAGTATCACTTTGATGGGGAACATCAATAATGCTTGTCAAACCTAACTGTGATCTATCAAGGGAAAACTTCCTTCCTCCAATGCTCACTAAACTATGGACTGGAGATAATCCATCTGCAGTACAAACAAAAAGGGAAAAGATTACCACAAGTCCTTCATAAGAAATCTAATTTTAACAATTGAGAGCAACATCCGGCACCTGTCCAAATTGTTCCCCCTGAATTAAGATAATAGAGCTCATTGAATAAAAGTACAGGGTACCTGTTGAAAGGGTTCAAAGGACTTAGAGCCTGACATCACAAGTAATTGCAAATAATAAGTCTGAGCTAACCATTCAGGAAGCCTCTTGTCTTCGAGTATAGGCCTTTGCCATGCTTCAATCAGTGACTCCCAATTGCTGTGCTCTATTTCAGGAAAAAATATATATGAAATGCAAAATAAGTACCATAAGCAACTGGTTTTAGAGACTGATGAACTTAAAACTTGGGGAGTAGAATTTCTATTAACAATCATATTTCTAAGAAAAATTACTTATAAAATCAAAAACCACGATTAACATAAAGAGAGCAGAGAATTATAACCAAGAATAGCATCATGTGCAATATTTGCGGCGGCATCTCCATCAGTTCCATAGAATTTTGTATAACGCCTGTAGATACATACACCAATTAGCATGCAGATAATCTTTCAAGTTGTGATATTTCTTGTACAAGTATTTTGCCACACACCTATGATAAGTTTTTCCACTAAGAAAGTTTACTTCAGGACAGTCCCATGCCAAAGAAAAAGTAACAGTACGTACAGCATCAGATGGAATTGTCACAGAAGCTGCAATGGCTGCCCCTATAGAGGACCCTGGCTCCGAAGCCACTGACGCTTCATTGGACTTTAAATGCTCGAAGGAGCCATGCTATAAAAAAGTTTGAGAAGTCTCAAGTTCAGTAAAATGATAATAAAGACACTGGGAAGCAAATATTTCCTTTTGCTCTTTGCATTTTAGTTTGGGAAAAAAGCAACCAAACAGAGCAAAAATATTTTTGCTGGCCCAGTAATTTTGTAACCATTCACTTTCTTGACATTGCTCTGCCCTTATAAGAACTCAGTAACTAAAATCTTTGTTAATGCAAGGCTTGCCTTTAACTATTTTGACAAGAGTTGAACTGCTACAGCACAAAACAGCAGGATATAGCTGTTGCTAATGCTGTATGATTGTAGACTGAAGCAGAAATGCAAAGTCAATGATTGTATTGTACGTAGCACATGGAAATTGAGGAAGGCAAAGTGAACAAACCTCTTTTATTTCTTGCCACATTTCCTTTGCAGTTATGCCTTTTGAGTTCCCAGATATTAAAAAGCAGGGGCACTCTGTAATACGAACACCATCAGTCTCCTGTGCAGCGATTGCAAAAGTCACAAGAGGTAGTCCATTTGCAGACCTGTACCAATAAATACAGGGTATTACTTGTAGAAAACAAAAAGATGCAATGCAAAGTTATTGAGCTGATCAAACCAACTTGAAACACATTTTTTATCTCCCACTTTCACTGATGACCTTACATGTGATGTAAGAGGACACCATGCACACCATCGTTCATCCTAGCAAAATCATATACTTGATAGGTTAATATTAAACCACAATTATGCTACAAAGAGATAAGGAATATTCTGTTAGAAAGAACTACTTAAATAAACAATTAATGTTATAAAAGAGTAAAATTGAAAATCAGAATACAGATACATCCATACACACACGCATATATATATATATATATATATATATGTATGTATATATATAAAGATCAAGCTTAAGGAAGCATGATGCTCACATTATTTTTGAATTGGAGTGACGACCAGAAAATTCAGAAACTCCTCCCACAGAATTCTGAGTAGACATGCACAAAACTTATTTTGCATGAGCACTAATTGTTGATTAAGTTGAGTCATTCAAACATTAAAGAAAAGTAGTTACTCACAGCCCAAGTGAAAAGCAATGTGACATCTGCAGTGGTCTTTCCAGTATTATATAACTGAAATATCAAAAATCAACTGATCAATACCAAAGCAAGTTGCGTTCACCATAGCAATGCAAATTTTTAGAAGACCCATTCTCACAGTGAAAGTAAAAGCTGAAACAGGAAAGCTGCTTTCTTTGTAATTGTCAGGAATAACAGGTGAAATTTGGCGACAAACAATTTTAAGTGATGGGTCAGGTTCACCTGCATTTTAAGACAAAATCATGACCACCTTATAAGATGATATATCCAAGGATACGGTCATAAAAACACAACAGTTCACCATTGATAATGTAGATACCTTCGTAAACTGTCCAAGCCCTCGGGTATAAAGCATGATATGTAGAATTATTACCCTTCAGATTCCAGTCCCAAGAACCAATTCCAGAGACTGAATCTTCTCTGTTAATGCACATGATATTGATAACTCGTAAGATAAACCTTTTTTTTTATCTTACTCCCATTTATTTTGTGTTAAATTCATACATAAACAAGAGTAACTCTCAAGCAATCATTAATGGCATTCATTTATTAATCATAAGAGATAAAAGAATATCTGCTTACTTCACCAGCTCAGGATTCGCTGAGCACAGTACACTGGAATACTTTTCACCATTTGAGCGTGAAACAAAAATCTGCAAGAAACATTTACATTTGATTAAGATAGATTAATATTCCTTTTTTCAAATAAACAATTAAAAGATATTCTGGTCATGAATCTTACACATCATCTCCTAGAATTAAAAAGGTAATAGTACTGACAGTTAAAAAACAAAAGGGGAGGGAGGACAATTCTTAATCTCAACTTCTATCATCTTGCAGTCACTTCTGCCAGAAAGTCATGTTCATCAAACGATTAACAATGTCACAGACTCACAGATTCAAATTAGCATTGCATAATATGCTCGTTAGGATAATTTCCAGCTTTATAACAAGCCTACTTTTGATAGAATATGCTTCTGGTTTAATTATAGCTAATGAGAATAGAAATGATGGAACAATAGAATATTTCCTTTCTCTATGCTGGCTAGGGATATCCAACTTACAGAAAACTGATTTGCTAAAACTGGTTTCTCTTCACATATTCTAGGGAATAGTTGCCAGCGCTGAAATTCACCCTTGTAACTTCTTCCAATGCTTCCGGCTCTGAAGGTTGTGATTGTGAAGGGGGAAGGAGGGGGAGGAGAATATTAAAAGAGTTAGTCATAAGATAGTCAATAAAACAAACCAAGCATCGAAAGTGGGTACATCTCAAAATTCAGTGAACATTATGATACCGTCAACATTTTCTACACACAAAATTTTCCATATTCCAAAATCCATCACAAACTATATACAAATATGTGCAGCTTAAACACATGTTTAAATAATTAAAATAATTAAAATTTTTATTTATTAGTAAATTAATAAGTATAGGAACAGTTTAGGTTGACTGTACACCCCAAATAAACACATAACCAATAAACTAAGCATCCATTCTTAATGCTAAGCATTGAAGTAACAGGAAATTAAAATTTTGGGTAAGTGAATGAAGACCTACCCGACACCACCTAGAGGAACACCATGACAAGATGAAATAAAGTGCTTAGCAAATGGGTTGATAAAAACCTGCTGCAATGAAAAGATGTAATGTCAGAAAATGGACCAGAGAAATAAGGTCAAATGGTAATCTTTACCATTTGTAACACATAAACCTAAGAAAAAAAATTTAAGAACATTACCCGTCCTTTGCTTGATTGTTCTCTGACATGCTGCCACAGTCGAATACCTATTGGAGCCTATCAAAGCAAAAGAAATTATTTGTGGATGTAAATAACAAGAAAAGGTAAGCATTTTCCATATACTTCTATCATTATACTGTAAGGACTTGTCTATATTTGATTAAAATAAGGTTAAAACATTGTAATGTTCACCACCAAAAAATGCATAGATAAATGTATGTCGAAAGCTATCTTCGCCTTGTACTTCTTATACACTATCAAACGTACTTCAAGTAGTAAGAAAAACTTGTTTATACATATCGTTTAGTATGATTTACTGGAAATTGCCGGAAGCATTGGCATTTAGACACTTGAGAAAACTAAACTTATGTCCACTGTCTGGCATGGTAAGGCAAACTTTTTCGGCAAATTTCAAGAGATAAAATTCATCTACAATAAAATGTATTGAAGATAGTGTATAATTTTATTCAGAGGATTTTGTTACTTGTATGATTCTTCTCGAACAAGCACACTCTGTCAAACAGTGTTATACATTTGCTCAGACTAAAAAGAAATGGTATATGATTAATATACACAAATTCCGATGAAGAGTTTAGGACATTCCATTCAACAGCCTAAACATAACAGGTGCCCTGTTCACAATCATGTGCCAATCTTCAGGTCAGCTTAAGCTATTTTCTGTTTATCCATTTGCAGAGTACCTCCATGAGCATTGCAATGCATTAACTTTTCAAGGAATAAAAAGTTAAACAATGTAATATATTCAACATGAGGTTTATGATTTGTAAAGGCTTGGAAAAATCTTGTTATATAAACATACCATATGAAGTTTCTCTTGAAATGTTAGAGTGAACATTGAAGGAACACATCCCTCATCATTTAGTTTTCGCTTCCAAGTCAATGATGCAGGCTTGCCAGGGTCAACCTGCAGCCAAAAATGCAAAAGTAGTCAGAGATGTAAATATGTACAAAAGAGCCTGCAAAGTTTAGAAATGCAAGTTGGACGTCTATGTACTAAAACATAAGCAGACACTAAATGCACAGCTGAAACATAAAAGCAGTAATGACATCGACTTTCATCAATGAGAAGTTCATTTGATAGAGAATCTTTTCTAGACTTCTAACATCATAAGCAATTAAGCACCCTTAATCTGTATGGTGCATTAAGAATAATGATTGAAAACAGGGCCAGCTGCAGGATGGCTTCAACATCAAAAGGCCACAAAATGAATAAATCATTGAATTTATCTGGTTTTACTAGATCTTGCACATCTTTCTCTAATAAGGATCAGATGCCTTTACGTCACCTAGCTCTGACTTTAACAATGATATAAAAACACACAATCTTTTATATCCACTTAGTATTTGTGTATGAAGGCTTCTAACCCAAATGAAATCAAGTCAGACCCTTCAAACATGAGCAAAAATGGCCTTACTGCAATTCCATAAAGCAGAAGTAAACTCCCAAAATGTAAATAAGAACATAGCTGACCTTATTTATTGAATGATTAGATGTGTCTTTATCTCCTTCGTCAAAACCATTACCGAAGATCTTTGTCTCAGACATATTTCCTGAATTCACAAATAACAAAACTCAGCTCAATTTGCATTCAAACAACTCACAACAGTGACATGAAGATAATAAAACTAAAAACTTTCTAAAATAAGTTTTGATTTTGAATGATTCCACATATTGTTTTCCCTTTCTCCATCCTTTAGGCAATTACAAAGAAGTAAAAATCTTTCAAAAGAAAGAAATACAAATTTAGAATTTCATAATTCTCATATATTCATACCTCAGGCAGTACAATACAACAATAAGGCATCAAGATACTATTACACACGACAAGCCGACATAGAAAACTTGGATCCAATCCAAAACCCTTTCTTAGATCTATTTTTAAAGTTTAAACTAAATTAATCAGATTAAGAAACTGAATTAAGTATCCATAGACTACTAATCCACTAAAATTGTATACAGTAAACCCAAGATTTCCCAGTTCACCGGAATCAATTCTGGTCAAACAAGTAACAATGCATACATGCGTACACAAATGCATTCATACATTCATATGTCCCTCTCCAACTAAAAACAGGCATAAATTAAATCCAAACACTATACATATATGCGTCCAAACATACCAATGTACTTATGTACCTATATACATCCATCCATCCATCCATCCATCCATACATGCATACAAGTAGTCAACGGCTAAAATCCGCATCCATTAATAACCCATTTTCCAGCAATCACTGATCATCTGAATGACTGATAGAACTTCAAAGACATTCACGACACATAAATATACTGATATGCATACTAATAAATTATGAATAAGTTTATAATATACCTTATAAGTAATAAAGACCATTTAAAAAACTTGATTAAAAAATGAAATAGAAGGACAGTGAAGTCTCTAACCTGGGAAGATTTGGACAGAAACTGAAATAGTTTGTGGGGAAAGAAATGGGTTGGTACAATGTTGAAAGAAAGACAAAATACTTCAATTGCCGAATTTATAGGAACTGCTCTGTGGGATTTACTGGAAACATAAACAAGAACAGAAGACTTTTTCTTTGTGCTCTTTGTCCCCCGGATTTCTGAGTTAGACAAGATTTTGTTGCCTAATTATATTAATGTGGGTCCCTAACATTTAAGTTTATTTTCATTTAAAACCCCTGCTTTTATTACGTAATTATTTTTAAGTCCCTTTCTCCATCAACGAACATTCATAGAAAAATCTAGCACGCAAGCTTTTTTTTTTTTTTTCTCTTTCTTGGGAGTTACGAAAAAGTTTTAATATCTTAAGAAGATATCTATGATACTGTTCAAAGAGGTAATGGCATGAATGAAACAAACTTGAATCAATTGAGCCAAAATGAAAATAAGTCAAAATGGATGAGCAAATCAAAGAAAATGGTATAATCCTGTTTTGTTTCTTTCTACTTGGGTGATGCTGGCGGTATATTCTTGCCGTTGACTATTTGTTTAGTGGTATAAACTTATCATGATCCAGTGTTTTTCACAGTAGACATTAAAGGTAGATCAATGTTTGATTTTTTTTTTTTGGTATAAATATTCAATTGGAATTTATGAATTTATTAGATTTTCACCATAAAATTTTTAGATTTATATATCATATAATAACGAAAAATCATGAGATGATTCAAATCTGAATTTAATGCACCTAACATTCATCTTTTATTATTTATATTAACTTTCGTTGATAATATTTAACAGTTTTAATTATCTAAAAAAAGGATCTTAATCTCTTAATTTTGAAAGTTTTACACGCATTTTGCTGTTATTGAAATAAAGATCATGAAATTTGTCAAAGAAATAATCCCAAATCTTCTATAATTCTCTTAACGACATGGAGAGTCAAGCAACTAATTTCATGCAAGACCAACTTATTTAGACCATTCTAAAGTCTCCTTATTGGGATAATTTCTCTCCCACTTTAGACCAATCAGCTTCATGAAAGTCCCAATTTCATATAAACATGTAACAGGAGATTGCAACCTTTTGTTTTGTAGTTACTACCACTAAATTGCAAGAGCAATGTATAATGGTCCAATGAGACAGCAGATTCCTGGCCATTCCACTGGAGGCAGGCCTGAATTGGCTTATGTGCACTCTAAGAATCTTTGCTTTGCCTTAACTCAAGCAATTAACTGTAGTCTAATACTGATCATTGGGCTGTTTTTGTTACTTGTACTCTTCTTTCGGCCGAATGCCACCTACTTCTTCGGGGATTCAATCACACAACAAGCAATTAAATCGTTACTATTTGGGCTTTACCCCAAATTTTCTCATTTCTTTGGAAGCCCAAGGGTGTTGTAAAATATAGATCCAGTCCAGTAAAGTATACCTAATCCCACAATCTGGGCTCAGTCCAAATCTTCTTATTCCTTTGACTAGCCTAATCTCAATAGCTTCAATAAAGTTGTTACAGGATAACCCAATCTCTAACCAAAAGGCCGAACTTAATAATCCACAACCCATTTTGGGTCATCAATCTGTGGTGTTGGACTATTATTACTACACTATAAAGCAAATCCAACAAAACTTTGTCACCCAAATCTTTGACATCAAGGGGTCAGGGGTGGAAGAGCGATGCAGCATTAAATTTGAATTCAAGGTTAGTAATTCGATTTTGAACTTGCTCGACTTTAAATTTAATATTTAAAATTTTATTTGAATTCAATTTAAGATTTTTTTTTTTTAGTTTAAACTCGATTTGACTTTAAATTTAAAATTTAATTCGAATTCGATCAAAATTTTTTTTTAACTTAAACTTGATTTAAAATAAAAATCGAATTATTCAAACCCATTCAATTAAATTTAATTAATACAAAAATTCAAACACACTCAATTAAATTAAATTAATATAAAAAAATAAACTCGATTCTAACATTTCACGAATTTGAATTTAAAATATTTTATTAATTAAAATATATTAAAATATAAAAACTCGATTAAACTCATGAATTATTTGAACCAAATATAAAAATATTCAAATTAAACTTGATTGATAAATTAAACTACTCAAATTCGATCTCGACTTGATAATAATTAAATTAAATTTGAGATTTATTCAAATCGAATTTGAATATCTTACAAGTATTAATACACTCATTTTCACCCCAAAATCGCCACGTCAATTAATAATTAAGATACCATCGCAAGTTAAAAGACACCTAACAGGGCAACTGTCAGGGCCTGAATAAATCATCAAAGGTTCAAGAAAATTTGAAATGCCTCATTCTCATGAGATTGGTCTTACAAAAAATCTTTTCAATACTTGAACTCCAAAACCCAAATTATCTTGGAGCTGGTAATAGGTTTTTATTTTAAGAATGGCCTAGTTTTTTTTCCTACATTATTGATAAAAAAACTCTTCATTTTGTTCAAAATAGCTGATATAACGCAGACGCATCAGGAAGTTGATTCCTTCAGATATGCAATGAGGTCAGCACGTTCCTGTGGCTTCTTCAATCCAGGGAAAACCATCTTTGTACCAGGAATATACTGCAAAAGCAAAGTTTACCACCAAACCATCAATTGTAATAGCCATTCAACAATGAAATTTCATGCTTAAGGAGAAAAAGATGCTAGTAAACTGAAAGTGAGAAAGTACTGTCACTCACAAACCATGACTCAAATCAAGCAAACTCAGCTATGCTAGCATAAATATATTTACTTCATACCTATCTAAACCCAGTCAGTTGCATCAAAAGCACGATGCCACCAAAATGCAAACATGGTAATAGCTGATGTATTGCAACAATCACAATCATGATAAGAATATAAAAAAAGATATCTTCCTGAAATGAGATGAACTACCCATAAAGCATAGTTATGGCAACAGAAATCAACATTAACAATGAATACACTACCACCAAACGAGAACTGTCTTGTAAGAGATCACCTTCGCTGCTAAACAATAGCAACAAGAGATGATTTCTTTGAACCCCATAGTGTGCTTCTTTGTACATAAATAACATTCTTACCACTTCATGTAAAAAAAAAAAGAAAGAAAAAAAATGTCTATCCTTTAATTTATAGTTTATGCCAGATAAAAACTCTTTGTGCACCTAAAAGTCATTTCCATACTTCCATGTTATCAGTTCCTCGAGTTGGTTTGACCATATTTAGCACTTAGCACACACTGCCCCTACCATCCAACAGAAACTAATCTTCCTCATGTTGTTTTGAAATTCACAATTAGTTAATAAGACAGTTATACTATATATGATCCCAAATAAAAGTCCATTGTAATATTTCAAAGCCATGATACAATCCATGCAATTAATATCTAAAGAGTGTGTTTGGTGCACAAGATTGTGAACGGAGAAAACAAGATGATATTATGAATAGGATTAGATTAAATAATATCATCCTATCTTGTGTTTAATGCGTGCAAGGATTAGAATATAACAATTTTATTTATTGATTAAAATTATCCTTCCTTAAAGTTTATACAATTTAAATTACTGATATAATTTTTAAAGGTATAATAGGACATATAAGTTAAATCCCATGGATTAAAAATAATTCTCTCCACTTTGAGAGGATCAAATCATCCGATGCCAAGAAGATGATTAATCCTTCTTGCAATCCCATCTTTTTCTTTAGATACAATCCATACATATTAGAGGATGATATCATCCATCATCCTATGTACCAAACACGACCAAAGGTCACAGAATTCATACCCAAAACAGTTTTCCTTTTATGTTCATAAGTTATAAACTTAGAATAACACGCAAAACTCACCAACATTGTTCTGAAAAAGAAACTCGACTTGTACATACCTTCTTAGGATTAAGCAAGTAGTCATACAATGTGTTCTCTCCCCAAACCACAGCCATATTTTTGTTAGCAGCGGAATACGAGTATCCCACTGTTGTGCCAGACTGCCTCCCAAAAAGCCCATTCAAATTTGGCCCTGCAAATTTCACAAATCTAAACTTATTTTCCCATAAACTTCAAAAGTAAAAAAAAAAACATAATACTAATAAATCCAAATTGTATCATATAGAAAATTATGTGTGAATCATCTTGTTTCAATTCAAATCAAACCAAATAACTTAGGAACTTACTCTCTTTTTTTTCAAATTTAAAGCTTCTTTTAATCAAACCAAATAAAAATAAATACCGGATCAGTTTGCAAATAGTAACTGAAATAAATATATGCCGGATCGCTTTGCAAATAGTAACGAAACTATTATTGAATCTGAGAACAATAAAGATCAAATCATTCTGACTAAAAAATGTTTAAAAGATATCAAAATCAAAGAAGAAAAAAGCTATAAGAAAATGACATGAAAGAAAAAACAGAAGAACAAATTGCTAGATGTAGTAATTAATAAAATTATAAAAGCATGAAATTAAGAAGTTATATCTCATACGAGACTCGACATAAAAATAATAAACCAAATAATTAAAATCAAAGAACAATGAAATCAGATCCGAGAGAGAGACCGACCTTGCTTGTGACCGGCTCCTTTTTGGACGGTATGGCACTGAGCGCACTTGGTCTTGAAGATCTTCTCTCCGGCTTTCGCATCTCCAGGCGGTGCTTGCTCGAACGAGGCCATCGCTTTTGTTCTCGCTTGAGGATTTTTCTTTCTTAATCAATCAAAGTTTTTTGATTCTTCAATGGTTTGGTTTTATATCAAGGTTGAAGGACGGTGGAACTTTATTAGGGCTAATGGTACTACAAAAATATATGGGAAATGTTAGCGGCACACGGTTTTGAGTACTCGATTTGTTAAAAGGCCGTCTACAACGCAATGTTAGCAACAGTGGATTTAGCAAACGCGTTTAGACACTCGAATTTTAACAATGACACGTAAAGTGCGTGTTAAAAGCTAAAACCGACTAGATTAATGTAGAAAATTTTATAATAGAATTATGAGCCATAAGGTTAAAGCTTTTTTTTTTTTTTTTCTCTTTTGCTTCCCTTTAGATTCTTGCTTATTTTTCAAATTCAGGCTATTATTTTTTATTATTGGTTAAAAATAGAACTTGAAAATTTTGAAACAAATTCATCCGAGTAAGTTATTAAGTCTAAGGTAAGTTGCTAAAAAATGAAAAGAAAAACATAAGCAAGAATGTAAAGGGAAGCAAAGAGAAAAGAAGAAAGTTTTGGTGTTAAGGCTCATAATTTCATTATAAAATTTTTCCAGTTTAATCAGTAACCAGTTTTAGCTTTAAAAACACGCCTTATGTGGCGCTGTTAAATTCGAGTGTACAAAAGCGTTTGCTACATCAACTGCTGCTAGAATTTCTGTAAATGTAATAAACCAACGCACACGAAGCACGCACCGACGCCTCACGTTAAGACAAATCGACAATTGAATATCGGAATGACCATAATGCCCATCTTCTTAGTCAAATCTTGAACTTTGACCTTATTGCTTAAATTTTGGGCCCCAAAAAAGAAATACAAACAACGGTGCCTATTATTAGGCAATGACCAGCTCATATTCATCAAAGACCAGCTCCAAACAAAGCAATGTTAAGCTGGCAATGGAATGCCAGACCAGAGTTCACCTAGAAAAAGTGGAATTAAAAGACCTACTTTTTTTAATCTTTTTTATGCTGAATCCTCCTTACGTAACCCCTACGACACCTTAGTCCATTAAGAATATTCTTCTACACATTTCTTTTTCAAAATTGAACTTTAAAATGAGTCAGGGCAGACATTGTCCTTAGAAAAGAAAATGAGGCAGGGCGTCATAAAACAAGCTTGGTCACCACCATAAAAGAATTGCATGAGAAAAGGCAGAAAAGAATTGCACGATTTTGACGTTATACCATTCAACCTTCAATTTCGACCTAGCAAAATAAACCACAATTTTAAAAGCATTGGTGCAGATAAAAACAGGTTATAAGAATGTTACAAAAGGGGTATTCGAATTATAAATTCCATCAAGCAAAACCATCATATCTAAATTTACGAAAACAAAACAAGAATAAAGATCCTTATTTTGAAGCTAAATCCTTTACAATCAGTTTTCTTTACCACAAAATTGATATTCACCACAACTACTCAGTTTCTTGATTACTTTTAGGGTCCATGAACATGCGTTGGAGGCCGCATTGGCCAGCCCAGAAGCGGTGGTGATCCTGGTGGGGTTACATCTCTGCTAGGAGAGAAGAGGCTCAGTTCCACGAATGCCCCAGTCGAGGTCCCATCTTTTTCGAAAGTCCGAAAAGAAATCGATCCACGCTTAGTAGAGACATCAGAATTCCTCTCAGGGCTAATACCAACACTTCCTTCAATATGGCTCTGATTAGCGATAAGAGAAACAGTGTCATTCTGATCATCAAGAACAACCCTTCTCCTAACCTCGAAGTTATGAAGATTCCCCAGAGCTAGACAATCCGCAACTGGACAGTATACAAGCACGCAAATACAGACCCCAGCACAACATAGCAGGACAACAAAAGCTGAGAATGCAAGAGCTTCAAACAGAAATTGCTCTGGTTTAGATAAAACAGATAAACCAAGTAAAAGAACCCTTAATGGAAGGAAACTTGAAACTGAGAAAATTAATGTGTAAACTCTCTTCTGCAAACCCTTATTGATAACCAATTTCAAAATCCGCATTCCAAGCCAACACAAGTAGGCAGTCAAAACGGTGGCAAAAAGCCCAAGAAGAATAGTATTCAGTAAAGGGTAAGTGCAGAGAGCGATGTCATCAGCAGAATTTTGCATCACTGGAGTAGTAGCTGTTCTTGTGAAATATGGCGGTAATTCTCTCCTATCCTTGCGTAACTCCGGTCCAATCAAAATAAGAATGAGTTGAAGAACAAACACAGGGATGCAGTAGAGAAGAACATAGCCTGCTGTTTTCCCATTCCATTTTCTGCTTAGTATTCCAGTGTCCATATTCTGTAAAGGTGCCCGAAGAAGAAACACCAGAGTGAGGAAGAGGCAAGGTTCTGCAAAACCTAAATTTGAAACAATGTAAAATTTGCAGACGTTTTCTTGCCATTTCAAATTGAGTGTATTAAACACTCTTCCTTGCCGTCTTAGAAAATTTAGCCGTACAATTTCACCAAAACCCCACCAGATGGCTAACAAAATGAATGTAATTCGGATGATCCAAGGACCACTGAAATAACTGAGCTGAATAAATCCTAGTCTAAGAACACGTGAACGCAAGTAAATCGAGTATGCGATACACAACAAACCAAGAAGAATCAACAGAGCAACTAGACAAATTGTCAACACACCAAATGCTTCGGCAGAATATCTCGTCAGGGGCATTACCCGAAACACAGATTCCACGCATGCTCTCTGCCAGCATGGATACAAAGGATCCTCTGATAGTGTACAAGCGACCTTCGACCTTCTGAGACTTATTTTCAGAAGCTATTACTGAATTAATACTGGATGATACTAAGATTAACTATGTGAGAAGATGAATAAGCAGCATTATCAACAGAACTCATGTATCTTCTTGCCAATCTACCAGATCCATCTATGTCAAGCATTAGCCAATTCAAAACTTACAAATTTCAGATTTAGACTGCTGTTTCAGCAACTAACCTTCAAGCTTTAGCTCAAACTTTAATTATTTGATCCAAGAACCTGTGGAATAGGAAACAGGAATAAATCAACTAATAACCAAAAAATTATGAATAAAACTCCATAACAAAAGAAGAAAGATTTCTATGGCATGCAGAAAATAAGATAAAATCCACCACCTTCAGCCACACACTATTTCTCCTATAAAATGAAGAAATTGTTCCAGAATTTCTAGTTTTCAGAAATTTATCATAAAAACCAAGTAAAGAACATTTTTAGATGCATGTGACCACAGAGCAATCACCTAATACGCAAGCCATTCTCATAAAAATAACTTAAAATGTATGAGATGTAAACCCTACTATAACCAGATATATAGCAGTCTAAATGTGAACAGACATGAATCATATTAAATTCATTACTTGGCACATGCAGCATATATGTCAAGTTGCGCTGGTGCAAACGCACCCAAGCTACCATATAAATCAACATTAATGCCAGTCTCATTTATAAGAAAGCATTTAGGAAATATCATCATTTATAGTTAGTGAGAAATACACAATGATTCACTGCCATGTGCATCACTATTAATGTTTTATGTCACTAGGAAAACCAATTCTTACATGTCATCTTAATTAAACATTAGAGACAACAACAGGAGACACAAGAGAGGCTGTAAGTTTCCACATCAACAAAAGCAACAATAATGCTGCATGTTGACTAGACAAGAATAAAAATATTAGGTAAGACCTTAAACATATAAGTAAATAATAGTTGTGTAACCACAACAACTTAAGTTCATACAAGAATAGCAAATCAAAATCAACACTTTACATCATTTAGAGAATGACATTAAAATCATTTTCTAATAACCGGGACCCAAAAGAGTTATACTGTAATAGATAATTTATGAAATTGATGTTCAATTAAAACATCCAAATTAGTTGTAAGCTTAAATGTCACAAAAAAATTCCAAAGGCAACAATTAACTAATAATACCCAAAGTGTAGCTCCGTTTTATCATACAACAATAATCCTATTTAACACAATGCCAACAGTATGCTTTCACATGCCCTTGCTGGCAAAAATGAACAAATATTGTTTACGCTACCCATATATCACCAGCGTACTGAGGACATTATAGTCAAACCGTCCAATAAATGATTTTAAAACTAACAACTCCACTTCTAAACCTATCAATGTCCCTCCTGATATAAAATTTTCACCATAAATAAGATGTGTAACTTAGTTTGTTATAGTCACAAATAAATATATAACATCAATTTCATAAAACCTCACTATAAATCTAAACAATTTACCCCGTTTGTCATTACTTTGGGCTTAAAAGGATAAAGTTTTTTTCTGTAATTAACATTGGAGTATATAAGTATGATTTCTCGTAATTTTAATAGCATTAACAAAGATAAGTTGCAAAATCTATAAATTTCTTTTTCGTTTCTTTTTCGTCCGTTTGTCGTCAACTACAAACTGTTATTCCAATAAATCACAAATTATAACGTCCAGTTAGCCCTAAACTTCAAATCTGTGCATTTTTCAAAAATTATGAACAAATAAACAAATTAATTTCAAATGTTCATTGTCATCACCAGTGCATGCAGTACAATCATTAAGCTAAGAATACCACCAAATTTCCTCAAAATTTACAAAGACAAATAACTTCAATAAAACCATACAAAGCCAAAAAAAAATCCAAAAAAATTAGAACCAAAATGAAGAAAAGTCAGATCACTGAAAAGCTTACAAAGAGAAGGATCTTGATCCGACGACGACGGAAGACGAAACGGAGAATCGAGAAAGGGATCCAGAAACCCTTAAAACTGGTTGTAAAGTAGATATGAAGATGCAGACAGTGAGAGAATGAGGAAGAGGAAGAGGAAGAAGGAGAGAGAAAGCGAGGCCGTAGTTAGGGGAATAAGTGAATGGGACTTTGTTGCTGACAGCCTGTCTCCAGCTGTGTCGTCCGAGCCTCTTGCTTCGAATTCCTCAATGGGTTAGGCTCGTCCGCTTCCCGTACCTACGTGGCTTTTTGCCTTGGCAGCTTTTACGCCGATTGCTTCTCTTTTTCTTTTTCTTTTTTTTATTCTAACCTTTCCTTATACAGAACATAAATTTATTGTATAATATAAAATTTTAATTGTAAATAATAATAAATTGTTTTGCTGATTATGGAAGATATGAATCTATTATAAGAAAGTAAAAATTATAATTTTAAATATTTTAATCAATTAAATTTGGAGTTTAATTTAATTGCTTATGATGATTATTATTTAAACATAACATTTAATATATTTAAATTTTAATATTTAGAAAAAAACTAATAATATTTTAATAAATCATATAATGATTGATTTTCTATATACATTTTTTTAAGCATGATAATGCCCATACTATGTGACAATTTTGTTAAAATAATTGAAGAATGATTAACAAATTATCTATAATTGAAGAAATAAGAAAAAAATTAATAAAAAATTTATATCAAATAAATCATATTAAAATTGTAATTTAAATTTAATTAATAATACAATGAATTCAATTATGTCATATAAAAAATATGATAAAATTTAAACCTATACTAAATATATAAACTCTCAAATAAAAATAATAACAATTTGATTGAGATTAGATTCGATTTAAATTTTTAAATATTATATAATATAATAAAAATTTAAAATTTAATTCAAATTTAAATCATTTTCATTTGATCTTATCGATTTGATTTAATTTATTGATTTTTAATTTTTTAATTTTAATATATTATTTTAATATAAAATTTTAATATATTTAAGTTAATTTTGATATAAAATTTTTATTTTTATTTTATACAATTTTAAAATATATAAAAATTAAAAATATATAATTTAATTTAATTCAATTTAATTTTTTTATATTTTATTTTTCGATCTAAAATTTAATCTAAAATTTGATTTAAATATAATATATATATTTAATATTCGATTTATTTTAAATAAAACAAATTATTTTCAATTAAATCGGATATTATAATTTTAAATTAATTTTTTTATTTTTCGATTTTTTTCCCCTTCATTCTTCGTACAGTTGATGGGTGGGGAGGGGCCCGTTGTTGAGCACTTTGACTTGTGTGCCTTCCTGATTTCATGTTATTTCAAACTAATACTAGTACAAGACTAGAAAGTCTAGTTTAACTTTTGCTGTTATTTGTCAAAAATGCTGGCCGAACTATCTCAAACAAAATTTTTAACTACTATTAAGAGGGTATTTTACTCGTATTGGAAAGGTTCGGCTAATCCTATCTTATCTTTGATTTTTTTTTAATTATAAATTACGATAAAAACTTTCAAATGTATTGTTGTTGGAGGAAATTTCTATAAGCTTTGCAGTGTTTAAATTTATGCATATTATTTTACAGATGAGCATAAGAAATAACAATTAATTAAATTTAGTCAAGGTGATGCGATTAGTATATTTTTTATTATAATTAATTGAATAAAATAATTTAATTAATTTTTAATTTTAAAAAATAATAATTGAATTCATTAATTTTTTAATAACATTTTAAATATATTATATATAATATAAACATTTATAATCATTTTTATTTATATTTTGAAGTACGACAAATATGAAATTGATAACAAAACTATAAAATAAGTTTTTTTATTATTATTATTACAATTTTAATGTTCAACATTAATAATAAAAAAAATATAAACAATTTTTATTTTTCAACTGAACCAACTTTATATCAATTCAATTATTTTCAATTATTAACAATAAGTCAATTGATTTGATTTTTTTATAAATAAATTTTGACCTTTTTATTTTTAAAATTAAATTAATAGAACCGATCCATTGTTAACCATAGTGACATGTGATAAAAACTTGATTAATTGAATGATGTAATGTTTTCAAACCTCATCAAATGTCAACTTTGAGAGTTACGTTTTATCATAAAAGTGAACAGATATCGATTCAAACCGATTTAATCGATAAAATATAGTCATTTCGATTCAATCTAATCAAATTTTTGTTATGATCGATTTTAAGATCGGTTAAATTAATTAAATCAATTAGTTATTGATTTTTAAAATTGATAACTGAATTAACTAATCTTATAATAATTACGATTTTTTTTTGTAAGAAATTATTTAAGATATTTTTTATATAATTTTTTGTATTTTATTATTCAATACATTTTTTGTCGAAATACATTCAATAATTTCATTTAATTTTTTACAATGGATTATTTATAATGTTTTTTGTTAAAATTGTATCAAGTAATCCTATTCAATATTTTATAATGGATTATTCAAGATTTTTTTGTCAAAAACCTTTTTAATAATCTTATTCAAAATTTTGTATGAGATTATTCAAGACATTTTCTAGCCAGCGTATTGAATAATATGCTCATAAAAAATAAAAAAAAAATTGAAAGAAATTATTCAATGTATTTTTTATCACAAACGTTTTCACTAATCTCATTCAAATTTTAATAATAAATTATTCAAGGATTTAATTGCAAAAAAAATATGAGAGGACTTATTGAATGTGTTTTTTTACAAAAAATACTTTCAATAATACCTTAAAAAAATTAAAAGATATTAGTCAAGACATTTTTTGCAATAAACACAATAAGTAATCACATTTAATTTTTTTATAATTAATCAATGTGTTTTTGACAAAAAACGCCTTCAATGACTTTATTTAATTTTTTTTTTTTATATAAGGTTATTCAATGCGTTGTTTGGATAAAAATGCTTAGAATAATTAATTCATAAAAATTAAAAATGATTATTTAAAGTATTTTTTATTAAAATCGCCTTTAATAATCAATTCATAAATTTGATAAGAATCTGTGAAGGCATTTTTTTTTTTACAAATGCCTTAAATAACCCAATTAATTTTTTTTTAAATGATTGAAGGCGTTTGATAATAAAAAACACATTAAATAATCTCATTTAATTAAATTTTGGATTATTTGAGTTACTATTATATATGCTAAGAAGATTATAGTAATTATTTATGATTTAATATGTATTAATTTTTTTCATCCAAACTAGTGAATTTGAACACAAAATATCATAAAATGGAAGAAAATTGTTGGTATAGTATTTTCCGGATATCACAAATTTAAAAACTTATTGTTTAATATATTTTGATTAAACAAGTGTAGATGAGTATTTATTTATCTTTTTTCCTTGTAAAATATTATTGAAATTATTAAATTTTGTAGTGATTTAGTTTGAATGATATGTGAATTTGAGTTTTATTAGATTAAATTCGTAGCTAAATAATTATTTAAAATAAAAAAAAAGAATTTTGATTATTAAACTTAACTAACCGAATCGAATCGATTTTTCATCTATTTGATTAAATTTTTTATTTAAAATTTTGTAAGTTGGTTTGATTACTTGTAAAATGAAAGTCGATTAATTCGATTATTAATTTTTTTAGATTCAATTGATCGAACCGACTGACTGCTCACTTATTTGAAGGATATTCACTATCTTCCTTAATCCATAGGCAACAACAAATTACTTTTATATTTTATATTCTCTTTTTAAGAATGAAAAAAAAATTAATCAGTGCTTTATTGATAATATATATATATATATATAATTTTGAAACACAACAAGTGCTTTAATGTTTTCAATTTCATATGCCTGATGTTAATAAATTCGCAACACTTTTTTTTTCATAAATAAAATAGCATGTCATTCAAAAATTCAAGATTCATGAATTATGGTAATTTTAATAAATTATTGTTTTTATATTAATAATAAAATTTTTAACTTCATAAATAAATTAATATAATTATCATGTATCTATTTAATAATTATATAAATATTTTTTAAACATATATAGTAAATGAACACATCAATGTATTGGATAACGAGCCTTTTTTAATTACACATGTTCAAGGTATAAAACCGTTGGGCTCTAAGTGAAGGAGCTAACCTAAAGCCTAATACCTTGCCCGGGTTTCATTGGCCCAAAACTATCAACCGACTTAGCCAAGCCCAATCCATTCAGTCACGTCGTTGTTACCCAGGATATTCTCCGTGAAGACCAGGTCAAACCCCAACGGTCCTCAAAATATGCCACGTGGTATCACCTCCACTCTCCACCCGTGCGTTGCGTTCAGGCAGGGATCTCCATCTCTCTTTCACTCTTGCTTTTTCTCTTCTCAGCAAACGTTCTTTTTGTTTTTTTTCCTCTGAACCAAACGGTAAACACAGCATTTTCTTCCAATCTCTTTTACATCTCTGTCTCAAAACAGAGCTTTTTTTTTTTTTTTTGTTTTCGTTTTAGTTTCTTCTTTCGGGTATAGTAGAAAAAAATCTGATTTTCTTTAAATTGTAAAAAAATGGAAAATGAGTTCAAATTATGCACGCTCTGTATTAACCAAAACTATCCTCTTTTAGGGCTATTTTTAATCCTAGGATTGATACCCAGATCCGCATTTGTCTCCTTCTTTGGTAAGAACCAATTGTAAACAGACATTTAGCTTGTTCTAAAAAAGGTATATTTGTCCAAGTAAAAACAAGCGTTTTCAATTTTTATTTTTGGTTAGTTTTGCCTAAGTTTAGTTGTAATTTTTATTACGCATTTAATTCATTTTCTGTCTTTAACAAATTTAGACAACTGAATTATTACTTATTTACAAAAAATAATTGCTATTTTTTCATTGTTGGTTAATTTTACCTCCATTTTTGTTTTATTTGTTTTTGGGGGGCAAAATTGCCTTTTGAAATTCCATAGTTTGGTTCAAAGAATCACCATTTTGATCTGTTTCTCAGTTTTTGAGTTTTTTTCTTTGTTTTGGGTTTTTGTTGATTGTACTATAAGCGTTTTGGGATCTCTCAAATTTGTCATCTCTTTAGGATATCCTTTGATTTGGGATCTGGGGTCTACGATTCCTTTTATATAATTCAAAATCAAATTTCTAGAGAGAAAATTACACATTTTGTAGAGGAATTAGATTGTTGATCCAGGGGGCAATTTCTCTGGGATCGTTGAATCCTATAATACAGGAGAAAACTGCATTGAATTAGGCGTTTTCCTTTTTGGAAAACAACAGGGGCTCCAAATTATGGGTTGCATTTGCTCGAAAGGAACTCGAGCAAATGAATATGTTGAAAATAACCGTGGCAAAAAAGACAAGGTCCATAAGGACAAAGGAAAAACCTCAAAAATTTTATCTGTTTCTTGTAAGAGGGACAATGTTGCAGTGGAGGCAGATGCCACTGCACGGCTGATATCAAATCATGAGCCAAATCAAAATGCCGTTTATGCGCCTGCATCCTCTTCTGATGATGAGGAAAAGAAGGCGGCATTGGCGGTTGTTGAGAGGTCTAAAAGGACCCCATCCCAGCCGCAAAGGCAGTTAACAATGGAGGCAGGGGCGAGGGGTGGACAAGGGCAACCGAGGATGTCCGGGATAATGAGTGCAACAGGTGGCGAGAGAGGTGCACAAGTGGTTGCTGGTTGGCCTTCTTGGCTGGCAGATGTAGCTGGAGAAGCCATCAATGGTTGGATACCTCGAAAGGCAGACTCATTTGAAAAGTTGGAGAAGGTCTGCACAATAGCTCTATCTTTTATTATTTACTCATTTATAGTTTCGATTCTCGTGTTTTTTTATTTATACTTACTTTGAAATTTATAGTGTATATACTAGCTAGTACCATGCGGTTAAAATGAGCATATGTTTGTTAGTGTGCATTTTGATACAAATTATTTCAACCTGAAGGGACTGTAGCTTTTCGATTTATTGTTGTAATCTTTTATGTCATATTCCTTTTCCTCTTTCAATAACTTAACAGTCCTGCTGATCCTGTAGATTGGTCAAGGAACTTACAGCAGCGTGTACAAAGCTCGTGACCTTGAATCAAACAAGATAGTTGCCTTGAAGAAAGTGCGATTTGCTAATATGGACCATGAAAGTGTTCGATTCATGGCAAGAGAAATTATTATTTTGCGTAGGCTTGATCACCCTAATGTCATGAAGCTTGAAGGTATAATTACTTCTAGGGTGTCTGGAAGCTTATACCTTATATTTGAATACATGGAGCATGATCTTGCAGGGCTTGCTGCAACACCTCGTGTTAAGTTCACTGAGGCTCAGGTATATTCATATCTTCAATATTTATTTGATTATATCATTAACGTTGTTCAGAACATCATAAAACTTGTGATTCCATAATCTTCTGGACTTCAAAAGAGTATATCCATGGTGGAAGAACATCATTTTATGAGAACTCTGTTAGATGACGACCTGTGATTGGTTTTCATTGGTTTTGTACACCATTCTGTTACACCATGACCTATGATAGTCCATATTGTGCGTGATACAAAAATTTGTTCCAATTTACAGCTCAAAAGGAAAAGAAGCTTGGTGAGAATACCTTTCTTCAGATATTAGCTGCTTGTACACTCGGTAGCAATTTTGTGTCAAAGTTCTAGCATTTCATTATGATGTGACATTATTTGATGTGTGAAGAATTATATTTAACCCATTTTCAGTTTTTTTTTTTTCTCAAATGAAAGACAATAAACTCAGTTGAATGGTTGCTCGAGTGCTGAATTTTATGTGTTATCTGTGCAGATCAAGTGCTATATGCAACAGCTGCTCTGCGGACTTGACCATTGCCATAGTCGTGGTGTTTTGCACCGTGACATAAAGGGCTCAAATCTCTTGATAGACTACAATGGCAACCTCAAGATTGGTGATTTTGGACTGGCAACCTTTTTCCATCCCAGTCAGAAGCAGCCTTTAACAAGTCGTGTAGTAACTCTATGGTATCGCCCTCCTGAGCTTTTGCTTGGTTCTACAGACTATGGAGTTTCTGTTGATCTGTGGAGTTCTGGTTGCATTCTTGCAGAATTATTTGCTGGAAAGCCTATCATGCCAGGAAGAACTGAGGTACTTCCTTCAGGTTTTGGGAGTATTCACACATAGTTTGATACCTCTTGTGTACATCAAGCTTCCTATGAAGTTTTTCATATTTATGGTTGTGTATGTTTGTGGGGGTGTGGATGTTGGTGCACTTGCTTATCAAGAATGGAAAAATATAAATGCAAAGAGAATTTTGCGTCCCTTTTTCACATTATGAAACTGGTACTATGCAGCCAATTGTCTGCTTTGCTTTAATGTCATAGCAGCACTCTGCTATGATCTAGGTACAGAATTGCATAGACCAAAAACTATGATCTTATTTAGGGATTCGGCATTTGTGTTAATTTGCTTGTCATCTCACTTGCCACATATTGAAACGTCAAATTATTTGCTCATTCTGGAGACATGTATGTGTTTCTGTTGGGTCAGTGTTTACTTTTAGGTAGGTTGGAGGGGTGGGGAGGTGGCATTGCTGGTGGTGTAGTATGTATCGACAGAACTCATCTAATTTAATTGATAATTTACTGAACCATAGGTTATCTGATTTTCTGTTATTTCTTTCTTACTTTCATTGTCTTGATATGCAATGAATGTGTACTCTAGAATTGTCTATAAGTCATTCAGAAGTTACTTGTAGAACTGTCCAAAGTGCATTATGCTTGAGTTTTGGAGTTCAACATTTGTGGGGTGTGATTATCTCAGCATTTATGATTTCTAGGTGGAGCAACTGCATAAAATCTTCAAACTCTGTGGATCACCTTCTGAAGAGTATTGGAAGAGATCAAAATTGCCACATGCAACCATCTTCAAGCCTCAACATCCTTATAAACGTTGTGTTCCTGAGACATTTAAGGACTTTCCTATATCTGCTTTGGCCCTTCTGGAGGTTCTTCTTGCAGTAGAACCCGAGTTTCGTGGAACTGCTTCTTCAGCACTTCAGAGTGAGGTAAAGTTAATATGGTATCCCTCTAAGTCATGCATTTAACAAAAACTCTTTTAGTTATCACCTTATTTATGTATTCTTCTTTTTGGGGCCAATCTATCAGTTAGTCTAACAAGTTCTGTTATGCTTTTTCCTTGTGAACAAGTAAGGTGGCACCTCCTTATACAAACAAGAAGAGAAAGACTCCTAGCTTATTGGCTTGAACTGCATTCTGACATATTACCATTCATAATCTTCATAAGAGTACTCTTCATTGTTTAGTTGGGAATTTCTAATATGCGTATTGGTTAATTTGCTGAGAAGATAAAGAATTCCTTATAATAAGCAAGAAGCCTTTCTTTGTATATTAACTTTACTTAAAAAATTATTATTCATGATCTTTATAAGTTTCAGATGTCCGGTCTGTTGATTCATTAGGACACATCAGCTCTTCTTTTTACTTGAGAAATGACATTTTCACTAAAGTTAACTACGAAATAGTTTCTACACAGGATGTGTCTAGGTCCTGGTGGTTGGTTCATCATTGGAACGTCAACTAGATTGGTTGCTTATGAGTATCCTACTTGTTCATCCTTCATACATGTCATCTTTATTTGAGAGAATTCATACTTGTCATCTTAACATTCTTTATGTTTACAATATTTCATTTTGCTAATTTTGTTTAAACTCTGAAATTTCTATTCCAGTTCTTTACAACAAATCCTCTTCCCTGTGATCCATCTAATTTGCCCAAGTATCCACCTAGTAAGGAATTTGATGCCAAGCTTCGAGAAGAGGAATCTAGGAGGTATTTTTCTGCTCCAACTTTGTGTTAAAAAATTTTGATTCCTCATCAAAGTTTAAACAAAATTTTGCAAAAATTGTCATGTGGCTAATTAAACTTGTCTAAATTCTGGTTTCATTAGTTCATTATGGTAGAAGCTCTATAGTTTCTTCTTTGTGATTTGCATTTGGTATTATGTGTTGGGAATTGGGAATATCATGATCATTTTGGCTCCCATCCTAAACATAAACTTTGATGGTCCTTAAATAGCAAGGAAAACACTGAACGAACTAAAGTCTCTCCTACCACCAGAAAGGGTTGAAAATTCTCAATATGACTTAGCTTGTGTTATTGACTATGTTAAATTGAGCAGCTTGTGTTATTGATTATGTTAAATTGAGCTATCTTTCCCTCTAAAATTTCCTGAGAAAGTATAAAACAACTATTTTGTCTGTTTGGTAATCAAAAAACCAGGCGAAGAGCGGCTGGTGGGAAAGTACGTGGACATGATTCAGTTACAAAGGTTTCCAGAGAATCTACAGCTGTTCCTGCCCCAGATTTCAATGCTGAGTTACTGGTACTTTTTAACTTGTGAGATTTATTGCATAGCCTTTTGGTCAAGACTAATATTTATTCTGTTGCTTGATACAGAAGCGGCAAGGACAGTTCAATGCTAAAAGTGTCAGTGAAGGATACCATCCTGAAGAAGACGTGGGTGCTGGCTTCCCTATTGAGCTTCCAGAAGGAACAGCAAGAGTTGTATACTCTCATTCTGGGCAGTCAATGCACCCAAGCAACTTTGGATCTTCACAAAATATGAAGGCCAATGAGATTGAGTCTATGAAGACTTCTGCTCGAGTATTTGGTTCTCCAAGGAACCCTGAAGAGTTGAGAACTCAGGCAACATATGTCAATCATGGAGCAGAGGAATTGTCCAGATTTTCTAGCTCAGTTGTAGTTAGAGGCAGTTCACGGTTTGATATGACCAAACAGAACAGCATAAATCCACACTGGCCAGAGGAGCGTTTTAATGACAGATTTAACCATCTGGATAATGCTGGGTCCTCTGAAAATCATGAATGGTCCCATCATTTACTTGATTTGCCAAAGACTTCACATGTGAAGGATGGACAGCTATCTTCCAAGGAATCAACAGTGGTAAGATAATTATGGAAATAATCAGTTTTATTAATCATGTTTTTTGTCCTAGACATCCTATTTCTTTTCCTTTAGTGACAGATTCAATATCCATTCTTGTGGCAACTGATTTCTGAATGCTAGGCTTTTATTTGACAGCCATCTCCTAGAAAATCCATGAAAATTTGAAGCTTAAAGTGTTTATTTGCCAAAGAACATAGTTTATAACATTTCCCAATGCCTTAGTCTGCTTTGCTTTTACGGTTTTCATGGCATAATGGAACACAAAATCCACCAGTCTCAACTCTCAACCGTCTGGAGTTACTTACTAACACTTACTTTTGTGTGTGAATCCAGCGTTATGTTCCCAAGAATAACCGAATCCATTATTCTGGACCATTGATGCCTCCTGGAAGAAACCTTGAGGAAATGCTCAAAGAGCACGAGAGGCAGATTCAGAATGCTGTCCGAAAAGCTCGTTTGGACAAGACAAAGGCAAAAAATAACTTTGATGATAATGGACAAACTGAATCACTACTTTACCATGCGAGATATGCCAGGTGACAAATCAGAAAGAAGCTTATACCAGCTTTATTTTGATACAGAAGCTCAGCAGAGTGTCACAATTTAATTATTAGGAAGAATTATTTTCTTTTGGAGGTCTGATAAGTCTTGCTGCCAGAAGAGGTTCAACAATCATGAAATCCCCATGGATTTCAACCTGGCAGCTAGATTTTTTTTTTGCTGCCAATTTTTCCATCCGAAGTTCTAACCACAAAAAAAAAAGCATTGGACGATTGAGAATGGTGGTGGTATATGGTGATTTCTGTTGAGATTTGCATACTTGCCATTTTCTTGTTACCTCAGGTGGAGGTCTCTGTCCTTCAACTGTTGGAACTATGCTTTGTACAGCTATAGTAAGTTTCTTATAATTAAGTTTACTGCATTCTTTGTAAAGGCCAAATGATCATCTCGAATTTACTGAGCACAGACTGGTCCTTTCATAACACATTTTTTTCAGTTTGTCAGTCGATTATTCTCGAAGATATAACTCCCCTTGTTTCTTTTCAATTTGTCAGTTTGTCAGTCTTGCTCTTGTACAAGGAACAGCAGCATAACCCTCACCAATGCACTGTTTTTGATACTAGCATTAAGCAAGGCCTCAATCATATGGAACTGCTATGTCACCGTCACCTGGGCTTGTGTGGTGAGAGTGGCATATAATGTTTAAGAGATAGATAACAAAGTACACCAATATGTTGCATTTTTTGAGTAAATGTAAGAATCTAACAACCAAAATAGAAAATTTTAACTTCCACATCGTTTTCAATCACAATCATTAATCAGCAAAGACTATTCAGCCAGCAAATTCTGAAAACTAAGGCTTCCCTAATCATGCAGGGCTATTGCACCTTAAAATAATGTTAGGAAGAAACAAATTTGGAAAATTGGAATAAGGAACCATGTCAAAATCCATGAAATCCATAACTGCAGCTGACAAATAGATCAGTGAACCCTAATTTAATGAACCACCAAACTTGTTGATGTGCCAACCATAGTGTTGCTTCATCCAGAATCCTTGTAGATACTTTTATCTTCATCAAGTATCTGATGTTACTTCCCTTCACGTCTAAGCATAATGAAACAATATCTTGCAATGTTTCACCATCTCCGGGCAGCTCACCAATATTCTGTTGGATCTCGAAACCTCCGAAATATAACCTTATATGCTTCACCTGAGACTTAAAAGCTCAACCTCTTTTCACCAGTTTTTAAACCTCAACGACATCAGAAAGGGGAAATGGTAAAAATCAGTTCTTGAGTTTCTCCTACTCTTTCAGACAATTCAGACAAAAATGAGGCCTAAAACCAGTCAAGCCCTCAACCTCAAAGTCCTCCTACTAGGTGCTTTCCTTGCTTTTCTTCTTCTGTTCGTGTTAAGATCAAGCTTATCATCATCTTCCCAGGAAAATACAGCGCCAGCTAAAACCTCTAATGCCATTAAAGAAAGCATATCAGCAGACTGCTCGCCAACTTGCGACAAGATACCGCGTTCTCTTGCCCAAGCTCTCATCCATTACGCAACTTCAACTATCACCCCACAGCAAACACTAAAAGAAATCTCAGTCACAACTAAAATTCTAGAGAAAAGGTCACCATGCAACTTCCTAGTATTTGGCCTAGGCCATGATAGCCTTATGTGGAGTTTACTCAACTACGGTGGACGAACAGTTTTCCTTGAAGAAGATGAAGCCTGGATAGAGCAAATCCGACGCAGGTTTCCCATGCTAGAATCTCACCATGTCACGTACGATAGCAAGGTGAACCAAGCTGAGAATCTCATGGAAGTGGGCAAAGGACCTGAATGCACAGCAGTTGGTGACCCTAAATACTCAATGTGTCAACTTGCATTGAAAGGTTTGCCAAGTGAAGTTTATGAGATGAAATGGGACTTAATCATGGTTGATGCACCAACCGGGTACTACGAGGAGGCTCCAGGGAGGATGACTGCTATATACACAGCTGGTATGATGGCAAGGAATAGAGAGGAGGGAGAAACTGATGTGTTTGTGCATGATGTAAACAGGGTTGTTGAAGATAAATTCTCCATGGCATTTTTATGTCAAGGGTACATGAAAAAACAAGAGGGAAGACTTAGACACTTCAGAATCCCTAGCCATAAGGATAACTTGGAAAGGCCCTTTTGCCCGGAGTGATTTTACAACCTTGCTTAGCTTTTTTTGCCTTCATCAATTCTTTATTGTTGATGCTGTTTCATGGGGAAATTATCCTTTTCTGTTTCAATGATCTCTTCCAAAAGGAAAGATGGATACGGTTGAGTTGTTATCACACCAACCAAATTGCGTAGCACTATAATTATTGCACTGCAAATCGTTTTTCAGGTGCAGAAACCTCACATTTCTTTGATCAGCTGATATATATATAAAACTGCAGAAAGTATAATAAAGATGAGTTCCAAATTTTTATAGTTAATTTCTCAGGTTGACCGATCGAGTCATTGATTGTTTTTGGAGGGTTTTGGTTATATTTTCTTTAAACATTTTAATCTTTCTCTTTTAATCCTTATACTATGGTACTACTATGTATTTTTCATGATTTCCACAGAAAGGACGAAAATGAAAGAAATTAAAAAGTTGACAACATCACATTTTCACTCTACGTATTAAGGTTATTTCTGTCATTGCACTAATTTATTCAGAAATGTGACCATATTAAATAAATAATTAATTAATTAGTTATAAAAAGACTTACAATTAATTTTTTTGGGGGTTTTGGTAATACTTTCTTTCAACATTTAAACCTTTCTCTATCAACCCTTGTACTATACTGCTGCTATGTATTTTTAATTATTCCACAAAAGGACGAAAATGAAAGGAATTAAAAAGTTGACACTGCCACATTTTCGCTCCACGTATTAAGGTTATTTCTGTCATTGCACTAATTAATTTAGAAATGTGACCATGGTAAATAAATAAATAATTAATTAATTAAAAAAAAAACTTTCAATTATGACATAAAAAGACAGAAAACTTTCCCTTTCGCTGCCAAATAAACTGCAATTTCGTCTCAAAATTAAAAAATTTTCCTCTTTCGATCCAATCATGAGCAACGAATAGTGAGCCCCCTTTCTCTCCAATTTCGCTTCAATTTTTTCTTTCCATTTCTTTATAATTATTATCTCTCTTCTTATATTTCTACTCACATTTTATTTAAAGAAAATATAATTGTTATTTTCTTTTTTGCTTTGTAGCGATTATCTGTTCAAGCTTCTTCTCATCGGCGACTCCTCCGTCGGGAAATCCTGTTTGCTTCTCAGATTCGCTGTAAAGTTTAATTTCTCGTGGTTGCTTTTTTCTTTTAAATTTAATTGTGCTTTCAGTCGTTGTTTACTTGTTTGGCATTGTCGGTTTGGTATTTGGTTAATTTCTATAGTAAATTAAGAAGAAGAGTGGTTTATGAGCTTGATTTTAACGTTAATCTTTGAGTAATTAGGGTTAAGACTTTTTTTTTTTACTTTAATTTTTCCAGGATGATTCTTACGTGGATAGCTACATCAGTACCATAGGTGTTGATTTCGTGAGTTTCTTTCTCTTTGTCGCACAAATATTTGTAAGTTTAATGGAAGTTGTTTAATGTACTAAAAATGTGAAATTTATTTTATTTAATTGTTTATATTTAGAAAATCAGAACTGTGGAGCTGGATGGCAAGACAATCAAGCTACAAATTGTGAGTATAATTTATTTCTTTGCAGAAAGTGATTTTTTTTTAGAAGTTAATTTAAAATGCATTTGCAATCAGCTTTCATTTAAGCCGATAATTTCGTTCTTTTGAAGTTAAATTCTGCTCAAGAGTTGGTTTAATATTGTTAGATTTACAGCCCTCTTTTTAGAAAAAAAAATTTTCTGAACTTTTTGGGAGTTTAACTCTATAATTTCATGTGTCATATAAGAAAGCCATATGGATTTGCTAGAGTCTTGAGTCGAATTGTTGTTATGGTGGAAGAATATGCCACTACTGTTAATGAGGATCACTACTAATGTTTGTCTTTACTTATAAATGGGTTTGTTATAAATGACTGAGAAAAGATAATCCTATTTATCAGTTTACTATGAAGCTATGGCTCGCATTGCTAAAATAACTTTAGTTTTGATAAACCAGAAAAGGAGAGTTTAGTTGTGTCACTGATGCAGGAGCTGTCAATAGCAAGGTGTTTATAGGACAAGTTTGTTTAGTTAATCTAGTTTGATTACTCTTCTGACATTTGACCATGGCTGTCTAGTGTTGGAAAAAATTAGTGACAACGAGTCCGGAATCACTCTCCTCTAAAGTTTTCCTTCCTTTTTTTACTTGGCTTCTAACATGTAATTTTTTTTTCTTGTTTCTTTTAGTGGGATACTGCTGGACAGGAGCGCTTTCGGACTATTACAAGCAGTTATTACCGAGGAGCTCATGGGATTATAGTAAGAAACTGAACCCGACTGATATGAGATCATAAAATTTTATGTCAACTAGGCCTTCAGGTTGGGGGTGGGGGGGGGGTGTGTTTCAAACAAATTTGATCATCAGGTTATCTGTTAATTGATCCCCTTTTGTCTTTCTTGCAAATATAATAAACATGCAGTCAATATTCTGGATGTTGTATCATTATGCGGATAGTGATGTGAGCCCAAAACTACCTGTCTTAGTATGTAATTCTCGAGTTGGTGAAAGAGAAGGGGCCTACTCTATTGAACATACATATTACTGGCTATCTAAATGCTCTCTCTTTCGAATGTTTAATCTGGAAGTTGTATTTGTTATTTGGTGATTTGTTTATTTCTAGTCAGGAATGTGCGAGATATCATAATTATTTTCACACTCTTGCTGGCTGGTCTCCGCCCATTTACTGATTCTTTTTAGTTAGCTAGGTGACATATAAGTCCAGGCTTTTCAGTCTGAACACCCTGGCATTTATTAACATAGCTTTCCTTGTCACCCTATTTTTCAAAACATTTTCAAATCTGTGCATGCTGAAGAACATAGATAGAAGATGATGTGCTTTTTTCTAATGAAATGATTGTTAAAGTTATAATTTTCATATTTCATTTTTTGACCCTGCTAAGTGTCTCAGCTTCCTTTTGTATTTTGGGATTACAACAGATTGTCTATGATGTTACTGAGATGGAGAGCTTTAACAATGTCAAGCAGTGGTTGAATGAGATTGACAGATATGCTAATGACAGTGTATGCAAGCTTCTGGTTGGGAATAAATGTGATTTAGTTGAGAACAAGGTTGTTGACACACAAACAGCGAAGGTGTGATTTGTTATTTTTAATGTTTGAACTTTTATCATTATTTAATTGTCATTTACCAGGGGTGTTCCTTAAAGGTTTTAATCTCTCTTTGAGATTTCTAGGTTTTGTCGGTTTTCCTTTTGAAACTTCTTGTGGGTTATTGATGGTTAAGATGACAAATTGGCTGAACTAATGGAATCTGCAGTTAATGATATAATTTACTACAGGCATGATAATTTGATTAATTTGCAATTCTGTTCTTCATTGAACTGCAGGCATTTGCTGATGAACTTGGGATTCCTTTTCTGGAGACAAGTGCTAAAGATTCAATCAATGTGGAGCAGGCCTTCTTAACCATGGCTGGCGAGATCAAGAAAAAGTAAAATGAGTTCCACTCTTTCATGCTTTTGTTTTTTGAAATGCTATGATTTATTTATCTATTTGCTATTAAATGATTATTGTTTATTTGTAAGATATCGCCTTTGTCACATGCCAATAGGGTCTCCATGTGCTTCAGAGCATTTAATATATTGCTCTTGCCTTTGATGCATTTGTCTTCACCATTCTAGATCGTCAGAAAATCATTTTCATTCTTCTCCAAAATCTCAACTTTTTATTCTTTTCTATTTCTTTTATTTTTCATTTCCTTATTTATGAAGTTTATCAATATGATTTTATATCAAAATCTATGCAGAATGGGTAACCAGCCAGCTGCTAACAAGTCAAGTGGAACTGTTCAAATGAAGGGACAGCCAATTGAACAGAAGAACAACTGCTGTGGCTAGTCAACCATGTTATAATCTAACTCTGTTTTAGACCGTAAACATGTTGCATATCATATGAATCTTTCAGAAACTAAAATGTTGTCTGCTTGAACCCTGTCTCTGTGTCTGTGGAAGTTCTGATGCTTTTTCAAGTGTATCTTATATTTTCCTAATAGATTAGATTACTTACCACTGGCATATCTTTGCTAAATACCCCAAATTGAAAAGAAAGGGCCTCGACGGTACTGAACGAGACTGCAATGCCTCCCAGCTAATACTAATGAGTAGACCAAGTCATGCCCAAACAATTCTTCAGCGAGAATCAGTTACAAACAATAGTTCCTTATTTTCCATAATATTCTGGTGTCACCCGCTGCTTCACTCGTTCACTCGTTCTTCTGGAGTTTATAATGTCCTATACCCTCTGAATGAAATTATCAATTCAACTAACAAGTAACAACTACAAATAAAAGATAGTAAGAGTGGCAGTAGCTTCAATGATTGGGAGGGCAAGGAGGGTATTGCCACCTTAAAATCATTATTAAAAGATAAATACCCAGTGCTTAAAATGACAGAAGTTGGGAGAAAAAGATACCCATGCGATTGCAACCACAACCAAGTCATCACTAACTTGCAACAATACAAGAACTTGAACAGTTAAAATGTTTGTAATGATACATAATAACGTAAGAGTAATAATAAAAAGAGTCGACAATAAAACCCTCAACTTCAATAGGAGGAAATCGGAGGAAACACAAATTTAATACAAAAAGAAGAATGAAAATTGTAATGAATACAGATCATGTTCAAGATGAAGAACAGCAAGCCTTTTTGTAGTTAGTCTCCTGTGCTCCAACAACAATGGTCTTACCTTCTTTAATACTTGCAGGTGCTGGCTCATCCGAAGAGAGTGACTTCTTACTAATTATGCGGTATATTTCAGACAGAATGGTCTGGAAAGCCTTCTCAACATTTGTTGCTTCCAGTGCAGATGTTTCGATGAATGAAAGGCCCTCTTTCTCCGCATAGCTTTGACCATCCTCTGTGGCAACTGCTCGGAGATGCTTCAGATCAGTCTTATTCCCGATCAACATAATCACAATATTAGAATCTGCATGGTCCCTGAGCTCCTTCAGCCATCGGCTCACGTTTTCAAATGTTGTCGGCTTGGTAACATCATAGACCAGAAGAGCTCCAAGGGCACCCCTATAGTAGGCACTGGTTATTGCTCTGTATCGTTCCTGACCAGCAGTGTCCCATATTTGAGCTTTCACAGTCCTTCCCTCAACCTGACAGAAGGTATATTAGGAAGATTGACCTTATAACAACCAGAACAGTGAGTGTATTTCTCATTGCTAACATGCAGTAGAAAAGGCAAAGAGATAGAGAGAAAGAAGACACACTTTAAAACTTATTTCCAAGGAATGGACATTGCCTATCTGCTCTCTCTGAAAGTAGGACCAACCCTACATTTTGCTTTCATTTCCCACAAAAGATAAACAAAAAGACTAAAATCTATTTATTTTAGATTAGTTCTAAGATGTTAGGCCATCAAGTAGACTGAGCCAAATAAGATGCTAACTCAACTAATCAAGTACCATCTCCATTTTTAAGAGGATCAGGTAAAGAAGAACATTTATCAAGTTAAAAAGTGACATCTCCAACCTAGTTTTGATCATAACAGCATTTTTAGTAACAAAACAAGCAAGAAATCAAAATAATGGATTCATCTCATATATCAAAGTATTTCGAAATAAAGACTTCCGGAATGAACAACATATAATTTTCTACCTTTCAGAGCGACTTTCATGAGATACCAAAATAAAACATAAAAAAAAAACCCTACTACTAACTAAATTTAGTAAATATCTTGTTCCACAATTCAACATTTTTGGTGCTAAAAATATAACCTTCAATCACTAGCATCAGTAACCAAGAAAACTTGCATGCCTTTTCTCCTCAAAATGTGGATTAGCATATATAGCCAGGAATCTGTTCAATTTTTTGGCCTTTGGAATTTGGCAAAAGAGCCCATAGTCATCTCCTGAATTTGGGCTGATAACTAAACTCACCACCATGTCTCAAAGCAACAAAAACTGATGGGATCACAAGTTTCTATATTTCGCCAAAAAAAATTGATAGATTGACTCACAGCAAAGCAACAAAACCTGACTCAAACAGTGGCAAGACTTGCAATCAATGAGAAAGATTACATTTTTATTCACTTTTCTCATAGATTTAACACAATTCAATCATAAAGATAATCAAACCAGACAATGAGATTTAATCAACTTCATTTTTTCAGTTAATTTTATCACTGATTGACTCAATCTAAAATATTATAAAAGAAATCAAGAAAAACAAGAGAAATTCAAACAAAAGAAAGATTAAACAACGAACAAGTCAGATCTACTTTGACCTAAAGCAAGACATCGAAAAAAATAACCGAAATTATACTTTAATTGAGAAATACAAATGAAGTATATATCAGAAATAAAAAAAGGGGGGAAGATTTACTTGGAGAGTGCGGGTAGCGAATTCGACGCCAATGGTAGATTTAGATTCTAAGCAAAACTCGTTGCGAGTAAATCGGGAAAGCAAGTTAGATTTTCCAACACCAGAATCGCCGATTAATACAACCTTAAACAAGTAATCGTATTCCTCGTCCGGTCTCCTCGCCATTTTTTGGTTACTGGGTTTTTTTTTTTTAAGCGTTGAAGATAAAAATAGAAATTGAAAATATCAGGGAAATCCTTTTCTTTGGAAAGAACGGTCTCTTTGAGAAAAGAAAGTGTGAGAAAACAATTGACAGATTTTCAAAACAAGAGAAAAAAAAAAAAAAAAACGAAATTTCGTTTACGTCTTTGGAATTGATGTGAATTTTACCCACTGATTCTGCGCGTTCATGATTTGGTGACTTATATGACTAAAACGCCCTAAACGTTGCAATATATTGGTGATAATCATTAGGGTATAACGGGAAATCCGAATTGACTTTCTTTTCCATCCAACAAATTATTATGAAGGCAAAAAAAACAAAAAAAGAGTTGCTATTATCATAAAATCTTATTAAGATTTTTTAATAATTCTCATGAAATTTTTTTTTTTGAAAAAAAAACATAATTCTAATGAAATCAAATTTCTAAAAAAAAAAAAAACTTATTATGTTTAATATTTTCAAAAATAAGAAATTTACGAAAGTTATATAAAGATTCAAAAATACTTTAAATATGTTAGCTATATAAAGATTTTACGACAACTAAAAACCGAATCAATTGAATGAACATTTTAATTTAAATTGTACCTCATGAAAAAGAACAGAAATTTATTCATTGTCCATTGATGCTACTGGCCAATATTTATATGTAAGAAAAAGAATCAAAGGTAGGTGAAGCTGACCTGGCATGTGGGTGCTGTAGGGATAGTCATATTTAGTGTTACTTAAATTAAGAGGAAACATGGAGTAGTAAATGCAGATGAAATCATTGTGCCAACTCTTATCCATAATTATTCCCAACTCGCTTTCCCTGTCAACATTTTGCATCCCTGCCGTTGCCAAACTCTATGCACATTGTTAATTTCTCTATGTTTATTCAAAGAAGTCAAACAAGATCAGACATGAATCATAATTATTCACAAATGAACTTCACAACACATTTTCACTCTGACCAGTTCCACAGTTATTAGCGAAACATAATTAGGAATGGTCAATGAAACAGTTACGCAGGAATTAAACTTCGAGAAATGGATAATCAGTGTAACCAATGACAGGATGAGAAAGGTATAAGGTGCTTTCGTTATATGTGTTTAGAGGTGCATTTAGCTCGAATCGCCTTGGCAAATCTGGATTTGCTAAGAACATGCGTCCAAATGCGACCAAATCTGCATAATTATCAGCAATAGCCCTGTTACCATCTTCTCTATCATATCCCCCCGCAACGATAAAAGTCCCCTTGAAGGCTTTCCTCATTGGAAGAAGGCTGTAAGGAGTTTCATACTTGTCATTTGTTTTAATTGCCTTCCCTCTTTTCTGAATCACGTGAAGATAAACGATACCAAATTTGTTAAGTGCATTTGCCATGTAAAGGCCTAGTGCTTCAGGGTTTGAGTCACCAGCTTCCATGCCTTTGCTGTAAGGTGAAAGTCTCATTCCAACTTTATCTGCTCCAATTTCATTAACCACGGCTTCAACTACCTCTAAAGCAAAGCGGCACCTATTTTCTAAACTTCCACCATATTGATCGGTTCTATCATTTACTTGATCTTTCATGAACTGCTCAATTAAGTACCCATATGCACCATGGAACTCAACCCCATCAAATCCTGCAAAACAAAAAGGAAATTTATGCAAGAAAAAAGGATGTTAGTGCTTAGTGAATGAACCACAATCCTAAGATCTTGAAAAACTTGGTGCCATTGAAGTTTAAATTGTCTTACCCTTTTGGTATAACTAATGAAGCCAATTTAATGTTTATGGTAAATAAAAGGGGTTTAGCCGTGATATTTTCAAGCTTCAACACTCTGGTTAACAACCAAAAGTACAGGGTATCTTATTACTTGATTATGTACAGCTATTCCACTGTGCTTCTTGTTTTTTTTTTTTTTAACTTTTCTCCTTCTCTTCTATTTTCATTTGCAAGTAGAATATCTTCTGTCTGGGATAGTGTTTATCACCGTATTGTTTTAGAAAGTATGGCTGAACTTGGAATTCAAGAAGCAAAAACAAAATCATGTAGTTATATATAGAAGATGGATAACCTTGATATTGGTAATGAAAAAAAAAGAGATTGACCGTTGTTCATAAGCTGATCATTAATTTACTTGAGCAAGGAAAAACTGGGTAGCACTCACCTGCCTCAACAGCATTACATGCAGCGAGCCTAAAATCATTGACAATGTTAGGAATTTCATCAGTCCTCAGTCTGCGAGGAGGTGACCAATCTTGTCCATCAAGGCCGGGCGTCAACCCCTTATTAGTGCATGAGATAGGAGCCTCACCATTAGGCTGAAAAGCTGCATCAAAATAATAGATATTAGGAATTTTTTTTAGTTTGAAAGAAATTTAAAAAAAAAGAGGTCCCAATTGTGCTAAAATCTTATACCAACAAACAGCTAATATATCATGAGCTTTCTTTTCATGATTGTTCAATATACTTGATAATGCTTTCCCCCAAAACATTGCCTACAATATCAATGAAAGGATTGGACAAAGAAGCTCAAATAAAACTCATACCATAATTAGATGCACGGCCTGCATGGCAAATTTGGCAAAAGAAGATCGCTCCCTTCTCATGAACAGCTTCCACAATGGGTTTCCACGCTTTCACTTGCTCTTTTGTCCAAATTCCAGGTATGTCTGGGTAACTTCAAATAAAAGCTATTCTATTTAAAAAATTAGTTACCTGAAAACCTGCTCGTAATGCTTAAATAGAGACTTAGAGATAAGTCTTTTTAAATACTATGTTACATTACATTCTGATCTTATATTCAACAATAACAAGCAGTATTTACGTGCAAGGGATGCTTAGGACAAGCATGAATATTTAATCATGATCATCTATGTACGATACGCAAAACATCCACACGTAAGTGTCATCCACAGACGGTTAAGATTACAATCATGAAACTTGTGAGATGAGACTGCCTTTTCCTCTCTGATTATTAATGTTCAACATTTTATAGATAATGGATGTAACAGAATTTGGGGACTGACATTTCCCCTCCACTGGCCTGTGTAGAATGAAAATACTTTTATTATCACTGACAGAATCAACATGTTATCTACTACTAATATCCATGATTCTTGTTGACAGTCTCGAAATGACAGCATTCTTTTGATTACTATCAAGCATTTTTGTAATCAAAACTTAAACTATTTCAAAAGGAAATTATATAAAATAAGGAGAAACAAATTACCCTTGTGCAGTAGGAGAAACCCCAGTGGCTTCAGCAATGAGAAAGCCGCCATTGGTTGCACGCTGAGTGTAGTATAAGATAGCATGTGGTTGGGGCATATTGTTGTATGATCTACATCTTGTCAATGGTGCTAAAACTATCCTGCAATCAAAGTAGTTTAATACGTAATAATGAACAATTGATGAACAAAAGCATAAACTTTCCAAAGGGCCAAAATGGCACTAAATTTTCAATCTAAAAATCCACTTTTTTCATAATAAACATCAAAATATGATTAAATTATACTGCAATGTTGAATTCCCATAACCCAATATTTTAAAAGTCAGCACAAAGAAACTCATCTTCATTGCATTAACAAGAAAGACAGAGATTTTAATGAAGTATAACTACACACCTGTGAGAGAGATTGAATTTTCCCATCTTATATGGAGTAAGAAGAGGGATCATTGCTTCCCTGCCATGGAATTAACTTCACCTTTCTCTTCCTTTTACAGCATTTAACTTCTGAACTGAATTTCCACGCAATTCCAACAATGCTGCGGGCTTTGAATAAACGAAATGATAAAAAAAAAATTAATCCATGAAAACAAAAAGGCAATAGAAATATCTTGCGCCAAAAAGAGAAGAAAAAATTATTTTTCTAGTATATTGTCATTGCCACGTAAATTTTCCGACAAAACCCAAAATTTGATAAGGGAAAAGAAACAAGAAAACGGAACTGAATTAAACTGAACTTATGATGTCTGGTAGATAGAAGAGGCAGGCAGGGTTTGAGACTGCCTACATTTGACGCTACAATTAAGGCGGTTACAGCTCATATTCCCATCGTCCGATTACCGTCCGACCCACGAGTGCCACGTTGATGGGCTTCTTTGGGAATGATCATGGCCCAAAGTGGATGTAGCCAACTGCCAATCCCGGCCCGGATTTTTTTCAATATATGAGATTATGATTGAAATTAAGTTTAATATTTTATTAATTTTTTAATCACAAGATTTTCAAAAATATTTTTTTTATTTAATTGAGTCTTAGATTGTATACAAAACAGCTTAAATTTAACAGGTTTTTATTGATTCCTTTCAATTTCCATATCCAGATTAAGTTTCATGGGAATTCGAACACAAGTGAAACAACAGACAATTTCTTCCCTAGTACGTGTAAGATTAAATTTCAATCAAGTGGAGGCTTCAAGAAATGGATAATCAGTGTAACCGATGACCGGATCAGGAGTGTAGAAAGTGTCCCGATTGTACTTGTTAAGAGGAGCATCCAGCTGAAACCGCCTTGGCAAATCTGGATTAGCCAAGAACAGTCGCCCAAACGCAACCAAATCCGTGTAATTATCAGCAACAGCTTTGTTGCCATCTTCTCTTCCATAGCCTCCGCAGGCAAGTAAAGTCCCCTTGAAAGCTTTTCTAATGGGGAGAAGGCCGTGAGGAGTTTCGAGCTTGCCATTTACTTCAATCATCCGAGGTTCATTTACATGAAGATAAAGAATGCCATATTTGTTAATTGCGCTCGCTATGTAAACGCCTAATGCTTCCGGGTCTGAGTCAATGGCATCCATGAAATCGGCATAAGGTGATATTCTCAATCCAACCCTGTCTGCTCCAATTTCGTTAGCCACAGCTTCAATTATTTCTAGTGCAAATCGACATCTGTTTTCCAAGCTGCCCCCATATTCATCAGTTCTGTCATTTACTCCATCTTTCAGGAACTGCTCGATTAAGTAACCATTTGCACCATGAATCTCAACCCCATCAAATCCTGTGTAACGAAAAGAACATTGTTAAGCAAAAAAGGCCATAGCACCGGTATGTAAAGTTTCAGGCCTATGCACCTCGGGTGACATCTACTAAACTAAAGAATCTTCATAATTAGTTGATTGATAACATATTTGTTGGGCTGTTAGCTACTATAAGAGGTGCATGGTTTTCACCTGCTTCAATGGCATTTCGAGCAGCGAGCCTAAAATCATTGATAATTTGGGGGATTTCATCGGTTCGTAGTCTACGAGGAGGAGACCAGTCTACTCCATCAAGACCTGGTGTCACTCCTTTGTCAGTACTAGAGATTGGAGCTTCACCGTTAGGCTGAAACCCTGCATTAAAAAATTATATAAAACTGAATCAGGAATAAGTATCAGATGCAGGCTTTAATCACGTGTATAACCTTAAGCATACCATAAGTAGAAACCCGGCCTACATGCCAAATTTGACAAAGGAAGACGCCTCCCTTGGCATGGACAGCTTCCACAATTGGTTTCCATGCTTCCACTTGCTCTTTTGTCCAAATTCCAGGTGTTTGTGGGTAACTTCAAATCAAATGCAACTCGTAAATCAGTATTCTAAACAATCACAAGATAAAAAAAAAAGACCCTTGCTTTCATTCTCCAAGAAGATATGTGAACTAAATTGACATTTATATATGCTGAGCAGTCAAATTTATAATTCATCAGTCACATATCCCTTCTGTGAGAAGATGAAAAATCAAGGGAAAAAAGAATACCCTTCTCCTTGTGCAGTATCAGAAACTCCTGTTGCTTCAGTAATGAGCAATCCACCATTGGTTGCACGCTGAGAGTAGTATAACACGGCATGTGGTTGAGGTACATTTTTGTATGATCTACATCTTGTCAATGGTGCTAAAACTACCCTGTAAATATTTTAAAGCGTTTTTGTTCAGTTGTTCAAGTTAAAGATCAGAATTAATAAAAATAATCATGAATGCACCCATTTTTAACCTTCTAAGGAAAGATTTTCTTTAAAAAAATTATAAAATATAATCTTCCTCCATTGATGGGGACTTGGGGAGGTCATTGTCCACCACCAATACTTCAAAAAAATGGAGGGTTGCAAAATGATCAGGTTAACCAGCAAATGACATTTTTCTATATATTATATCCATTTATTTTTATTTCTATGATGGACATTCAAATGATCATGAACAAGATCATCCAACTAGACTTTTATTATAGATGAAAAAAAATGTAAAAAAAAATAACATTTAGCTTTGTCTAAACCAGACAGAACAAAAGTAACATATAACTACAATTAATAAGAGTAGTGAAAGAAAATAGTTACAGGAAAGTGATACAAACCTGTGAGAGAGGTTGAATTTGCCCAATTTATATGGACTAAGCAGAGGAATGGTGGTGATGGTGTTATTATTAGCTGCCATATTTTCTTCTTCTTTTCCTTTGTTTTGATCCTTCAGCTTTCACCTCAATTAATTCTGCATTCAATGCCAAGCTCCACCCCTCAACCGGGGCTTTATAATATCATTATATTATATTATTGGTATTAAAACTACTTACAATGATTAAACAAAAACAATTAAATAATAAACAGAATCAAAAGAAATATATTGAAAGTATATTAACTTGAAAAAGGGGAAGGTTCAATGCACATGGACATTGGGATGATATATACATGAAGTAACTGCTGATCAATTAGCTTAATAAAATATTTAACTTTACAAAAACAAATCATAAGCTTTTAGGTAAAATAAATAATACAAAAATAGATCAAATATAAAATAATATGATCTTTTAAAATAAAAAACATGATTATATTAAATTCATACATAATTTTTTTATTATTTTTGTATCATATCGTTATGTCATATTTAAAATTATTAGATTTATCATAAAAAAGTGGGGATTAAAATTTTTTTTAAGTATTAGACCAATAATAATCGTATATTAGGTAAACCTTCAGCTTTCATGACGGTCTTTTTTTCTCACTAAATTAAAAGTCTCGTTGATTCTTTGATATCTTGAAAATGTTATACTTCCACAAAAAAGAACAAGTTGGTCCAATATTAAATGGCGTAAAAGAAATGTCGGTCAGTGGCCACTGGCCAATGTGCTTGGTTTTGTTAAGGTGGGAGTTGTTGTGGCCAATGAGCCTGGTTTTACAATTTTGTTTCTATTTCTCACAGGAGGTTGGAGCACAAATAAACATTTTATTCATCCCAATCAGAACTTCATACTAATAACAATCCTTCCATTGGGTAAACCATCAATGTTTTGTACTTCAATACCTTCTTCCCTATTACATGCAAAGCAATTTGTTTGGTTAAGAAGAATCTTCAAGGAATGGATAATCCGTATAGCCAATGACCGGATCCGGGATGTAGAAGGTGTCCCGATTGTACTTATTAAGAGGAGCATTGAGCTGAAATCGCCTTGGCAAATCCGGATTAGCCAAGAACAATCTCCCAAATGCAACCAAATCCGAGTAATTGTCAGCAATAGCCTTGTTACCATCTTCTCTATTGTACCCTCCAGCAGCAATGAAAGTCCCCTTGAAAGCTTTCCTCATTGGCAAAAGGCTGTGAGGAGTTTCATACTTGTCATTAATTTTAATCATCCGTGGCTCAATAACGTGAAGGTAAAGGATGCCAAACTTGTTAACTTCATTTGCCATGTAAAGGCCTAATGCTTCAGGGTTTGAGTCGCCAGCTTCCATATAAGTGGCATAAGGTGATAGTCTCATTCCAACCCTGTCTGCTCCTATTTCATTCACCACAGCTTCAACTATTTCCAGTGGAAACCGGCACCTGTTTTCCAAGCTTCCTCCATACTTGTCTGTTCTGTCATTTACTTGGTTTTTCATGAACTGATCAAGTAAGTAACCATTTGCACCATGGATCTCAACCCCATCAAATCCTGTTTAATGCAAAACAATTTTATCAACAAGCTTTAAAATTGTTATGATGTAATTGGTAATAATTGGGTAGTTCTGATCAGTTCTCACCCGCTTCAATGGCATTCTTGGCAGCCAACCTGAAGTCATTGATAATGCCGGGGATTTCATCGGTTCTAAGCCGACGAGGAGGTGACCAATCCATCCCATCAAGGCCTGGTGTCACCCCTTTATCAGTACATGAGATTGGAGCTTGACCATTAGGCAGAAAAGCTGCATTACAAATTTATATACAAGGTCTAAGGAATTAATTCGTTTTACTTTGTTAAAGTACTAACTACGAATAAATTGGTCTCACAAGATAAAATCTTCCCCTTTCCCTTGACGTTGAAGGCAGGGTAAAAGCTTATTTAAACTATGGATAAGGCCTAAATGACTTTGGGTTATGATTAGTGGTTACTAACTTTTTTAGTGCGGTCGAATGCTTTATAATGTGTTTTGGCCCACAGAAAAAGTTCCAAAGGCAGCTATGGTCCTTGGTCCATTCTATCAAAGGGGATCGCACAACCAAATCTGCAAATCATCAAGACCCCAACACCACTCGGTCTTTTAATTTTGCTTATAAATTTTAAAAATTTCACTAATTATTCACTTTTATTGTTTTTATACCCTAATTGAACCTTGTTTACGGAGGAAAATTAACGAATCAAGTGTTTTTTTATTATAAAAAAATATATCATTAGCTGAAATTCTTGGTCTTACAGCAACGGAAGTTGCAAGTGATTTTTTAGTATATTTTATTACTTCTAATTAAAGCAATTTTTTTATTTTTTTAAATTAATCAAAATTACATCAAAAAATTATAAAATTAGATACCTTTTGTTGCTCATCTATGCTATATATAATATATAGAAAGTAATGCCTACTAATAACTAAATTTAGTGTAGTTTTTTTTTTCAATTTTTTTTTAACATTTAGATTAATGATTCATAATTAGCTGAAAATACATCAAAAAATCCCTTAAAATTTTTATCTAAAAGGAAATATGGCAGATGAGGTGAGCTTGAGCATATATGTACCGTAGCTAGAGGCGCGGCCGACATGCCAAATTTGACAAAAGAAGATGCCTCCCTTGTCGTGAACAGCTTCCACGATCGGTTTCCATGCTTCCACTTGTTCTTTTGTCCAAATTCCAGGCGTTTCTGGGTAACTGCAATTCCATCCATTACACCACAAATATTCTTAAGTAATCATCAAGAAAAATAAAAATAAAAAACCCTCAATTATTATGCTTAAAATCTCTGTAGTTTGATTGTTAAAGAACTGTTAACACCCATTAAAAAAAAAAAAAAAAGAATTACCCTTGTGCTGTGTTGGAAACCCCAGTTGCTTCAGTAATGAGAAACCCACCATTGCTTGAACGCTGGGAGTAGTATAAGATGGCATGTCGTTGTGGAATGTTGTTGTAGGATCTAACTCTAGTCAATGGTGCTAGCACTACCCTGCAACATTAATTTCAATGGTTAATTTTAAGCATGGATTTTTTTTAAAAAATAATCATGGAGTATTAAATAATCAAAAAAACCTTCAAAATATCTCTGCACTGGTTGTCTTTGTCAGTTGGTATATCATTTTCAAAAGCTTTGGACCGACAAAAAGGGACCGCAATTTTGTTTCAACAAATATTGTTAGGTGTTTAACACTTCTCTTTTCTTTCTCTTTGCTTTTCTTTTTCTTTTTTTTTTTTTTAAAGGACGTTCATATCAGCTGTAATTAGTAGCTTGTTCATCAAAGGAACGATCCTTTACCTCCTTCATTATTAGTTTCAAGTTTTGCATGCTAAATGATCAATGAAAGAAATAGACTAGGGTTCATGCAAGAAAAAGAATTTCTTTCATCCAGAATTTCAGATCATCAAATCCCGTTGTATTAGCTAATGATTTTTGTTTTTGCAAAGGGATCTATATAAATATATGTATGAAAGAAAAGAATCAAAGAAATCGAGGCTAAACTGATCTCTTATTATAGATCACGAAGCAAACCTGTGAGAGAGGTTGAAATTTCCCATTTTGTAAGGCGTGAGAAGAGGAACGGTGGTGCAGTTGGCTGCCATTTATGTTTGATATTTTCTTCTCCTTTGCTTCCTTAATTTATCTTCTTCTCCTTAGCTATAGTTCTTCCTTTTTCTCTGCATGCGGTAATAAACTTCTCCTCTGAGTGTCTAGCTTTATATCCAAATTTCCGAACAGCCCCAACTTTGCATGATGTGGAAATAGCGAAGCACTTAAAAGGAACGTATGGAAAAAGGAAAATAGAAAAATCTATAGCTGTCACGAATTTCACAAGGAAAAGAAAATAAATGAGGTGGGCTTCGGATTTATAAAAACTTTATTTTACTAGATATCTTTCTGGTTGGACATGTGAATAGGTGATAAATGTTATCAAAATTTAATCAATTTTATTTTGACACGAAATCTCGTACAAAAAAATTAGAATTGAGATAGATCTGAATATTGCATCAATAAGAGACGTAAATATCCAACTCTTCAATGGTGGGTCTTCCTCCTCTATTACGGAAGAGTTAAAATTCATTGAGATGAACAATAAAATTAGTTCTTATAAAATTAAAAATAATAATAATTGTTATTATAAGTAAAATTAAAAAAATATATTATAATTATGATTGAAAAAAATTATAAAAAAATAATATTAAATGAATGTTATTAAATTTAATTGATAATTCAATTAATTAAGTATACCACAAATTTGGTGAAATCTAGACCCTCACTTAGCACAATTAAGTTAGCAAAATGACACACCATTTGGTTATAAGAAAGGATCTTCTAAACATGCTTTTTGACTGAAGGTGTGGACCGGTAACATTGAGCTATGCTTTAGCAATTAGCACGTTTATCATGGTGAGTGTCACTGCAAGTTTCGTTTTCAAGCGCTTACTATTGCAAACATCAGCATTTTCATCCACGGGTTGGGCTGCCAAAACAGTTTAAACTGGGTTCAGTTTAAAGATAGTTGGGCTACTTTGAGGCTCGGTCCATATCCATTGCAATTTCACTGTTATGTTGTCAGTTGAATTTGATCAGTAAATTATAGCTCATTTTGCAAAATTTATTAATTAACCTAAGACTTAGACCCGCGCCCGAAAACAATCAACCTCAGGTCAGCTTTTTACCATTATTCGCCTTTAAATAAAACCCTAATTTTCGTACTTTATATCTCTCATTTCTCAACTAGCTCAGTCTTCCCAAAGTTGGTTCTTCGAGGCTCCTCATTGAGGTAGACTTGATCTGCGTGAAATTTAGTTTCGACATAGTTATAGTTCGTTAAAGCAAAGCCATTTTCATATTTAAACTTGAATTATCTGTTAACATGATGCAGATTTTCTATCGAGTTTCCTTTGTTTTGATTGGATTTTGCCTTTGTTTTCTGTTTCCAGATCTGAATTCGGGGTGTTAACGTTTTTCCGTTAAGCCATGGCTCTGGTGAGTTATTTTCTTCTTCCTTCTTTGTTTGATCACTTTAATATTCTTTTCGATGCAAAAAGAAAAAAAATTGAGGCTTTCTTGTCTGAACTATTGTTAAACAAAATTTTCTCTTTCTATCTTGTTTAATCGAGTGAACTGGTTTCCCTGTTGGGCTTTTGTGCTGCTGGTTTCCTAGGTGATTGAGAAATAATTCCCTTTGATTGTTGTTTTGTGCTACTTGAAGCAAATAGTAACAAGCGAATATCATTTTTGATAAAAATTATGAACATGTTGACTGAAAGTAATTTCAATTCAAACAGCATGATTTCTTAAATTGTGCTTTATGTTAGACCATTTTGTGTTCAGTTTTAAGATGGTACATGACTCTGATTCAAAACAATGATTGACTTGCCTGAAGCATTACTATTATAGTCGTTCCATTTTTTGTTTGAGTGCGTTTGTCTGTTGCATTGTGAACCATTTTACTTTCCTGGACGATGTACTTGATTGACCTATTTTGTAGGTCTTGCACGCGGGGAAGCCAAACAAGAATGCATTCAAGACGCTTATTGCTGCAGAGTACAGTGGTATAGATGTTAAACTTGCTGACAATTTTGAGATGGGTGTCTCAAATAAAACTCCTGAATTTCTCAAGATGAACCCTATTGGGAAGGTAGATGTATATATTATGATGTTGATGTTCAAGCAAATGCTTTTCATGTATTTGATTTTAGTGTTTTGAAACGAAAATACATGTGATTTTTCTAGGTTCCTGTGTTGGAAACACCTGATGGCCCCATATTTGAAAGCAATGCCATAGCTCGATATGGTTTGAACTCATTACTCCCTTTCACCCTTTGCTCTTTCCTCTCCTTCCCTTTTTTTGAGGTTATCTAATGATTCTCTTAAAACTCATTGATCTTTTAATTGTTGCTTTAGTTACCTTTTTGAAGGCTGACAATCCTCTATATGGTTCCTCTCTGTATGAGAGTGTAAGATTTCTCTTTTGTTTTTTTTTTTTTTCCCACTTTGATGAGAATTTTTATGATTTCATTTGGCTATCCAACATAAGTTATTTTTTTTCTTCTGGGGGGTTTTTAGGCCCTAATTGAGCAGTGGATCGATTTTGCATCACTGGAAATTGATGATAATATAATTTATTGGTTTAGACCAAGAATGGGACTTGCTGTGTATCTTCCTCCAGTATGTTTCTTCCCTCATTTTTATTTTCATTCCTTATTCTCTATTTCTCTATCTATCAAAAGGTTATTGAATATGTTTAGTGAATATTACTCCCTCTGTCTTATAATTGGTCCTTTTTTGTTTATTAAAAGTGTGAAAAGGTTTGTTCAGTGTAAAAAGTTGAAACATAATTTTATTCTTATGAACTTTCCAAATAGAATGAGTTCACCAAATTACCAGCACTAGTAGGTTGTGTTTTTCAGTTCACTTGGCATCCTCATATTTAACAGTATGTTTTTAATTATTACTTTTTTAGTTAAGCTAAGTCATGTTATAGTTACCTACATAGGTGTAAGACATGGATGTTTATCCGTTTCTAGTCCTCAAGCGTCCCTAGCCATGAACATACTTTTGAATGATGAGGTTTTGTCGATAATAAAAAATGATTGAGCTTATAATTAGATAATTTACATTGTTCTTCTGATCTTCATGTTATTGCATTTATGATTTTACCATCCTTTAACATCTATGGATCACTTTGCATGTAGGCTGAGGAATCAGTAATCGCTGCATTGAAGAGAGCATTGGCTGCTCTAAACACTCATCTCGCATGCAACACTTACCTGGTCGGACATTCTGTGACCCTCGCTGACATTGTGATGACAATTAATCTTTTTTTGGGTTTCGCCCATCTGATGACCAAGAGTTTTACTTCAGAATTCCCTCATGTTGAGAGGTACTTCTGGACAATGGTTAATCAACCAAATTTTAGAAAGATTCTGGGTGAGGTCAAGCAGACAGAATCTGTACTACCTATTCCATCTAAGAAGCCGTCCCAGCCAAAAGAAGCTAAACCAAAGGCCAAGGATGAACCAAAGAAAGAGGCCAAGAAAGAAGTTGAGAAAGAGCCTGCAAAGCCTAGAGCAGAGGATGCAGGGGAGGAAGAGGCACCAAAGCCCAAACCTAAGAATCCTCTTGATTTGCTGCCTCCAAGTAAGATGATACTGGATGACTGGAAGAGGCTGTACTCTAATACGAAGACAAACTTCCGTGAGGTTGCAATCAAAGGTAATCTTCCGTATTCTTTGTAGACTTGTTTCCCTATTCTACTTAGCTTGATGATGATTATTAATGTTAATATTACTTTTGCTATAGGATTTTGGGACATGTATGATCCTGAGGGATACTCTCTTTGGTTCTGTGATTACAAGTACAATGAGGAGAATACAGTCTCATTTGTCACTCTGAACAAAGTAAGCGGGTTTCTACAGAGGATGGATTTGGCACGCAAGTTTGCATTTGGGAAGATGCTGGTCATAGGCTCTGGGCCTCCATTCAAAGTGAAGGGATTGTGGCTTTTCCGTGGGCAAGAAATCCCCCAATTTGTCCTTGATGAGTGTTACGACATGGAACTTTACGAGTGGAAGAAGGTTGACACCTCGGATGAAGCCCAGAAAGAGCGAGTCAATCAGATGATAGAGGACTACGAGCCTTTTGAGGGAGAGCCACTTTTGGACGCCAAGTGCTTCAAGTGATTTCCCTCGTTTTCCTGTAGATTTCTTTATCTGGTGTTACAGTGTCCTTTACAAATGCTTGGTATGATATATAAATATAAATATATATATATATTTGTAATTTTAATCCTTGTTTTAATATGACAATTTTAATTGGTAATGTTTATTACTATTATGCACCATCAATACTCCGTGATAATTTCTCTTGTTTATATATATATATATATATATTACTATTTAGTTTACGATTTAGAGAGTGCATCTTTATATGTGATTAAGCAAGAAATTAAAACATTAAAATCAAAGTTAATTTCTTTAACACAATAAAGAGAAAAAAAAGTGTAGGATAATTTTTAAAAATAAAAATAAAAATTGTTTTAAAAATCATTAAAAGAATAATAAAAGAATTAAATATAGGATAAATTCTGATCCTTGTAAAATTCCCACAACTTGTATTAGTATTCTAGACCCCAACACAAATTCAAAAAAATACAAAAAAAAAAAAAAAAAGGTTAGTAACAAATCTGGATCCCGATCCGAACCGATTACTAACGAATGTGCCCCACTTCGCACTCTTAAAAAACCCTAGTCCCCCTATTATATTTTTCCTCTTCTTCCCACGCTCTCCTCTGCTCGCTGCGGCTTCAAGGTTCGTTCTCTTTCTCTTTCTCTTCTCCCCTTTTTCTTCACCTTAACAGAGAGAGAACTATGCATTTTCTTAGAATATTGTTACTGATAACTTTTCAATTTGTTTCTATTTCTCGTTTCCAGATCTGAGATCAGAGCGTCCCTGTTTTCAATCAAGCCATGGCTCTGGTGAGTTTGTCTTTTCTTTTTATATTTTCGTTGCTTCTGGTAATTTAACTGTTAAAAAAGAATAGAATGATTAGGGAGAAGTGATTTCAATTGGAATTCAAAGTGAAATTTTTAGGTATCACTTTTGGTTATAAAGTAGAAAATGGAACACATTTGATGAGTTTTCAAATGTTAATAACAATGGCTAATGGATTTTAGGACTGCAAGTAGTTTAGATTGTGAAAAATGAATGATCTTTAAAAGAATTTCTGAAAAAAAATTTTTTTTTTCTTGTTTTTTTATTGGATTAGTAGTGTAATTTTTGTAGGAATTGGTTCTGGTGTTTGGCATTGGAATTAACTTTTTAAACCATCTGGTTGTTTGACTTATATGCAGGTCTTGCATGCAGGAAAAACAAACAAAAATGCCTTCAAGGCACTCATTACTGCAGAATACATTGGTGTGGAGGTCAAATTGGTTGAGAACTTTGAGATGGGTGTCTCGAATAAAACTCCTGAGTTCCTCAAGATGAACCCTCTTGGGAAGGTATATATGCCTGTTAATAGATTAAATTTATTGTGACCTTGTTTTTAAATTCACTGAAAAATCTGTGGCTTTTCTAGGTTCCTGTGTTGGAAACACCTGATGGTCCTGTATTTGAGAGCAATGCAATTGCTCGTTACGGTTAGAATACATGCTGACTCTATATCTTACATTTCTTTCCTCTGATTTTTGTTTACTTATCGGTATCCTTACTTTTCTCTGCAGTTGCTCGCTCAAAGGCTGACAACCATCTATATGGTTCTACATTGATTGATTATGTAAGCTTTTTACTGCCTTGATCTTATTGTTCTTTTGGCATCGGTTAAGTTTATGTCAAACATTGGCCAAAAAAAAATTTATGTTAAACCACTGTACTTATTGTTTATGGATATTTTCTTGATTTTTCTCAGGGTCATATCGAACAGTGGATTGATTTTGCATCCATGGAAATTGATGCTAATATTGGAAAATGGTTCTATCCAAGAAGGGGTTTTGGTAATTACCTTCCACCGGTGAGTTCCGTTAATGTAGTTTTGGAGACTTTCTTTCACTTTTTTTTCCCATGTTATTATGTCATTTTAATTGGGCTTTATTTGCTAAGATTAGACCCAGTATTGTTTCTTAACAATTATAAGACAATTGGTCATAAGTTAAGATTGGACTAAGGCAACTAAGTCATCTAAGTATAAACTTTTAATGAGAGAATAGCGAAGGGAAAAAATAGCATGGACTGTTGGTTTATGATTCTTGTTTTATATGTTTTCAAGAGGAATACAAAGATAGTAGGACAACAACTCTAGTAGGGACTTAATATGGTATTGTTTTTCTGTTCATAATCTCTTGGAATGAATGGACAAAGCACTAGAAATCTAAATATTTTTCGTACAAAAGCATACTCATCGAATTGATAAATCAACTAGGCTGACTGTTTTTTTTTAAAGAAATTAGTCTGTTTGCTTCCCCATTATAATTTACTATTCTATACTATGAATTCAATTGTTTATGTTTGTGATTCACTCATGAAAACATTTTTATTTGATGTTGTCTTTTTTATCCATCTAGTTTTACTTTAGTTTCAATTTATTTGAGTATTTTGCATGTAGACTGAGGAAGCTGCTATTGCTGCATTGAAGAGAGCCCTTGGCGCTTTAAATGTTCACGTTACTTCCAACACTTATCTGGTTGGACATTCAGTCAGCCTTGCTGACATTATCATGACATGCAACCTTTACTTGGGTTTCTCCCAGATCATGACCAAGAGTTTTACCTCAGAGTTCCCTCATGTTGAGAGGTACTTCTGGACCATGGTAAATCAACCAAATTTCAAGAAGATTCTTGGTGAAGTGAAGCAGGCAGAGTCTGTGCCACCTGTTCCGTCAAAGAAGCCTGTTGCCCAGCCAAAAGAAACTAAACCAAAGGCCAAGGATGAACCAAAGAAAGAAGCCAAAAAGGTGGTTGAGAAACAGCCAGCAAAGGTAGAGGACGCTGAGGAGGAAGAGGCACCAAAGCCAAAACCAAAGAATCCTCTTGATTTGCTGCCTCCTAGTAAGATGATACTGGATGAGTGGAAGAGGCTGTACTCTAACACAAAGACCAACTTCCGTGACGTTGCAATTAAAGGTATCCTTGTTGTTTTCATGGTAATACTCTCCCTCTTATTCACAATCTTCAAACTTGTGATTTTTTATACTTATTTCTTGTTAATTATAGGATTCTGGGACATGTATGACCCTGAGGGATACTCACTCTGGTTCTGTGAATACAAGTACAATGAGGAGAATACAGTCTCATTTGTCACTATGAACAAGGTAGGTGGATTCCTTCAGAGAATGGATTTGGCACGCAAGTATGCATTTGGGAAGATGTTGGTGATTGGAGCTGAGCCCCCATTCAAGGTCAAGGGATTATGGCTTTTCCGTGGGCAAGAGATTCCTCAATTCGTCATTGATGAGTGCTATGACATGGAACTCTATGAGTGGAAGAAGGTTGACATCTCAGACGAAGCCCAAAAAGAACGTGTCAATCAGATGATTGAAGACTGTGAGCCTTTTGAGGGAGAGCCTCTCTTGGATGCCAAGTGCTTTAAGTGATAAATTAATCATCTCTAGCCTCTTTTTACTGTTTCAGGTTCAGATAGACTGTTCACTTGTAACTTTTGTTTACTTATCTTATTTTTGACTTCGATTCAGATTCAGATATCATTACAACCAAGTTATCTTGTCTTATGTCTGAATATGGATTCGGAAAGTGCTATTTTTGTTTCACAACCAAGTTACTTGTTTTTTGTTGAAAAGGTTTGTGCTGTCTTTTCGTGAGAGTATTTGGCATTTCCTACTCTGTTGCGTCATGTCGAAAGAAGTGTATGATAATTTTTTAAGCCAACGAAATGATTTTACAAAACTTATATGAAGCATCGAAGTTTCCCAAAAGAAAATTTTCATCATCTGTTCAAGTAGGTTAGTCGGCAGATGGCCTTTTCAAACGTTCCCCAGCGATAACATGGCAATTAAATTGTACAACAATTTAATGCTAAATGTATACATAACGTAAGCCATATAATATTTCAAATATAAAATATTACCTAAATTAAAAAAAATCAGAAAGAAAAAGCAAAATTCCAAGCGGAGAGTTTGGATTTGAAATAATTCAAATATATAGGGGCAATATTGCAATCAGTGAGCATTTTGAAAAAGAAATAGAACCAAATACGCTTTGTACGCCGAAAAAGACCGTTTCCTCTTTCTCTACCAAGGGAGAGAGAGAGAGAGAAAGAGATTGAGAGAATGACTGAAATTTCAAGAAGTAGATCGCTCCGTTTTTTACTGTTTTACGCTTCCGTTTCTCTACAATTCATTTCAGGTTTCCTTTCTAGATCTCTTTATGCTCGATATATATTTTTTTGTAATATTTTATATTTTTAATTGAAATATTAAAATATTTTGGTCCAAATTCGAATCATTAATTTGCATGAAAATCAAGTTTATTTGTATTATTAATTTGTAGAGTTTATTTGTTCATCGAGATCGGACAATTTTATGTATTGATCTCATTCGAATCTCACCTTTAGTTTTATTTGATTAATTCGCGGAATCTCTCAAATTTATCATTTTTTTTTTGCAATACTTAATATTCTCTGTTTGACTACTTAGAAAATTAGCATCGAATGAACATGAAAATAAATCATTTTGTTATAGATTTATATATATATATATATATAAATTAAATTCTATAACTTTAGTTGTTTTTCTTTTCTGAAATTGCCACAACGAGAAATTTTAGCTATAAAGTTAGATTTTTTTACTTTGAAGAATGAATAGGAAGGTATATATAATATCTGTGATTTCAAATTGCTTTTATGAATCTCAAACTTTGTGATAAATCTGCTATTTAGCAGTATAACTAAGCAATTAGGATTTGTGTAGCATGATCAAACTTAAATTGTGCTTCAAACTCAACTTACTTTATCTGATTTCCATGAAATTTTGGGAAACTATGATGATTGATTAAATGGAATCCACATGAAACTTTGGTTTCATCGATAGCTGATCTCGAGCCATGTAGTTTTGTTAAATACATATGGTTCTGTATTCCTTACTAACGGGGTGCTCTCTTTTTAGCCATAGTTAAAACATGTTTGCAGCTGAATTTGGTTGGAACACTGATTAAGTTGCTGTAACGGACTTTAAAGTAGAGATTGTTCTTATCCTGCTTAGCAAATTGTTAAAAGTTTCAAACAATTTGCTCTAATTTTTCTCTTTTTACAGGTTTTTCTGATGACTCTACAAGTTCGAAAAACAGCTCAAAGACCAAGTCGAATGGAAATAGTAATATTGGGGCCAAGGTAGGCATCATATTGCTTGGGCTTGTTGCAGTAGGGTTGTTTTCATTTTTCCTTTTCAAGTTGTGGCAAAAAAAGAAACGAGATGAACAATATGCCCGTCTCTTGAAGTTGTTTGAAGAAGATGATGAGCTCGAGGTTGAACTTGGCCTTCGGGACTGACAGCATCATTAAGAACTGAGCTCATCCTATCTGAGGTGCATACATAAAATGTCCTTGTGATCTTCAATTTCCAAGATTCAGTTACATCCCTTGTTTTGCTTTTAAGGAGGAAATAACATTTCATTATCCATGTTTGTATTCTAGTAGTTGAACACCATGTAATGGTTGAATGTAAATGATGAACATTGTAATCATTTTCACTGATCTTGAACTTTCAGCTTCAGTATGTCGGGCACTCCCCATGCATGTTAAAGTTTGACACTCAAGTCTATACCCATTTGCATCTGTGACAATTTGTCAGCCGTTCACGTATCCATGTATAAGTTATGCATTGATTGTTGTTATCTGGTTTTACTTTTTTCCCCCATTTATGTTTTTCCATTTAGCTGTTGACACTGAGTTTCTTGCTCTTCATTTGCAGGGTGAAATGGCATCAACGTCTTATGTTGTTTAGGAAAGTCATATTTCTGATGGTCCAAATCAGGATTTAGGCATATCCTGTGGTAAGGTCAGATAATTTTTCAACCATGAGTTGTAGTATTTGTAATGATATGTTCAAACTTATTATGAATCTAAGTTTTGAGCCTACTTCGAATGGGGATGGATAGCATTTTGTACAAGCTGTTTGAAAGGTGTTAGTTCACTGTTTATAAAGAATGATTTTTATATTCATTCACATTTTTAGAGATAATGATATGTTGATCCTACAACGGTTGAGTAGCCTTGATTTCCTTCCTGCTACAATTTAATGATAAAATAATAAGTTAAAAATAGTTAATCTGACAATTTCTTGTGGCTTAAAGTCTGTACCATAGAATAATTGAACCTCAAAACCCTTATTCGAAATTGGGGGGAGAGATAATTTCCTTGATTAAATAAAGGGGAAAACTATTTAGACACTCTAGTACCAGCCATGGCTGCCTGTAGAGTTTCAAGTTTTCTTGTGGAATCAGCTAATCACCAGGCAGCTAGGGCAGGATGAAGCACCTGAACTTTGTGAGTTAAATGGTTTATGATTGCAACAATTGATAAAAACCAATACATGTAAAATAAACAAGATATTAAGTTAAAATAAAATACAATGACTGATTGTATATCAAGGCCAGAAATATGTATGAAATATTGTAAGATTGTCAGTACAAAGAATTTTCGAGAACACTTAAGAGGTTACGAGACCCAGAAGAGGAAGGAACATGGCTAAAATAATTATGGAATAGGTTATTTTTAAGTAATGAAGTAAGAGAAGTCAACCTTATGGGGAATGATCCATGAAAGAACAGAGATCATTGGAGAAGGTAACCCAGATGCAAAACCACCATTGCCCAAAGCTGATAGGAGTTTGACTTAGCTCTTCCTGACTCAATAAATCCATCACGAAGCCATCAGGATTTCAATTGATCAGATGCAGTGAACCAGCAAGAAACAAAGATTTATCATCAATGTCTAAGGTTATCTTCCTGTCTTGGCCTGCTTCATTCCTGTACTGTTAAAGGGAGACATAATCGGACTCATTCTGGGGCTTTCTTCCCTCCTTAAGGTACCATTTAGCAAAGCCAACTCCCTAAGCTGTTGTTTCTTATAGTTATCCAAGGATTCATCCTGAAAATGGTGGAATGGAAGGATTAGAAGAAGAACAAACAGAAAAGGAAGGGTAACATAAAATACCACACATTGCTTTTGTTCATACTACAGGCTTCAGAAGGTTTTCTAGTATTGCAACAGCCTAGTCTAAATGAATATTATCATATCCTCAGAAAATTCAGCCTCCACCAACACATGCAGTGGCTCATTAAGGTGTTGATATCCAGGTTTATCTTTCAGTTTCTCTTCCTATAGAAGCCAGTTGTGAGAATTTTAAAGGAAGTACAAACGAATAACAAGTGAAGCAAACTAAGAAAGGAGATGACAACATCAAAGGAAAACTTGATCTTATATTTAGGTTGAAAATGTCAGGACTTGATTATGCATGATTGTATTAAACAAGTTACTTTATTTAGTAAAAGTGATCATTGCATTGATCACAATAGTTACTAGTGAAAAATGAAAGCAATTAAGGCTCTATTTGGTTGGCGCTTTTATTTTTTGCTTTTTGTAATAGAAAAGTTAAGAGCAAAAAAAACAAAATGAACTAAAAACAAGGGACAAATAGCAAAAAGCAAAAGCACCAATCAAGCGAAGCCTAACATGGTTTTGAAGTTTACTGCAAAGTATGTCAAATGCAAATGGATTGAGAGGAAAGAAATGAAATAGGAAACATAGGATATTATGCTCCAATTTGCAAGAGAAATGGGAAACACTTCCATAGTTCCATTATAATCAGAATCTGTACAAACGACTAAGCAAGAAGTAGCTTAAGATTCAACCTATGGTATATGTCAAACTACATTGTGTTACCAAATTCACATGTTGGAAATAAAAGAATTCATGATTCACTTTACCTTTACAGAATCCTTGGCAGAAACCTTGCCTCTTATGTAGACCCTAGACTCTGTCACGGCTTCAACTCTATTCAGGGAGTTTCCTCGTGGTCCCATAATTCAGCCAACAAAATTATACTGCAAAGACTCTGAGTCAGAACTCTTATCTTAAAGGAAGAAAGTGAAAACTTAATCAAAATTTTCAACATAACTTACAATTGGATATTCATCCACCGGTACATCAAGTCTAACAACTCTCTTCACAATTGGTGTAGTAGGGACTCCTGGCAAACCAGGCCAACCCATTGATGCAGCTTGAACTGGAGCAACTCTTTGCAGTTGCCCATTTTCCTGAAGCAAGATAATCACATTAAAGAAATTTCATTTTCCTGTCATTTAACATTAATGAGAAGCAAATTATTGATCTTAGGAATAATCATATTGGGATGTTGACCCAATTACCTAAAAGGACTATCATGCTCAAATCTCTCATGATCCACAAAACTAGGATTAAGACCTGAGACCCTTCTGATCTCTGCAGTGACATGAGAAAAAACACAAGTGACTTGATATTTTGTCCAACTTACCTTCAGTGGTAAAGGTAGTCATTTGAGGTTTATGTTTAGCTTAGGCTACATGCTTTATTAGAACTCTCTAGTGGCATGGCCTCCAGTACACTTACTTTGAAAGCACATGGAACTATCTAGTCTGAGAAAACCTCAGCTTGTAATCACTTAAAATCAAATGTTGCTAGTTTAGAATCATAATAAGTCAATTATAGCTACCGACAGTTAGTAAGGCTGCTATTTGTTTAAAATTTCAGTTCAATATTGTTGGCAATCACTGTGTTTATTTTCGTTGCGAGTGGTTTATCCTTGGAAGAAACGAACCGACAGTGCACTCATCACGATGAATCCACGATAACAATCTAGCAGAATGAAACTTACATTAATTAGAACAAGAACACAAATGGTAGCTTTAGGCACAAGATTTGACATCCTCGAGAAGTGTATATGTAACATATATTAATACAGATAACTTTATTTTTAGAATGCTGTTCTTTCAACCAAAAAACTATCACAACCAGTTTCCAATGATACAAGTGACAACTGCTAATGAATCTTATATTGCACAAAAAGGAAAACGCAAGATTCAATAACCTTGATTAAGAAGCCTGGTACATAGAGGCAGAACTTGCGTAAAAGGTCCCAACTTCTGTTTCTCTGCCAATAATTCAGCTAAATATCTGCCATTTGTTCCTTAATTGTAAGATAACATTGAAGATAACAATGAAACAGTAAGACTATATCTAGATAAAATATAATATATGAAGCACACACATATAAAATAAGAGCATCAACCAGAGAAAAAACATAACCATCAATCAACAAACAGAAGCTTTTCCTTAAAACAATCAATTATGCAAAAACCAACAAGATAGAAAAAGAAAAAACATAAGCTTTTCCTTAAACCAACTTAGAAAACCAAAATCAGTCAGAACAAAGAACCTCAAATTATTAGACCAATAAAAAAAACCATCAATAATACGAGTAAAAATTTCCCAAAAGAACAAAAAAAAAAGGGATTGGATTGATTAAAGATTTTCTTTTAAAAAAACCTTACCTTTCACTATCTGTATGAAGAACAGAAGGCCTATCAGGAGAAGCAGGGACTCCAGAAGGCGGATACTGAAAGTAAGTCCCGGGTGGGATTCTCTCCCCCATCATATATACTCACCTTCCATTAACATTCATTAAACAGAGAAAAACTCAACAAACTCAACAATCCAACGTACACATAGATAAATGAAGATAAAGGAAAAAAAACCCAGACCTACTTTGATGAAGGGAAAGGGACAGGGAAAGTGGCAGGAGCTGAAGCTAAGCAGAGGAGATAATGGGCCAGAGATTTAAAGTCTGCTGCCTTCGTGTGGAGATAGTGTCAATGAATGAGAGACCAAAGCCCTAATCCTAGAGCCTCTTTGATGCTTTATTTTGTTGCTCTATGTGTGCTTCTCAATTTTTTCCCACCCTTCTTTTTAATTTTTCACCCTTTCGTGCACCTTGTTACAACAATATTTATTGTTTTTTATTGTTTTGTTATGACACGTGAAATAAAATGTTTGGGTTGAATCCATTTTGTCTATTTGTTTTGTCAAAATGATGTTGTTATTGTAAATATCCATAATCTTGCAAGATTGGTATATATCGGAAATTTCCAGTTTTTTTTTTTCTATGATTCAGGTTTTAATTTAATTTAAAACTTTGGTTAGATTTAATATTATTGAACTAAGAGTTCATTGGTTAATTTATCAATCCTTTGATTTATCAAATTTTAAATTTTATTTATTTGATAAGTTTTTTTTTTTTTTTTGCCAAGATAAGTTTTTTATTTCTAATAAAGAAAAACTAATTCCAAAATCTTGCATAAGAATGATAAATATCAATCCTTAATTTCTTACCATATTTTCACCTATATAATTAAATAATACATATAATTATCTATCATATAATTAGATTATAGATATAATTTATCTATAATCTTTATGTTAATATTATTATTGATTAAATTTCTTTATAAAATCAAATATAACATATTTAATTATAAAATTTTTTATTGTATGTTTTCCTTTCCCTGGACAACACAAAATAATCTTGATTTAGTTTTTTAAAATACTTTTATTATAGACATTCAATAATAACTCTACCGTATAATTTTTAGGTTTAGACATATGTATTTAAATTTGAAACTCTAAATTAAAGATGTTAATCTTATCCATATCTAATAAGGAATCCGACTTTTTATCCTAATAAAAATAAAAATGGATATTATCTTATGGGTACGAAGTTAGATATGATTTTATATTTTTATTTGATACAACGATGATGATAAGTAATATGATATCTATTCCGTATCCATAACTTACATATATATTTTTATATATTTACTAAATAGGTTTTTTATTAAATAATATAAATTATTATTTTAAATTAATTAAATTAATATATTTTTATTAAAAATATATATATTAATATATATTTATAAAATAATATTTAAATATACAAAATTAAAATTAAAATAATTAAAATATGAATTTTAATTTTTAATTTTTTAAGTTACTTCATATTCATTAAATACTCACGAGATATGAATAAAAATAAATTTAAAATATTTATTAAGTATAAATATAAATATATGTATAATATAAAAATTCAAAAATAAAGATAAAAAATACTTTTATTCTACTTATATTTTATCTATTAACATTCCTAATCTAAGTTGGGATCATAAATTGTAATATTAAACTAAGTCACATTAAAAAATAATTAACAAATAAGGCTTAAGTGAATTCCTACCTTTAATTCGATCCATTTATTCAATTATTTAAAATATTGAATTACTTACACAATAAGGATTTGATTGATTGAATCCATTTGTATCTCATCATCCAATCCCAATATTAAAATAAAATAATAATAATTAAAAAAATATTTAATTTAATGTCTTCTGCACCTGCGCCATAGAATTGGCCTAAAATGTCGTAACCAATTTACAAATCGCAATGAGATGTGACATTTCAAGGTTTCATTCATCGATTTTGAATTTTGACTATGCAATAATATATCATCGATGCTTGAAAATGAAGGGTTTATTTTATAATGTATAATTTTTTTTTAATTTAAAATTTTATTTGTCAATAACTTGCTACATGAATCAAAACACAATAGAATTGATGTTTATCGGTTGAAATGATTGATATTTTCAGGCTTTTTTTTAGTGCATTTGTGTTTCTTTTTATAAATAACAGTATAAAAAAACAAAATCAGTATAGAATTTATATTTATTACACATTAAATAAAAAAAATCGTTTTTGTGTACGAGGGGCAAAAATTTTACGGCTAGCCCATTGATTTAGTGGAAAATAAAAATTAAGGTAATTTACTAAGTTTATTACGAGTTTGGGAGTCTTTCAAATTAAGTAAAAAAATAAAATTGAAACGAGGACATAACCGGCATATTATTTGTTATAAATAAAAACCTTTTCCCCCTTTGTTTATTATATTTTTTTCTCACATTTGCTTCTGTTCTCTTGACACTCTTGCATGGCGATTTGGGCTCCAATTTGCAAAAATTAGGGCTACGCTGTGCGATTCGATCGATTGCCAAATCCGTTTAAAGAAGATGTGATCTCACAGTGATTCTCGCGTTTTTATTTCGAAGCCAGTTTTTATAAAAGATAGAGTCGGTGAAGGTTTTTGAGGGGGGATTTTTTGTGTTTTGTGATTTCTAGGGTTAGGGTTTTTGAAGGCATGAAGGGGGCTTTGGATCGAACCAAGGCGGTTCTCCGCCACTTGCCTCCATCCATTACGGAGTCCATGTTTGTCGAACAAGTCGATAGTGCTTTTGCTGGTCGTTACAACTGGCTCTCCTTTCGTCCCGGGAAGAGCAGGTTAGTCTTATCCTTGTTTTTATTGTTTCTGGTGTTTGTTAATGGAGACTCTCTTTAAATTTGTTTGTGTTTTCCTTTATTCAAGGGTTGTATGGGGTTTTCTCTTGCATTTACTGTATTATAACTTTTTTTAGCGCTAATAGTCGTTGCTTGTAGATGGATATATATATATATATCTATTTATTTATTTAAGGTTTCTTATGTGGAGATTTTGCCATTTTAGGGTTTATTGCTGGTAAGCTGTAAATGGGCATGTTTCGTTTTGCTTCATATTTGGCCTTCCTTTGCTTAATTAAAGTCTCAGTGTGTCTCCTTTAGTGGCAGTGTACCTCCTGTCCTCGTACAAGTGCTTCAACTCTTTGTAGGAGTCTGTCTCTTCTATAAAGTAATTTATTAGCACTGAAGCAGATGTTGGCATGTTCTAGATTCTTTGGATCACATATGAATAAATTGACCCAGTTGGTCTTGCATATATTCCATAGTATTGTTTTTCTTTAATGTTACATAACAGCAATTCCAGGGTTAGCATACAGCAAAAGATGTTATCTTATTATAGTTTTACATTTCAAAATGATTTTGCAGTCAGAAGCATCAGTCTTATTCCAGAGCGTACATTGACTTCAAGAGGCCAGAGGACGTTTTGGAGTTTGCAGAGCTTTTTAATGGTCATGTGTTTGTTAATGAGAAGGGTAATTCTTGAACTTCAAAGAGATTGATGTAGCGTAGCGTACCTTTGTTGTCAGCAATACTATTATTAATTTTTGTTTCATCTGGATGAAATTTCGTACTCTCTCAAGTCTCAAATAGGCTAATGAATTTGATTCCCTCTTTTAACTAATGGCTCAAAATCTATGAGTTATTTGGGGATGTTAGAGCACCTTGATTTTCAAAATTGAAAAAGAGATTTTTGACAAGCTTATGTAGGATCTCTCATTTTTTTTAATCAATCTCTTTTTGTTAACCTCTAGTAAAATTAGAAGCTTGCAATAAATTGATGCTAAACTTGGATTTCAAAGTAAAACTTTTTCTTCTCTTTTCCAGGGGCTCAGTTTAAAGCTATTGTTGAGTATGCGCCTTCCCAATGTGTTCCAAAGCAGTGGTCTAAAAAGGATGGTCGTGAAGGGACTATATTCAAAGGTAATAAGCTGATTTTGTTTAAGTATAATTCAAAAAAATAGATTTCGAGTGAACTTATTGAATGCCACTTTTTTCCTGTTCATAAATACAAGTATTTGTTGATGAACATCTAGATCCTGAGTATTTGGAGTTCCTCGAATTTCTTGCGAAGCCAGTTGAGAATCTTCCTAGTGCAGAGATACAATTAGAGAGAAGGGAGGCGGAAAGATCTGGTTAGTCGCACGAATCTCATTCACATCTGCACTCTGAAGTTGTTGTGTTGAAAAAAAAAGGAAGAAAATTTTATTTGTTCCATTAAATGACTAAAAGTTTGGTGTTTGTATGTATTTTTATTTTGCTGTCATGCCATTAATGCCCTTTTTCAGGTGTACCAAAAGATACTCCCATAGTTACACCTTTGATGGATTTTGTTAGACAGAAAAGAGCTGCTAAGGGTGCATCACGGGTAATAATTTGCAATCCCTATTTCAGTATAGTTGACAGTAAAATCATGAGCGCTTGAGCAGTGTCTTGTTTGCTGTCATTTGGTGTGTTTTCTTATCAAGTTTTAGCCTTTAGAGTGAAATAGGCATTTCTTTGATTTGTTGGCTATAAAAATGATTTAGTATAGAAAATACCATGTTCAAATCAATCATTGGCATTATTATCAATGAGAATTGAATTGTTGAAGAATGATAAACTATTATCTAAGGATTCAATAGTTTTCCCCTGCTACCTTTTGACATATTGATATATGGACTGAAGTAAGATTTTTGTATTTTCAACTTTTCCTTTCCTGGGCTTATTTTATTAATGAATTAAATTTGTTTCTGATTTTCTCAGTGTTTTTCTGTGAACTGCTTAAGGATTCTAATGATATTTTATGACAGAGGTCACCGTCTAATGTGAAACTGAGGAGAAGAGGAGCTGGTTCATCTAGTGGAAGTCCAAGTTCAGCATCATCCAAAAGAGGTTCTGAAAAGAGAAGGGGTTCTACTGCAATGGTATGCATATATTTGGTTAATTTAGCCAAAACTATGTAATTTGTTGAGTTGAGATATTTCTCCTCTCTCTCTCTCTCTCACTCACTCATTCACTCTCTCTTTTTCTTTTCTTTTTATTCATATGGTAATCGAGCTGTAATTTTATTGCCAATAATACATTATTCTGTGAAATTGTCATGCATTTTTAGCTCCTGAAGTAAAATTATGAACATTTGTGGTGGTTCACTAACATATTTTAGCATATTGTGCAACAAATTTAAAAGCTTTGGGGAATAAGTTTTCTTTTGTATATGTTGTAGACAATGACAAATAAAATTGGGTATTTTAGTGATCCATCTGCTTTTGATTTTTTTATTTTCTCTTTTAATATTAAATCTGTTTGACTGTGTTTAGATCCATGATGGATTTCCTGGTCAGATATTGGAAGTCTCTTTATCATTAATACCTTGTCTTTTTGGTGGCAGTATGTTCTAAGGGATAGCTTGAAAATTGCAAGTGTGAAAGACAAGTCAACTTACATTCTGGTTTCCAAAAGGGATGATCAGCAACTTTCTGATAAGCCTGTTCCTTTAGCTTCATCTGTGGGAACTGAAATATCTGAAGAGGAAAGTGGTATGGGTGATAATGCATAAATGCCTAATATAAATCATTCTAATTTTTCCTTCCTTTGTTTAATGAGCTATTATTCTAATTGTTTCTTCGTATGTGTCAGTTGGCATCAATACCAGTTAAAGAATTTTTCATTTTGTGGTTGCATTCTCATGTTTCATATCTCCAATTTAAATTTCTCTTCTCATTTTTCCAGGAGTTTGTGGAATTACTGATGCTGGTAAAAAGAAAGTTCTGCTTCTGAAAGGGAAAGAGAAAGAAATTTCTAATGTGAGCTTCTTTGTTCTAGTGGCTCTACCATTCAGTCTTCGTTTATGTTTTCATTCTTAATTCTTTGTTTGGATGGAGGCTTGGACTAAATGGGTAGGGTGCATGTGTGCATACTCAGGGAGAACGGGAGAGAGAATTTTATAAGGGAAGTGGGGGTGGTAACCTGTGGGAGAAAGGAAGAGGGCTCCTATTATTCTATGGTTAATCTTGTTGCTAATAGACACTGTTGTTTTCGCATGGTTTAGATATGTGACATAATGTGCCATGTTGCATTGTCCCCAATATCATCAGTATATACAGGCAGGAATTTTAACTCTCTCAAATCACCATGTTGTGCGATGTTACTTTCCTTATGATCATAATCTTTTGTTTAGGTGGCTGGAAGAATGTTACGTCAACAAAATGTTACATCTCCAATTAAAACCGTACTTGGTTTGACTCCTACCAAACAGAATTCACGTGGTGAAGGCAGAGTGATCAGAGGCATACTTTTAAACAAGGATGCTCGTCAAAGTCAGTCTTCTGGGGTCCAGTCAGAGCAGCAGATTCAGACCTCAAATTTGGAAAAGGATAGACGACCTCAGCATTCTCATGCTCGGTTAGTTTTGAAGGATACAAACAGTGCTTCAGATGATAAGGTTGGGAGTAACTCGCATGGTAATGAGAAGCCTGAAAGACGTAACAGAAACAAAGATAGACCAGATCGCGGTGTATGGACCCTTCACCGTTCTGATGGATCATATGCAAGTGATGAGTCCTTGCCATCATCTGCTTCTCAGTCTGCACAGATACCTTTAGATTCTTCAGAAGGTATGGGTATTTTAAATCTCTGCTATGGTTGTTCCTCGGGAAAATCATTGTCCTGGGGATTCTCCACAAAATGGAGTTGATTGCTATCATGACACAAATGCAATTGCATGCTTGCATATGTTTGCATTATGTGCTTAGTGAGTAGCAGCAAGCCAGAATTGTTGAAAACAGGATTTTCCTTTAAGGAGAATAACTTTTGATGTTTCTTTTTACATATACAATTGGCAGGGGCTTTTGGTGATTATAAAGTTGATTTGCCAAATGTTCATGGTATGCAAGTTAAAACTGTCAGGAGTGGACGTAATAGTTCTTTAGATAATGGTTAGTTTTGATTTTGGAAGCTGAACAAACTTGGTGTGCCTTTGCGAGTTTTGCATTTCATTAACTACTTTTAAATTTATGCAGGATCCCATAAACATGTTAGTCGTCGTGGAGCAGTTGCCGATGGATCATCTGTTTTGAGTGATGGGAAACCAGGGAAAAAAGGCAGTGCTTCTGGCTATGGTTCTCATGAGGTGCTTATAACTATGCTTGAATACCTGATATGTTTATTTGTCTTATGCCACATTTTTACTATTTGTTCTCTAAATTTGCAGAAACAAGTCTGGGTACAGAAATTGAGTTCTGGTTCTTAGTGAATTTTTAAAACGGTAAGCATTTGATTATTGTGATCAGAAATTGTTGGCCAATGCTTTTACCAGCTTAAAAGTTATATGGTAGTTTAGAGAATAATGTGATATTTTTTTTTTATAAAAGAATAATGTGAAATATTTGTTCATGAAAGAAAGCATGTAGTTCGAATGATTTCAGCATGTTGGAGTACAATTGTATTGGAAATTGAGGGAATGGCCATATAGATAAGTAGTCAGTATGTGCTTCTTTGAGTAGAGTTGAAGGTCTAAACCTTTTGCGAGGGATTGCCTTGAATGTTAACTGTATTAGTTGTGTAGTTCCCAAGTTGGCTTAAGACTGAGAATCGCTATTAAATCTGTTGGTAACTTGTTTGAATTGATCTTGGTCTAATGCAACTATTAGTCTGCTTCTGTTATTAGTTTGTGGGGTTTTTTTTTTTTTGGTGAAGCACAACTTCATAAGAACGTTGATGGAAATTCTACAAATTTTTTATTCCATGGCTCGTTTGTCAAGGTATTATATACATTCTCTCTTCTATCATTATTTTGCAGGAAATTGCTTAGTCACTTGAATTTTGAGCATGCACTTGCTTTTGCTGGAGGCTGTCTCGTTATGCTTAACCTATGATCTGGTGTAATCAATGTTTCAGCATCAAAGTAGGGGAAAGGTTCAGTTGACCTAGAGGTTGCAGATATCATTGTAATTAATACTTGATTGAAGAAATCCCTAAGTTAATACCTGGTGGATTGAAGAAATCTCGATCTTAGTCAAAGATGGCGAAGGAACACGAAACAAACACAGAACCACTGTTGTCATCGCTGCTGGTCCTTGTGGATTTTGTCCAGTTGAGATGCTATGCCATTGACTCGACTGGGTTACCGGGAGATTCTGATTTTAGTGGTTGATTTTCTCCTTTAGCCGGAATTGTAAATATAAATATAAATATAAATGCAGAGCTCTATATACTGCCTGTTTGACAGAGTTATTATACTTGTTTTGCCGAGCAGTTCACCTTTATGCCTAGACTCTAGTTAGCATTTTGTGTATAAGCCCCCTAGGCCTAGAACTTGTCGGGGCTTTTATAAATGGGCTTGTTCAGAAGATAAGGAAAGCTGGGGAACTTTTAGTAGCCCGCAGCTTGTGTTCAAACTCGTTGACGCATGCTTGGATTTCTGGAATTCTGGCGTTGGAGTGATTTGGAGGAATGATAAAGGTGTTAATTCAAATCATTGCTTGCAGTTTGATGCCATGTGATTTTTTCCCAAAGAATAAAATATTGGTTGAAAAGTGTACAAAAGAAATTAAGCTTTCTGGCTAAAACAAAACAGAAAGGGAAATTAATTTTATTTAAAAAAGAAAAAGAAAAAAAAATACATATTGCCTCTGTCATGGCAGAATAGAAGAAAAAGGACATATAAGTAATTCTGATAATAAAAAAAATACTAGATTATTCTCTTAAAATATTATTTTTGAAACTAAATCATTGGTGTCATATTATTCCATCGGGCAAAAAAATTATTGGGCTAATGGCTCAAATGGCAAAAAAATCAGAATTACATCAGGTTAGACTTACCCAAATCTGAATACGAGAGAAATTCAAGCTCTTGTTCGTTTTGTTTTTGATTTTAGCTTGTTCGCAGGGCATAGCTGATGGTGGTGGCTAAAAGTAGCAACTGGTGGCTGAATCGGCTTGGGTGGAACGGCAGCCGAATCGGCTTGGGTAGAACTAGACGCGCTGCCGCATCTATTTTAAAACTTTGTAACGCCTGAATCTATTTCAAGATTTGGAGCGTTACAATCGGAAAATATCTAATAGAGCCGTTAGACACAAGAATGGACCTGGTATCTATTTCTATAAATAGAGTACCTGTTTTACATTTCTTGGCTTCTCTACACAGCCTTCAAAGGCTTAATTTTTTTTTCTTGAATTATCAAGGCTTTGTGTACATGTTTGTGGATTTCTATGCAAATGCATACTGTAAGTTTATTTCTTCGCTTTATATAAATCGGTCTTATCTTCTCCACTTTTAAAGCTTGCGTCTCTGCCTTGTGAAGGGAATGGAATTCTGTAGTTTGTGTTGTAAGGTAACGTAATCAAGGGTCATGCTAAGGTTGCATGGTGTGGTGGGACTCCTGGGAAGGGTGTTGCTAGGTAAAAATGCTTCTTAAACTGGTTTTAGGACTTGTCCATACTGATACTTGTACATGCTTGCTTGTGGATTTGTAAACCTTCTGGATAACTTGTTTGTTATCCACATTTTTAAGCGGGTTAAGGAGAAGATGGAACAGCAGCCCAGTGGTAATTGCTGGAGCAGAGGATGAAGAGTATGGATTGACCATAGATGACATTGATACGCCAGTTGCAGAAGAACTTGCCAAAGGGGAGCCTCAACATAAGTATACGGGTTTTGTAAAAGCAGGTATGTGGGAAAAATCTGTGTTGATACAGGTACGATTACTTTTAGTATATTTGTATATTGGTTTAGGAAACTCAAGAATGTTTCTTTTTTTTATTCTATGCATTAACCATTCTAAGAGTGAGTGAAAAACATTGTTTTTGACTATCTATAAGTTAGTTTGCTTCAATGTTCCTTTTAGGTTTAACATGGGATACTCTCATAGATCCTTCCCGAGATTGCTAAGCGTTATCCTGCACATACTGCTTTGTGCATTACAGATAGTTGGGAGTTTTGCCGTCCAGAGCATGCAGCAGATTTGTATTTTGTAATATACTCCTTACTATCATTTGCTTTGTAAATGATTGCTAATAGCCATACTATCATTTGCTTTGTAAATTATTGCTAATAGCCATAGTTTCAATAGTCTTTTGAGCTTGCATGTCATTTTTATGAGAGTGCACAGTTTACATAATTCGTTGAGTGTATGATGCTTAGTGGTTTTGGGAGAAGCAGTTTCAGTTCATATGTGTCATTCTGTGGAAACAGGGAGAATATGATTTAAGAATCTAATAGCATGCGATTCATTGCAATTCCAGCAATAGGTACATATGGCTGTTAAAAAAAAGGAAAAGGGAGTTGAGGGAGATGTACATGTGAAAGCACACTTCTTTGATGTTTGTTTATGTTGTTACGAAGTAACAGAAAAGGGACAACGATGAAATGTAGTTAGGCCTTTGAATGTTTTTTTGTTATCCTAACATTTTTTTTTTTTATATTCATTGAATGCTTAAAATTTCACTTGTTAATTGATCTTAAACAATATGTGCGACATGGCTGAGTTTAAGATTGCCAGATGCAACTTATTATTCTAATGGGGGGGTGGGGTGGTGTAAATGCATTTTAAAAAACCATACATGGTCTCCTGTGGAAGTTGCATACTTTAATGTATGGTTTTGTCAGCAGACTCAACATTTTGTTTTAATTCATTTTCCTCCTTGTTATCCACTTAAAGAAGCCTCCATTGACAAACCTTTTGAGGATGCTTGTCGCTGTCACATCATTTTTGTTCAGGAGAGCACACTCTGTGTTGATCCTGATATAATCTGAAGGTATAAAATGCTTCTGGGAGAGAGAGCACTTTCTAATTTCACTGCTATTCCTGATGCAAATGAGGAGATAAGTGATTCTTGTTAGACTTTTTTGGTTTCTGGGAGAGAGAACACTTTCTAATTTCACTTGTGCTATTACATCATGCTTTTAGCTTGTCTATAGTGTTAGTCAGATGTTAGTTTCCATATGATCCAAAAGAGAAAAGAAGAATAAACTTGATCTCGTAAGCTTCTTGTTTTTTTCACTCATTTTGCTTTTAAGGTTGCTTTTAATTAGTAGTTGCATTAACTCAGCATTGGTCCTAGAAAAATCCATTTGATTGAGGCAGTGGTGTTTTTCAGTTGTAAGATGTATTAAGATGCCTGCTAATTTGAAATGTGAATGCGTCAAAGGCAGCAGATAGCTTGAATACCTTTAGGGAATTTATGAGATGTATGTGGTAAACAAGTCTATGTATGTCTGATTTCTCTGATTGATGTAGTTCGTGTACACCCATTTTTTATTTTGATTATATCTTTGAGTTGAAGGTCCTGGACAAATTGGGTGAGTCAATTCCATTTGCAAAATACGACTCTTGGATGGTATACATTCCTGAAGGTGAATTCTTATCCTGCATAGGCCCAACCAAAATTTCAAGGTGGACTTCCATTGTTATTAGATTTGTTAAAATTTAAGCCTTTTCATATTTTATTATGCATGTTAATATTTCTCTGGTTTCATATTCCTTTCTCTGTTCTAAATGCATTTTTTAAGAGTAGAAGGCATCCAAATGATCTGGTTATGTAAATTTTGCTGGTTATGCAGTGACTTCTACTGGAGAAGAAGTGGCAAAAATATTGCAATGATTGATTCAGTAAGACCCCATTGCATCTTTTTCACTGTTTCGAACCTTGAAACACCAATTGCCAGAAACAGAAATTGGAACATTGGTAAAAGTTAATATTCATCGTGAATCTGTCTTTTTAGATGGCTTGCAACGATAAGAATAAAATTTTGGCATGATTCAGTTGACTGCCATGGTAGAGACAAGAATATGCAATTCGCATTTGAGGTAATAAATATGGGTGTCAAACATCAAAGAATTCTAAAGGTTAGCATCCAGCATGAGTAAGAAGATTACTAGATTTAAATACTCAAGGATCCATGCTTGTTATTTGAAGCTGGAAACTTCTATCAGTGGAATGTTTTTTCTATGTGATGTTATCACTTGATTCCAGAATTATCATTGTATAAGTTTATTTTGAAAATATTCCTGGCTTTGTTTATTGATACGTTCTTTGGAGAATCAAAGTTAGGTAACATTTGCTGACTAACATTTTATTATTTTCAATGAGGTTATCCAATTAAAGAACTTTGTGTTCTAAGTTCAAAGGCATTATGCTGAGTAACATATATTTTCAGGACCTTGAAGAGTATGCAAGACAGAATGCTGTGTAGACCTAGCAATTCATGTCACCGTGTCGTGTAAAATATTGTATTTGTGTCGTGTTTTATACGAAAATCGCGTGTCATAATTCGTGTTAACAAGAAAACATAAAATACAATTTTTTGGTTTTATTAACCTATTTATGGCTTTTCTAAAGTTTTAAGCAGTGTTATCTTTGTGTTCTTAATTGTATCATTTTTGTATTATGTCACTGTGTCATGTTTCAAATTGTCAGATCTAATGTGCAAGAGTGGAAAAACAATTTTGTGAGTTCCAATAATTTTACTCATCATTGTCAATGTGTGAATTTAGATCAATTAATGTAGGAAGATGAAATGTTTTTTCTGTTGATTTTTCTTTTAGGAGCTGACAACCAACCATAAATAAGTTAATAAAACCAAAAACTTATATTTTATGTTTTCATATCGACATGAATTATTACACGTGATTTATGTGTAAAGCACGACGTAAATACAATATTTTATACGACATGATACCTTTCTTCTTAGGCAGCTCTCTAAGATCATATAATAAATAAGTCACTTCCTCAAATAGAATTCTCTAAATAACTGCCTGCAACATAATAATTGCTACCAAACTCTGTCAGATATTTGGATTGAGCCTCAAAACCTGAAGATCTGTTGTTGTAAGATGTGCAATTTGATTTAAATACCCCTCCTCCTCCCCCCCCCCCCCTCTTTTTTTTAAACTTAGTTAGTATTTCTCAAATTAAGAATGCAATTACTTCCGTTATCTGCCGCTGCAATGGCTCTGCTTCCTTTATCAGTCAGAGGAGATTTGGGCGTTCTTTCCACTGCTGCCACTAGATATGCCCTTTCTCTGTTGGAATCATTTGTGGAAATGGGACCTCATGGAGCTTTTGCTGCTCCTAAGCTTTTACAACCCTAAATCAAGGACTCATTGGACCGATTTTATTAGGAACTGAGTGGACCTTCTGGCTTTCTTGCTTTTAGGGTTAAAATCCAATGGTATACTTTCAGCAGAGATGGTAATTATATGGATATTCATGCTTTTAGCTTACCTTTCTAAAGATGTCAAGTTGTCTGCTTTAGCATGCAACCAATCGCATGGGCAAACATATTTAATGATTGTGACTGCTCCAAATTTCCATTTGTATGATGCTTTTTGGATATTCTTTTTCATGGTTATATTTTGGGTGAAATGCCACTAATATATATGCAGACATAGTACTTTTAAATCTGACTTTGTTAAGTTTACTTCCAATTTTTCAGATTTATATGTTTGCAGAATTGTACTAGCCTGGTTGTACTCTGGAGTAACCTCTTCGTGGAAATGGGGCTGTTGTTGCTCTTGTTTGAGAAATACAGAAGTTTGAAAAACATCTATCTCTAGTTGACAACGAATTCTATCTTCTTGGGATGCTATTGACTGAAAAATTGTCTGTGCTGCAGTTTATGCGTGCTAAAGAGGCTGTTGTCAGCAATACATTAATGTGGGTCTGTTAAAACCTGCTTCCCAAGGAATAACTTCCGAAGTCACATATGGATAGGATTAAGACAACACAACAGTGCGAATCATTCATGCATCTCCATCTAGGCTTTAGTGCAGAAGTGAGAAAATATTAGTAACTGGCAACTTAGTTGTCTAATCAAATGATTTTAGATCTTTGTTAATCCAAAAATTGTGTTTTTCAAAACTATTTGTGCACAAATTCTTTTCTGCATGATGACTCTGAGTTACTAGGTGTCAGATGGTAAAGTTAATATTTTGACTTTAGGTGCACTAAATGGCTAATACTCTGAAAATGAGTAAATTTGGTACTTTTGATGAATGTAAAACAAACTATGCTATTGCTGTGTACATATTGATTATCCTTTATCACTTATTTCTGATTATCTACTTAATAAGTAAATTACAGAATAATTTCTCCCAATTTCTATAAAGCTCATTGTACCCATATGTTACTAGGTTTTGCATGTTCCTTGTGTATACTATCTCTATACATCTCATTAGCCTCTTTTTAAGCATCATAATGTCCATGGTCTACGCAAGGATTTGGGAATTCATCATATTGTTGATAATGACTGCGATAGAGGAGTTGACGCTGAACAGAATGTTGTTTTAATTTCTGTGCCCGGTGTACTTAGTCTGAATCTTGCACCACCAGGGAAGCATGTTTAACATGCTTATATCCCAGGAACTGAACCATATGAATTGTAGGATGGACTTGATCGTAGAAGTGCAGAACACAAAAAGCTTACAGCTGAACAATAGGTACTTATATGTGCTTGCTAATGTTATTTGATTATGCTTTGCTTCTTTTTATGGCTAAACCATAGCTTGAAAATTCAAAAAACTCTATAAAAGTGAAAAGCTTGTAATTCTTTTGTTCATTAAAAGAAAATTGTTTCACAATAGCTTCAAAAAAGTAAGCTTATCTGGCTATATTTTTCTAGTTATCAGCTAGACACTTCGGACTTCTCTCGTGAAAAAAGAGAGTCCTAAAATTTGTAAAACCAACTTTTTTCTTTATGATTTTCATATTCATTTCCCAATGGCTTTCATTTTCTATTAATTCCTTCAAGAATAAAGTCATTGATCAGACTTTTTATCAACCCCATTGGACCTTAATTATTGGCTCTTCTGCTAATTCACAATACTTAACTATTACTACACCAGAACCAAGATTGAACTTTATCTTATTTTGGGCATCCACAACTTTTACCTATTCCTTTAGTTTCTCCTTGTCTGGACAAATGAGTCTTCAACATGATTAAAATCTGTAGTATAATTGTTTGTTACTTCTCTCAAGTGAGACATTTCTGTCTAGTTGATTTAATGCTTCAAAAACCAGGTAATATGGAAAGCACACTCTTTGATGTTTGTTATGTTGTGGCATGAGTAACAAGGGACAACGATGAAATGTAGTTGGGCCTTTGAATGTTTTATGTTATCCTAACATTTTATATTCATTGGGTACTTAGAATTTCACTTGTTATCCTAACATTTTATATCCTAAACAATATGTGCCACATGGGCTGAGTTCAAGATTGTCGGATGCAACTTATTATTCTGCTGGGGGGTGGGGGTGGTGTAAATGCATTTAAGACCCGTACATGGTCTCCTGTGGAAGTTGCTCACTCAACATTTCGCTTACTGTTTGAGCAATGTAAGGATCATTTTCCTCTTAAAGTATAAAATGTTTCTGGGCGAGAGTACACTTTCTAATTTCACTGCTATTCCTGATGCCAATGGGGAGGTAACTGATTCTTTTTAGACTGTTACTTGTGCTTTAAATCTTTTTTGGTTGATGAATACTTCTATCTTACACCTTTAAAATCAGTGGTATAATGTTTATTACTTCTCACAAGTGAGACATTTCTGTCTAATTGAATTAATGCTTCATAAGCAGGTAATGTGGAGAGCTGTCGAACGTGCCCTTAAGCTCAGGTTTCAGACGTAATAAATGTGAGGTGAAATTGGTTGGAACTCGGTTGACACATTAAAGGTTTTTACAAAGAAATAGAGGAACTAATGGACCTGCTACACAAGCTGGTCAAGACTCTTTTCCAGGACATTCGACACCCATTCCACAACTTTAATGTTGTGGAGATTCTACTTTTCCTGGCTGTGGATTCCTTGCAGTTTCTCAACACTTCCAACAGCTTCTTGATGCTATCGAAATTTGAATACATTGGTGAGTTTCATTTTGTTTTCATATAGTAATTTCTTTTACATTTTGATTATAGCCTTGGAAAACTTAAATTCCATCCTTTCAACCTAATGATCATTAACACGCGATTGAGCTTCATAACTGTAGCTTATAGAGGTGCTCTGGAGGAATATATTCCAAGATAATGATCTACAAACAAAAGTGAAACCTAAATCTTGGGGTTCTTGATATTTTTGTATCTCTGATCATTTATACAACCAATTTAGATGCTTTTCACTCATTTTGATGAACTGTTTTGCACTTGGTCCAAAAGAACATGAGTATTTATAGTTTGATTTTATTGATTTGGACATGCGAAAATTGACTGCATATATGCTGGTGTTGAAATGTCCACCTGACATTTTCTTGGCATTGTATTCTGGGTCGCTCATTAACAATGTACTAGACTTGTTCAGAAAGTTGCATTTCACATAGTAAATGGAAAAGGATAATGTGGCTGTAATGGCAGGCAAAGCTGTCTCACTTCGTATTTTTGTTGATGGTTGAAGGATATATTACGACAACAACACAATCTTGATCGAACAATTATGATCTTCAGGTTAAGTTCAAGATTCAAATTCCTTTTCGTTTTTAAAGAATTGAAGCACCATGACAGAAGGAATATGTTACCTTTCAGATTTCATGCACCACAGCGGAGGAGACTTCCTTTTGAAGCAAGAATCCTGTACGTTCTTTCCAGGAAATCAAGAATAATTTTTTTTTTCCATTTGCAGTTACTCACGAGTCAATTCTGATAATTAAAATTAAAAATTTAGCATCCTATTATATATATATATATATATATATTCAAACTATTTTTGTTAATTATGTATTGGACCAGTTGTTGTGTTACTTTCTTATATATCGTAATGGAGACTACATATGTATATGAATGGTGTAGGACCACCTATGCATAATTGTACTTTTTGTTCATGACATGACACTTGCTAGTTCTTGGCTAACTACCCTTTCACTTTAACACTTGGAAGCATGCAAATTAAGAAAATTTGAGAAAGCCAACATGATCATCACGGCATATGGCTATTAATCGACTGTATGGGTTCTGTCATCAATTCTTATTATGCATGCATCGAATTCCCCTGACTTTTTATGCAATATTTCAAGCCGATACAACTGATGAGTAAGGATTTCTCTGGTTAATTTTGTAAGCAATAATTTCAGAGTTGCATGCGGTGGTGGTAGCACCATGCATGCAATTGGCAAGCTCAACTTCCATGACCACCTGCTGTAGTATTCCATATATCATTAATAATCATACGTGAAAATCTGAGGGTCAAGATCTTTCATGCAATTTCTGTAATAATTGCATGGAATTCTCAACCCTTGCTTGCCAGTTGTCCTTTTTTTTAGAAAAATATTATATGATCCAATTAAAGAGATAAATGGCGTAAGATATATATAATCCAATTATTATGAGTATTTATATATATATATATATATGGAGTTATCTTATGATATGATCTGTTATAGGGGACCCATGCATCATCTTCTCATGCATTGATTGACGTCCACGTTTCAAGCAAGATGCCATTGCTTTTGTTGGAAGATGATGATGGTTGAAGAGATGCATAATCCAATTAGGCTTGAATGTGGCCAAATGACAGTTTTGAAAACATTTTTTCCTTTGGAAAGAGACTTAACATAAGAGAATAAAACTGTCTGGGTCATGATATCGATGAGAGCAATTCTGGCCTATTGTGAAAATATTGTGATCTTATCTTTGCCTATTATCCATTTGGAATCCTCTTTTTCCCTTCACACATTTTTGTTTTTAGACTAAAAATTTTGCTTATGAAAGCACACTGTTCCTTTCCACATACATTATATATTATGTGCTATGAATTTCAAAGGATTATGAATTTTAACTAAAAAAAAAAATTGAAGATGCATGAATGAAATCATACTTACTTAGACCATGAACAAAAGCAAATTAATAATGAGATATCGCAATCCATATTTATATTCAAATTAAAAAATATATATTTCATGGAGTGTGTTGGTCTCCCCCTTTTAAGTCTCAATCCAATAATTATAATAATTATGAGCACTAGTTAGCTAGCTGCATAAATTTATATTGTTGTATTTATATTTAATTATTCGTATATTTATATCATATAAAATATTAAAATTTATATATTTATATTATATTTTATATGAAATTTTCGTGTTAAATTTTGTATTTATATAAAAAACATAAAATGAGTTATTATTTTATTTGTTAGATTCTCCGATAAATATTTTTAATTTTGATTTTAAATAATTATTAGTTAAAATATATAAAGATACTTTTAAAATTTTTTGATTAGGAGGTATTTAAATATACTTTTATAAAAAAAATTAGTTTAATAAAATCTTTAAAGTATCAATAATCAGAATTAAAAACATTTGATTGAAAAAAAATTAAATCATATATTATTTATGGAAAAATATATATTAAACAGTAAGAGTAAAAATGGTCAAAGGTCCAAACAAAAAGAGGATTAAAAAGTCAAAAGTTGTTGAACTTTAGAACAATACAAATGCCTTGTCAAATCGTTTACTTAAAGTAAACAATTCTACCAATTGCTTAAAGCATTAATTCTTTATAATTTATTTTTAAGATTCGATGATATAATATAAAAATAATATAAATATAAAATATAAAATAATATAATTAAAATTTTTTAAAAATTATAAATAAATTTAATAAATTAAAAAATTATATTTTATATATTTATATTCATATAAATTATAATACATAATTTGTTTATAAAATATAATGTAAATATAATATTTTATATAAATTAATAATACGAATTGTCATATTTAAATTCTTTCGAGTAATATAATTTTTTTTTTCAAAAATTAAGTATTTTTTCACTCTCCATATATACGGTTACTGTACAATACAATAGTAGAGCTTCGAATTTAAGAATTATAGTAAAAAGAAAAAGCATTTTAGAAAATAATAATAACAATAATAAGTTGAATGAAGATTGTCAGGTAATTGTCAGTTCTTATTCCAAAAACATCCATAAAACTCCAACGCTCTCTTTCTCTCTCTCCGCTCAAAATATAGAAAAAAAAATAAATAAAAAAGAAATTGGAAATCGAGAAAAGTGAAAACTTGATCAGATCAGAAACAGTTCTCAGTTTCCTGCTTTCATTTTTTTTTTTTTCAAAAAAATTGCTTTGAATTTCGTAATCGAACGCCGAAGATTGAAAAAAACATGCGTTTGATCTGTTTTATGTTTCATTCCAAACACTTCCGAGTAAGTATCCGAAACGCTAAGATCGTTTTCACGATCTGGTTTTCTTTTCTTTTTTTAAGTTAAGTAATTTAGGTTTAATTATCACAAAAGTTGCTGCTTTTCTATATGGCAAAGAGGTTTTTGTTTTTTAGTTTTTTTTTCTAAATTTATCGCTTAGAGTGGAAATTGGTGTGGTTTCTGGTCTTTTGATTGGTAAGATTAGGGTTAGATCTGATCAAAGCTCGTTGCAAAAATAGCCGATAATTTCACGCTGTGATTGTGAATCGCTGTAAAATTTATTTTGTTTTTGTTAATTTTAGTTCTATTCTATCCTCGTTTTATCTTTGATATTATTAATAGATCAAACTGATTAGTTTAGCAAAACAAAAGAAATCCCGACGTTTTATGGAAACTAATTGCTAAGAAATAAGCTTTTTTTTTAGTAGGAATAAGGCACATTTGTTAAGGTAAAGTAATTGACTGAAGATTAAACAAACATTAAATCTAGGGCATTTTTCAGAGAATATGACATTATTAGACTTAAATGTTCCAATTAAGTGAATTTATGTAGCTGATCTCACTAGCTTGAAGCTCAGCTCTGGTCTATTTGTCTGAATAGGTCGTTTCTTAACTGAAAATCTCTTTCCTTCTTGTTTCCTTGTTTCCTTGTTACATTGCATTTCTTTTGTCATCCCAATTCCAAAAAATTATATGCTACATGAAGCAGTAGTCCTCAACTTTTGATTCCCATATATATATATATATATATATATATATATATATATATATTGATATCCCATTTTATCTGTTCCTCTAACGTGTAAATGCTTAAATTCATGTCTGCTAGAAGCATATAACTATTTTTATTTGAGTTTATTATTGTGATTTTGTTGTCTAGGCAACTATTTTCTTTTCTTTATTCAGATCTTTTATTGTGGCAGGTGGTCATATATGTTAATTTTACATGGAATCTATGATATTAATCATTCTATAGTCATCTTTTTTTAATGTTTCTGACCCATAATTTTGGGAATCTTTTAGGAAGGTAGGTGCTTCGACAGGATGGGCAGCTGGACTACAGAGTTTTTGGTGGATAGCAAATACTAGAGGATCTATAAGGTTTACCTGGCTGAATTATGGCATCTGCAAGCCTAGGAAATGGCGGAGTAGGTAGTTCCAGGTCTATCAATGGTTTCAAAAGTTCGTCTAGTTCTGTTGATTGGCTGGGGAGAGAAATGCTTGAAATGAGATTGAGAGACAAGGTGGACCATGATGAAGACAGAGTAAGCAGCTTAATCTATATTTTTCCCTTCTTTTTTTTTTTTGGGAGGGGGGTTGAAATTGTTGAAATTTCTTCTGAAGTGGTTTCACTATGGCACTCATGCTAATTGAAAATATAGTAGTTTGACTGTTGAAACCTTAAATAGAATTTCACAATCTTTGCAAAATGTTTCTCTACTTGTAGATGATCTTCTATGTTTTATCCATGCAGGATAGTGAACCAGATGTAGTTGATGGAGTAGGTACTGAAACAGGGCATGTAATAAGAACGACCATTGGTGGTCGAAATGGTCAATTAAAGCAGGTTGAAAGAAAAATAAATTAGCGTGCAAATTTTTCATGTGAGATTCAAATGAATTGATGTTTTTATTGACCTACATCATTCCTAACATATATATACTTTTTTGTCTGGATTGACAGAATGTCAGTTATATCGCTGAGCATGTGGTTGGAACTGGTTCTTTTGGTGTTGTTTTCCAAGTATGTAGTTCTATAATATTATTGTTTGGGAATATGATCTTGACTTTATTCATATAGATTATAATCTTGAAATAAGTTGTCTGTTTGCTGCAGGCAAAATGTCGTGAAACTGGAGAAATTGTTGCCATCAAGAAGGTTCTTCAAGACAAGCGCTACAAGAATAGGGAATTGCAGATTATGCAAATGCTGGACCATCCAAATATTGTTTCCCTTAAGCATTATTTTTTCTCAAAAACAGACAAGGAAGAACTCTACCTCAATCTCGTTCTTGAGTATGTGCCTGAAACTGTTAATCGCACAGCAAGAAGCTACAGCCGGATCAACACGCGAATGCCTTTAATATATGTTAAACTCTATACCTATCAGGTTCATCTCCATTTTATGGAAAATATTCTTATATTTTATATTGATATATGGATTGATGGAGTTGGAATATATTTCCTTTTCAATTGCCTTTTAGTGGGTAATTGGGTAGTTCAGAGTAGTTTCAGAAATGATTTATTGTCTGACTTATTTGGTATTGTTGCTATCTCTTATGGTAATATAATGATAAGTCATCCTTCAATTTTAAATTTAAACTATTGCCTTCACGTAAGATTTGTCAAATATTTCTATTTCGCTATAGATAAACTTGCTTTTCTTTTTCCCTTTCTTCAGTTCAGTTTAAACACTGAAAGATTTTAATTGAATGGAAAAAGTTGTAGTTAATTGTTTTCTTCTTTTGGATTGCAGATTTGCAGAGCACTTGCCTATATACACAACTGTATTGGAATATGTCACCGTGACATCAAACCTCAAAACTTACTTGTAAGATTCTTCTTCTCAGGAATCATATGTTTGCTACAGGAGATTTTTTTCATGTCATAGTGTACACCTGGCTCATAAGTGTATTGTTTGTTATTCTCATTGATCAAGTTTCTTGGCCATAGTGACAAAAACCTGTGATTTACTGGTTAGTTTTATCATTGTTAAAGATATATAGTAGTTATATGGAGCTACCCTGATACAAAGGTGGCTTGAGGATTTATTAGTTTATCATTTTTTTTCTTTATATGAGGAAAAGAATTGGCTTTATCATATTTGGAGCCACATTGTCCTTCTCTATTTGGTGAGACTCAGCTGCTATGGTTCATGTCCAGGTGAATCCACATACTCATCAGCTGAAACTTTGTGATTTTGGGAGTGCAAAAGTGCTGGTAAGTTTTGATGCGATAGTAATGGTTGTAGTTGGATCTTGTTTCATCAACTGAGTGGGTGCTTTCCTTGTTTTCAGGTGAAGGGAGAACCCAATGTTTCTTACATTTGCTCAAGATATTATCGTGCTCCAGAACTCATATTTGGTGCTACTGAATACACAACTGCTATAGATATATGGTCTACTGGTTGTGTGATGGCTGAATTGCTTCTTGGGCAGGTAATTTAGACTTTCATTTAGTTAGAGTACTGTTATAGGCTACTGTTGTCTTCATTGATTGTTGTTTCTGACTCACTAACATTCTATGCAGCCATTGTTTCCTGGTGAAAGCGGGGTCGACCAACTAGTTGAAATCATTAAGGTGATTGCATCTATCAGTTCTCATAATATTTTGGAGTACTTGCTTTTGATGCATGATTAATCTAGTTGTTAATGTTGACTATTTGCTAGAATTGGAAAAATCAGTTGAAATTTATGATATCTCAACAATAAACTATAGATTGGCAAAAAAACAAATAAATAAATAAATAAGCCATAAATTTTGATAATGTTTAGACTTTTGCTTAAACTCAGTTATGTTAAAAATGAAATTAAATGTACACTTGGGATGCTTTCATAAACTCTGTAGATAAGTTGACATTTTCTGACAGAAGTTACTAATGAGTTTCTACAGTATCACTCTTCCTTTTGATGAATAGAGAGAAATTTTGAACCCAAAAAAATTAGGTTTTGAGTATGTTAAAAACTGCTGAATACAGTTTGCATTAAACAATTTGTTTGGTGCCTTATGCATGGCCTTGTCTCCACTGTTTTTGACCATAATGTTTGAAACTATGCGTTTAATGTTTCCCTAAGAATGTGTTTGATAATGTGTCTGTATTTTGAATTTGTTCTTTAGGTTTTGGGGACTCCAACCAGGGAGGAGATCAAGTGCATGAACCCAAACTACACTGAATTCAAGTTCCCCCAGATAAAGCCACATCCATGGCATAAGGTACATGTTTTTTTTTTTTTTTTTTCATTATTTGTGCCCTTCTCATAAGGTTTTTATTGAAGTTCATAATTCATTTTCTTGCAACAGGTCTTCCAAAAGCGTTTACCTCCAGAAGCAGTAGACCTTGTCTGTAGGTTTTTTCAGTACTCTCCCAATTTGCGATGCACTGCTGTAAGTGTGACTGTCATACTTTTGCTGCCTTGAGTAGTGATGTTAAAATATATCATTCAATAATCACCTTTTTCTTTTCCCCTTTTTCCATGTCTGTATCTGCTGGTGGTGATACTTGTGTAGTTGGAGGCTTGCATTCACCCTTTCTTTGATGAACTGAGGGACCCAACCACTCGCCTTCCCAATGGCCGCCCGCTTCCACCACTCTTCAATTTCAAGCCTCAAGGTCAGCTTCACTTGGTACTTGAATGCATTTAGCCTGTTATACCATCAAGATACATTGTTGCATTTACTTTGCTGAAATCACATTTATGGCATAAGATTTATCTGTTAACTGTTGGTTCAATTAATTTGTTTCTTGATATCTTTTTTTGCTTCTCTTTTTCCCCATAATTGGCAGAGCTCTCTGGCATTCCTCCTGAAGTTGTCAAGAAACTTATTCCAGAGCATGCTCGTAAGCAGAACTTATTCATGGCGCTGCACACTTAACAACTTTTCCAAGTTTTCTCTGCTTCTACTAGCCAATCCCACGCCGTTTTGATTAGTGTCAACTTATGTAAAAAAAAAAAACCCCTTTCCTTGCCCGTCTTCTGTCATCGTTCTAGTAAGAACCACTGTTTGAAAACAAGTCGAAGGAGACCCGAGAGGCCTTGATTGCTGGTGAAGCTGTTTTTTCTGTTCATTATGAAGACAATTTTAATTACTATTAACTTTTTATGTATATTTATTTGTGTTCCCTGTTGTGGGAGGTTTTTAGTGAGATTAAAATCATGAGAATGTGTATTTTTATCCTGTGCTGAAAAGTTTTCATGTTGGTACTTAGCTTCATTCTTCACTCAATTTCTTTTTAGTGAGATTAAAATCATGAGAATGTGTATTTTTATCCTGTGCTGAAAAGTTTTCATGTTGGTACTTAGCTTCATTCTTCACTCAATTTCTTTTACCCATTCTTCACTCAATTTCTTTTACCCTTTATAATTATACAATTAGATCCAAGTTTGCCTTGTGACACTAGAAACTACCATTCCTCTCTCTTTTCCTCTAAAAGCATCATACAACCAAATTGGCCAAATTGGCAAATGATCTAGTGGATAGATATATATATATATATATATACATACATACATACATATATATATGATTTAAATGAATGAAGATGATTCGTTAATCGGTTTCAATTTCTTGATTTTTTTCCTTTTAAACAGTGAGTGAGAGACTGTATTTTCTTGTTGATGTTGCTTAGTGGGGTGTTTTTGTTGCGGTCAAAATAGAATTGGAATGGTTCGTCCAGCGACAACAACAGTGAGATTGAGAGTGAAACTGAATCCACTTCCCAATATTTTGGTCGAAAGAATCCACTTTCGGACTGCCTGTGGTTTACCATGGAAACTGCGAAACAGGCAACAACAGCACATAGTTTGGTCAGGTACAGCACACCTTTTCATCAGTTAGATGTTAGTTTGGTCTGCACACATCTAGCTACGCTTTGGACACTATAAACAAAGGGATGAGACTTGGAAACTGACCACATTCATTTCTATTTCCTACAAAAAAATTTACTGTGTTTTGAGTTGGAACTGCCATCTCGAACTTCCTTGTTGGCACTTGGTAAGCCTTCATCTCTCTCTCTCTATTATATGAACTATAACCAAAATATATGTACAACAGTAATTTCTATTGTTTTAGTATTAAAATTTGTTGTCTTGTTTGGTAAATTCTGCAAAAATCTGTCTGCATACAATTTTACTGATTTTTCTTTCCTCTTTGATTATGCTGAAAATTTGAAAATTCTTATTATAATTTATACAGTATTTGATAATACTATAAATAATTGTGGTAGGGTAGGGTATACTATAAAATGAGAGTGGGAGATAAGAAGGAATCTCGTTTTTGTATGACGTCCCAAACAATCCCTTACAAATATCTTACGTGGCACAAGGTTTAAATGAGCAAAATAGAAAAAATGAAAAAAAAAAAAGAAAGAAAAACCCTTAAACCCCATTGTAAAAACCGCCATGTCTTGTTTTTTTCCAATATCAGGCTTAACCAGAAAAAAGAAAAAAAAAAAAAAAAAAAAAAAAAAAACACTATAACGGCTATTCTTTTTGCAGAAGAGAAAGCATGGCCTTTACAACCCTCAGCCTGTCTTCTTCTCTAAAACTTGTTACCAACAATAATAGCTTCGACAACGGCTTCTTTGGTTCTCAATTTGCCAAGTCTTTTTTATCATCAAAATTGTTCCTTGGGAATTCTTCTTTCTCAGTGGGAACTCTCGGTTTCACTATCAATCATCATATCTCGTGTCGCCCCCACATCAATGGCTCACGATGGTCCTCTACTGCCTTCAGATGTTTTGCCCAGAAATCAGAGCCCTCGGTTTCAATTGATGGCTACGGCAGTAACGGTGCTTCCGGTAAGATAAGAACTACTCTAAAGCCCCATTTTTTTCATTTATTTATCTGTTTTTACTATTAACCTTTTTTTTTTCCATTTTATCTATATTTCTTGTTTTTGGATCATCATTTTGTTTGCTTTTGTGGTAACAAAAGAGGTGGGAATTTCATGTCTTTTTTTTTTTTTTACTGAAAGGAAATCGGTTGATAATTGCATTGAATAAAGTAATTTGTGAAATGGGGTTTCTATATTAGTGAACTACAGCTTTTGGCCTTTTCTTATTTTCTGTTTTATTGTGATTTTGATGCTGTATACGCGCGTGTTTGAATTATCTAACCGATGGGACTACTGGGAAGGGAAAAGGGTTTGAAATGAGTAAAATTCCTCTAATTTTTGTTATTTGATACTGCTGCAGAAAGAGTGGTTGTGCTAGTTATTGGCGGCGGAGGAAGAGAACATGCACTTTGCTATGCATTGCAGCGGTCTCCTTCTTGTGATGCTGTCTTCTGTGCACCAGGCAATGCGGGGATTTCCAGCTCAGGGAATGCAACTTGTATTCCTGACCTTGACATTTCTGATAGCTCAGCTGTGATTTCTTTCTGCCACAAATGGAGTGTGGGTTTGGTTGTTGTTGGACCAGAGGCTCCCCTTGTTTCAGGTCTTGCAAATGATTTGGTAAAGGCTGGAATCCCTACTTTTGGTCCTTCAGCAGAGGCTGCTGCTTTGGAAGGTTCTAAGAACTTCATGAAGAGTATATGTGACAAATATGGGATTCCTACTGCTAAGGTTCGAGAAGGCATTCTTGCCAAAATTTTTAGTTGCAGCTTTTTTTTTCTCTATTTTTTTCAAACTCATGTTTTTGCATTGATTTTACATGGTGAGACTTGTTTGCTATTTTATTAATTTCATAAATTTGTCAACTTTAATTAGGCTATGTGGGAACTGTAAAGGCCTTATTGTGCTGAGTAAATGTTCTTGACTCTTACTGCATTGCAATGTTGTGATTTAAGTTTTATTGATCCAGTTCTTTACTTATGTTAATGCTTTGAATCTTTGGTGCAGTATCAAACATTTTCAGATGCAGCAGCTGCAAAGCAATATATTGAAGAGCAAGGAGCTCCTATTGTTATCAAAGCAGATGGATTGGCTGCTGGAAAAGGTGTTATCGTTGCTATGACTCTGGAAGAGGCATATGAAGCCGTTGATTCGATGCTTGTTGAGGGTGTTTTTGGATCTGCAGGTTGCCAGGTCGTTGTTGAGGAATTTCTTGAAGGAGAAGAAGCATCATTCTTCGCCTTGGTGGATGGGGAGAATGCCATACCTCTGGAATCTGCTCAAGACCATAAACGGGTTGGAGATGGTGACACAGGTCCTAATACTGGTGGGATGGGGGCATACTCTCCAGCACCAGTCTTAACTAAAGAACTTCAATCTTTGGTCATGGAATCCATTATTCTCCCAACAGTGAAAGGAATGTCAGCAGAGGGATGCAAATTTGTTGGGGTTTTGTATGCTGGACTAATGATCGAGAAGAAGTCTGGCTTACCCAAACTAATTGAGTACAATGTGCGCTTTGGAGATCCGGAGTGTCAGGTCAGTAATGGACTACGGGCTGGTTTACATGCATAATTTAGTTTTGAAGTTAAGCTTCAATGAGGCATTATAGACCCTTTGAAACTCAATCTCAATCCTATAAAGTTTGTGGTTCTTTCATTTTAGGAAGCCAGTGAAGCCCATTTTTGTTAGAATCTGTCCCCCTTTTGTTACTTGAAATCAAATTTTGATTAGCAGTAAGGTCCTGCATGAAATTCTGTGTGGTTCATTTCTTCAGAGTTTAATTCTATCTGTTTGCCCATATTAGGTTAACATTTGATGGTGCTATACATAAGGAATTATGTAACCTAGGAATTAACGTAATGATAGGACAGAAAACATGGAAGGGAAAGGCATAAGAATTTGTCGTCATTTGCTATGGGATTTTATTTTCCCTGCTTCATTATCCCTTCTTTCTGCATATCTCTGCTTGCCCCTTATCCTGTCTATTCTATTTTAATTTTAGAATGATCAATACTGCTATGATATTATTGCTTGCATCCATTCCTTGGTTCAATCGTCGGTAGTCTGATGCTCTTTAGTGGAGCACACAACAAATATCAGCGATATCTAGCATCTTAATGATTTCCTTGTCGTAAATCACATTCATGGCATCTATCACCATCAGATGATGTTTATGATGTATACCTTTAGAACCTTGTGAATAGCTTGGCTGCTTTGACACTAGACAGTCTTTTACTCTCTCTCTCTCTATGGTTTCTTTGATCGCTTGCCTTTTTGCATATTTGGTTTGCTTACAAACATTCTTGTTTTTCAACTTTCATTTTTGACAGTTGCGGAATACTTTTCTGACTTTAGCTGTCTGACTGAGAGCATCTAACTGATTGCTAGTATAAAATTTTGGACATTTTAACATTAAAGGTTTCGATTAATCAAGGTTTATGTCTTGGAGTTGTTTGGAAGGGCTGAAAGTCATATGATAGAAAATAATTACTATTTCTTATGGTATCAAAGTGAACGAGAGGGTAAAGATAAAAAGATTATTGAAGTTTGAAACTATTATTAAAGGATTAAGTGTCAAGCAATGACAATTGATATGTTGATATAAGGTTTGATAGATACTGGGAGTCTGCAATTCAATCATATATCTAGTTTTGTCAATTGACCATGTGATTGAAGTCCCAAAGGAGGAAGAAGTTGATATCAAACATTAGGTTGCACTTACTTGACATGATTAACCTAGTTTTAGCCTGATATTATCATCGGCCAATTTTTACTTTGATTTAGTATGATCTGGACAATTTAATGGTTGGGGCATACCTTGATCTAGATTCTTAAATTGTATTTTTGTGTCTGCTACAACAGGTTCTGATGGTTCGTTTGGAGTCTGATCTTGCAAAAGTTCTGCTAGCAGCTTGTAGAGGAGAGCTAAAGGGGGTCTCACTAAACTGGTCCCCTGGGTCTGCCATGGTAGTAGTAATGGCAAGCAAGGGTTACCCTGGCTCCTATGAGAAAGGGTCTGTAATTCAGAATCTTGAAGAAGCAGAACATGTTGCTCCTTCTGTCAAGATATTCCATGCTGGGACTGCAGTTGATTCGGAGGGAAATTTCATTGCTACAGGCGGCCGTGTTCTTGGGATTACTGCTAAGGGCAGAGATCTTGAAGAAGCACGGGATGAAGCTTACCAAGCAGTTGAAGAAATCAACTGGCCGGGAGGATTCTACCGGCGGGATATTGGATGGAGAGCACTTCCCCAGAAGCAATTTGCCAGAAATGCCTAGTTTTTTAACATTAAAATACCGTGGACTACTTGAGTAGGCATCTTACAATGTGATGTTTTATAACTGGCTCTTACACCAAGTGAAAATTTAAAATCACCTATGAAAGAGTGATAAAAGAAACTTACCAGTCGGCCAAATAATTGTCACCCGAAAGTGCTATGTTTCTTGAAAATCCTTTCATCCGTTTCTGTGTGATGAAGGAAATAAAAAATAATAATAATAAAAGTAAAACCTTCTATACCGTCTAAACCTTATTGGATGAACAATTTTAACCTATCCAACCAAAAGAAAAAGAAAAAAAAAATTATATATCCATCTGTCATTTCTCAACTCGGATGATCAGTATAGTATTTGATCCCATTGCTTTATTCCCGCATATGGTTACTGGGACCATCTGGCTTATCAAGCCTTTCACTTGTTGTAAGGCTACCTCTCCTAGTAAACCCTCCACTTGCATAAACCAAGCACTCATAGCAGCAACCACACCTGCTGCATCAATTCCCAAAGTTATGCCTGCCTATTGAGTAGCTACGGTTTAGTGGAACATGACCGTGCCCCACAGGGCCCCTCCAAAAGTCGTGTGGCCCTGGTGGCTTTTCAGTCCGGAAATCTTGCGGTGGTCTTGGAGGTTGAACGCTGTGGGCCTGTAGTTGCTGGTGATGTTGGTAATAATGATGTGGCTGGTTGTTGTTGCTTTGGGGATGGAGGGTGTTGAGGCTGTAAAGGCTAGGAGAACTCCGGACTTTAGGTAAGGTGGGTCTATTCTGATGGCGTCCATTCAACAATGATGGTTCCAGAGGCAAAGAATCTATAATTTTGCCATCTTTAGGAGAAGCTGGGGAAGAGCAAGCAGAGGTGCTGAAGTTGGGGCAGTTGGCAGTGGCAGGGGTGCGCCTTCCACAAGTGTTTGAACTTGGACGAACCATGCCATTGACGGCTTCTATATACCGCTGCTCAATGGCGTAGTGGTCAACAGGGGTCATTTGGTTCTCAACTACGACCGGACTCGAAGGGAACAAGAAAGCACGTAGTTTCGGACTTCCTTCAGTTTCAAGACGATGATACTCATCAACCATGTGTTTGAGATCCTCATCGGATCTTACAGTCACCAAGGCATCAAGTTCCTCAGGGATAACCTGGTATTTCAGAATCACGTCCCCTTCAACCATAGCATTGAGCTTCTTCATTAATTCTGTCATGTCACGATTAAATGGCCTTTTAAAATTTGATTTCTGCTTTGATATTTACATTGTAATTCTTTTTCCTTGCCCAAATTACCTTTAGGAATAAAAGGCAAAAGAGAATGGTGACGAGGGCAAACCTGAAAATGAGATATCCCGAGGGACCACTACCACGCGAGTCTCTCCTCCAACGTATTTGAGGTTGGGTTCACCTAGCCTTGGCAATATTTTCCCGCCATAGCTGCACAGAAACTTCACCCTACCGCTCGGCGATGAAGCCAGCCCTTCATCACCACCATTAATGGCTTCGCTTGCTGTCATTTGACTCGCCGATGTACACCGGGTTCAACTCGGTGACTCGTTTTCTTCCCTAATCTGCGATTTGTAGGGAAAATTAATTTATTAAATTTTTAAAAAAAATCCAATTTTTAATACACAATCTCGTTATACAAGAAATAACACACACAAAAAAAGGATTGATTTAATAAAGAAATAAAAGTTTATTAATGGAATATATTACGATCGCAAAACTTCGGGCTTTGGAAATAATTGAAAATTCAGGTTTCTAAAATATTTTTAATTCACAATAAATTTATTCAATTCAAAAGATAAAATCTTATCGCTCGGCCAAAAATTCCAAAACATCATCAAATTAAAACTTACGGATTCAACTTGAGGCTGCTTCGTGGAACCGACTTATTTAAATATTAATGAATAAATTTCATTAAATTAAAAAAAAAAAAAACTTTTGAACGGCGAATATCGCAGAATCTTGCTTACGTTTCCAGAAAAAAGAAATTAGTTTAAGTAAGTATTTCTGAAAATAAACAAAATCAAATTATAGTTACGAAATATAAAGAAGCCAATAAAATAATTTGGCGATAAACCGAAAATAGAGTAATTTCTGAGAATTTATGGTTACCACAGATTTTCTATTTTATTTGATCAAATATTATTACTTTAATTTAAAATAGTATTTTTCAGCGGATTTTCAGTTAGTCTCTCTTTGTCACCAGAGAAAAATTTTCTCGCCTGCCGCTTTCCGTTCCTCTTATCCTTTATCATGCTTTAAATTAACTATAGTCCCCTAATTGTGCGTCACGAGATATATACTCCGACACGTGTCACAAGCAGCATCTATCCGTATTACATATCAAGGCCCCACTGTGCATGCGTGGCATCTGTTGAGTTCCCCAGCCCAAATCACATCGGTGACGTGGCAGGATATTGCTTTCGGATGAAGAAGCCGCTATGCGTTGGCACGCCACTCGCCAATCAAAAGTAACAATTTGTCTTTTGAATTGATTTGATTTCATTTCATTTCATTTTTCTTTCTCTAGGGAATATTTGGGATATAATCAGGTGTACTAAGGACAAAGTACTACCCTTTGTTTTTAGTAAACACAAAATTTGAATAATTTTTATTTTTACAAATATATAAAACAGTATTTCTTTTTTTTTTCTTAACTATATTGAAAACAAAGATTGAAAAAAAAATGATAACACAAATACTTACTTTAATGACAAAATTTACTTATTTGAAATATATATTAATTTTTGCATCCTTAATTAAGTAAATTTTAGGATAAAATTTGTTGCTATATTGTAATTTAATATTTAATTTTGTAATTATTAAAAATATTTAGTGGTCAAAATGATATAATAATTTTTTTCATGTTAAAAGCCTTTAACAAACAATCATAAATAATTTTGATATTTATACCAATTTAACTTTGATATATTTAATGTTATATTAATTCGACACTATTTTTATTATCTCTTAATAATTTTTATTATTTATTTATAAATATGATCGAAGCATCATCAAGGTAAATTCATCATATTTTTATTTTTTTTATTATTCTCCTTCCAACTTTACTTTTTTTTATTTATATGTCGAAATATAAATGAAGATAATACTCTTTGCTTTTACTTGTAATCATAATTTTTTTTTATCTTTCCAATATCATCTTGAGATAAAAACTCAACATAAACAGTAACTATATTTTAATTTTTATATTAAATAATAAAATTAAAATATTTTATTAATGCAAGGGATAAATAAAGGTACTTAATTAATGATAAGATGCTAAAACCATTGGAATTTTGATAAACTTATTATTTAATTATTTTCTTACGGGGGAGGCCGAAACTTCAGAATGCAAACAAGAGCATCCTATGCTGAAGAGATTTGTTCCTACAAACAGACATTGAAGGATGATGCAACGAAAATGCTATGAATTTTGGACCTTATAATAAAACAAACTTTTTTGATGTGTCTAAATCAACTAACGATTTTTTTATTAATTAAAAAAACACAAAAGGTTAAATTTGATGGTCTTATCTGTTGTATTTTTATCTCTTTTTATTAAATTTTTTTTGGATTTGGCATTTTCTTTTTTTCTGAAAAAGAAAAGAGACATGGCTACGGAGTAAATCATCTTTCAATTACTTTTACACCACATATATAATGAATTAAAATATTTTCTCAATAAATACACAATTATTCATGAATCCATCATGAAAAAAAAAAATCTCACCTTTAATACTAATTAAAAGAAGATCTCATTATTGGCAAAATTGTCATTTAAAAATTAGGTCTATACGTAAAATGCTTAAAGTAATTAACGAAATAAAAATTAGGATATCAAAATAAAATTTTTATTTTTTAAATATAAAATTGATAAAAATATATATAACATATGAACTATTTTTGCGTTTAACCTTTAAGTTCTATCCTTGAGATTGAAACCCACTTTAGTATGGTTCATTGAATCTATAATTGCAATCATAGATAGCAAATAATTACTTTTGCTAAGGAACAAACCAAGCCATATCATTATTAAGCCAATTATTGTTAATTTAAGTTGTCTTCCATGGCCAAAAGTTGTCAAGTCAAACACCAAAGTGACTAAGAATCCAATAGACCAAAACCAAATTATAGTGCTATCATTTCTAAACAAATTTGAGTTAAATCTAGTAAGAACTATTCAAAAAATCCTTGAATCGATTTATTTATCTATATTTTTCTTGAAAGACCATTACTAAGTTTTTTTCTGAAGAAAAGATAAAACATGCAATAGTTAAAGCAGTTTTTTTTTTTTTTTTAAATGAAAACAGCATAGCTTCTAGTGGCTGATTCTCTGCAATAAAGAGCAAGGCAGATTCAAAGGCACTACAGTCCAAAAAGTTTCTTCCATGCTTTAAGGATCTTGCCTCTGTTCTTCTTCTTCTTCACAGATCTTCTTCTCCCAGTTATGTCCAATTCTTCATCATCAAAGGGTGATGCTAAAGTCACAGACTGGTCATGGATCCTACAGTACCTTTCAGAGACAGAGGAAGATCTCCTCATTGAGAATGCTCTCTTCACAGCAGCCTGGAGTGCATACGCTGAAGAAACTGAGCTGTTTCTTCTCAGTTTTGGACCACATATCACCCCATCAGTGCCTTCTTGGTCATCTAATTCTTGCTCTGATGAATCATGGGTGTTGGTGGGGTTTGAGTTCTTGATGATGTGGTCGATTTCTGGGTTCTTTTCTTTGGGGTTTGGGATAGGATAAGCAGTGGGTTTTGACGTTTCAGGGAGTGGCTTGAGATCTGAAGAGTCCATGGATCTTGAATTTCCATTGCCAACAACTTTGATCCTGGAATAAGAATACCCATTCATTGTTTCGCCTTGCTTTGGGTTCTTTCCTCCTTTGGCTAATGGCAGTGGCACTGGAAATTGGAGTGTGTGAGCTATAGGGTTTGCTATGTTTTGAGAGGTTTGAGCTAGGAGCTAGAGGCTACCAATAGGGACAAATATATAATCAAATGAGGATTTGAAAGTGGGGTCAAATAATCAAATGAATTCAAGGTTAGAAAAAAAATACTAGACACGTGTTATGGATCAGTACATTTATTGAAGGAAAGGCCGTACACTTTTTTAACTGTTGCTGCAGGTCCTTTACTCATCTGTGAACTGATAGAGGGTAGCTTTGAAGGGGATGGTGCTTTTATGGTGGATGTGTGGAACTGTAAACACTTTATTGTATTATAATGCCATACAGTGTTCCCATTGCATCGACTATTGTAAATAAAATCACAGCCATAAACAAAAGGCTTATGATCTGTTTATTTTATAATTTATGTGTTCATCAATCAATGCTGTATCGTGGCATGCTCCAGCTCCGATCATGTCTAGTCTTTGGTCAAAGGGGCTTCATCAAGGGCCAGGTGACCCAGGATCCATTACGGGCCACTTGAAAACAGTACTTACTATAGTAATTTTCATTGTAGATAAAGTTATAAGTAATTATCTTTGGGATTAGACCCAAGTGAAACGGGATATTCCTAACCGTATTAGAAGAAAAGTTATAGGCAATTGCCCACGTGTACCGCAGTTCATGCATGGTCATTATATAAGTTCTTTTTGTATTTATTTTTAGAGGAAAAAGTAGTGAAGCAGTATGTCAAAATGAGCTTGTTCCTCATAAGGCCCAAATGGTTGAATCCGTAAACTTAGGCCCCACGAATATGGAAAATTCTCACATTAAAGATGCTATATCCTAGCCTGGAAATTGGATGGAAACTAGATTGCAATGCGCCAAAACAAGGAAATCTATTGAACTAAACAACTACGAAGAAGAGTCAAAGGCTTGAAAGCCAATTGTTTTTCTCTTATATTATTGTCTGAAAACATTTTAATGGAATCTTAGCAGTCATTCTGGACTTCAGATAGCTGTCTTCTAGACAGGTAGGTGAGTATTGTCTTCCAAATTTTCTCTTTAATTTTCCTTATTTTGGATCATTATTTGGATCAATCTTAGGAGTCGATACATGTGCCAAGATAGTTTGTTAATGATGGGTTTCATTGATAGTTTGAGTTCTTGACAACATGTATAGCATGTTAAAGAGTTTATCTGCGTATTAAATTTGGTATGTTGAGATAAAATGAACATGAGAATCTATAAGCAACTGCTTCATTTGTTTGTGGGTTATATTCCTGGTATTTTATACATGCATGCATACATATACTGATATACACATCCATGTTCATGCAACAAAGCTTTTTGGCTGATTAGAGCAAAGTCCACGGTCCACCCGCCTTGGTCAATGTATAGAGTTAAAAGATTTCCTGTTGACTCCCTAACCCAGATAGGTGAAGTGGGATTCAAGAATTGGGAAATATGGGACTTAGATGGGTTCTTTTTCTTGTAAATCAAATGTTTGGAGAAAGTTTATGTTTTGACTAATGTAGTACCTCAATTATGTTTGTGGAAAACGTGCAGGTTGGTTTAATTTGAGGTCAAAGTGGCTATCCAATCTATCCAGTAAAGTTTGGAATAGGAGCCTTGTTTGGTGAAGAATAGTGATATACTGAGCAATGGCACCCAAGGTTTCAGCTCAGAAAGCAGCTGAGATTGCAATTGAGTCAATTGGGCGTGGATATAATCTAGCTCTTGACTTAAGGTTGAAATATTGTCAGGGAGATGCAAAGGATTCGTCCTTGATTGAGTTTGGCGAAGTTGGGTGTTATGATGTAGCTCTACCCGGTGGAATTTCTGTCTCAAATGTTTCCAAATTGATTAAATGTAATCAAGGCAAGGGCATGAGGAACAGTTCTGATGTTATCTCTTTTCAGCAGGTAAATTTATTTGTTTCAGCTGGTAAATTTGATTTCTTCCAACAGTTAAATGATAATCTGATTGCTCATAGTTTGTCTATTTATTTTCTTCAGTCTTGATAGTTTTCAATAAGGATTAAATTGCTTTATTTGAGTTATCTTCTTTCTGCCTTTCCATGTTATTTCTTATTACCTCAGTTATCTTCTGGTGAATGAAATGCTCTCTGTGGTGTGAACATGTAAGGGGGTTCTTTACATCTGTATTATGTATTGCACCTGAAATGAAGATGGATTTGAGGTTCAGTTCTTATTGTTGACTTGAGCCTTTTAAAGCAGATGATTATTGGTTTTCTTAGTGCCTAACGTACTCTATTACCTTTTCTTGAGTGCATTATCTCGATCTTTCACTAGTAATAGTTATAATATTTGCTTTCGGTCTGTTATATTTCTCTTTAATTTGTCTCTCCTTTGTTTTCTCTTTCTAGGCAGATGTCAGAAAAGTTTAACCATGAAATGTCTCTGAGTGGCAAAATTCCTTCTGGTTCTTTCAATGCCATGTTTGACTTCTCAGGCCGCTGGCAGAAAGATGCTGTCAACACTAAGACCCTAGCTTTTGATGGGATGTTCATCACCCTTTATACAGTTTCACTGGAGGAATCACAAATGGTACTCCATGATCATGTTAAGAAAGCTGTTCCATCATCGTGGGAACCTGCTGCCTTAGCTAGGTGAATTGGATTACATATATGCTTACAATCAAATGTGTGGCACTACAGTTTTCTGTGCCATTTACCTCCTCTGTTCTCTCCTGTGTTGTTCACCAATATTAATCTATGTGTTAGGCTTGATAGTGCCAACCAGGAATCAAGAGGATTTAATGTTGCTGATAAGTTCGTACATCTAAAAACAGACTAATTGTGCATATTTAAGTTAATGATTTATTTCTGACATTCCAGATTCATCAGGACATTTGGAACTCATATTATAGTTGGTGTGAAGATGGGCGGAAAGGATGTAATATATGTAAAACAGCAGCATTCATCAATTGTTAGACCTGCTGATGTACATGCAAAATTGAAGAAGATGGCTGATGAGAAGTTTTTAGAGAACAATGGACAAAATAGGATCGGTTCAAAACAAGTGAAGCTAAATAATGAGGTTTTTATAAGGCTATCCGTGCTTCTCTTTACTTATTAATTCACCATTTGTATCACCAAGTAATACTTTTATCAAATATCTATCTGATCCCTTTGGATCAGTTCAGTTCAAAGAGCGCTTGTGGAGGTTTGTAAATGTAATTGCCAGTCATTATCTTCTTATTCACCCAAAGACTTGTACCCATCAATAATGCTCTAAGACTGATTAAAATCCTCTAGAATTGTCCTTTGTTACATTTGAGAATCCTTTTTCACTAGTACATGCTCTTATTTGTTAAGTTTAGATGCAGGATATCTCAGTAATTTACAAAAGGAGTGGTGGAAAAGAGGAAATGAACTTATCCCATGCTGAGTGGCTACAAACTGTTCAGGTTCAGCCTGATGTGGTCTCAATGTCCTTCATTCCAATTACCTCTTTGTTAAGTGGAGTTCCAATGAGCGGATTCTTGAACCATGCCATAAATCTCTATTTGCGATGTAAGCAAGATGGATTGTCTTTATTGTTTGTGAATTTACTGCATTTGGTTTTTCTTTGCCACTGTTGCAATCTTTTATCATGGCTTGTTGTTTTTATAGTATCAAGTTCTCAACATATCTATTTCACTGCTGAACAATTTTTACTTATGAATTAAAGGATAATGATAACAAAAACATAATGCATGCCTGAGGAATGAGAGCAACTTTGTTGCAAGGGTCATTGTGCTGTTAATTGTAAGAATAATTATTTTAGACTATTTCATATAGATGACTGTAGAAAAAATTAACATCCTTCTGCCCATAATCTGACAGATAAACCCCCGCTTGAAGAACTACATATGTTTTTGGAATTTCAGCTCCCAAGGCAGTGGGCACCAGTTTTCAAAGAGTTTCCCCGTGGTTCACAATACAAGCGACAGAGCAATTCGTTTTTACAGTTCAAGTTCTTGGGTCCCAAGCTTTATGTTAACACCATTCCAGTAAAGTTTTTTTCATCATCTTCAAATCTTTGCTCTTTTTTTTTTTTCCTTGTCTCAGCGACGAGTAATTTATCACTAAAATGATCTTCAGATCTCTCTCTGCTTTTATATTGGCTGCATCTTTGTGTTTTTTATCATGCAAGTGTCATATTGATGTATGCTGTGGGAGAACTTGTCCTTGAATCCGACAACATAACATTTTAGGTTGACCTTCACTCTGTTGGTTATACTGGTGTAGCATTAAAACCTCTTCAGCTCTAGAAAACCATTTGCTCCATATTTTAGAAATGTTCTATCTCATCAGTACTGTTATTGATGCTAGAATGATTCTCTGAGTACTATCTCGTAGTTACGGTGTTGATAGGAAATTTCTCTATTCATAACCATTTGATGAACAATTTCCTGTTTCCATTGCTACAAGAAAGTCCTTCTGTGGGAGGTGATTTCCTTAAATTCTTTTATGGTAGCGTGGGAAATTCTCTCATCTGTGATCATTTTGTTTCTGTGAAATCAAAACTTACCATAATTACCAATTCCATGACAGGTTGATGTGGGTATGAGACCAGTTACGGGCCTCCGGCTCTATCTGGAGGGTAAAAGAAGCAATCGCTTGGCTATCTACATGCAGCACCTTTCTTCTCTACCGACCTACTTTCGACTTGTGGATGAACCTGATGATCGGTTTCCTGAAGAGTCCTATGACACAAGATACTTTGAAAAAGTTCGATGGAAGAACTTCTCCAGAGTTTGCACGGCTCCTGTAGAGTCTTACAACGATCATTCCATAGTAACTGGAGCTCAGCTACAGGTTGAGAAATATGGATTCAAAAAAGTTCTTTTTTTACGACTTCATTTCTCAACTGTTTTGGGAGCTATAATTGTAAGGCATTCAGAGTGGGATGGATCATTTGGATTTGCACCTCAGTCGGGAGTCATATCTGATCTTTTGAGTAGGCATTTAACACCAACTCCACCACAATCTAAGCCACATACAAGCTCATCAGTTTACCCTGGTGGTCCTCCAATGCCTAATTATACCCCAAAACTATTGAAATTTGTTGATACAGCTGAGATGAAAAGAGGGCCACAAAATCCTCCTGGATACTGGGTTGTTTCTGGGGCAAGACTAGTTGTTGAGGAAGGCAAGATTGCTCTACGGCTCAAGTATTCCTTACTGACTGCAATCTTACCTGATGAGGAGAATTAGCACATTTTATTTGGTTTTTGGTTAAAAGATATTAGAGTGATGAGGGTCGATTTAGGCCACGAAGTTTCATTAGGGAGGGAGAATATTTGGAGTTTGGAAAGTTGTGCTTTTGAAAGCCCTGGCTACCATGTTGAGGGGGACAGCAGAACTCATTGGGATCAAAGTTTCAAAGATTGGCTGTCTGATGGAGGGATGGGAAAGATATTACTCGCTGAGTTCAGTATGGAGATCAATGTTAATGATTTTGCTGAGTCTTCAAGAACAGGGCGTGCTCGTAGCAGAGAATTTAATTGACTGTTTTTAGCACTATAAATTACAGTATTGGAAAAAAAAAAAAAACCACTTACAAGTACCTGTGCCATTTCATCATTTCATATAGTTCCAAGTTCATATACTTCAGTTGTCGGATGTCATTGACTTGTTAATTTATTTATTTATTTTTATTTGAAAAATGGAGAATTCGAACTTGTTCTTTGAGACAGATATAATACACCAATTATCATAAATGATTGGATTTGGCTGGTGAATTTATAAAGGGAAGTTTTGAAAGAGGTGCTGCTTTTAGTGTGGTTGAATTGTCATACTTAACTAGTGATAAACTGATCCTGACTGCAGCTTTACGATGGAAAGGTATACCAATTGAAGAATCACGTTGTGTGTGTGTGGGATGACATGTGAAACTCTGCAGCATATCTTTTTTGAATGTGAGTTCAGTAAGGCAGTGTGGGGGGGGGAATATGATTCCCTTCTGTTGAATCACGGTCAGCATTATCTACAGATTTTTGTGAGATCTTTTGTATTCAGGCCAATAATACTGTAGAGGAGATTAGAGCTTTGCATGTACACATTTTGGCTGAAATTTTCATGACCATGTTTGCAGGATTCCACGGACTGTTGTCAAAGCTGCTGATAGAATGGTTTCAGGATTTCCAGTCGGTTATTAATGGAGTCATGCAACGTCATTATATATGTTACTGTAGTAGTAAATAAAGTCAAAAACAGCTTTTTCCTGGAACAGCCTAAGTGGTTCAATTTGTTCCCCTAGGCTCCATGAACAAGGAAAATTCTCAATTTAAAAAATGGAATCCTTTAGCCATGGAAATTGGATGGAAACTTGATTACATTGCACCAAAACACAAGAAATCTATTATTATATACTATAAAGCATATAAAGAAAAAAAAATCAAACTCACGATGCCAATCTTTTGCAGACATTTTGGACTTTAGACAGCTGCCAGACAGGTATGTAAGTGTGGTGTCTTCATTGGTAGTTGAATTGCTGTCGACATTTATACCATGTTGAAGAATTTATCTACTTAATAGATTTGGTATGTTGATATGAAATGAAGATGATGAGTCTGTATCTAGAACCATCTGCTTCATTCCTCAAAATAGCAGAAAGATTAGGCTAATTTCAGACTCCTAATTAAAGAAAGCAACTAAATTTTGATAGGTTATGGAAATGTTTTGTATGCATGCATGCATATGCACAGGAAGAAAATTTTGATCCATTCACTGGAACGTGTTGTGGACTTGAAGAATTCTTATAAATACATGTGAGCATTTGACTCAATAAAAGTATATAACTTTTTTATTTAAGGGTCCACCGTTTAAATTCCTATACTTCAAAAAAATTAAAAAAAAAAACACTATAAATGGAGGAGAATTGATGAATTTCTGTAGATATATAAGAGAAAGCTTGAGAAAATAAATGGATATAAAAGGAAATTGTGGATTGTGGGTCTCTTTACATCATAAGTTCATTGACTTATTTGGGCAATTAATTTTTTAACTAATTAAAAAGGAAAAGGAAAATATTCCAAGTAAGAATCATAATTGAAATTGCAATCCATTTAAGTCCTTAAAATTGAAGTCACTGCAACTTACTTTAGTTTAAGAATTAAAATTAATCATTCCCAAGGGCAATAAAAATGCAAGGAATAATTAATTTGCAATTTATTTCAGAGTTATGTTATTTGTCTTATTAATTTTGTTTCAAATATTTGTAGATATTAAATTAATTTATGAAAATTTTAATTAATTTATAAACAAAATGTTACAATCAAATCAATAATCATATATATATATTATTACAATATACATAATTATCAGATAACAATTATTGACGTTTATATAGTTTTTTTTTAACACGTAAGATGATTATTAAAATTCTCATTATGTTAACATATAAAATATTTATTAATTTTAAATTATTTATAAAAAATATATTTTAAAAATTATTAAATTATCTAAAATTTTAAAATTTAATAAAAAAGCCAATTTAAATTTTAATGAAAATTTTTTCTCTTATACATCATCTCATCCCAATTTTAAATTAATTTTAAAGTAAATAATTTTAAAATTTTTTTTTATTATACATCACTTCATCTCAAATTAAAATCAATTTTAAAGTATTTTTTTTCAATTTATCTACAATTAACATAGTATTCAAATTTATCACAAATTTTAAAAATATTATTTAATATTTTAATATTTTTTATAAATAATCATTACATTATCTTCAACTTTTAAATATATTTTATAAAAAATATATATAAATACCATACTTCAAAAAAATTAATTTTTAATTTTATAGCTTTCCCAAGGTCTTTTTCTCTATTAATTTAGTCTCTTTTTTTATTAGACTAACTAACATGCTTTTTCTGATGATAGGTACTATTTCACCAAATATATTATTCACTCAAACAGGTAAAATTATTTTTTTTCAAATCAATTGTAATGTTTTTTTAATTAAATATTTTTTTAAAAAGTTATAAAATTACAAAAACATATATATTTTTATATTTTTACCGATGTGATTTGCAGACCTTTTATTTTTTCACGGATTTTTCATTCAATCAAGTAATATAATTTATCTTTTTAACTGATTATTTATTTAATATTTTTTATTCGTATAAAATAAAAATAATGTTCTAATTAATTGATATAATAAAATTATGTGTCATAAATACAACTTATGTGTCAATTGTATATTTAAATAATGAATAATTTCCTAATTCATATCTTCATTGTAAAACATGTAACATAATTTTAAATCAAAAAATTATTTTTTATAAAAAAATAAAATTGAAAAGAAATAATTCATGATAGTCTCATCAGTAGTATTAATTTAAAGTTTATTTATATCTTAATTTTAAAAAAATCCAAAATCATAAAAAATTTTACTAAGATTCCTAAAAAAAAAATATGAATTTTATGATAATTCTATAATTATGAAACAAAGAATTCTTTATAATCTTAAGAAGAATTTAAAAAGAAAATTTTATTTTTATTATGATTTGATTTTTTAATTATATTATTTATATATTATATATTTTTTGAATATATAAATAATTCAATAATATTATTTTATATTTTTATTTAAATATAAATAAAATAAAATAATTTATACATAGTACGATTAACATTAGTTATATATAAAATAAATAATATTTAAGTGAATCATGAAATTTAAAATCAAGAAATTTTAAAAAAAAAAATTAAGAAATTTAAAAATCTAAGATAACAGTATGTGGAGTTAATAGAACCCCCAGTGTTGAAAGCTCCATTTTTGACTCTGTTACTGGTTGTCACTGAATGAAAACTCGCAGTTAAAAGTGAGTCGCGACTCACATAGTCACATGTCAACAGAATCTCACATTCGAGTCAAACCCATTTTACCACTTTCGTCTCTCTCAAGTCTCCACTCTTGCCCTTCTTAGGTTTCTCTCTCTTTTTTATTTTATTTTAATTTCATTTATTATTATTTTTTACTATATTTCTCCATCAAAGAATATATTTTTCTGTTCGTTTTAGGTTTTGTTTTTGAAATTCTCCAACGTCAAAATCTTGCAGTTTCCAAACACCTCGAAATCGAGCAAAGCGATTGAAGTTTCGGCTTCAAATTGCGTGTGCTTCATTTCGGTTCTTTAAGCTTCAAAACCTGCTCAAACACCCGCCTAAAGATTTCCACTTTAGTTCTTGGGCTGCGTAAAATGTACGAACTTTTTTTTTGTCTTATCTTAGCTAACTTTTTTGTTTGTGTTGCTTTTTAGTCTGTTTGCAGTTTTGGGATCTAGTTTTTTTTTTTTTCTTGAATTTAGGGATATTTGTTAAATTTGAACTATGTATGGGTTTGAATATTGTTAATTTGTGAAAATTGGTTGATTTTCTTGTTAATTTGAGCTAAATTTATAGACTTCTGATCTGCTCTGTTTTGGTAAAAGATGCTTTTTTAAAGAAAAAAAATGTATTTGTAGAATTTGGATTAGGTTTATTTATGGAAAAGATTGAAAAAATGTTTCTTTACTTGGACTAAAGTTTGTTTGGTTTGAATAATTTAATCGTGTGTAGAATTTGGTTCCAGATTTGGTGAAAGAAAGTGATGAACTGAGCAATGGCGCATAGGGTTCCAGCTCCAAAGGCGGCTGCGACTGCCATTGGGTCCATTGGGTGCGGATATGATGTCGGAATGGATCTTCGGCTGAGGTACTGTAAAGGAGATTCAAAAGGCTCATGTCTTATTGAGATTGATGAAGACGGAGGCCGTGATATTGTTTTGCCTGGAGGAGTTTCAATACCCAACGTCTCCAAGTCAATAAAATGTGACAAAGGGGAGCGCACACGATTCAGGTCTGATGTTCTCTCCTTCCAACAGGTAATTGTTTTTCCATTCCATTGCTATCTTATCAATATATTTGGCTCCTATGGCTTCTCACCACATGCATCCTGCTTAGTAGCTGATATTTTCAGTTATCAGTATTTCAATGTTTGTGGCATGAGTCAAATCCTGTGGAAGATATATGAGAAATGCTAGTCATGTTGCGATTTGGTTCTGTTTTTATATTTGTTTTTGTCTGTCTTGGGAGCCTGCTTTTTCTCATTTCTTTTATTCTATTTTCTCCAGATGTCAGAGCAGTTCAACCAAGAACTATCTTTGACTGGAAAAATACCTTCGGGCCTTTTCAATTCCATGTTTGAATTCTCTGGTTGTTGGCAAAAAGATGCTGCCAATACCAAGATGCTTGCTTTTGATGGGGTGTTCATCACCCTCTACTCAGTTGCACTGGAGAAATCTCAAATGGTGCTACGAGATCATGTCAAGAAAGCAGTCCCTTCTACATGGGAACCTGCAGCATTGGCAAGGTGAATTTCTACGTAAATTTGATCTTTGAATTCTGGTGATGGAGTTCTAAAATAAGACCCTGGCATCTAGGAGGCCTTTTCTTCCTTATTTAATGAAACCATACTTCTTTCTCTCTTCCTCTCTTTGAATTTTTCGTTCACATGGAGAATAATCCAATGATCGACTTTTTAAATTTTTTTTATACGATGAAAATTAGTAGAACACTGTTGTGTTGGTTGGTTATAAATCTTCTGATGTCAACTGCCTGTTTTATTTAATGTTCTTTACTTTTTGCTGTATAGTATTTGAGGTCTGTTATATAATGTTGATGACACCCAGGTTTATTGACACTTATGGCACCCATATTATTGTTGGTGTGAAGATGGGAGGGAAGGATGTTGTTTACATAAAACAGCAGCATTCCTCAACTCTTCAACCTGCTGATATCCAGAAAAGATTGAAGGAAATGGCTGATAAGAGGTTTTTAGATACCAATGGACATTATAGCATGACATCTGAGCAACTTTTCCAGAGTGACAAGGTTTGCAATAGAACTGTCAATAATATTCTTCAAATCTGTAATTGTATATCCTGATAAATCATGCTTCTAATTGTTTGGATGAAATGAAATTAATATTCCTAGTTCAATATTCTCTTACAATGGGGTACAGTCTCCATGAGAGAGCTGGCAAGCACGGTGTTATTGTGGAAGTTGTTGCATGCTATTGTGTGTTGGCTCTAAAAATCTTTTTGAGGAGTACAGTTCAAAAGGGAGGGTTGTCTGTCTCTTTTAACTTACTGATACTACAATCCAGTATCACAGTGGTATTACATGATTGCTAGTGAGATACCAGTTAAATAGTTGCCAGAGAAAGTCTACCACTGTTTTAAATGTTTAGGTTTTTGACCTGGACTTGGATTTGTTATTGTTTTTGCTTTGCCACTGTTTGATGAGGATAGCGTTATATTCTAGGTCTTTCAATTAGGTTGGCAATTTTGTTTTTATTTATATTACTTAACATTCTATGCTTTAATTGCTTGCCTTTGGTTAGTAGAGATTAATAATCTATAGATTAAAGAAAATTTGGCTCTTCATTATCATAATTCTCAATAGATTAAAGAAATTTTGGCTCTTCATCTTCATAATTCTGATCTGCTGCCATCATCAATACTGAAAATTTACTTTTTTAAGTTCATTATTGGGTTTAACTTATCTTTCAGCCATTATAAGTGAACCATTGGCATAATCTGTGATATCTTCCTAGGTATCTTATCTAATCATTTCTCTTTCAGTTTGAAATCAGGGAGCAGCGACTAACGTTTGCACAAAACAGTCCATCAAGTTCATATGCACATAAAGAGGTTTGTGTTCTGACTTTCATATGGTGTTGTTAGCTTATTAGTTAAAGTCCCTTGATTAAGGTTAATTTTTTTCCCAATATCTATGTTGTTACTATTTACCTAAAAATTGCAGGATATTATAAGCATTTACAAAAGGAGAGGTGGAAGTGATAATAGAAACCTATGTCATAATGACTGGTTACAAACAGTTCAGTCAGAACCTGATGTGATCTCAATGTCCTTTATACCAATTACTTCTCTGTTGAATGGAGTCCCTGGTAGTGGATTTCTGAGCCATGCGATAAACCTTTATTTGCGATGTAAGCAAGATCTATATTTCTGTTTGCACCTATTGGATTTTGGTTTTCTACTACTACTTAGATCAAATTATTGCATCCCATTTTTTAGAAATGCAATGCATTTATTATTTTCAGGAAGAAGTATGCCTCAGGCTTTTTTTAAAAAAAATTTCTTTATAATTTGTTAAATATAGGATATCCTAAATTCACTAACCATCTTATTATTATGAGATTCTAAGGCAATCAAACACACAAATTGTGAGCTTATTTTGGTTGAAACCTTTGTTAAATGACCATAAGTTGTCAGTTAAGTACTACACTACATCAATAGGATGTGAGCTTAGATCACTTTTGTCATCATTGAACAGTGCCTGAACTAAGAGATATTTTATTGGGTATCTATCACGTTTTATTAGTTGTCATGAAACAATAATAATTTGTTCTTGGACTCCAGTTTCCTTCATTTGCTTACCGCTGCAAAGTGCAAATGATACTTCTGTTTTTTTTATAGCAAAGAGTCTACACATGTTTCATCCATAAGCAATTGCTCTTACAGATAAACCACCGATTGTAGAGCTCCACCAGTTTTTGGAATTTCAGCTTCCAAGACAGTGGGCGCCAGTTTTCTGTGAACTTCCTCTTGGTTTGCAACGAAAGCAACAAAGCACTTCATCTTTGCAATTCAGCTTCATGGGGCCCAAGCTTTTTGTGAACACTACACCGGTAAAGCATTTTCTAACAATGAAAATTTTCTGGCCTTTTGTCGGATGCACCAATTGTTTTGACTCTGTAGGTTTCATCCATGTATGTGTTTGGTAGTTCTTAATGCCCTTTGACTAGATAAACTTTGTAACATGTTGATCTGCTGCTATTGGATTTATGGATGATCACTAGTGTCTCTTCAGCTTTTTAAATTAAAAAATTATTGGATTTATAGATGATCAATAGTGTCTCTTCAGCTTTTTAAATTAAAAAATTAAGTGCCATGATGACTGTATTTTAAATTCAAATCAGTGATGCATCATCTTCTTAAGATCTCACAAAGAGAGAGCAATTCAGCTTTGTTGCATAGTGTGGATATAAAGTGGGAAACTGATATTACTGATATTAACTCTTGTATCATTGAAGCTGTGGCCTTTTTTGGCGAAGTCTTATACTTTGTTGATATCAAAAGAAAGGAGCTATAGCTAATTTTTAGTTATATAATCTCATGACAGGTTGATGTTGGTAAGAGGCCAGTGACTGGCCTCCGACTATATCTAGAAGGTAGAAGGAGCAACTGCTTGGCCATCCACTTGCAGCACCTTTCCTCCCTTCCAAAAATCTTCCAACTTGTGGATGATCCAAATGGGAACTTCTGCCAAGAGTCTCATGATCGTAAATACTATGAGAGAGTTTATTGGAAGAACTACTCTCATGTATGCACTGCTCCTGTTGAGTCTGATGAGGATCTTTCCATAGTAACTGGAGCCCAATTGCAGGTTGAGAATCATGGTTTTAAAAATATTCTCTTTTTACGGCTACGCTTCTCAACTGTCTTGGGAGCAATGTCTGTTAAGCATCCAGAATGGGATGGATCACCTGGCTTGGCACCTAAATCAGGACTCATATCCACACTAATCAGTCATCACTTCACAACAGTTCAGAAGCCACCTCCAAGGCCAGCTGATGTGAACATAAACTCTGCTGTTTATCCTGGAGGCCCTCCTGTGCCTGTTCAAGCCCCTAAGCTTTTGAAATTTGTTGATACAACAGAGATGACACGAGGGCCACAAGAAATTCCTGGATATTGGGTCGTTTCTGGTGCAAGATTAGTTGTTGAGAAAGGAAGGATCTCTCTTCGAGTTAAGTATTCTTTATTGACCGCAATATTACCTGATGAAGATGGCATAGAGGAGCACTAGTAGATTTTTCTCACCACTTATCACCTGAATTGTTTTCCCTTACCCAGCATGGAAACAAATATAAGCAGGAAAAAGCTACAGAAGATCAGAGAAAAAAAACAGAAAGGAAATGGGGAGTTGAAACATAAGAATGGTCACATTAACCCTGATAAACTTCTTGGGATGGATGATGGCAAGGGAGGTTAAATGGCTGAGGAGATGTGATTGGGTGCGTTTGTGGTGGTATATCATTGTATTCATCACTTACAATTTTATCTTGTAATTTAATATATTTATTTTTTCTTTGTTTCTAATATCAATTCGTCAAAGTTGCTGTGTGCAATGAGGTTGTAGCCTTTTAGGTTATAAGGTCGATGCTCGATTTGCACGGGCTTGTTTTCTTTATATGTAATATCCTTTTTCACACTATAGCTGTATATGCAACAGGTAGTTAATCTGCTTTGCACTAACCTCATGGGTAATTCTTCATGGTAGGGTTTTAGTTTGGTAAGATTCAGATGGCTGAGCAGATCTACGATTCTTACTTTGACCCACTTATCCTAAATTTAACTTAGCTGCTTATCCAAACATCAATATCTTGTGACTAACATTCGGGAATTTCTGGGTTTTTTTTTTTTTCTTTTCAATCTGTCAAATTTGGACTCAACCTATGCCGCTAAAGTAGTACGTCCCGCACAATAGTAGTTTTTCTCGCAAACCAGCTTCAGGACACTATTTCATTGGATAATTAAGTATTATAGAATGGAGGAAGGTTGATTGCTGATAAATATACAGACATCCAGGATGACGCTTGGTGTATTGTACACTTCAAGGAAATACAAAATTAAGTTCATGGGGAGGCCAATAGATGCCTTCCCTAGGGCAAGGGAGGGGAGCAGGTTGAGCAATATAGGTAGGATATTGCTCTCCTGGCATCACCACTGAGAAATCAGATGCATATGATGTCGAAACCTGCCATTAGAACATGCATACATCAAAGATCAATTCCACGAATGAATGAACGAAAATAAGCATATTTTGCAAATAGAAAATGTTTCACTTTTATATTGTACTTAATGATTGGAATTAGTTAATTATTATAGACATATCCACAATAGAAACAGGCTACATTTCCATAATGTGGCTCCCTTAATTATTTTCTTCTTGTAGAATACAGTGAGAGAAATTGGTCGATCATTGCTGATTGGTTTTTAGCCGAGTGGTTGAAGAGTTATTTTCATGATCTACTATCTGTTTGGAATTTCTTTTTCTTAGTTAAAGGTTGCTACCAAAAGAGTATGTAGAAAGAACACCAGAAAATGAACGGTTAAGAGCCTGTGATGAGATAGAAACTTACTCTTTGTGGATTCCCAATTTTCTCAACTGCTCCAGATCCTAGAGCAACATCAGTCATTTGATCAGGTGAAGAAAAGTCAGGATTTGGCCGAAAAAGGTGTTCAAAGATGGCCATGATAAGAAACATTGATATCAAGATAGCGGTAGCAACAAAGCCAAAAGAAATGGCATTCATGGATGTTCCGAAGTTTTTCCACGGAGTTTCCTTATCAACTACAGTTTGAGATGGACTCGAATCTGAACTTGGGTATATGTTCCATGGCCTTGATCTTTCGGTACCAAACTCATTCATAGTTGTTTCAGAAAGGCCGAGATCTTTCTCGTATGAACAAATATTACTTGTGAATGATCAAAACATGTATAATTAAAGCATATCTAGGCGTAGCTGCTGGTTATTCTTCTACGAGAATGCCTTTCCTCGTTCATGAGTTGTCATAGTCCCTGAAAAAAAAATTGACAAGGGTAATCATTAACATTCTAATACACAGAAAAATGACTTATTTTTCAATCCAGAAACCCTAGTTAAAAAAAAAAAAAAAATCCATTTCAAGGGTAAAATGTCTCCTATGACAAATTGTCAATATATAGTGATTACATGAGAAAATGCATTCAGTACAAGAAACAATAGTCACGTCCAAAAAATTATCAAAATGCTAATCTGCAATTTTAAGTGAATGTTTGTTCAATATAACTTAATACTATTGATATCATATAACAGACCAGAGCTCTGAAACTGACGTCTTCCTAATTATCAATCTCGTTATGCCACTGGACTAGGAAGAAATCATAGATGTATGATGAAAAACTGAACAAAGGACATTGACCCAATGAGGCACAGAACAAATCACCTAATTTTAAATACTTCAGCAGCGGTGACTGGAAATGCCAGTGGCATCATTACAAATGAAAACAAACAAATAAACTAACTAATTAGTACTGACCAAGGGAGGAAAAACGAAACGATATTTAGGGGCAGCAGTTTTTCAACGACTCTCAGGTGACCCTATTGCGGTGTTTGTGCAGTGTTGCAAGTGAATTCTTGTACTATGAAGACAATATGAACTAACCTGTACTTAAAATAAGTAAAGGAAGCCTTGGATTTTGGTCCTGGGAAGTAGGAGCAGACGTGATCTTAGTCCTCCAATCCTATAGCTCAACTGCCCTGGAAAAACAAGACAGCCACACTTCTCAATGAATTATTTAAAGAAAGCAGGCTAAGAGCAGCAGCTTTATACCCCAATTGAAAATGTAAAGACAAAGTCATATGATAATCCCAGCAGTGCACTTTTCTTTTGATATCTTGATGTTACATGATCCTGATGCCTAACTTAATGAATACTATACCTTGTCTGAAGAAACAAACCTAAAGGAATCATAGGCATGGGCCTTCCTGTCTGGAAAGCCGAAATAAAAAGAGTGGCCTCTTGGTTCTTTTTAAAGTTTGTCACTTTTTAATTGCTGAATTTACATATATTACTCAACCCCTGTCACGGGCTTGGAACTTAACTCGATCCGGCGATTTGGTGCCGGAGCCATAGTCTTAGAGGTGCGCTCGGGGGATCATAACCCTCCCTTAACGCACATGAACTTATATCTGGGTCTTAACAGGGATGATATCAAGTTAGCATTTCCCACCTGCCCCAATATTATTATAATTATTAACTGCTTTTCAAAGGTGAAAATTCAAAGAAACTATAATTATTTCCACCGACTATTTCAGAAAATTTTCAAATGAAAGATGATTATAACTATCATTAAAAATTACTACATAAATAGCAGAGGGATTACACGAGGTAGGCTGGAAAGATTAGAGTTGAGGAAAGTTATTTATGGCAAAATCATCTGGATTAAAGGATTTTAAAGCTCTACTAGATATCATAATGTCTGACCTATTTCATTTGCCAACATAACTATTCAGGTGTGTTCATGGAAAAGATGACAAAATCTCCAACTAAACCAAAGCAAGAAAAAAGGATAAAGTTGCTATAGAGATTAATGCTAAGATTGAAATAACTAAAGGCTGCTGCAAGGTTAAACTAAATGTTATACAATAAAATTTCTATATAACTAGGGTATTGAATAGGCATGTGATCAAAGAAAACACAAGAATAGTAACAGGATAGCAAGCACAAAAAGAATAAAAAAACAAAAGAATTGAATATTTAAGAGAAAAGAGGTTAGAGAAAGAAAATGTTGGGATACCTTACAGCTATGCAGTGCCAGAAATGTCATGATTCAAGAGAAGAAAGAGAATGGACTGTGGCAAAAAGAAAAGAGCTAGAAAAGAGGGTGATGTACACCACAATTATTCCAAATATTATTATTTAAAGTAAACCTGGTGAGAGGAACCCATAAACCCATCACTTTTGTCAGAAACACTAAGGCCACAGCAAAATGGCTCTATTATTTGCATAAATTTTCAGGTTTTTAACAATAAAAATGGAAGTATCCCATTTCAAAACTACTAGCTATTAGTTTTCTTTTTCTTGAAGAGACTAACATATTGCTTGCTATCTTTCTGTTTCCCTCCCTGTCAGACAAAGATTTCCATAAAGCCAAGAATCCGTATAACTATATTCTAGAAAAGAAAAAAAAATGAAGCAATAATTACAGGATAAATTATGAAAAAAGAAGGACCCTTGAGAAAGAAAGAGGTTGTTTATTACCTAAGTTGCATTGAGAAGAGTCTTTGTCAACAAGATAAATCAAAATGTCTGAGAATGATGTGAAAGCCTATCTAGATCTATCCGAAAATAAATCAAATTCCCAAAGTTTTAAAATTAAACCAAGTTACACTTAATTTTCATTCTTCAACTACTAGGCATCAATGGAGGAGAGGATAGTGGGGAACAAATATCCATTCCAAAATAGTAGAAAAGAGAGAGAGAGCTTTGATAGAGTAAGAATCACCATGTTTTCCTGCCTGGGTTTGTAGATAAAAATTGATTCGAAATGTGAATGTATTCTTTTTTATTATTCAATTTTGACTAATTTAAACGAAACCATTTCATGCATAAAGGTCATTTCAAGAAAAGATGATTGTTTCCCATTTCCATGTAAGACATATTTCTAAAAGAGAAGAGGACCCCATGATAAGAAAGCACACTAAAGCAGATTTTGAAAAACAAAACCAAAAAAACAGATTGTCAAGCATATATTATCTCCTTTATCTTTTTTCCCTTCTTTTTCACAACCAAGTCCCTCACTCAAGCAACCTTTTCCTTTTCCAACAAATTTACCAAAGAGATTTTTGTAAGCAAAAAACAAACTAAAGCAAAGATTATATTCCATGTGTTAAATCCCATATCAAACGGAGAGTTTCTGATTAATAGCCTATGATTTCACTGCTTTAATTTTTATCACACTCAATACTTTTTTTTCTTCTTTGGACCTCGTGACATTCACCAGTGAACTCCCACTTATTTCCATGTGCCCCCTTCTCTCTCTTATTGCGCGTGTAGGAATGATGCCATGGTTGAATTAGATACAGATTCAAAAGGATAATGGATTGTCCTTGTTTATGTTCGTTCATCTGCAACTGAATTTTGATCGCATCAAATCATGCTGCTACCTCCCTCATGAAACTTATGACAAAAGCTTCTTTTTATATCAATACCGTTAGTACAACAGTACAAAGATATCATTTTTTGGATGACTACGTAAAAATGAACAAGGGAAAGATAAAGGAGAATATATGACTCAGTCATGAAAATTAACACGTATGTTTGCATACGAACTCCCTCCTTTTCCAAATAAATGGAAAATTTATACAAACTCTCATCAGTTTACGCATTGCATCTATAAAATCAAATTTATTTGATATGAATTTCAAGCTTCCAACAACAAGGAGAAAGCACATTAAAGAGTCAGATGAACAGTGAGTTCATTACGAATCGAGCGATGGGTTCAGTGAAAACACAGCGAGGGTTTTGTGGCTCCTTCAGGTTAAAATAAGGCTCGGGTCCTATCATATCCGGCTATATAACGACATGGGCCCGTAATTGGCTGAATACCACAGTAACCAAGCCCACCTATTTTCGGTTGTTTCATTGTGACTCGACCAATTAAAGAAGGATAAAAAGGCTCAAAGCAGAAAATTTGCTGACTTAACCGGCCCAGATGGCAGAGCTACATTTCACCAGCCAATTACAAATCCGTGTTACAAACGCATCCAATCACCCCGCCAACACTCCAGGTTATCCGGCATCAAATGAAAAACTAGGAGAAAACTACTATAACTATATGCTATGAGGGCGCGAAATTTGGTCACAAAATTCTGCGACAGATTGATGATAATAAAGAAACATATAGTCAAACTCATGGATCAAATCTACAATATTAAATCGGTTTCAAGTAGATTTGATAATTTTAGACATAATATAATGATATGATATAAAAATAATATAAAAAAATCATATATATATTTTTAAAAAATATGTTTCGTGTTTATTTGTATCGATACAAATTTTAACATGATATAATTAATGTTTTATTTATGTTAACACATTTAAATACTTGTAAGATATGAAAAATATGTTTAAAAAAAACATATCATATGGATACACATTTTACTCGTGACATAATACAAAAGTATGTTTAACATATTTATATATTTATTTTAATTTAATATAAACATATAAAAATTATTTTAATTTTTAATCTTTTAATTATGATATTTAATTAGCTATTTAATATATCATATTATGATTATTTTAAACATTTAATTATGATACTCATTTAATAATTATTATAAAATTATTTTATATTAATAATATAAATACAATATAAATAATAATATTAGTACGATACATCATTATTTTATTTTTTAATCTTTAGTAATTTATCATTTTAGATTTGATATTAAAAACTAATATAGTTATGTATACATTTATAATAAATGCATATATTAATATATATATTAAATTTAAATGTATATATATATATATATTAGTAATGTATACATTAAAATTGAAATATATATGTTAAATGCATATTAAATGGGTATAAATTTTTTTATACTTTTTAAATATGCAAGTATTTTTTATATTAGTAATATATACATTACATATATATATCTTAACATATTAAATATATATATATTTTTGTAACTGTTTATAATAAAATTAAAAAATAAACTTTTATTAAAAAATTTTTTAAAATGATAACATATACTTAATTGTTAATAACAATAACATTCAACAACCAACGATACGGTCATTAGTCAAGTAAAGTAAATTCAAATCCCATGAATATACAATAATATATTATAATGATAATAAATAACATTTATAATAATAAAAAACTATATGATAATTTTAATAATATGAATCATGATATATGATTATTTTAAATTATAAGAGTTAAAATAAGATATTATAAATTTGAAATTAAAAATAATACATATTTTAAATAATATGTATAATGATAAAAAATTATATAATTTATTTTATATTATGTGATACAATATTATTAAAACGTAATTTATAAATGATTATTTTTAATACACATCCCGATAACCTATTTTAAATATTTTATTATATATCACATGATAAGAGATTATATATTTGAAATTAAAAATAACATATTATTTATTATAACACATAATGATAAGAGATTATGTAATTTTATTTCTATATCACATGGTAAAGTATTAATATAATATAATGTATATGCTCATCTTAATAACTTATTTTTATTATTTTATTTTAAAATTTAAATCGCATCATATGATACTTATATATAATTATAAGAGATTATATAATTTAATCTAACTCATATGTATATAAATATACTGTATATCTATGATAATTAAAATATGTAATTTATTTAAATCATATTATAGCATATAAAAAATTATTATAAGTAACATAAATATATTTATTTGACTTTTTAGTATTTTTTAATAATTTTAATAAGTCATTGAGATATTGTACAAAAAAATCATGCTAATTAAGTAATTATTGAAAATATATAATAATATTTATATATTAAAAAAGAAATAAATCATGTAAATATATATTAATATTATGTATAAAAAATATAAAAAATATATTTTGAAATAAACTTTTTATCTTATATATATAATATATGAGTACTATATATATTCATAATTTATTCATATTTTTATTTATTTATTTTAAATTAAAAATTATTTATTTCTTATCTAACCGGTTTCAACTTTTAAGTTTGATTTTTAAACTTTCAAGACTGATTTTTATTATCTTTAGAATGTATTTAATTTACGAAATCTTATATTTTGAAAAAATATATAATATATAATATATTTTTTTATTTTCAAAATATTTCGTATTTAAATTCATTCGTTTGATCAAAAAATTTATGTATATTAATTTTTGTATAATTATTATAATTTTTTTGACATATATGATGATAATTTTTCATTTTATTTTATTAATAATAAATACTCAAATAATAAATGATGCTTTTAGCGGTAAAAAAAAATATTTTAATTGATTGATATTTTTATTTATAAAACATCATCAATTAAGATATTTCAAAACATTAATGCTCTTAATTGATAGAGAAAAATGTTAAAAAAAAATCAATTAAGGCGTATGTCACTTTGTACACCTTAATTGATATTTTTTATAAATTAAAAATAAAATCAATTAAGATATTTGTGTAACCCATATTTGTAAACAAGATCAATTAAACAAAATTTAAATTAAATTTAGTTTTATGGCAAACAACAATATGCTTTTACTTTTATATACCGATTAGGTAACCCACCAGTTCAATCTGCTTTTATTATTTAACAATTAACATGCTTCCATTAAAGCCACACGTGTGAAAGCTTAATCACTTAACCCTAAAAATCTTTTTCACCTATTTCACTCTTTTGTTTCAGACTTCTAATTCCAGCAACCTTCTTTCCTTTTTCAGCCATCAAGCCAAGTAGTCATTACTCACCTTTCGCCTGCTTTTGCCTCCTTCTTCAGACAACCACCATTCACCTTTAGCCCAGAAATCGCAATGGATCCATCGATCGATAAAGCTTTTGTATCACTTCCAAGTTTTACCACAATGTTTCCTGCCAGAACACTGAAGAAATTATTGTTGTATTTGGAATACTTTAAAGTTAACAGACTGATAACGCGTTGAGAAGTTTGAAGAAATGTTACATATATTCGTGTTTGACTTATATTTTATATTTTGAATACTCCGAAGCTAAAATTTAACTTATATTTACAATGTTATTAGTATATATCATGTTTATTCTTATAAATCAATGTCAAACATGTTATTCATGTTATGTTTAAATAAATTAATTATATACAAATTAATCTTATTATATCACATAAAATACAAACAATAAAATTATCATATTTATGTTTAAGATTTAATCAATTTTTATAATTGATGTTCATATTTTAATAATTCATGTCATTACATATGTCAAATAAAATACGAAATAACACACAAACAAGAATAGCCAGGTTTAGTACCAAGTAAAACAAAATTGCAAGTTGTGGGCAATCAGCAAAAAAGTAAAGTATTGTACCAAAAGAAGAAAAAAAGACAAATAGAACAGATAATTCCCTCCTTAACTTGGCCTGTTAAGCCTTGAGCTTCCCGTAGAACTTGGCCTTTTCCTGTGTTGTCTGGAAGCGACCATGACCAAACTTGGATGATGTATCGATGAACTTGAGCTTGATCTCCTCAAGGGCTACCCTAGAAGTTTGATGTAACAGGGATTGCCTCAAAGTCACAACACGTTTCTTTGGTCCAACACAGCAGCCTTTGATCAGCAAATAGTCCTCCTTCACTACACCATAATGGGGGAATCCACCCATCGGGGTAATATCTTTCTCAGTCCTGAAAATGGGTTAAAAACAAAGAAAAGTTAAAAATGTCTCACTTGAAATAATTACCATAAAATACAAAGTGCAACCTGAGCAAGGGGTGCTTGGCTAACCTGTCATAATCAGTCATGGCAGAATGTGACTCATGCCCAGCCTTCCCAAGCTTGTAAACTTTCTTATTCATTTCAGTTCGGTGATGGTAGCCATTTTGCCCAGCCCTGGCAACAGTAAAAGAAACTCTAGCTGGATGCCATGCACCAATACAGGCAACCTTCCGAAGACCACGATGAGTCTTACGAGGGAGACGTGTGACACCCCATCTGGTCACCACGCCCTCATACCCTTTACCCTTGGTCACCCCGATAATATCAATCATCTCATCTTTCTGGAACACTGCATCAACTGGAACATGTTTCTCAAAGAAACTGTAAGCAAAGTCAACTTTTTGGGCAACAGTTCCACCATTGACTTGAATCTCCATCAAATGGGCCTTCTTCTGCTTCAAACCCTTCATTTTTCTTATCTACAGAAGCAAAAATAAAATAAAATAAAATAAAATAAATGAAGACATCAAAGAAGTCAGAAAAAACATATTGGTTTAAGGCATTCAATTATCAAGAATTGGAAGGACTAAAACATCGTTACAAGATATAGATATGTTCCAACAGAAAATACCTGGGTGTGGGCTAAAACACGAATTACAGTACAATATTTTTTCAATTTTTCCAGCTGCAACTGAATATCCTTTTTACCATCTTCAGTTTCAAACTTCTTTGAGTACTTGGTGAAAGCCTTCTTCTTAGACTTGCACCAATGTTTATAGAACCTCCGCTTCACCTCTTCACTCAGATGCTGAGCCCACACAGTGCCCAAAGTACGAAGACCACGGGGTGTTTTGACATAGCCAACAACTCCAACAACCACCATGGGTGGTGTCTCAATGATAGTAACTGCTTCACAAGTTTCTTTCTTGTGAAGCTCTGGAAGAAAAGAACATAAATGCATTAAGCTATCCACCTAAACATGAAGGAAAGTAGACTGTGCAAGGAAGCACATGTATTCATTCTTAAATCAAGTATATCAGCAACAGACTATTCAGTATTCCTCAATTATCCAATCATGATTTAGAGAATAAAAAAAACATACTTGATCCAGGCTTTTCAACTTCCCTCACAATATGGGTCATTCCAGCTTTATATCCCAGAAATGCAGTTAATTTGCATGGCTTAGTACGATCATCTTTAGGGAAAGCCTTCACTGAACAACCATGGAAGAAGATACTGAAATCAGAAGCAGATTTAAATTAAACACAAACATAGGAGGAATTTAGATACATTCTAAACGTGTTAAAACCTGACAAACGAAACATGTCAGCCTATGAAATTGACTGGATGACATGATATGAGAAGGGAGGGTGTTAGCAATTACAAGTTACAACCTCAGGGATTATTACCAAATTAAAACACAAACTATAAACTAAACAGGGTTCAATTGAGCCAGCCTATTCTGCACCAGCACGATTACTTAAGATACAAGTACGTTTATTGATTGCTTAAGATGCAAAATGCAATAAGGCATTTGAATAATAAGCTAATCGAACAACATTACCAAATAAAAACTGACAGTTAATAAATATAAATAATTCAAGGGAAATAAATTAAAAAAAAACCTTTTCCTCTGTGGCGGGAGGCTCTTTTCCTTGGAAGAAATCCCAAAGAGCCATGCCTTGGATGCTCAAACTTGCGATGAGACATGTTTCTTCAATAACAAACACTCTGCAAAGTTCCACATAACTCAATTCCATTTTTAAATTAAGCATAAGAATAACGGTAACGAATTCAAGCCAACAAAGTGAGCCCGCAATTAACGGCACAACCATGATAAGTAAAATATAAAATAGTTTAAATATATATAGACCAATCAAACAGAACAAAGATAAGATCATAAAATCATATAAACAACAAAACGTCAAACAAAATCCCAAATTGGGCATCTAAAGATTTCAATCACTATAGAATTACTCATAGCATCATAAATATCTAAAAACAGAAACAAAAAATAATTCAAGCTAACAGCACAAGCAATATAAAAAATGAATCTTTATGAAGTTGACAATTCGTTCAAGCAAAAACAAAAAAAGTTTTATTTTAACTAAATCAAATTCTTTAAGACTGTACCGTAAGTTTTGAATAACGATAAAATCAACTGATTGTAAATGTAAACAGTAGAAGAGTTAACGCTTGATGTTGAAACATATGAAGAACAGCAGATCTAGCAAATTGAAAGGAAATGGACCCCAAGACCAAAGGCCTATGGCATAAATTTAAGTACGCCAATTCTCGGGCTCCTTTGGTATTTCTTGCCAAAAGCACCAATTTTAGGGTTTTGGCGAGAAGAGCCCTTTATGAGACTCCAGCCTTGATTTTTCCAACCATGTCCTTTAATGGGTAAAATCCATCTCAATCATCGCTAGAAACTGAAGCTACATCAATATATGTTTTCATACACCAAGAACATTAAAACAAAAAACCCAGAAAATTCACTTGAAAACTAGCGATTACCAATCAGCAATTGGATTAAAAACCTTGGATGAAATTCGCACCAAAAAAAATCAAATTGAACGCTATTACCTCGAGATCTGAAAGAAAAGATTGAAAAAAGAGAGAAGCTGGAAAGCTGCTATTAATTTCCTCTTTTGATAAAAACCCTAACTTTTTTAACCGATGGCTATGGTTTTTATATTATATAAGATAATATAAGGAATCAACGGCAAATATTAGCTTTCGTACGTTAATATCAGCCGTTGGATTCCAAGACTAGGGTTTTCTTTTAGAAGTGAAATTGTAACCCTTTATTTGACGGCGCAGGCTGTCCAGTATTGCGAAATGGGCTCAGTAGCTAATAGTTTTGGTACAGTCTGGCCCAAAACATTTTCAAGATTGGGTATGGCCCTTTTTCAACCCAATAAGATGATTGTTTTTAATAAAAATAAACCCATTTATTATAGGCTTCTAGCCCATCGGACGACCAAATTTTAGATCAGCCAGCTCCAAACAGTGGGGTCAAGTTTATGGTGTTTTGGGCCAAATAGGGTATGATCCAATTATACCTCTAAACGCTAGGCTCAGGCTTGGATTGAAAATTTTCTGTTCAAAGTCTAGTCCAAGTTGAGCTTTAGCCTGTAAGTTTAAGCAAAATATAATATTAAATTTAAGTTCGAGCTGGACTTAAAATTTAAGGTTTGAAACTCAATTTAAATTTGAACGAGTTTTATTTTTTAGTTCAAGTTTTACTCAAAATATAAATTGAGCTATTCGAACTCTCTAGATTCGATTAATATGTAAAAATAAGCTTGATTTTTATATTTTATAAAAACTCAATTATTTGTACTTGAGCTCAAGTTTAAGATATTTTATTAATTAAAATATGAAAACTCAATTAAAATTGTGAATTATTCAAGCTGGATATATGAATATTTGAATTCAATTCGATCGATAAATTAAGTTATTTGAGCTCAAGATCAACTCGATAATAATTGAGCCGAATTTGAGTTTTATTTGAGTCAAACTCAAGTAACTTGTAAGTACTATTGTATTATTTATACTCTTACCCACAAGAAAAAAAAAATCTTTCTAATAGTTCCTATTCAAATAATTCAATACCGATTGATCTTGAATCATATTAATTAATTGACACGTTATTATTAGAGTTGGTATATAAAAATTGTGGGTTTGAGGTAGTTTATGGATGTAATATCCTCTGTAAATAAATAATAGGATAAAAGATTTTAGGGTAGATTAGATACTTAAAAAAAATCAAGTTTTCTTCTTTAAATTTGTTTTAAAGAAAAAAGGAATGTTTCCGACAAAGAAGAAAGAAAAAAATGGATGGTGAAAAATCTCAAGCAAAGCAACCCAAAGCAGGAGCAAAAGGAATATAGAATCCAGAATTCAGAAACAGAACCGCCAAGTAATGCACCAAAAGACTATGCCTAGTTAAGAACTTTAGCAATTTTAAGACAAATTGGCTTCGATTAGAGAGTAAGATTTTCACTCCATGGATGCAAGCAAAATAAAAAGGAGTACTTTATTGGAAGATGTCCCCAAGTTGGAAAATTTTCAAAGATAACATTAGTATCCCCTAAGATTCGTTGTATTGTATATATGGGAATTGGAATAGTCTTTCAATTTACAAGCTGGAAATCTATGGAAGCAATAATTAGGTGACAATGGTGAATGTATGCTCGGAGCACCTGAAGTACTGATGGTGCAAGAAAAATACATTAAGTGACTTCAAAAAGACAAGGAATGGACAATCCCACTTGAATATGACTTGGATTTCCACCAATGTCATGATGACATAACCCCACATGCCAAAGGTCAATCCCATAATGTCAAATGGGGCATATGGTTATCTGAGCTACTCATATTTGTAGCCAGGCAGCAGACCCATGCTTCTAGGTTTTCTTAATAGACATGCCA